ATGTTTTCTTGCTAAAGCTATCGTTCCATTTTTTTGCAATCTTGTTGTTTATTTTAAGTCGTACATATTAGTTAATAAAAAGACATTTTATGCATAGCTATTATTACAAAAAAGTAGGTCTTATATATTATCAACGCATTTCCTAACTGCGATTACTGAAAAATATATTTTATATTTTCACTACTTTTACTGCAGAGCTAATTTTGTAATTGCTACGTTGTTTAAATATATATATATACACAAGATTTTAAAATTTATTGTTAATAGTTTTATTTTTTTAACTTCTTAAAAAACCTTCGAGTTTGTTTTTTTTTTGCAACGCTCTTTGTGCTTAACTTTATTTGTATAAAAGCTCTTGAAATACAGTTTTTAGTTGTATCACAATTATTTCATTTAAAAAATTATATATTTGTACAAAGTGGCCTTTGCGTTAAAATTAATAAAATAAAGTATTTCATACTTTAATAATTTTGTGTGCTAAGCTCTTAAAGTAGATTTCAACGAAAGATCTCATTTGCGATTTTAATTTGACAAAAACATCTATTTTCAAAAAAGATATTGCAATAGATATGTGCAAAAAATAAAGATTTTCTAAATGTGCACCACAATTTTTTATTCCTGCAATGTTCTTGTATTAATAATGTATATGTGTAAATATATTGATTTCGATCTCAATGGATGCATAGCTATTTTACCAGATTTTTTGTAATCACACAGGCGATAAAACTAGCACTCATTTGCACAGATTCAATTTGTAAAACAAAAATTTTCAACCTTCTTGTTGGGGATTTCTATGCGAGCGAAGGCTCAATTAAAATTTTTCTTCAATCTCTCTTCAGCGAGTAAGATTTTAAGTTATACTTTTAGTACATTTTATTAAATATGTGCGAACTTTTACGGCAACGTTTTAATTTGTCGTCTTTGTATATAAATGTCTCGTCACGAGATAATACAAAAAATATCGTCGTATTTTAAAATTGCCATTAAAGGTTTCCTTTTCTCAGCCTTTGTGTACTATGTTTTATTATGTTACAGATTTTCATTAGGTAAATGTGAGTCCCAATAAGCCAAATAGTTTTCAGTATCAACTTTCGTTGATCTCGAGAATGGTAAAAGAACGAATTGAATATTTTATCGTAGATAACAAAATATCTAACTTCAAACAAAAGCCAAGCTCAGTTTTGCTTTAGTTAAATGAATTTTACAGCTTTTTGCTCCAGTTGTCTATAAAATCTGTAATTTGGGATTGACATAAAAGGACCAACTTATTTGGTAAGGTCAAGTTAATAATATACTGACACTTCAAGATTTAAGCTTCTATGAGAAATCAAACCATGTTGGTAAATTCTCTTCTCTAATCCTGGACTGTAAAAATATGTGTTTGTTATTTTGTCTGTAAGGACCACTGTAAAAGTTAGAAGTTCATATTTAAATGCTCAGGTTTTACCAAGTTTTAGGAAATAAAGCATGGGTACATAATTATATACCATGAAGCTTAGAGACAATGTTATGTTTCAATGTAACTCTTATAAATTTATATCTAGAGAAATTCAGAGTATATAAGTGGTTACATAGAAATTATCATATCTCAGTCAGTGTGATTATCATATTTATTGGTCTTCATTATAAAAGTATAATTGAGTACTTTAATACAGTAACATAGACCTCATAATTTTATTAATTGTTTATTTAAGTACTGTTATAAAAAATTTCAAAAAAATGGAGATCAATTCATCTGTCTTCCCTACCAGACGATGGGCCTGCTAAAAATAAAAGGTAAATACAAATATAATTGCTAAAACATTAATATTCCTAATTTATATAAAGTATATATACTTAAACTTACACATTAAATTACTGACATTGTTGTAAATAACCTAACCCTTATAATATTTATTTATATATGAACATTTCTACACAAATAAAGTAAATTTATTGATACTTATCTACTGAGGTGGCATGTATCGTGAAACCAGACCAAAGACTCTCTCTGAGAATCCAGAGGATATTGAAGTGAGGTTAAAAGCTTACTGCTTTCAGGAAGGTGCAGATATAATATATCTATATTTTCTTTGGGTGGATTAGGGCAATAACATAGCTTTAAATAATATTACCTAGCTGTTCTGTTTACATATACTTTTTTTGCAAAAAATTACTTCTCCAAAGTAACTCTGGTAAGTATTGTAAATGGTTTGTCTTCGGGTGTACTACAAGGTGTATAGTTTCTGGTTTGTAGTATGTTTATAAATAAAGCAAACATTTTTCTCCCCACAACCTCGGCAAACGTGTGCAATAATGAAGAGGATATTTTACTACTGATGCACGACAGTCATATTCTACTTTAAAGATGTAAAGAACGAGAGGAAAATATTCTTTGGAGCGGCTGGTATCAGTCTTTTACTTTCTTTTTTGGTGATGGGTAGGATGCAAGGATCGCTTAACTCTCTGACGGAGGGTCTTGCACCAGCGTGGTGAGGTTAATATTGCAGATAATAAATGACTATCCCATAAACCCTTCTGCCGAAGGGTGCGATTTACAGTGCCAGCGAAGATTATTGGTCAAAGGCTGCCTGTCGGTGGAACAATTCCGTCAGTCAAAATGTATGACCAATAGTAATTAGTCTTCAAAGTCTTAAAATCAATAAAATAAAAAAATATTTTGTCCTTTGAACAAGGACTTGCAGAATAGCAAGTGATCATAATTAGACAATTTAAGATTCATCCCTATAATTTAGTACAAATTTCTTAAAATAATGTGTTGAATAAAAGTCTAACTTTGTATTGAATAGATTTAAATAATAACCTGGAGGACTTCACATAGTAGCGTAAGTATGAAAAAAAATTAACCTATCGTATAAACGAAACTACGTTTTAAATCAGTTTTTTTTAATCTGACTACACAAGGTGGTTGGGTGATAAATTAAAAAACTTATCTTTTTAAAATTGCCGCCACCAACCATAGACATCGCTTCACTAGAGCGGTGTTGTCACTGCAAAAATTACGTTAAGACAAGGATGCACAGACTCAAAATAGTGGAACAAAATAAAGATACAGATAATATCAGATTATTATTTATATCGATTTTGGAAGGTAAGAACCATACATCAGTACTGAAGAAGTACCTTATCATGGCTGTTACAATGTTTGACACTATTTAAAAACCTTATGAGATATAAGATTATTAAATTTTTTTTCGAGGGTAATTGAATTCATAATAAATGTTAAATACACTGAAAAAACTTTTTAGCCATCAATAAACACTATTTATACATGGTTCATTAGCAATAAATATATAGTACTCATTATCAGCATTGATTATATAAAAGTAAGTACATTTATAATAATGTAATTTTGCACATGACTTTAGTCACAATAAAAAACCTTGATCTGGTGGATGTATCTTTTTGGACCTTTAAGATATCTGCCGACATTCGTCGACCAGGGTACGAGTATACATGAGAAAAAAAATCCTGTGTACGAGTCAGATAATGAATTTGGTTAAGTTAAACAAGTCAAACTCCGATCAACTCGATTACATTTTACTACTAAATTGGCGACTGGTAACTACAACAAAACTATCTATACCTATCTAAATATTTGTCTATACATTATGATGATATGCAAAATAAAGCATGAAACTTACAAATCATTACTTAATCAGTAGATAAAAACATCTTAGGATGTCTTAAATTTTAGATACAATGTGACTATGGTAATTATGGTCTCATAAATAATTCTGAAATCACCAAGGTAATATGAACTTGATCTATAATCATTGAGTAAGCTAAGCCTTATTTAGCCGTTCGGGTTCTTCTGGTGCACACAACTTATTTAAGTAGGTAGCTCTGAAGAAGAACAATAAAACTCGTACTGTAATTTAACAATTTGAAAGATTTTAACCGAATTTGGCACACAGCCTTTTTGTTGAGCTTTCTCAATAACCTGCTACTGCAGTTTTTTTTTACAAAACTGATATCACAGTTGTTGAGTGGAAACAGACCAGTTCTTAGGCTCGCCGTGAACATATTGGTTAGAAATACCATTGTGTAGAGTGATAATTCTACACTTTAGGCAGTCCCAAAGTGAATTTGAACAACAATCGGATGTATGTCATTTAAACCTTAAATAAAATGTTGCAGAATATATAGTCCGCCTTCAAATAAACGATATTAGGGTGTCTAGAACCGATAACTTTGAGGTGTTTGCTCTAGCTGATTTCAAGGCTACGGCAGTTTAAGGAAACTGAGTGTCCTTGCAAAAAGGTTTAGATCTTTACAGCAGGGCAGTTTCTTTATATTACAAAGAACAGGTCCGATCGTGTGTGGAAAATAGCTAACATGTAAGGTATAAGTTTGACAAAAGTCGTCGCACTGCTTGGACTCTGCGGAGAGGCGTGAAAAGAGATTATTGGTGACCACGATTTGATTAAAATACATCTAGACAATCTTGGGCAAATGGCGAAAATAGTCAACTCCTACACATAGGTACTACGTAGAATGTGTAGGAGCATATTTTACAGATCATATTTTACAGGCCTCCCAATAATTGCATTTAATGTCTTCATTGTCAACCCCTTAACAAGCAGATACAAGGCCCACTCTCTAATCTTTGTAAATCTTACTCGCACTCACACACACACTCGCTACAAGTGATACACCTCTTCATTCCTTATGATGAAAAGATTGGTACTTTGCCTAAATCTGTTACTTGCCCCTTTAAATTTACATATGTTCAAATCAATTCTTAGTAAGCTAACAAATAAAAAATTAACACTAAAAATACTTTTATAAACAATTTTAATAATCCTTAGAGTATATCTTGGATTTAGATATTAATATAATTATACCAAAAATATAAGTGCTGTATATTAAAATATTTATCATGTCTTATTACTTTTATTGTAATATATATTTTACTAAATTAACGGGGTTCATCTAAGTTACAAAGTTAAAAATATATGTCTGTAATTACATTCACGTAATATTTTTTATATTATTACTTAGTCTATGTCTAATTGACGGAAAGAACCCGCTAAGCCGAAGAGTTCGTCATGATTTTTAGGCTTTCCGGGTCTACGACTTTCGTCACTTTTGTATTTGTCTTGTTCCAAAAACCAATCTTTACATTCTTCAGTTTTCTTAATCCAAGCATCTGAAATAAATTGTTCTGTTATCATTTAATTCGTAGAACACAAAATTTTTGTATATGCATTAACTACGCTTTGTCAGAAAAACTTTTTACTTCTTTTTTTATAAAAAAAAATCCTGCTTATTAAAAAAAACGATTAAGTTTAAATTTAAATTATCACCAAAAGAACTTCATAAATAAAAAAAGTAACTGGCTTACGATGAATATCATTCATTGATCCAACTTTCCCTCCATAATCTGTTGGCATTATCTCCTGGGGCACATGCTTGTAGAGGTCATTTACATCAGCATGAACAAATATCTAAAAAAATATTCACATTATGAACTATATGCAATAATGATTAAATTGTCAATAATTGGCCATAATATTGTATATCAACGTCATTGTTGATTACATAGTTGTAAACAATTTACAATAAGTAGTTGTACTTTCTTTTTATACAAACTGTCCATGCTGGTCAAGGACCGGCAATATATTTACTTATAAACTTTTTATTGTTCTTGTTAGTAATGTTATTTCTTACCCTTTGTCTGATTTTTTCTTTTAGAAACGGCATCACGAAATTTACAATTTTTTCAACTATCGGCGAAATGTTTATTACGTGAACTTGCTTCAATTTTATTGGGTAGGCTTCCTGTCAACATGAAAAATAAAAATATTTGTATATTTTCATCTGAATATTCTTTTATTATTAAGTATATCACTTTCCTACAGTATTAGTATTAGTAGGTACTGTCTTTGATTAAACGAAGAGACCATTGCTCTAGAATCGAATTTAGGATAATTTGTCATAATTTTACTGCCTAATAAAACTACAGCACTAAATAAATTCATGAAATATTTTTTATTATATTAAACCATATTTCTCTGAGTCAACTTTTTACGAGCCTTTTTAATATTAAAAAAAACGGATAAAAGGAGAATCATTAATAATATTTTAAGCGTTCAAGTAAATTAGTTCAAGCAAAAGTTTAGATGTAATGCCTAAAAATTTTCTATTCATAAATACAATAGGGATTTGATCAAAGTTTTACAATAAATACGGTATTATTCTTAATGACACTCGCCTGTACACATATAAGAAACTTCTTGATCAACATTGGCGTAAATCTAGCAAAATGGTTGACAGTGGCCACTGCTGCGTCCAATATAAAAACATCCCCATCTACTTCTTCTGATTCCTCTTTAAGTCTTAGGTCAGCAGACATAAGTGCCACTTTAAAAGCGTTCGCCACATTTGGAGGTTGTACGTTTCTTTCCACACCTGTGTATTTTTATTTAGTGTCGGAAAAATTGCTATCAAGATATGAGATAGTATCGTTAAAGTGAAAAACTTTAGTTTTTTTCCCCACAATAACACTGAATTAACTTTTAACGGTTCTTTCTTTTACTTATCTATAGAGATAAACCGCAAACAAAACTAACCCGAGATATATGTTACATTTAAAGCAGATATAGAGAAGATTTTATTCAAATTATATATATAACAAATATATATGTACCTCTCATAAGAATTACTCGACGTTTTTCAGGAGTGAGTTTAGGTAGTGGCGAAATTTGCCTGTAAAAAATTTAAATAAATAAAGAAATGCTCTGAGTAGCACCATTCCATGTGAATTATTCTTGATTATATCTTTTTTGTTCCTTTTGTATATTACATAGTTTTATATTAATAGATTATATATTATCATAGTATATAATTACATTATTCTAATAATTTCCTGTAATTCAGGTCGCGAGATATCTCGGTGTGTAAAAAATTCGGGTAATGCGGACCGCATTGTAAAATACATGTCCAGTTTACGTTTGCACTTCTCCAATGAATACTTGCACCCATGAAGGAAAATCCTGATTCTGTGGTCATCTGCAATAGTAAACTGTTTGTTCTTAAATACGACATTTTCAAAATATTTCAAACAAACTAATAAAAATAAGTGATAAACTGATAACAATTTGAATTAAGCCCTGATATCAGACAAATAAAGCTAGAAGATATAACGAACTCATATTCATTTATTCCTACTATTTATTATTTTTACAATTTAAAATTTCTTATTAGTATTTTACGTTTCAAATAATATCGCCGGAACCTTCTCGCCAGATGTCAATTCATATACCGTATCAATTGTAAAGTATGTATTAAATATTTTTTTAAATAATTTACTTATATAGTAATTACACCTTAACATCGTGCGGTTATCTTAACTGACCTCAAATGACTAAGCTGTGCTCTGTTTACATCGATTTTAAAAATACCTCATATATAACAAGATGTGTGCTAACGAACTCACTTCACTGTTTCACATGTCAATAAATATAATAATTAATCATTGTTTTATACATAAAAAAATAATGACATAGTTTATTTACGACGGTAAGTTCAAATAACTTACTTTTCTCCGAATTTAACTTGAATGCAATAATATTAAACTTGAACAGTCATAAACTTTCACAAACATTCCAATTTGCAATAAAAACGATTCTTACAGCGACAAAATAATGTAACGAGGTTTAAAAGAATGTATTATATATATATTTACTGGGTTAAAATCTCAGGGGTTACAAAAGAAGTATTAACTACTCAACAATAACTCAGCAATTATCATAAATATATAATACTATCTACATATAATACATTTGCACTTACCAAAGTCATTGGGTAAATGTGGTTCCTTCTTAAGCCAATCCTTAATATAAGTGATGTCTTTTTCAACGGAATACGAGTCCATAATTAATCAGAGCTTTACAAATGATCTGGAACATATGACTTGATTGATTAATATTATGTAAATATACTTTCGTGGAATTAAAATTATGGAACCATAGTGACCTTGTATTAAATGAAAGAATTTTTATTGATGTCAATAAAAAATTATGGGTTTTTATGTATCATTGCTTAATAAAGGTTTCAAAAATAAAATGTAAGTACATTTCCCTAAGTGTATTATCCAACAGGTTTTTTGCAATCATCGTAAAAAGAGGTGATGTCTTCTTTAAACTTTATATTACCCAAGTATGTTTTAAATTTAATAAAAAACATTATCATTCTTAGTAAATAATATATTAAAAGGTTTTCCTCAAAAATAATTCAACTCAAATAGTTTCACGTAGCTTTTGTATGGTTTCCATATTTTCTTAGTATATCATTTTTAAAAATCGAGATTATACATATTTACATAATTAAAAGTTGACACTAATTTATTACGGCTCTTGAAAAAGGCAGTTGTTATTTAAAATTGCAAGTTGTTTAATATATTTAATTCATACACAAAAAATATATAATTACACAGAATCAAAATACAAATGTTGTTGCCATTTGAAACTTTTTTTTAATGCGACCGCCATTCCATATCTAATATTTAATTATCAATTAACGATTAACCTTAAATGTAATTATTATATTATTCTAAAAGCTTCTAAAGCGTTATGAAATTTAAAACTTTACTTACCTAATACTTTTTTGAATTAAACTTCACTGTCTGCGTGTTCCTCCTCTAAAAGCTATATTCGTTCTGACAAACAAGTTTTTTTCCTTACTTTTAAAACAATCAAGCAGAGCTTGTGCACTTTCATTAATCTTAAATGCATATCCTCTTGTGTAACGTTTGTGTAACTTTTTAAATATCTTATGCTGGCTAAATCGCTTTATTTTGACTCAATAAAAGAATTTCCTAGTGCAGAATTGAATTCTGAATAATCAGGATAAACCATCGTTTTTAATAAATTGCGAATAGAACCAAAAGTGCAATTAATTAGCCAAAAGTGCAATTAATTGAATAATATTGATAATTAATTGATAACATGTCATTTATTACATATTTTGCCTTTAAAAGACACTCATATTTTCAGATTACTACGAGTATTTTACGTCACGTCACGTCACGACATCTCGTCTGCCCGTGATCGCGGTTGCTGCAAAGTTATCGAAAAGTCGGGTGTAGTTTTTAAACATAACAAAATACGCGTAGTAATCCGAAAATATTAGTTTCATTTACATGAAGACTCGCGAAAGTATTAGATCTCATTATATTTTACCTTCCTTAACCGGAACTAAATTCGTTTATTTGTAAGTAGAGGATGAGAAGACTTCTATTAGCATAATTAAAATTTAAAGAGTCAAGCATAACAGTTCTTTAAGATACAAAGCAGATAAAACCAGGATGAGGTTTCAATCAAGGACCTGTTCTGTTGGGTATGATTGGCAAATGATTATGATTGGCAATATATTCATTATAAAATGTTGAACAAGTGCCATGAATTTTCCTCATTATTGTACTACAAAAGCATTGCATACTGCATTTTAATATGTATATCCACAGTAAAGGACAATAAGAGAAAGGATTTTTACCATCAAAAAATATCTTTGGTCCATAAGAATTGCATTATAAATTGAAAATCTAAGGCAAATGATAGATACAATAAATTAAGACTTAGGCCTCGGCCTCGAATTTTGCGGGCAGCGGAGCGGCGGCGGCGGCGGCACGGAAACGCATACTATTCTCCAAACTAGCGGGCAGCGGGCACCGCTGTATTCGAGGGTCGGTCCATTTGATTATACGCGTAAGATCCTGCCGCTCCCGCTGCCGTTCCGCTGCCCGCAAAATTCGAGGCCGAGGCCTTAAACATAACACTAGCCTTTTAAACGGAACTGATAAATTTTTTTCTACACTAAGTAGTTACATATTCGATTCTGATTTATCTATACTTTTTTAAAGTTAGTTTTAGCATTTTATTAAACAATTTCTTCTTTATTCAATACAAATTATAAGCATCCCTTACGAAATCGAGAGAGTAAACAACAAAATTAATTGCCATATTGCCGTAATATAATGGACCTTCATCTTCCGTTGTTCTTGAATTTAAAAGGGAACCAAAAAGGTTGCTAATGTCAATATTTGATTATTATTTATCAGCACATTGTTTTATTGAAAGTTGTATTTTTATTTAAAGACTATTGATTACTTCAAAATAATTTCAAGAAATAGCCACCCAAATACCAAAACAGCTATGTCTGGCATTGTAAGATTTTTGGATTTATATAACAAGTTATACATATACAATTTTCAGTGTTTTAGGTGTTCTTAAATGAGATGGAGTGAATCAATGTTTAATCGAAAACTATCCGGTAATTATCAACGAAATTGTTATTATTCTGTTATACGACCAAGAAAGTGAGAACTTTGCCAGACGAACATTGGAAGAGTATAAAGAATTTGTGTGAAAAATATTTTTCATCCAGCATACTCTCTCGATATTACTCCCTTGGATTTCCTTTTATTGTGATCGATACAATATGATCTCAATATATCCAAAATAAAATGTATATGATGTTCATAACTCCATTTTGAGATATTTGACTCGAAAATGAATGGATTTTATGCACTGAAAATTAGCTATATAGATGCAAAAATGCCTTGAAAGTGATAATATTAATTAAAATATAAACTTTGTACAAAATTATACGTTTCGATTTAATTAAAAAGAGAAAATGTTACGTACATACTTCCATGTACACTTAAATAATGCAACACATAAAAACCACTGTTCTCAGTTATTAAGGTTGGTAATAAAAATAGCATAATATTATTTTTAGGCTCAAAAGTCTCATCATCCAGAGCCGTAAAAATATTGACAAAAAAAATTTTTGTTACTGGTCCATTTAACTGAATTTGAAAATTTCACTTATTTGTCTAAACCACAGATAAAGCTAACAACGTACTGAAAAATCTAACCTATATCATTGACATCTGTCAAAATTTTGTATTACTGCTGATTACGAATATTATTCAAGCAGTAATGTATTGTTTTTAAATATTACTGTAAAAACAGATAAGAAGAAAAAATAAAATGGCATTCGTTAGACGTTTTATTACAGTGATACCAAAATTGGCTAAACATGTTCCTATTACCGTACAGAGTATGTTGAAAATAACCTCTTAAATATTGATTTTAATCAAATGAATTCTTCTAAATATTTATTTGTGTTAAAGGCAGAAACATCAAACGTTGGGTAGCTCCCACACTGATGGAGTTAAAGCGTCGGGAAGACAAACAAGGTGGCAAAGTAACTAACCCAAGGAACACATTTTTGGAATGGAATCTAGAAGCGGAGTTATATGCATTTGGGAAGCGACTGAATGAAGAATTCGATTCGGATCTTTTGCTTCAAGCATTTACCGACCGTTCGTACGTAATTAAAGAAGAAATGAAACAAAAAGAATTGGAAATTGACCTCAAAATGAAAGACAATAGGGAGTTGGCTGAAGAAGGTAATGTTCCATCTTCAAACTTTTCTTAATACATAGTCGACACTGGTTAATTTTTTAAGTTATAAAATATATATTGTATATACTTATGATAGAAGTGACATCTTTTTAGAGTATTAAAATTAGTGTTAGAAATTATAAAAGTAAATTTTATTTCAAGACTCACCTAGCTTTTAAAAACTTTTACAAAATATAACACCTACATATATGAATATGCTTGTATTTCAGGACGGAAGTTTATGCAGGAATATATTCAATTGTATTTGGAGACAGTATTGCACAAACTACCAGCAGAGGGAATTATGTGTATAAGAAATCACTTGATTAGTGAAAAAGTACTTTCAAATGTATCATTTCATTTGGGAACAAAGGATATAATCTTAGCAGCAGTAAGTTTGATATGTTAATAAAACTAACCTTAAAGAAATAGTAAAATTTTTATATTAATATCCTAATTTTATTTCTCCCTTTCAGTATTTTGTTCCTTGATTATTCATGAAGTTTTATGTAATTTCAGGAATATCCAGTCGATAATAGTATTTTGGCACAAACATTTGAGGCTCTTGTTGGAGCTCTGCTGCAATCTTGTGGAGAGGAAAGAGCAGCACATTTTGTCAGAGATTTCGTCATCACACAACTTCAAGGTCAGAAATAAAGTTTTTTGACAATCATACACTTGAGATATTCAAATAATTTTTTTATTTATAATATGTTAATTGTATAGAAATCAAATGTCAGAGTAAATATGTAGGATCTCATTTATACAGTCAACTAAAATGTTGTTTTTGAACAGTTCTATTATACTCTTTATGAAGTAAAAATTAGATATCCTATTTTATTTTAGGTCAAGATGTAAATGAATTCTGGGAAATTGAAGATCCCTGGACCATGCTCACCGAGATGATATCAAAAACTGGCAGTGAATTAGAACCTAGATTGATTGGAGAGGTTGCTAAGAATACCCTACTTGCATGCTACAGAGTTGGTCTTTATTTGGACAAGAAAATGATGTCATCTGGTAAGTTCTTTAAAATCAATCTATTTTTTTTATATATACATATACTTATAAGGTGTAAACAGGAATGAATCTCTCAATTATGTTTTATTAATATAAAAAAATATATAAATTGTGTTGAAATTTTACTAGCATGTGTTAAGTAATCATAGACTGAAAATGCCTTACATCATTTTGGAAAAAGGCTGATTCTCTTACTCTAACAAATTAATAGCAACCCAAAGTAGTTGAAATTCAATTCAAGGAATATTATGTAAGTGCAGAAACCTGCATTAAATCAGAGGATCTAAAATGCCACAAAGATTCATACTTAGACATCACTTTTAAGACCTCTTTTTGTAATGGGATTAAAAGATTTTATTTTTCACAAAATATTGAATCTTAAAATCTTAAAATTAAAAATGATTTTGACAATGTGTTTTGATAAATTTTCTAGGTTTTGGTGAAACAGTTGCTATTGCAAAGGAAATGGCGGCCAGAGAAGCACTCAAAAAGATATTTGGAACAGAAGAAACAATGCATCCCATAAATTTTAAGCTTAATGGCATACCAAAATCAAGGTCTCAAAGTAAAATATCAGCAAGTTAATTTTTTTCTGAATTGTAGTTTAGAATAAGAAATAAATATGTAATAAATTAATAATTGCTCTTTATTTTTAACACATACATCTATAAAATACATTTATACTACAATATATTTTTCTATTTCATAACAATAACTGATTAAATCAAGTGTACAAGTCTTATAATATTAGGCACATGCAATCACAGTTTTTTATAAATTAATTGTTTTTCTTATTGTCTGGTAGCAGAGTCCATAATGAGATTTCCATGCTTATCTTTAATCCTGACTCGGCCTGATGAATATCTTGTCTCAGATGTACCATCATTATAGACCAATTTAACTGTACCATCAGGAAATTCTCGTCTCTAAAACAAATCATTAATTCATTTAACAACTAAGAATACACTATTTTTAAAAAAATATGAAAACTTTGATTCGGTTATGAAATTCAAGTAAGTGAAATTTAATAAAGCTTCTTAGTTTGTTAGTTTATTTGTTGAAAAAAGAGTAAGGTTAACATATTTCAAACTCAATCGCATTTTCTATTTACAAAGAGTTCATTTTATTTTAAATCTCGACTTAAGAAACATCTATCATCATTGTCTTCATATATTAGATTATTTTGCAGTGAATTAATATGTCTGTATGAGAATATTTATGTCTAAATTTTCTATTTTAATATATTTGTTGATATACTTATTTCTGCACATGTTAATTTCTTTATCAAAGATCTCTATTAGGAGATAAGTTATGCTTTGAGAATCACGTTTCTTTCAAAATTTTGTATATACAATTTTTTTGTACATAAATTAATAAATATAATTACTGTTCAAACCTTGTGTTCTTTTGCATGGACTTCTATCTGTCCATTAGCAAAAACGATTCTCTTTTCCCCATTAGCAGAGACAGTTAGCGCGGCGCCGTCTGGGAAACGCCACTCCTCTCGTATATGTTCGTTCTTAGGATCGAAGTAACGTATACTACCATTTGGGAGTCTGATCTCTGAAGAACCGTCTCTGTAACGCTTCTCAACTTGACCACTGGAATTTAAGAGTTTTATTATGGTAAATTATATACAATTTCGATTTATTAGTACAATATTTACCAATATAATAAGATTACAACTTACTCAGGGAATTCCAAAATTTCTAACCCATCAGGATGTGTAGTATGGAATGTTTTAGTTTCAGCATAATAATACTTTATCCTACCCTCATTATAGAAATTTTCTTTCACATCTCCATTGTAATACACAAACTTACTATATTGTCCATCTGCTGATATTGTTTTAATGTTGCCATTGGGAAATCTTATTTCTTTAGTACCATCTGGCTTTCTTATTTCCGTTGGATTTAGATTAGTTTTTGTTAAACTGCTTTTACTCACAGTCGGTTCTGGACTAGGTATCATATTCGAATTTAGATATGTTTCTTTGTTTATGACTGTGCCACATTTTTGGCTAGATGAAGACTTATTACTTAATATTGACACTGGTGACTTGGATCTTCGACATTCTAGTTGCTCATAATTTTCCTGGTAAATACTACTAGGTGATTTGCTACTATTTGAATTTCTACTACTCAATGTATTTCTGTGGTTAACATTTGGAGCAGACTTTGACGAATCATAGTTCGTTCGATTAGGGGAAATGGAACTTTTAGATAAACTCCGAGCTGAAGTTCCTTTTCTAAGGAAAAAATCATTATTATCAGGCTGGTCAAAGTTTTCATGACTTTTAGATAATGGTGATATTGATTTAAATCTTGTATTATATATTTTCTCTAAATTATTACTAATTTCGCTATCAGAAGTTTTATTTTCATAATTATCGTAATTGTTTTCGTCATCACTATTTGACATATCGTTGTTTGAAGAGTTTGAATATATTTGGACGTGTTCATTATGAAATGTTCTATTTTTCTCTTTTTCACTCAAGGAATCTTTCTGGCTAAAATATTTAGCATACCTTGAAGTTACTTTGAGGTTCGGAACACTTTTTGCACGGGGTCTAATGGTACCTTTATTTGCGGGAAGGATTTTTCTTGTTCTGCTTTGTCTTTCAATTTCATACGCTTTATATTTCATATCAGAATCATGAACAATATCAGAATGTGTATCTTTTGAGGTCATGTTATTTAGTTTCTTGTTTATTTCTTCCAAATACTTGATATTTGTAAGCCTTCTGGATATATCATTACTGTGCTGAATTCGTCGATTCTCTTTTTTTAATTTTTCGACCTCGTCTTCTAAATTCTTTTTTTCTTTTTCCATTATCTTTAATTGATTTCGAAGCCTAGCAATAATAGAAGTTGATTTTGCATCTTTTGATCTTATTTCTTCCTTCAAGTCACCAATTTCTTTCTTCAAATTAATAACCTCGTCTTTTTCTTTTTTATTTAATCTACCCCTCATATCTTTTACATATCTTTCGTACATTTGTTTTTGTTTACTTAATTTTTCTTTCTCTTCTGCTAAATAATATTCAGATAAGATTTTCTCCTCATTAAATTTCTGTTCAATTGCAGTTTTCTCTTCATAAAACTTTTGACGTTCAAGTTCTATATCTTCTCTCAATTTATTAAGATTAGCATTCTCTTTCCTGAATGTTTCTATTTCATCCTCAAGCTCACGAAGTCTATCTTTCAATAATTCACTTGTAGCAATTAACTTTGCATTCATCTCAACCATATTATTATTTAAAACTTCATTGTCAGCTGTCTTATTGACTTCTTTTTGATTTTCTTTTTCTTTATCTATTATTAAATCTTCCTTTTTTCTAATACAACCTTCTTCGTTTTTATTTGTTTGAAAACTTATATGACTGGGGGTCTTACAAGAGCAACATTCTGATACAGATGAACAATTATCATTACAGTCTGAACATTCACTGTAACAACTCTCAACATCAGTACACGTCATTTCATTTCTATTGACCTTAATTTCTGGCAAAAGATGCATTAAATTTGGATTTTTAGACAAGCATTTCTGCATTACAATTGGTGTACTCTCACCAGAACATTCTAAGCTGTTCTGCCTCAGAAACCTATTTAAAAATGAATTGTTTATGTTAAAACTTTCATTGGATACTTTATTTTCCAACAACTCAAACATATTTTGTTCAGCGGTTTCCCTTTCTTGTTGTAACTTGGAATTATCATCACAACTTATGTCCGATGCAATGCTCTTTACGGGTGAAACAAAATTTTTATAATAACTACTCTGTTTAAGTTGCCTTAATAAATCATCTTGTTCTTTTGTTAACACAGATGCCCATGTTTTTTCTTTATTATGAATGGCAGATTGTTTTCCTTTAGTAAAACCATTATCAGAAGGATTGTAACTTATTTGTGATGATGATTTACTATTAATCTCAGATGTTGCTGGATTTTCTGATCTAACTAATTGTTTTGCTTCTTTAGTAACAGATTTTTGTATTTCAACATTATTTTTTCCATTAATAGGTTTCTTGAATGTTGGCAAATTAGTTTGGCTTAAGGGTGAAATGTTCTTAGGTTTATCTACTACAATCTCTACTTGAACATTACTATTTTTCTTATTGATATCTTCAACAGTTTTAGTCTTATTTTCCACAGGTTTAACTTTTTTAACATTGCTGCTTAAATTTGTATTTTTTCTCCATGGTAACGATTTTGTGTTCTGTATAACTAGATTTTTCTTCTGAAGTCCAAAACGAGCCATACCTTCTCCTCTTTTAAGAAATGCTTTCTTTTGCAACACTGATGTTTTTGTTTTAGGAATTGCTTTTGTTTCACCTGTTTCATTATTTAATTTTTCTATAACCAATGTTTCAAAATCTTTTTTAGGAGACAGTATGGGTATTTCGTCTAAAGATATTTGTTTTTTATTAAATGTATTGATATTTGAAGTACAAGATTTTTCGTTTTCACTATGTTTTCTTGCAGAACTTCTAGAAGACACTGGTGTGTCAGGTGGTTCAGAAGCATTTGATAAATTTAAAGCAGCAACGCCTTCCACATTTATGTGAATATTATTCTTTTTAGATAAATTACTTAGGTTGCCGCCAGCAGGTTCGGATTCAGTATATCCTTCATTGGATGCTTCTGTAGACTGAAGTAAACTTCGAAATGTATTATAACTCGTACTATTACTAAAGTGGCTAACTATTTCTGTTATACTTGACGTTATTTCAGGAGATTCGTGATATTCCAACCGCTGTTTCTGTAGTTTCCCGCGTTGTAGTAGCTGTAATTGTCTAAGTACTTGTAATCTTTCTAGTATTTGGGATGGAGACAATGTTACATCACTATCTGAGTAAGATTGGTCCATGACTGGACTTTAAAATGTTATAATAATTACAAATACAATCTCCAGTGTCTTTGTTTGCACCTACATTCAAATTCAAACGATGTATCCACAAATCTGACAACTTTAAAGTTAAAACCGACAAATGCTTGTCAAACTTACTGTCGTATGCCAAAAGTTTGCCTACTAAAAAATTTAATACAACAATATTGTCACTTTAGCAATTTTTTTTGTAACGAAAACACTGCTTTTACATAAAACCAAGAATTCTAAGTAATTTTAAGATTTGTAATTTTACTTTTTATTATATAACATGGTAAAAACCATACTATGAATTCATGTAATAGAGTATAGAAAATTGTCTGTGCCACAAAATTAATCAATTAATCAATAAACATGGTGTCGTAATAATTTAGTGTGACAACATTTCTAAATACTGTATAAATGTCAAAATTCTTGTCCATTTTGGTTCAAATAACTTCTGGTCGTCTACGAGGAAAAAATATAACCAAAATGTCTAAAAGAAATACCTTCCACAGAACACCTAAATTTAAACCTGAAGTGAAAATGGCTAGTAGAAGTCAGAAACAATCTTCCAGTATGAGTAGCAGGAAGGAGAAAGTTGAAGTTCTTCCTGAACCCATCAAGTCAACAGCAGATAAAAAATTATACAAGTAAGTAATATTTTTAAATGAAATATTTATATATTTCCTTTTATATATTTTTTTTATGTCCAACTTCATTTAATTGGACCCTTAAAAAATTAATTTGCAATACTTACATATTGTTTTGTTGCTTTTTTTACAAACACCAAAAATTATAATAATATTAAAATGCATGTTAAAAGTTTTTCATTATTTTGCTATTTTTGGTAAATTCACTTTTTTTTGTATAAACTTTCAATTTCTTTTCTAGGACGATAAGGCTAGAGAATGGATTGACAGCCCTGCTCATATCAGATCCCAGCCGACAGTTTGTTGCCGAGGAACTGAGTTCTAGTGAAGAAGAATCTAGTGGTACCGATGAGACCTCGGGACTCGAGAGTGATAGTGGCAAGTCTGGTGGAAGTGACCAACATGGAACTAAGAAGAGAGGTGACGTGGATGAAGAGAAACTAGTAAGTTGATGGTTTATATATCTTTTATCATTTACTTCATAATAATAAATATCTCAAGAGAAATGATATATCATTGATATATTTACTGAAGTAAATACTAATATAAGTATCTCGAGAGAGGTGCAATGATATATACAAGACAATATCCGTCAAAACGCAACTTTGAATTTGAATTGTAATTATATTGAATTTACAGCAGTTAGTGACAGTATAACATTATTTCGTGATCGCTGACTGTGAAGTCAGTTTCCGATGTTATTATGTTTCATGGCCGATATTAGTATGCTGAAATGCTTTGAATTCTTATACCCTTGAATTTTTTTATAGGCATACAAAGCAAGGAAAAATTTAAGAATTCCTTAAATTGTTTTGTTTATCTATGGCTTCATTCACACTGGCATGGTGGAATTTTTTCCCAATGTTTTAAATTGTCTTAAATGTAACTTAAAATTCAACAACGTTTCAAATAAATGTATCAAAAAATATTTTAAAGTAAAAGTACAGTTCATATGTACAAACCAAAAATATTTTCAATAACTTCCTAAAATAATTTCAAGAAAAAAAAAATTAAGATCGAAATTTATTCAAGCGAATCCTATTTGCTAATATTTCTGTTAAGAATGTTTTAATAGAGACCAAATATTTTACATAACACCGCAGCTATATTTATTAACGATGCAACAATAAGTGTTACACAAGTTACTCTGAAAGGGAAATAGTTCATGACAGTGGAGGCAATGCATAATTTTTCATGTAACACCCATTACTTGCATAATGGACTTTTTTTTTATTACTACTCAATGAGTTTTCAATAGCTATTGAAATAGAAATCAGTAACTTTTGTGATAAAACTATTCAATTTCTTATTTTCCTTTGTTTCTCGTTGACTAAATTACGATAAATCGACCGAGCTTTCGATTCTTCCAAAATATTTCTTAAAAAGCTTCGTAATGTTCTCAACTTTTAAATAAGCGAAATAAGTCTTTTAATAACTAAACTAAGAGCTCTTATGACTCAAATCAATTTAAATATATCGGTTTTAAGTTGAATTAAAAATAATTTTTAGTGTTCGACTTTTTTCTATTTCAAACTTTAATTATCCAAAATACAGTCTTTAAATAAATGGTAAAAAGTATGAAACAAAACAAAAGTATAACAAAATGCATCCATCTTTAAATCAATAACGCACAGATGCGCTCACTAAGTCAATAACTCCTGTGATGCGCAGTAATAAAACAAAATGTCGGAAATACATTACGTAAGGCCAGGTGGAAAATCAATAAATTAATATCATAATTAAATGAACTACGCTGTTATGGATAACGACCAATTAAACTGAAAAGTTATTTTCGTAACACTGTAAAAATATTTTAACACCTAATTGAAATATGTATGTTTAATGAAAGATCATTTTCTAGTTATAAAAAAAGAAAAGCAACAATATCAAAATTTATTAAACATTAATGCATATATTGATTATTATTTCGACTCATAGCTTCATATGTGTAGTTAGTTACGTATCTTAGCTTAGATTTTGTATATATTAATTAATATACTTTTATTTGCTTTATAGTACTCGTATGTTATAGAATACTAGATAGTTAAAAACATAGGAATATCAACAGCAAACGGAATTCGTTTCTTTAAAGTTTTCTAATTTCTAATTATTTACTTATTCTTTAATTTAATGAAGCCTCAAGAGTAAGGTCTTGAAACTATTGAATATTTGTTTTTCATCTTATTACTGTGGAACATTCGTTCACAAACTATCGTACTGTATAATTTAAAAGGTTTAAATTTCATTGTACATATTTCAGTTTTAATTGAGTATACTTTATATTTAATATTTTATAGCTTTGTGTTGAGCAATAACACTTCTAGTGCATTACTTAATAGTTAAATATCTCGGTCTATTTTTGAAGGCATCGCTTTCGATCAATAAATCCGTTCTGGTAACACAATAACTTATACACCTTTTTAAAATAAAATATTTTTATGATTATTTTGGTAATAATAAGGCACAAGTAGAATTTTAATTTCGATTTATTTTACTTAGCAAGTTATTTTAAACCACATCTTAACTCTCGAAATTGTGTTTTAAATGTAATTTTTTCCTGCTACCAAATCTGACCAATAGAACTGTGAAATCTTTGCTTAAAAAAGTTTTTCCAACGTAATTATTTATACATTTTGAAATAATAAATTTAAGTGCCTAAAAATGACAAAAACTAAACATATCATGGAATTACAAAGTCGCGAAATAAAGCACGTAATTAAGAAGTAGAAATTACGTGCATTAGTACGAATTCCGTAAAGATTTTATGTTTTGAAACAGATCACGTAAAGATATCTAATATATTTAAAAAATCTCTAACTAATCAAATATTAGATAATTTTTTGTTACAAAATGTATCAAAGGCAGAAATTGCATTTAAATCTAAACCTGCAATGAAATTAAAAGTCTTTGTTTGTTAAAAATGTATATTACAAAAACTTTAACTGAACCTTTTTTCTGAATACCTACTGCACTGCATTATTCCATTGCATTATATCATTAACTAAATTCCAACATTTAGTTTCATCTAGTAAATCGTAAAGTTTATTGTTAGAAACGATAAACAATAACGCTTATAAATATGTATTATATATGTACTCAAAATCCCTATGATATATAGACGGAATAATTTACGTTGATTTTAACTGTATTCTTTTATAATTTATCTTTGGCATACTAAAATATCAAAATATCATGTCACATATTACTAAAGATAAAAGAATTTTTCCTACAATATACCATTAGATAGAAATTAATAAATCAACCTAATCATGTAATTAATTAGAAATGTAAGAAAAATTATTTAAATTAATATACATTTATTTAAGTTATTGCAATTTTAATCTTTATAAGATTTTTCTCTCAGCAAATAATATTTCCTCATAGATCTCGTTTTAATTAATTAATGTCGACCTTAAAGCATATATTATTATAAGTAATTTTCTATTGCTACATTATATTGTCGTATCTCGTTAAAACTCATACCTTCGACAGGGTTATCGGCACAGTCGCAATATACTTAGACTTTTGAAGAACAAGTTTGATCAAATATCTAGAAAGCGATGCAAGATATTTGTAAAACAACTTTCTCTAGACACGGTATGAGGTGCTAACACCATGCTTTTACTTTTAACATATATTTATATACATATAGTTTGATATATAACGGATTTTTTAAAGTATTTAGATTATGTAGATTATATATATCCATTACTTGTAGAATCTATTCATTATACTTTTGGAACTGATTGCAAAATGTTCTATATTTTTTGTACTCTCTATTTATTCTAAGCTTCATATTGATGTCACATACCCATAAACAGTAGTTTTGTAGTTCAATCACATTAATCCATAAATTTTAACATAATTTCCTAAATATACATACCTGTTAGTGAGATTAATCAACGAAATTAATTACTAATATACTCTTTTGAATTCATTTTAATGATCGAGAGAAAAGACGTGAATAAATTAATAAAATGAGAAATTTTGAAAATAAAACACATTCAAGCTATTTAACAATAAATATATGAGATTAAAATTTATAAAAATCAATGCTTTACCTGTTGCTTACTAGATTAATGTCATCCTTATACGGAGCCTTGAAACGACAACAGAATATTGATTTGTTGTGCTTAAATTAGAACGTTAAGTTTATGATATACTTTAAACACGGTTTAATACTGAGAAATACATAAATATAATACAATATATTCACAATTTTATAATGGAAAACTTCGTGGAATCCTTTATTAGGTTCTTATTAAAGAGCATGTATTATATATGCGTGTTTCATTAAGACGATTATCTTTGTATAAAAAGATGCACACCACAACCATTATTATATGGTTGATATAGAAATGTAAAATCGATTAGACCAATGTCACCTTTTAAATTGAATTGAGTATTTTGACGACGACTTTCGAGTTCTCTGTATTTATAACTGTACTTTTTATTCCAGCATTTAACAAAAACAAAGTAACTCTTGTTAAAAAGTTAAAAGGACTATGGTCTCATTTTTTTTCATTATGTATAAATCAAAAATAAAGTCGAATATTCATATACAACTATGTGAGGAATTGGTTGGATATAATGATGTTTTGAGATATACCTAAACCATATTGAGATGATATCATTCAAGTTTACAAAGAAAAGATAAAACATATAGTCCCATTAAAAATAAAAAAGTCGCAAAAAACCATCCCTTAATCACGATAGTGGAACTCGGACTAAAAATAGTTGTTTTATCCTATGATACTAACGATATATATTGTATCAACAGGCGGCCTGCGCGTTATGTGTGGGTGTAGGAAGCTACAGCGACCCCCACGACATCCAAGGGTTGGCCCACTTCGTTGAGCACATGGTGTTTATGGGAAGCGAGAAGTATCCAAAGGAGAATGAATTTGACGCTTTCATTAAGGTACTTTTAACTATAATAAAATTCTCACAACGTAATAAACGCCAGCGAAGCCTATTTTTTCATTAACCTATCATTATTCGTTTCGAAAATTAATAGAAAAAAGGAGGTTCTGACAACGCATCAACGGACTGCGAATTGACGACATTCTACTTTGAGATTCAAGAGAAACATCTTCCGCACGCCATGGACATGTTCAGCCAGTTCTTCGTCAGCCCGCTCATGATGAAGGAGGCCATGCAAAGGGAACGCGAGGCCATCGAATCTGGTAAAGACATCTCTTTAAAATGCACTGCTTTTTTGCACCTCAATGTTCCACTATATCGCAATTTCCTATCAAGAATTATTTCCTTTACCATTATGTATTTGCTTTTTTTACAAAATGCCGGTAATAAGAAATTGCCTTTCTTATTAATAGACCATTCCATCAGAAATACTATGTTACCTATTGATACTACTACTTCTTCTACCTGTCAATTTTCCCAGATTAAGCCAGGGTCAGCCTTACATGTTGTGAATAGTTTTGGCTAATTGTTTTTACGACCGGCCGCCTGCCTGACATCAACCCTCTTTGGGAATGCATTAATCAATGATGTCTAAATACTCACAAAATCACATTGGTATTTGCCAGGATCGAACCCGCGGCCTCATGCATGTGAGGCGAGCCTTTTAACCACTAGGCCACCACTGACTTACTACTACTACTATGTTACCTAATCTATGTGTATTGTTACAGAATTCGCTATCGCTTCTCCGTCCGATTCAAATCGTAAGGACCAGTTGTTATCAAGTCTGTTCCCGGAGAACCACCCAGCTCGCACCTTCACGTGGGGAAACTTGAAGAGTCTCAAGGAGGATATAGACGATGATAACAAACTTCACACGGCAGCTCACGAGTTCAGGAAGAGGCATTACAGCGCTCATAGGATGACTGTAGCCGTTCAGGTGAGTGTGTTAGTGTGTGCGTTTATGAACTTGTGTGTGTGTATGTGTGTGTGAAGGTGTCTACATGCATGCATCCGTGCGTGTGTGTGTATATGTTTGTATCTGTCCCAATGTATAAGTAATCACTTTCGCCTTCATCTTAGTTTTCTTGACTAAACCACGCAAACAGCCTCATAACATAATTAATATCAAAATGACGCTACAAAAAATGTTGACATTAAAACATTACCTTTATATATCGCGGTTCAATTTTATAAAACATATGTATAATAATATTCAAAAATTAAATTTCAGATAGTAAATAAATAATTCTATAGTATTTTATTTCTAACCTCAATATATAAAAAAAAACAGTCAATATACAAACTTGTGTATAAATATTTCAAAAATAAATTATATTGAGAAAGTAAACATGACCTCCTTTTTCGATGTTGGTTAAATAAAACATGTTCTTCAGGCTCGCATGGACCTAGCAGCACTGGAACAGTACGTGGTGAACACATTCGGTCAGATACCAACAAACAAACTGCCGCCAGAGGACTTCACCGATTTCAAGTTCAGTCCGAGGACAATCACACCGGAGTTCACCAGCATTTATTATGTGAAGCCGGTCAGCGATACCACTGAGGTAAAACCCTGAGCCTATATATATATATATATATATATATATATAGAAGCTATGAATATATATAACGTTTTATCCTTGAATATTTAGTTCCTACCTCCATCAAAATGGCTATTCAAATTTAAACTTCTTAACTAAAGAAAATACCTAAAATGTGTGTATGTAAATTTTCAACCCGCTGCTTCAAAGGGATGCAGTAGGGAAGACTGTTAAAATAAAGTACTTCATAGTACTTCATTCATTTTTAGGTTTAAAGTTAAAATTGAATCTTAAAACTGTGGACCTTTGCAAAGAATAACATGTCAAAAAATATATCATTGCAATTGTTTATTTTATAGTGGAAACGAATGTTTGGTTTATCTCATGCTACATTATAATATAATACAAATTCTAAATAAAGATCTCCAGAAGCCTACCATTTAAACGCCATGATTCTTTAATTTTAACACCTTGACACTTAAATACATTAAAACATAATTTTTATCTTTAAGAGCTAGTATACATTTATTCTGAATTTATCTCTACTACTTTAAGTTATGGTTTGATTTACTTTGCAGGTCCATTTGACTTGGTGTATGCGGTCTCTATTGTCCGAATACCAGTCAAAGCCTCACCAGTATATATCATACCTACTGGGACACGAGGGCAAGGGCAGTCTGCTCTCTTATTTAAGGAAAAAGTAAGGATTAAATGTCGTATGTATTTTTTTATTTACATTTTTCATATACATATACATTTAATTTTTTTTTTTATAATCAATAAAGATTATTCCCGTATATAGGAGACATTATTGTAAAATTTCTTTATAATCTATGAAGTAATTATGAGCATATTATTTTTTATAGATAATATAATGTATGATGTTAATATAATCTGTTGTTTCAGGGTGTGGGCATTGGGTATATATACTGGCAACTCTGAGAGCGGTATAGACTATACATCCATGTACAGTTTGTTCTCAACGCAAGTTGTGCTGACAGAAGATGGATTAGCAAATATTGACAAAGTAAGTGAAACCCCATATAAATATATAATTCTCGATTCCACCCTTATGTGTATAAATTTGGGCATGGGCATCCACCCAATATTTATTTGAGATGTTAGAGCTATATCGTAGAAGATACAGAGTCTAATTTTTAATACTAAATTTAGCTACTAGAACGAGTAATACTTGATTTAATAGAATATTAGAAAAAACGCAAGCAGTCTCGCAAAACAGTTATTAACATAAGAAGCACTTTTGTACTATTAATAATTGGTTTTCAGGTACTGGAAGCGATATTTTCATATATCAATATGCTTAAAAAGCTCGGACCATCTGAGAGGATCTATGACGAAATAAAGGTATCCTCTTGTTCAAATAAAAATAAATATTTAATATGGGACAGCATAATATCAGAATGTATGTGGATATAAAACCTTTTTAGACAATAGAAGAGACCAGTTTCCGTTTCGACGAGGAATCTCAGCCTTCGGACTATGTGGAGACATTATCTGAGAATATGCACTTCTTCCCACCGGAACATTACATAACAGGAGATCGCCTGTACTACAAATATGACCCTAAGGTAAAATTCTACATCACATACAAATACACCCTTTAATTTTTTACTTTTTCCCTTTAAAAGATATTACATATTAAGAATTTTAATTTTCAGGGCATTACAAGCTTACTCGATCTCATGAGAGCAGACACTGTCAATATAATGATACTTAGCAACAAACATCCAAAGCCGATCAAATATGATAGTAAAGAGAAATGGTTTGGCACGGAGTACAAGAGGGAGGGTAAGTTAAGAAATAAATTATATATATATATACGAGTTATGTTATATGTCTTACTTATCTTTTAATGAATCCTAAAGAGAAATATTTAAATTGTGTTAATATAATAGTTGTGGTAGGCAACCGGTAGCGACATCTATAGCTTTCATGTGACTTCGTACACAAGAAAATCCTTATACTAGGATGCTGTGGGAATCATACGAATATTCAGGATTACTATCTTATTCTAAAGTATAAACTACATTATCGTAAAGTTTTTTCGATCTCCATTTAGTAATTTTTCACAACCATCCTCATAGACTTTCCTATTTATAATATTAATAGTATCATAATTCTTTACCAGCTATAAACCCAGCCTGGTTGAAGAAATGGTTGTCAGTATCGCCCTACAGCCAGTTCCACCTGCCAGAGAAGAACGTGTACATCACTACTGACTTTGAACTGATACAACCAGCTAAACCATATTTAGAAGAAGCGGAACGGTTGGGTATAGATCTCATCAATAATTCAGCGAAAGATATACACAGGAAGGTCGCTGCGAACGAAATAACAAGCAAGGTCCTTAAACACGGCGAACTTATGGCCACCGTGAATAGATTCAGGTGATTAAATATAGTCTTCATAATATATTATTACAATATACATCGTCGAGGATAGTGCAAATCCGTGTAGCTACCATTGGATAATTCAGCGTATCTATTAGAAGCAGATTATCATAATTCATAAGAAAGTTAAGGTAATTTTTTCACAATTAGGAATTATTTAGTGTTTAATTTGTAAATTGTCAAAAAAATTACCTTAAAATTCGTTAATTTAGAAAATATTTCAGCCTAAACTTCCTTCTGATAGTCTGCTTCTAAGGTAGATACGCGGAATTACGTAATGGTAGTTAGGCGGAATTCCACTATTCCCGAAGATATGCAGTTTAATTAATATACATATATTTTCACAGGCTCGACCAGCCAAATCTCCTTCGCAAGAATCGACATATGGAGCTGTGGTACAAACCCGACTTTAAATTCCGTTTCCCAACAGCGCTGCTGTACTTCTACTTTATAACACCGTTAAGTCTCAAATCTCCGAGAGAGTGAGTATTTATATCTACATTTTTAATGATTGCAAAGACTTTGTTTTTTTTTAGTTGGATAATAAATTTGGATTACTTAAAACTAATGCTCTTTACTTCTCTATGGTAGTATTAATAAACTAATAACTGATGAACTAATAGTATACGAAATAAACTACATCTATTTGCTCACATACTTTTGAGGATGAGAAAAATAAATGTAATTTCTTTATATGTATTACCGAATCATAAAATACAGTTAGTATTTTGTCGTTTATAATAATTCATACAAGGTTCAGTGCTAATTGCACCTAAACATTTTCTTCAAGGGCTTGCCTACTTGATCTCTGGAGTGACGTTCTGCAACAGGGACTTAAGGTTAGTATATATACATATACAATACTAAATTTATCATCAGTATATAATATTAATAGTTGTATATTATGTGTTATAGGAAGACGTCTATCCCGCCAATATGGCGGATCTGACTCATTTGTTGTACGTCACCGACAGGGGTTTGACTCTGAAGGTTTCTGGGTACAGTCAGAATCTTCACGTAAGTTGTTATTGATACATATTGTACCTTATACATATTAGCCAAATTAATGCCTGCGACAATTTTTACCCTATATTTTGTCTTTCTTTATAGTCCTACAATTGCAATAACTTTGATGAATTAAATATATGATATATTTCATCCAATATAGTATGTTAATACTTTAAACAGCTCGTTGTGTCACTGATATCACGTGCGATGCGCGACTCTGCCCGCGTTCCGCACGCTCTTTTCGAGGCTGTGCGCGACGTTCGTGCTAGGACCTACCATAACGTCCTTATTAAACCGCACAAACTGGCCAAGTGAGTATTAAGCAATGTTTTTATTATATGTACGTGTGTAAAATCTTTTCAGCTGATTGGTGATGAAGAATAAAATTAAAAAGACGTCATTTAATTTCCCGCCAATTCTAGTGAAGGTATAATTTTCTTGGTAGTTTGAAAACTTTTTTGAATACTCAATAATATAATTAATTCTTTGTAACTTAGTACATGATGACACCATAATATCTTTCTTTCTTTGCAAGCAGATAAAAAAAAATTATGACTATTTATATCGTTAATGCAATAAATTTGTTATGGTAAAACTGTTTAGATATCCATATATATGTATATAACAATTCCTTATATATCTTTCAGGGATGTCCGTATGAGCCTTTTACTGGAGCCATACATGTCGCCACGTGACAAGGTGACTTTCATACAAAATGTCACTTTATCGGAACTGCAAGACTTCACACAGAAGTTGCTCAACAAGATGTACTTACAGGTAAGGTTTGATTTAATATTACAAAGACTAGGATAGGACAGGTAAGTATAAAAGCTTGTCAATATCATACAAAAAGAAGGGATTGTATAGTTTTATATTTCATAATAATACGATGAGAGAAAAGTCCCTAGTGTTTGACCCTATTAACTATACGAGCAAAACGCTGTTTTATTCACACAAAAATTTAAACACATAATTTAAAACATTTTATTCTTATTAAATATTCAAAGAAGTCTTTTGTACATTAACAGTTAATAAACCTATGAATTATGATAAATATTAGATAATTAAAATATGACATTGACGATGTCGCATCAAATTTTTATGACACCGAAGACAACCATTGATAAGTAGTTTGATAAGTAAAAATTATTTAAAGTTGTCATATATATGTATTAGATGGGTAATATGACCATTTGAATATATAGCCGTAAAGTCTTATTTATCCATTTTCTTTCTTTTCAACTATCAGGTACTTGTGCAAGGTAACCTCGCTTGGCACGAGGCCGTGACTATTTCAGAGAATGTTTTGAAAACAATAAAATGGGATGGACTAGAACCACATGAGATCCCTGACGTAAGTAGATAACATTATTTTGACAATATGTTCTTACATAAAATACAGGGTGACTGGTGAATTACTATCAATATTTAAGGAAAATACTCGGTACATGATTATTAGTACTTAATTTTTGACCAAATTTCCGTATAAATAAATAAAGTGTGGACACGTTCCAAGTGTTCCAAGTGTGGACGCGTGCGGCGGCGTGCTGATACAACATCACGCCGCCGCACGCGTGTGTGTGTGTGTGTGTGTGTATACCTTATCTGTAGGGTGTTCACACGATGCGTAATTAATTACATAACTTTTGGTTAACTTTACTTAGAAGTTTATTCATATTTATGTTATATTAATTTTTATTTTGTCATATATGATCGTCAAATATCACGTCCTCAAGTATCGATAGTAATTCACCAGTCACCCTATATATGTACTAATCATATAAAAACCAGATAGAACTAATTTTTATTGGAAAAAGACAAATATATTGTAATCTTATTTTATGTAAACTTCTTTGTCACTAAATCATTATGATTTTGTTAGTATTTCAATACGTTTCTAAAAGATTTAGGAATGAATTTAGACAAACTAATACGTCACCTTTTCACAATGTTGCCAACACAAAAATGTTTAAAAGTATCAGTAGTAAAGACCAAGAGGAAAATGAACATATATAATATTATGTAATATCTCTAAGAGACCTTTTCTCCGAAGCTGACAAGCTTGTAAAGTTATAAGAAAGAGTACGACAAATTATTTGTGATCTTCACTCCCTTTCTAATTTAAATAAAAAACGTAACTAATTTGAATGACTGACTTGACGTTAGTTTGATTCGTGAAGTCTCACAGCGTTATTATATCAAAGGTTTTTTCATGATGACCTCAGCGTCAAATGGAGAAGAATGAATCTATAGAATATGAAAATGTACTCGAACAGTTCGAGCAATAGCTACCCAAGATCGCTAACCAGTATAAGATGGTCCTCCATCCATATTCCGCGATCAAGATTACAATTAAAAGAGATTTTATTACAGATCAAAGTACACCAGCTACCACTCGGAGAGCGTAAAATCCGCGTGGCTAGCCTCAATCCGTCATCTACGAACAGTATCGTCACTAATTACTACCAGGGAGAGAAAAGTTCGCCTCAAGACGCCGCCGCACTTGAAGTACTAATGGTTAGACTTTTATGAGTGGATTTTGTTAACCGACTATAATGTTACAATTTCTGTATTAAACCACTATATGTTGGTGCCTCTGTGGTATTAAATAAAATATTAATTCCGATTTCAATAGTAGAATGTTCTTAAATTTAAACATATATTTCACACTATAATGTATACCACTAGTTTACACAGCTTTCTCATTCTAAATATTACTAGATATATGGTCATTATTTTTCATTAACAAAGTTCATTAAGGCCCTAATGTAATATTAATTTTTATATACAGATGTTGATGGAAGAGCCAGTTTTCGATGCTCTTCGTACTAAGGAACAGCTTGGATACAGCGTGTTCAGCATGATGCGTTACACCTTCGGCGTGTTGGGCTTCTCGATTACTGTCAACACTCAAGTGGACAAGTTCAGGTAATATAATAACTGTCTATCGCTACAAATACATGTCTTGCTAAACACGCAATTTTCATCCTTATTACATTATATATAAGGTGGATTATTTAATAACCATATATATGATCACCAGCGTATCCCATGTTGATCGTCGAGTGGAGGCGTTCCTCAAGAAGTTCGCTCGTGATGTGAGGAGGGGTGGGGAGAAGGCGCTAGCAGCGGCGAGGCATGCGCTGGTGCAACTCAAACATACCGCTGACTACGAACTCAAGGAAGAGGTATTGAAGATATTGTAGATTAGATAGAGATCATTTGATAGATATGAATTGCGTGAGATATTGAAAATGACTCAAGATATTCTTAATATCAATGCTATATATAGAGCATAAATATATGACCGTAAAAATTGTTCTATGCCCTTAAATTATGATCTCGGTTTTAGGTAGTATTTTACATCGTATTATAATCTATCCAAAAACAACTATCACATGTGCCTTAATTTCACAACATGTTTATATTTCTAATTGTGGAGCTTGTGAGCTACTTTTAATAGAATCAGCGAATAAAAGGTAGCACGTGTTAGTTCAGTAATGTAAACATACTGTGTTTGCATTACTAAACATATGCCATCATGACAAATATAATCTACCCAAAAATATAACGTTACATTGTAAACATCATGTTGCTGTTCACAAACTTTGGAAGCTTTTCAATTTAGCGAGAAATATAACAATTTAACGATATTTACTATTTGACTGTAACATACATATTATGTCTATATGAATTTAATATTTCAACTACATGATTGATACAGAATAATGTGTTCATTTACAGACCTGATATTGACATTTCTATAGAGCTTGTAAGAAAAATTATAATAATATGTATATTAAAAATTGCTTACAGGTTGAGAGAAATTGGCGCGAAATCCTGACCCAGGAATACCAATACCAGCGTCTATTTATCGAGGTGATTAAAGAATATATTATACGAAGTACATATTATAAAACAAATTATATATGTATATGAAACTTTTTTACTTCAGGCTGAGGCGATAGAGAAAATCAAAATATCCGATCTTAAAAGCTGGATAGATAACCACTTCCCCTCAGGAAACAAGTCGCAGTTCAGGAAACTATCAGTACAGGTATATTAAATTTAGAATTGTTAGCAAAATGTATTATGAAATATTCGAAATACGTCATACATATATATTTTATATGGGTTTTAATATTACTCCAATTCCAGGTCGTGGGCAACAAACCCCAAGATGAGAGCTCCGTGGACAGACCGAAAAATCTATCACTAATTTATTCCGACTCCGGCGAAAACAGCGGCGACACGACAGAGAACGAAGCTGATTTCATCAAAAACATAGAAACATTCAAGAAAGATCTCCCTCTCATAAATGTACCGAGAGTTGAACTAGCTCAATGTTAAATATAATAAATGTTCAACAAAAATAAATTAATTGAATTTACTCTATTATAATAAATAATGTAACGGTAACCATAATTTTTCTATATATAAGACGGTTTTATATTTATTTATTTTTTTTAGTTTTAATAAAAACTTTTTGAAACATAGACAATTTATATATTATTTTTATAGTTTTAGTATTAATGTGTTCAGTGCTACAGGTTGTTATATTTTATATATACATATATATATTTTAAACACTTAACATGGTTTTCAACGTCGCAACGTTTATGACTTCTGTTAGAATATATTAAAAAGATTTCTATTTATTTCTAAAAGTTATGGATAGTTTTGTTGTGACTGTATTTTTCAGTGCTTTTGATGATAAATAAAAAAACACTAAGTGTTAATCATAGATAAGTAGGTGGAGGCACGAGGATTAATAAAACACTTTCTTCGTATATTTGCATGATAGATATATATATCCTAAAGTATTTCTGATATTTTCAAATATATTTTCAATCGTCATCGAAAAAAAGCATGATTAACTGAATTAAAATTTGTTTTAGCGTTCAGTTTCCAAACTTTAAAGAATAATAAAATTAATTGAATATTTACAAGCATTTATAACGACTAATTCTTCTTTGAATTCGATATTTAGATAGTTACCTCGTGTCTCTGATAATTTAAACTTATTAAATAAGTGTCTATATAATAAAAGTCGATTTTAAATTCTAGTAGTACTATAACCTCCTTAAAAAAACCTTATTTCTGTTCTCATGAATGTATTAAATGTTAAGCATAACTTCAATTTTTGACATATGTCAATCTACATTGTAATAATAAAATTTACTCAAAATCTCAAACCAAATAGATGTTATCCATGTGTACTGCTTATAATGTTATAAGTTGCAAATTATATGGTTATAGACATCAATGTATTCAAAATAAAGATGACGACAGATGAATATCGTTTTTTATTAAACCAAATACATAATAAAGTTACAGTTCAAGTAAAATAAGTATTTTTTAGAAAATCCAAGCTTATTAAAGTGGAACAAAATATACAAGGTTTGTGACTCTGCGCTAAGGATTTTTTTTTTAATTTACGAATATATACATATTGTTTATTGTTTTTAGTGAGATTATACTGGAGTGTTCAAAATAAAAAATATATAATTTTAATACACTATTTTGATCCGTCCATCGAGATCTTTCACAACGCTGCCCTGTTTCCGTAGATACCTCTGTATCATGACGTAGTCAACCTCAAGATTTACTAAATTCTCCCTATTTTCTGACAGCATCTTAAACAAAATTTTACTAACATTAGACCTATTTAATAAATACTATATATGAGAAAATCTTCTAAAAATTACAGAGCTATAATTATTAAAGATAATGACGTTGTACCCACCTTTGATACAAAGGATTTTTAGACAGAATTTTAAATAACAGGAAACAGTGTGAGTTTGCCTTAAAGGTTAAAAAAATATGTATATAATTCTAACCGTGTATCCACCGCCGCCATCCCCTATGTAATTCTGAGTCAGTACGCGGTAAACTGAATCATTTTTTAATGGCTCATAACGAGGCACATCACAGCGCACACAACGCACCGCTGCTGATACAACACGGGATCCTATAGGAGCCGTCGCGTTATATACCACACGGAAACCTGCATTATGATTTAACATTATAAAGCGAAAAGCTTAACTACGTATAAACATATTAATACATTGCATACAAATGATTTATTAACGTTAAGTTTCTAAAAACGAAAAGTAGTTTTGAATCTTTGCATGTGTGGTTCTAATTCAACGTATATTTTAGGTGAACTTATTTTTTTTGTCGGTGAATTAAACTAAAATTCCAAATAATTAAATTATGTATCTTCCAAAAGTTACCTGAGAGTTGTAACATTCTGGAGCTGTAAAAGTTGTTGGGGTCGGTTTGTGCTACTCCCACTGAAAACTCCAGCGCCTGCAGAAGATACTCTCCGCGAAGATCATAGACCTGCACGATATTCTCAAATGGCATTGCCATTAGCAATGCCTCCGTTGTTATTGCTGACAATAAAGAAATTAACAATATAATTAGAACAGCATACTTACGTAATTTATTTTAAACGCTTTCGATTTCTAAAACTGTTAAAATGTATGGTTTTGGTAGCATCATTTCTATATTAACTATAAGAGTACGAAGAAATGTCTGTAGAAATTAAAGTTTTTATCCTCACCTCCCGGGTTTATTTGATTTCTTATTCCTCCAGCGTTCATCATACAAACGTGAGCATAACCCCAGGCACCATCACTCGCTCGGGACATCACCTAATATGTAAATAACTTATTAATTTTTTCTAATTATATCTAAACATTATTTATCTTCACAAATCTTCGGAATTGTCATAGTTAATCTCTTATAGTAATACCTGTTCCAGCAGTCCATCACAGAGCCAGCTGCCCAGATTACACTCCTGTCGGTAGCAACCTCTTCGAAGAGAAGTTACAGCCTGTCCAAGCACTTCATCACCTATCGCCCGCACTTCGCGACGCCAAGGCTCCAGTAGTAACTCCATCTGGGGATCTGGTGAAGTCATTTTAATTATTTATATTCAAATCAAATAGAATCTCTTGAATGAAAATCCTAAGTCTATTTGTCATTATATCTTTCCGTATCCAATTAACTTTTAAATGTTCAATTTCTTACCTTTTATAACAGAGGTGCCAAGATAAATGGGTTGTCCGGACCAAGATTCTATTTTGCCTTCTGAATTGAAAAATAGCTTTATTTCACCCAAATAGCGCGTATACGCCGAAGCTTGGACGACAAGAATCTGGTTAACACCAAAAAGTCGGTATATTTATCATGGTAAACTACACATTTTTTGGTAGAAGTAAATTATTGCTTACTCTATGGCCATTTTCTTGGGTAACTATAGAAGGATACTCCCCAACCGGTCTGCTTCCATCTGGTCCTTCGCCATTGTTCAGGAAACTGTGAGAGTGTGCGCCAACTATAATGTCGACCTCCGGTGACATTCGTGACGCCAACCTCCTACAACGCCATATACGCCAATTTTCACAACCATGCTACAACTTGGCTTAAATACTAATTTTGGAAACCTACATATCAGAAGCATATCCGACATGTGACAGAACAATAATAATGTCTACTCCTTGTCTGGACAAAATAGCCGCCTCACGATTCACGGCTTCCAATTCATCTTCCATTATAACATTGCCAATGGGCGCTGAAAACTAATATAAACAAGTTTAAAACGAAACATCGACCTGTAATGTGGTTTCTTATTTTTGACAACTAAAACAATTTAAACAGCTAAACAATATTAAAATATTAAACGAAACTATTAAAAAATAGGGGAAAACCCGATGTGACGAGATATATTTATAAATTTATTTCGAATATCGATAAACCAGATAATAGCAGTTGTACGTCACTAAGAAATGTATCTTTAGCGATGATTAACAATGTTCTGTTGAACATCAAAGTGATACTAAAACAATATTTTGTATATGACTTTAAATCTGGGCATCAAACGTTTTATCTTATACATTGAGATAAAATGTTTCTAATAAAAAAACCTTAAGCTTAAAATATGTAGCAAACATTTGAATTGAATTTTAAATTGAGAATATTGCATATATGCATGTTCTTTACACTTCACATACCGTCCGCAACAGTATGCCGATTATGCCGATTTTTCGTCCCCTTCTTTCCACAACAATATGATTCTTTACATATTTCGCAAGTTCTGGCTCGAATGTTGTGTTAACGTTGGCGCCCAGCATAGGGGCATTCAATCGCTCCAAATAAGGAAGGAGACCATCGACTCCATGATCAAACTCATGGTTACCGAGGACCTGTGAAAACATTATTAAATACTGAATGTTATTAGTTCCTAATTAGTCAACATTGATTTTACATTTGCATACTCGTAATTGGCGTAATGACTATATAATATTCTTTACATCTGATTTTTTTATAAACTCTCATTAAATCTGCTGATGCGTATTAGAATTGGCAATAAATATTTTGAAATGATGTTCATAAATTTAAAAAACTTTCTTTTTCTTTGTTATTTAGCGTACTACAAGAAAATCCATAGCTTTTAACAATTTAAAAATATCATTTACCAAATACGAAACAATGTTTATTCTTCATAACATAGACTTAGTAAAATGATTTAAGTAAAAAACGTACATGAGCATCATGAGGTATCAGATTCATGAAATGCTGGCTGACATTCCATCGAAGGAAATTATACCAAATAGTTCCCTGAAATGTGTCTCCTCCATTGAGCACCAAAGAATCAGGAGACAGTTGCCTCGCCTGTCTGATAGCTGTGTAAAGTCGTGAAAAACCACCAATACAATCGCCAACTGCGGGATTGCAACTGGCGCCGTTCAGAGCTATTTCGTCAAAGCTTTAAAACAAATATCATATTATAATCCATAATTTATTTTTATTTAAAAACATATGTCTTATGCATCTTATGTATTGACTGTATTGTTAATTAAAAATAAATTAATAATATCGTTTTAACATTTATCAGGATTTTAATGCAATATTGCAAAAATATTTCTTAAAAAGTATTATTTTACTTACTGTGCATGAAAATCGTTGAAATGAATTATATTTAGTTCATATGATCCATTGTTTTGCGCACACGCAACTCCAAGGAGTAAAAGGATAGCTACACTCGTGGACATTACAACAATTATGGAATCAACACTTGTAGCATTTCTACAATTTTGATGATTTAATATTATCTGTTATTTTTATGAATATTATTTTATATCATTTTTACCTAATCATTCGTCTTTAATCTTTTTCAAATAATAGCATTGCTGAGCTGTAGATAATGTTAATCTTCGCCTAAATTTATTTTTTACGAAAGATAACAATCGAAATAAATTGCAAATTTATATAAAATACACTTGTACAAAAAGTACAAAGATAATTTTTATACTCTGCTAAGTTTCTAGCAAATAAAAATATGGAAACAATTTTGCCTCATAAAAATATATCGCTAAAATATTTGAATAATCATTCCGTAATTAAATTCTTTACTTAATCATTTCCGTGTTCACAATAGCGTGATTTTGGCATGATAGTAGTTGTGTTACATTAGTAATCATTGTATCAGATCTCATAATTCGATTACATGATAAAGAGGCGATATATCTTTTTTGTAAGACAAAACCAATTTACGGAACATTTTTCAATACTTTTATAAGGACGGACTTGACATATAAAGCAGATTTCGAGGGAGACTTTAAAATATTCTAAGTACAAAATAACAAAACTCTTGTAACTTCTGTTACTGATTTTCTGTAATGTCTGTTATTACTTATTACCAATCTTATTTTAAGAAAAAAGAAAAATCTAAAGTGAAAATTCTAAACTTATAAAATTTCTTTTTTGAAATAGATGAAATATTTCTTGTACAAAAGCAGTCTGTACTTTGGTCTCTAAACACTAATAAATTCTATTTATATACATTTTTTGTCATATATCACTACATATGTACATATTATTATACATACGTCTTGTCATCCAAATGTTTTTATGAGCACTTTCAAAAAACAATAAGCGCGTAAATCATTCATATCGGCTGAATAACGCTACTTTTTGATATTATCTTTATTCAAATCCTAAGATAATGGTAAGGGTAATAAAAAACTACAATTCACTCTACACATTTATTAGGTGAATCTACATACATTAAGCGTGAACAATAACAATTAAGTAAACGAATTTAGATTTGTAAATGCATTTATTTTTTCAATGAAAAAAATTTAATACATTACGTCTATTATTCAGTGGTACATATTAAAAATAATTGCTACGAATTTATGTCTCTTACATGTAGGTATAAGAATATATGATAAAATTTAAGTGTCGCTTCCAAGTACTTTCCAGTTTGCCGCTAACAATTTCTTATTAATCTGTATTGTGTTGCGGTATGCATTTATGAGGTATAATCTTAAATATCACACGATGACAAAAGTGAGTTGTTCTTAGGAAAGAGCCTTTACCATCATACTATAATATACGATAATCTAGTGTTAGGTGTGATTTTATGTTACTTTAATAAATGTCAAAAACTTACAAATATAAACATACAGTCCCATTTAAAAACCATGGATTTAATACAAAAAATTGGTGTTAGATTTGATTATTAAAATGTGCTTCAAATATTTATTGAGATTTCACTATTATATTTTTAGATCAAATGTTCTCTAAGTAAAGTTAATAACATCAAAAGGTTTACAAATTAAAAATTATTATTACCATTGAATCAATTCCATTTTGTTTCTTAAATTTTAAATATTATTAATCTAAAAGGCACATTTTGTCTCTCGGTATAGTCACGTCCAATTCATCATAAAATAACATTTTATATAAAAAAACAATACTTATAAGATACACGAAAAAACTTCCAAGAAGGTTAAGAATTCTGAAAATAAAAAAACAATAAAAAGGAACAATTATCACGAAATAATACATGATGACGTCTACAATATTTACGACACTCTAATTCTACTATAAAGTTCCTAAATCAACTACTTACATAGTAAAAATATCAAAACAGTGAAATGGCGTAACATCAGAACTATATAACGAACATTTTGTCTCTAAAGGTTATCTAAAGCGACATCTACAAAAAATTTCCAATAAAAATATTTTAATTGCTGTGTATTATCACTTTTTTATTCAAACAGGATACATCATTATTAATAATTACTATTCAAAAAGGCCGTGATTAGTGCACTAGTGAGAAAATCTCTCTTGCATGTTTAAAATTGCAAAAACTATTTATATTACTTTTAAACATTCTTTACAACTAGGAACTTCTTATTTCATAAATATATTATTAATGTTTACTTGTACAACTGTTATGTCTTCATAATTGATGGCAAGTAAATATATTTTAGTTTCAACAATCAACATTCAAAGCGTTGTTCATATTTTTAATAAAATATAACATCTTTATTTTTTATTTGACATGTAAAGGTGATCTTATATAAAGATAAATAAAGACGCTTTGCTGTATTATCTAAATTGCAGATAAAAATACTACAAATATAATTTATATTATGTAATAAAATACATATGAAACAACAATTACTACTAAGCATGTTCTATATGTTCGGGATATTTAGTTTGTATAAAGCCTTAAACAAAGCCTCCTACAATTTTTAGCTTATTTTTTCATGTTGTTATTGCTTCCGTTGATACTTAGGAATATGGTGTTCGTGGGTTAACATTGATCATCTCTGTTGTGCTGAAATAAATTGATACATTTGGTTAAAACAGTTTTTTTTTTTAATTGGAATATACATACATATATGGATGGATATCCATCTTAGATTGTCTACTTAAAAGTCAAATTAAAAAAGTATTTATGTCCAACATATTGTTTACTTGTAAACAGTTCCCAATAAATTAATGCCTATTTATATTCAACATCAAACTACTTTTATTCTATAAAAAAAAAAGAAACAAAATTATCTCAAATTCAAATGTTACTAACTAAAACCACTAACTAGAAACATTTTAATTGTAACATTTACAACTCACGAAGTGATATTTATATTTTGTTGAATAGGAACTTGTTCAATATAGCTGGAGTGGGGTAGGGGAGGGGGATATCTAGAAACAAATTTATTTTTATATAACTTACATTCTGTAAGAGCTCAACTAGAGTAGATAGAAAATATGTTTCTTATGAAATATTATTTGTAGGAACAATTCAACTTATTAAGGCTAAGACTTTGTTTATAAAAAATATAAGTAAAATATTTTCTTGATACCAAGAACATATATAAAGGAAGATTTACTGACTCACCTCTTAGAGCATCTAACATGAATAACGAGTAGTACAATGCCCAATAACAAACAAAGTGTCCCAACAACCACATATGCCACACCCAAAAATGGGTTCTTTCCACCAAGAAGAGAAGTTGTTGATATTATAAATGTCTTGGTACCTTGAAAATCTGTTACGGGGTAATCTGAAAAAATCATTAAAAAAATTAACTCGTTATGTATATGAGGAATGTAACTTGTAAGTAGTTAACAGAATCCCTAAATCAATTACACAAAATATATAACCTATTACACTTATCTTTTTTGGCCTTAATCAATTGATAACTGAAATAGTAGGAACTTAAAAGTCATAAGTATGCATAGTATGCTATTTATAAAAATTAACACTAAGCTCTATTAAAATGACAGGAGAAATGCAATAGATATTTTCTCAAAAAAATGATAATTAAGTAGTATAATAAATTCAAATTTACTGTAATCCACTTTCAGCACATAAGGCCCCTTAACCAATCCGGCAATGAAGCCAACTTGCTGGTCAACAATGCGATAAAGTTTGCGGAATGTCGGCAGTGCTGCTGTACGCATCCATACAATGAGATCTTCATTCTGGGAAAAATTATATTGACAAAGATTTCATATCTATTTTCTAGTAAACAGGGAAATAAAAAATTTTCAAGCAAATCTAATAATTTAAAAGTGTTGCGACTAAAAATAAGACTGAAGAATGTGTTGCCACTAGTAATTGAATTGACTTATTTCAATGATTTCATCCAATTATTATTAATGAACACATACACGTCAGCTACAGCACATATTGAATTACAAATTCTCCAGAACAAATATATGACCATTAAAAATGAATGGAATACAGAATTTACTATTTCATGTATGTAATTGTTTTTATTATCTAATTTTGACATTCATACCTGGAAACCATTATTTTCTGAGTTATTAGGATCCAACATCCACACTGGTTTGCGCCAATTAATTGGTTTGGTGTAGTTAGCAAAGGCTGTAATTACCAAAAAGAATATGTAAATTAACAGTATGGAAAGCAAAATATGAAAGTATCATAATGTATCTCCTTACCAGTCTTTAGGTCACCTGGTGGGTTCCTGAACTTGATATCTTTGTCAGATGTCCAGGCAATACCAGTTTTCAACACAGGAACATCAACATTTAAATCCACAGAATGAACAGTTAAGGTGTCTGAAATAATTGATATTTATTTAATACTTACATCATATATGAGGCAAACAAGATCATTAGTTAGATAACTTCAATAATTAATTTCTTAATTAATTGCATTTTCATAGTTGTATATTTAACAACAGATAAAATAAAAGAAATTAGTGAATAATATGATCCAATTTGCTCAGATAATTGTAGTTTAATATCTGTACATCCAAAAGGATACATAAATAAATGTGATACAAACCATTAAATAAAGAGTTAGCTATGGCTCCACATGGTGCTATAGGTTTCATTTTTCCATCTTCCTCGGCATATGCAAACGGTTCACAATCTGACGACGGTGGAGACGAGAGCCTTCCAAGCAACTGACTGTCATCCCTAACATTTATATAAAGAATGGTATTTAGTATACATATGAACAATATTGAAATACATTACTAAGTAATCAATTATTCATATCACCTTGATTTAACATATCTACGATGATTTTGGTAGTAGTTGCTGAGACCATAGTAAAAGTACACATCACCCTTAAAATCTTCAGTCAAATTGAATGGTATTTGGCAAACACATGGGTCCATGTTGTTTTGCCTTATAAATTCAGCACAAGTTATATTCTCATCTTCCTTCAAACAGTAGGTGTAGTCAATAACATGCTCCTTTACCTACAAATTTGTTAAAATAATTGATACGTGTCTTTTACCATTATTAAGGAGATATAATACGCACTAAATGTAGGTAATTAGTAACGACCGTGACAATGTTATTTGTGAATATTACCTCATCGGAAAAGTAAAGTAGACCAATTCCAACGGGAATGAAAGCTATACCGATCACAAAGAAGGTCGGAAGCACGGTGCCCGCCGTTAAAATAGGCTGCCAAGCAGGTAAACGTTGTTGCTTGAATGCAGATTCTATAAGAAACAGTGATCGTCACAATCAATAATACGAGGCCATAAAAGGTGTGTCTCGAAAGTTATTCTTTTACCTGCAGGACGTCTGGATTTCACATTTTGATCAGACGTGTCACTTGATGTAGCCATTGTAAGAAATCGTTAAAACAATTTCTAATATTACACAAATTAAATATCAATAATCATTACCAATTGGAGATAGTTTACAAGCACAGTATTTCTTACAATTCTGAGAAACGTCAAAATGATTCGGTTGTCACTAGATAGTGTCATAAACTAGAGAATACGTCAAATGTACATATTTTTTACTCAAAAAAAATATGTTTTTTTTCTATACACGCCTAAAATGTTAATTAATCTTCCATATTTCCGTTTTTTATTATTATTCTATAGAAGCAAATTCATATTCATATTTTTGTATGAACTTATAGGTTTATTTGATAATATTGATAAAAGAGTTTTACTAGGCCTTTGTTTAAAAAGTTGCATTGGCACTATAAATAGTATTATAATCTAAAAATCTCATATCAATAAAGGTTAGCAATCAAATAATAATAAATATTCATAATAGAAAAGTATATATTAAAATAATATTTATAAAAATGTATGAGGAACATGTTTAAAAACTAATCCATTATAATTTTTATTATTATCTGATAGTCAAAAAAAATATACAAAATTTGAGCACCGCCACATTCACACTAGGCTCAATATTATAATTTTATAAATATTTATTAAATTAATAGGAAAATTAAATATGTAAGCTTGTGGTTTTATTTTCAAATAAAAAGCATATCTTTTAATAAAACCTTTAATGTATTTGTTAACAAAACTACAGTTACTTCAGAGTTTATTAAACATAAATTACAATTTCAAATTAATTCACAATGCAGGTAAAATAGTAATGCACAAATATATTTGTAAATGCTATAATTTTTTTATTTTAATATGTAAAAAAGTAGAAAAAATCTAGCAAAGGTTTTTGGTATAAGGGCATGTAACAAATTGGTATAGTAATTAATGTGCTAATAGAACAGAATCATATTTTAACTTATTGCTAAGTGAATTACGACTACAAAAATTTGTACATTAACAAGTATAAGGAAGAAATATTTTCTTATAAGAAATACTTTATTTTATGCCATCATTGATTAAAATCAAGGTAAAACTTAATTCTATTGATTTTAATATATTTACACATAAATTTACTAAAGGAACCAAACACCAACGACAACAGAAATTCAGTATTTATAGGACGGGGAATGTTGACAGGATGATCATCATATATGGGATGAAGGAGCTCAGGGCAGCTGAAGAGGAGGTGAGAGATTCCAGATTGTCTGTAGATATAGTTAAAGGCGGCACCGGGAAAAAATTACCACGGAGAACAGAAGTGGGGGCGAGCTTGTCTGCAAATTGCTCCAACTATTCATAGTTAAAGCACTTATTATTATCCTCGAAGGATCTACGCAATCTCTTAAGGTTTTCCCATACCAGGGAGGGAGAGAAGCGGAAATTAAGGGATTCACAAAACTGTTGCTTTTCTCCGAATAAGTTCTCCTAATTTTTGCATTAATTTTTTTGTAAATAATAATGTTCTCAGTTGACATAACCCTTTTAGAATTCCCTTCAGCTTGGACTCTTTCTAAGATGGCATCGGTACATTCCCTGTCCCACCATGGAGGTGAGAACTATGATAATTTTTTTTCGGAATGTGAGATATCGCAGAAGACATAATGCTATTGAGAAAAGTGTTTTAATATGAAAAAACTTCCTTAGTATCAGTCAATTCAGAAAGACTATATAAGGTTATCAACGGCATCAGCATATTCAGTCCAGCTTGCAGCCGAAAGTTTGAATCTTAAAAGGGGTTAAGGTAGGTCGGAGCGGGCTTGCGGGAGCGCGAGGACGATCCCTCAGCGCCAGCGCTCCGCAGAAGGAGAAGGCGCGGAAGGCGGCGCACACAGCGTCCACCTTCACCCGTCCCTGCGACGGCCATAGATGGCCGTGCGCTCCGGCCACAACAGAGCCCCCCACCCGGGGCGGCGTGAGGGGTCCGCCAAAAGGTGGGCAATCGCCAGCGGGGGGCTGGATGCAAACAGGATTCCCAGCCCCCTGCCAGTCAGGCGAGGTCGGAGCGCCACTGGGTTATTTTAGTGGGTATACCGGAAATCCTTTCCCGGGGAGTCCCACATACCCCTCTCCGTCCGCCGACGGAGAGGGGATGCGTAAAGCATTTTTTGCCCAGTGCGCACAAAAAAAAAGGTAGGAGCGGGCTTCCCGCCGCGCGGTGAGGCTCCAACAGTGGAAGAGGTGCCTCTTGTTACGGAGGAGGAGTTGGAGGAAGCAATCGCCCGCTTCCGTAAGAAGAAGACGGCCCCAGGGCCGGACGGCATCCCCGCAAGGGTGGTGGCCATCGCCGCTTCCCAGATGCGTCCACGATTTCGGGACCTTTTCGGAGCGTGTCTGGCGTCGAAGATTTTCCCGAATGTATGGAAGGAGGGCCAATTGTGCCTTCTACGAAAGGAAGGTCGGCCGGTGGACTCCCCGTCCGCTTACCGACCCATCGTGTTACTTGATGAGGTCGGTAAAATGTTCGAGGAGATATCCTTTGACATAGCTAACGCTTTTAACTCTGTCCCCCACTCCACCATCCTAGAGGCGCTCCGCTACCACGGAGTGCCTCCATACTTGCGGGCCCTCCTAGCCAGCTACTTAGAAGACCGTTCGGTCCTCATTGCGGATAGGGAGGGTCGACGGCGACGGTACGGCGTCGAATCTAGTGTTCCACAGGGTTCCGTTATAGGACCACTCCTGTGGATTATCGGGTTTGACTGACTACTGCGGGGAAGTCTTCCCCGAGGCACGTCTGTCGTCTGCTATGCAGATGACACTCTCCTGACTGCTCGGGGGAGTAATTTTGAGACGGCAGCCAGCCTGGCCTCGGCGGGAGGATCCTTGCTCGCTGACAGGATCTCACGCCTGGGACTGACGGTGGCGTTGCCCAAGACCGAAGCCGTCTACTTCCATCGGCCTCGGCATCGCTAGCCGCCGGAGGCTCATATTTATGTGGGGGGCGTCCAGACCGGGGTGCAGGCCCAGATGAACTATCTGGGCCTGACGCTCGACAACAGGTGGCGATCCGGCCCTCATTTCAGCGGGCTGTCGACGCGCCTGCTGAAGACCGCGGGTGCTCTCTCGTGGCTCCTCCCCAAATATCGGGGGACCTGGGAATAAATGCCGGCAACTATATGCCGGCATCTCGAAGAGTATGGCCCTTTACGGGGCCCCAATCTGGGCGGACTCCTTCCATAGGAGGGAAAACGCAGCAGCGTTCCGGAGGCCCCAAAGGGCTATTGCGCAGCGGGTGACGAGGGCTTTCCGCACGGTAAGCCTCGCGGCAGCGTGTGCTTTGGCGGGCACCCCTCCTTGGGAGCTCGAGGCGTGGGTGCTCGCCAGAGTCTACGAGTGGAGAGTGGAGCAGCGGGCGCTTGGCCAGCACCCCAACGCCGCTGAGAGGGGAGCCGTTCGTGAGGAGGCGAGAGCCGCGGTCGTCCAACATTGGACAGAGGACCTCGCCACCGCAACGTTCACCGAGTCATCTGCATCTGCGAGGACCGACGTCAGAATGGACGCGACCTCTGCTTCTGAGGAGGAGCCTTCTCCTGGCCCCTCATATAGGAATGTCCTGGTCGGGACGGCTAAGAGCGCCCCTACAAGCCCTAAGCCGACCCTGAATTCCCCCGCCCTTGAGCTCGCGCCGGCGACAGAGCCTCCCCTCGGCATCTCCGACAAGCTGGGAGAGCTGCAGCGGGCATTGACACTCACCATGGGTGAGATGATCAATGCTCGCCCCGCTGGCCTAGAGGACCGACTCCTTCCGAAGAAGACTCAGCCGCACACCTCCGCCGGGAAGGTGAAAAGAAGGAGGTGAAGCTGACTCCCCCCAAGTCGTCCGCGGTGTCCATTACATTGACACCGGAGGCCACAGATAAGAAGGTCACTTACCAGCAGGTGCTGGAGAAGGCTCAGAGTGCCAGCAACCTAGTGTAAGAGGGTGGACCGGTCGGGGGACCGTCCGCCCTGCTGTCACTGGCCTCCTGGAGGGAGGGCATCATAGGGAGAGACCCGCCTCGGGAGCGGGTCACTGTCGCCGGGGATACGAGGTAGAATGTGCAAGCGACCCCTTGTAGCTCCCCTTATAGCGGCTGAGGGTAACCGGGTGGGTTTTAGCTGGTAGGAGTCCGGCATAATCACACGCCTCCCCCGGGGCGTGTGGTATCTGTAGGGATATAATACTATTACATATAATTTGCAATACAAAGACCTTGAACTTGAGTAAAGAATTATATTGACAACACAATAATATCGTAAGCTAATGAGCACGTGTGTTGAACCCGCGCCCGCGGTGGGCTGCGCGGGTGCGGGCGCGCGCACGGTCGGGAATGCGATAACATTGTCTTGTTTCTTATAATTTGCATATATATAAAAAGGGTCGAATAATAATCTGTACGTTGATTTAATTTTTTATTTTTTGAAACAAGACATGCTATAGCACTCCCCCGTCGAGATCGTTTTTACGATCGATAGTAGTCTGGAAAGAGGACCCTTCTGCCGCTTCGTGTTCTCTTCTCTGCGATGTCGGGCAGAGGTGCTGGAGGTGCCGCTGGGATGATTGCCTCTCGCATCACATAAGCTGGCTTGAGTCTGTCAACGGTGACGTTGCTAGGTTTCCTGCGACCTCGATTTTGAAAAATTTGCTGTTCTCTCTAGGATTTTATGGGGACCAGTATATGGAGCTTCTAGCGGTCTTCGAACCTGGTCCTGTCGCAAGAAAACGTGAGTTGCTTCCGCGCCCGACGCACGCCGCAAGTAACCCCGCGGCCTCCGTCCGGCGCTCGCTACAGGAAATTATTCAATTACATGTAAATAATTAGTATATACGTCATCGCCAGTAAGCGTTTACTTGTGATATGTGTAGCCAAATTTGCGTAATTTCTTTGCACCGGATCGGGAGGGAGGAGTCCCCGTCGTGCCATCAGTGTGGAGCTGCGGAGGACACTGCAGAGCACACCCTTGAGGTGTGTCCATCGTGGACCTACCCCCGCCAAGCACTGGTGGCAGCTGTCGGAAAGGACCTCTCGCTCTCTGGTCTGATCATTGCAATGCTAGGGAGCGAGGAGGCGTGGATTGCGGTAGCCTCCTTCTGCGAAGACATAATGTCACAGAAGGAGGCGGCGGAGCGAGAGCGCGAGGACGATCCCTCCGCGCCAGGGCTCCGCAGAAGAAGGAGGGGCGGAAGGCGGCGGGAGGCTGAATGCAACCAGATTCCCAGCCCCCTGTCAGGCTAGGTCGGAGCGTAACGGGTTCTTTTAGCGGGTACACCGGGAATCTTTTTCCCGGGGAGTCCCACATACCCCTCTCCGTCCCCCGACGGAAAGGAGATGCGTAAAGCATTTTTCCCAGTGCGCACAAAAAAAAGGTCGGAGCGGGCTTATTGGCAATGCACATCAGGATTGGGAAGTGATCACTCCCATATGAACTAGGTAGTATATTCCAGAAGATTTGAGAAGCAAGAGAGGGAGAACAGATATAAAGATCAACAGCTGATTTGGGATTTTGATTAGGATAGACTCTACGTGTTGGAGAACCATCATTTAGAATACATAGATTAGCATCATCAAGAAGGTCCACCAAATGAGAACCAAAAGACTCACTGTGATAGCATCCCCACGTAATATGTTGAGTATTGAAATCTCCCATAATCAGAACTGGACTGGGAAGTGAAGTGACTATTGAATAGATTTCAGAAAAAAGAGAAGAGTTAGGATGAGGTATTTATATAGAAATAATTGAAATGTCTAGAGCTCTTACAGCTACAACATTATCCTCTAGACTGTGTGGAGGAAGGGCTATAGGAAGATATGGTAGCGTGTGACGAATAAGAATGGCACAACCATCCATTCTGTCATCCCGTAGACAGAAATATCCAGGGATTCGGAACTGAGACCCAGGACGTAGCCATGTTTTTGAGATATCAGCAATGGCAGGTTTGTGAGAAGAGAAAAGGGAGAACAGTTCGGCTTTCTTGTGATGAATGCTTTTACAGTTACACTGTAGAAGTTGAGTTAACATTGTTAATGAAATTGAATAGGGTGGTAAGGTTGTGTGCAACGTTGGGCGGTAAAGGGGAATTACTAGATGTAATCAGGGACAGGATAACAGATGAGAGTTGAAGTAGTAGGGAACGAGATAGACAATTTTTTTTCCTCTCCATTATTAAGAGCAACACAATTTCCAGAAAAAGTAGGAATGTTACCAATAACATATTTGTCATATTTTATTGGGGATGAAGCATGAGGACGAGGAGCTGTGAAAGTAATTTTGCGATATGATTTGGATGGGGAAGGAGAAATGGGGGAAGTTGGTGAAATGATATTCTGAGAGGAAGACAAAGGGAGAGGAGAAGACAACGTCCTTACTGAATCAGCGTAGAATTTGCGGGAGGGAGCAAAACGGGATGAGGCCTCATTATAGGAAATATTTTCCTGAGACATAACCACCATCTTAATGAACTGTTGCCGAGTAAACTCAGGACATGCTCTTTCATTGGCAAAATGCATACCATTGCGATGTATGCATTTCGAATTCTCAATAGTTACATGACAGGTTTCACCTGGGTGGTCACTAGAGCCTTTGTAGTATCTAGGCTTAGACCGACACTGATTTTTAACATGGCCAAATCTACAACAATTGAGGCACTGAATTGTAGGAAATCTATAATTGTCAACCTGAAGGGATACGGAAAATGCAAAAATCTTGGAGGGGAGCATCTGCCCTCTAAATGTTAGTACCATTGACTGAGTGGGTACCCAAGTGGCTACACCGTCCAAAGATACCTGTTTTCTATTTAATCTTCTAGCTTTTATGACAATATCACAACCATTGGGGGAGGATTCAGTGCCTCAAGGAATTCATTCATTGACATGTCAACGGGGTCTCCTCTAACTAGACCCATTCGAGTAACATTGTAGGTCGGTATGTAAGCCTCTTGTGCTCACACATATCTAAGATTTTATTAGAAAGAAAAGAATTGGCAGCCTGGGCCGATGAACATTTAACAGATATTCTGTTGCGGCCTACACTTTTGACACCATCTTTCACAATGTGTTTGATCTTGTGGTTATATAAGAATTTACCAAAGATTATTGGTTTGATAGAGATGGGAGAAGTAGGGTCTTGAGTATCCCATGAGACATGAACAATGTAAGGGCCCTTATCAATGTCTGTATAAACCATTTCTCGAATAAATACAAAACAAATAAGTACTTACAAAAAAGATAAAATAGGTTAGTAAAACACCCAAAAACTATAACTACGTGATAATAATACACAAAAACTAAACACTATTCTGACTTAAGGCAACACGAAAAAATAGAGATAAATGATGAATTAACACCACCAGAGTTTTCCTCACATGTATGCCAACCAAACACTATTACCTATAAAAAGGATGCTACCAGAATAAGTCACATATCACATTTTTAAATACACAACCAAACAGGATCAATTTTATGAAGTGTTAACCCAAATCCCTTAAGATATTAAGTAAAAATATAAAAAAACTTATTTTGATATTCACATAACATTTTCATTAAATACTTCTAAAAGTTTCTGAATAACAACTAGCATTTATCAGATTTACATATAAATTCACTTCATTACATACAAATTTTGTAATAGTAATTCATCATACTAATAAGTCTTGGTGTCTAAACTACTAAATGACAAATGTATGATGTATGCATTTACATTTTTGGAGTAATGATCACATATGAGAGTTATTGTACAAGTCTTAATATTTCATAAAACCTAAATGATGTGACAAAACTTTGAGATATTTCCAATAACTGTACTAAGTTAAAACATTTAACAATTATTACAGTAATAATTGCTGTGTTTAGTTAGTTTGTAAGGGACTTCTGACATTGTAAGAGTTTTTTGTCAGCAAAAAAAACTACTTTACATTTCTCCACAACTGATAATTTGATGATTATTTAAATAAAATTTTCAGAAAGATAAACCACCAGCAATATTATAAGATCACAGTTTTATATCCATCAATAATTCTGTACAAATGCATACAGAAGCTTTATATTTTGTTACATTTAAACTGATATAACATTAATATGTATTGACTGCTATGATTATCAAAATATATAAATCCAATTGTTATTAATAATAAAATTATTCTTATTACAGTCACTTTAACAATCCTTCATAACCATTCTTCACAGGGATGAATCTGCTTTACTGTAGCTGTAACTTTGCTGGTGCCATCATATTATATAAATGATAGTGAATCCTGGAAAAGATTAATAGCATTTATGTAATAATTTTTAAACATAAATTCAAATTTTCTGTTTATCATACAATTAACATGAAAGAAGTTTAATTGTTTAAGATACTTTCAGGCTATTGAATGATTGTATAATTTTAAAAGTCTATATAGGATTTAAGGGACAATAATATTGTAACAAACATAGGCCATTACAAATCTAACATGACTTAATTGTGAGTTAATACAAATTCATATGAACTCCTCTGTGTCAAAATATATCTAATCAAAGATCATTTCGCATGTTGTGTAATTAAATTATAAATTAAACCTACTTCAATCAAATTTAAAAGAAAATTTTGATCTCATCACAAATACATATACCTATGTTATAATTTTGAGTCAAAATATTTACTTATTTCATTGTCCTTCTGGAATCACAGGTTGGAATTTTTTTAGTTTCATTTAATACAGCCCAAATTTCTTCTCGATTCTGTTTTCATTCAATATATTAAATATTCATTCTAAAAAGTAGAATAATTATATATGATTTACATTTCCATATTTAAAATTCTTATATGAATTTTTTGTGAAAGTTAAATCATTCCATATATATAACATAAGAAATTATCTATATAACTTGTGAAATGCCCTTATTACATTTATAACATTGTTGTACAAAATTTTAACAACAACTTTAATATATCTATTCTTGTTATAAAATAAAAGAAAAAAAAAACAATTAACCTACAACCTTTAAAAATTGTATTGTATAAAATAGCAACATACCTGAAAGCTATTGCTATCAACATTGATTTCAGTCTGAGATGTTATGAACATCAACATCTTCCTAGGAAATCAAACCCTGTAATGTTTAATTCTTTATGGGAAATTATAAAAATATTTTCATTAAATTCCATTATTCACTTACCAGTCAACAAAATCCTGTGATTAGCAGCACCAGGAGCAATATTGAGTTATAAAGATATGATTCACAGTATTTATTACTCTAAGATCCATTAGGTCACTCAATTGTTGTCATCTCTGGAATAAGAACAAGGTTTTATCAAGATTAACATAGAATTTATATATTTTATGATCTAAGTTAAAGCTACATAGAATTAACATGACAATTCCTCACTTGATTGAATGTATCTAGCTTACAAAAATTTTATGTCTTATTTGAATTCTTAAGTGATATTTTGAAAATATAAAATATACAAGTCTAATTATTTTCCTTGTCCCATTTACTCCTGTCCAATATCAGACACTGAACAATTTTATGAGGTATTAACATATTTTTTTTAATATTTTAAAATAAAAAACTATCAGAAAATTGGTACAATTACATAGTAAGAAAGATATGAAGATGAAGATATATAAGATTCATAAGTACTGTTGTGAAATATTGAATAAAATGACTTACTGTTCTTTGAGGTGTTAAATGAAACACAATTCCAAGCAGAGTGACCTTTATTATAGAAGCAAAACATGGTAAAAGTGCTTTCAGTTTTTGGTCAAATGCTTTTTTCCTGCAATCAAATATCAAAAATGTAAATTAGTAAATCCATATCATAATCTTAAAAATGGAGAAATACCTAAACGCAGTGTAAGTTAGTAATTAATACAGAAAAATTATGATTATCTGCTTCTGAGGAATGAATTAAAATCGAAATTAAATAGGACTATTTTATTTTTGCATTAATATTACTTGCTTGCATTTGCCCAAATTTAAAAAAGTTGTCGACATAAACAGCGGTTAACTAAACAAAAAGATTTTTCAAATATTAACATATAACTCAAAAAATCTAGGACCTTTAATGCAGATTTTGAGGAAATTATAAGGAAATTGTGAAGGGATTTTTATAAAAACGAAAAAGTGTCACAATTTTTGACAGCTAAATTTTAAACGGCAACGGACTACCGACCTAACTTATTTTATGTCATGTTATTGATTATTTTATTAAAATATTTTAACATATAGAATTTAATAGAACATTTAATTTAACCAGAATTCATTTCGTTGCGTTTGGTGCATTTCATTATGTTACTTAGATGGGTGCGTTATATATACCTTGATGATTAAAAAATTCAAACACAAACCATGCCCAAATTATCAGAAATAAGGAAAAATATCCAGAACAGCATTTTTGAAGAATATTATAGTTTTTCACAAATATTAAAAATTAACATGTAATTTTATGGTGTTGATAATAAAGGATAGTGAGTAAAAAGTATTTACATAAGTAAAATATAAGCATATACATTTTTTAAAAATAACAACGACTCTTGTTAACGATACTGCATGTATAGTTAAACACATTAACTATTAAAATATTATTAATTACATATTCATTGGCATACTTGTCTTACGGACTTTTAGCCATATATTTGTCATTTCACATTTTGACAGATGATTCTATATCGAACACTGTAGTCTATTGGTAATGATAAAAATTGTATATTGAAAGTTGAAACGACGTTGTCGTTTTGTGAGTGTTGTTACTTGATCCGTAAAACAATTTATTACTAAAAGTCGATTCATTTAGAATTTTCAAATATAGACGTTTGAGTGAAGCTATCAGTGCATCATTTTTAATTTCAAGAGTAACAATGTCCAACGAGAACTCAAAAAATGTAAGTTTTTCTAAAAATATTATGGCCGATCGAAAAAATAAAATGACCCTGTCTGCATCCATCATTATAAGTGCATTTAACAGCAAGTATCGTTGAACTCCGTTCAACTTAGTATGATTCATTGCGACATTTATCACAAATATGTAGCATAGTATGTGCGGGTAAAGTGAAATGGAATATTGGATCGCGATACAGTTAAATAGCGGCGGATGTATGTCAATGTTTACGCGTGCCGGCGGAATATTTATCAGATGACTGTTTGAGCTGACTAATGAATTATACTTAAACACCATGTTAAAGTAGAAGTTCCAACTAACATTTTTATATGATAGAAATAAATATGAGAGAATTTTTATATATAAATTTTTCTGTTGGTTTCGCCTTTTCAATTTACTGATTAAGAGCACAAAGAGCAAAGTCTAGTACATAAACATTAGTCATATAGTCCAGGGGTCATGTTATCCTTATAACAACTAACAATATGATAATAAGTACAAATTTTATGAGTTATGTGTATCAGGATACACAATTTTCCTAATATAAAATGCACCTAATACCTTTTTAATAATAAAATAATTTGTCTATATATTTTTCTACCGTGTACTAGGTTGTTTTAGCTCGCAATTTATATATTAATTTGATATGAAACTTTGTTACAGTTTTCTAATTTAGAGACGCCAGGGTATGTTGGGTTTGCCAACTTACCCAACCAAGTCCACAGGAAGTCGGTGAAGAAGGGTTTCGAGTTCACTCTTATGGTTGTCGGTGAAAGTGGTCTTGGGAAGTCCACGCTTGTCAATTCCCTTTTCCTGACTGATCTGTACCCAGAACGAGTTATTCCTGATGCCATCGGTTTGATATTTTTATTTTATTAATCACAAGTTGCTTTGTGCTTTGAAAATATTGATGTATATTATAATAAGTATTTTATGTGCTGAATCATATTAATTGGTAAATAATTATATTTTACAGTAAAATTGCTTTGTTTGTTGTGACAGAAAACTTAATGTGAGTGAATTTTGACCATAGAAAGACATAAGTGATTTAAAAATTTATTAATCATTTCTGAAAATTTTTTTTGAACCTATTCATATATCGTTAATTCCTTTGAGATTAAAGTACAAAATTATAACAAATTCCTCAAAATTCAAACAAAATTTAATAGATAAACTTTAAGTCAGCCTTTTTGTAGCATAAAAAGGGGGTATTCATAAACTATGAGTTGTTTTTTTAAAATTTCTGACTCTCCCTCCCCTCTTGGTGAGATTTCATTCAGCCCTTTCCCCATCCACCAATCTCATGCGGAATTACAGAATGGTCTTAAGCCTATTACAATTACGCTTAAGATAAAATTTTAGGCATGTACAATCTAATCCAGATTGGACCACAATATTATAATTTTTTTTGTTTCATCGAAAAGAAAAAATACGTGTTATTTGCCGAGCCCACGGCAAGCCCCACGCTTCACCGTAAGTTTAGATGAGATTTGACTCGACCCTCTCCCCCCCTTTAAAACCTCACGTATTTTATGAACGCCCCCAAAGAATAAACACATAATGAAGGATAAACTAGTTTACTACTTTATTTACGTATATTGAAATTGCTAGAATTATTTTCCAACTCGTTTCAAGAGTTTAAACTAGTATTTTATCTAATATAATTATCACCAGTTATTGGTTAAAACCAAATCTTAGGGTTTGGTTTCACTTAAAGTTTAATATCACATGAAGGATCAATTTTGTAAATAAGGATAATTTTTTAAATAAATTTCGTCTGACACGCCAGTTAAAATTTAAAATGATTCATTAATAAAACTTCAATAGATCACGATAGTTTAAAGCATATGGAACGTGATCTCACGGAAGTTTCAGGGTTCGAGTCTAGTTTGTGTCTCTTTAATGTTTTGAATCGTAATTACTTAATAATTAAATTCAACATAACAGGCTTTGCAATGCTTACATACATGTTTGAAAATTTAACAAGTTTTTGTCCTATAATGACAATGTTTGTATGAGCTTTTACTGTATATTAAATATGACTAATATAAAATAGTTGTATATCACATATATAATTATTGTTATAATGTTTCTTGTTTTCAATGCTTACAAACTGCTGCTCGCTACAAATAATAATTGCTTAATAAATAAATAGTAAGTGTTTTGAATATTAATCAAATGTTTACACATTTCATTTTAGTGATAAATTTATATGTACATTGAATTCATTATAGCATATCTTATATTTACTATAAAATCACTTATTTGTTGTTATATTATATTATTTGTATTACATATAGTATTCATTACTTTCACATACACATTTAGCTTTTTATATATATGTTGATCTTTGTTGAGATTATTTCTTATTAATATATTATTTTTTTATTGTAAACTATACATAGAGATATATTTACAGAAAAAACTAATCAAACAGTGAAATTGGACGCTTCGACGGTAGAAATAGAGGAGCGCGGTGTTAAATTGCGTCTGACTGTAGTTGACACCCCTGGCTATGGGGATGCTATTGACAATACAGACTGTTTCAGGGTAAGATATATAATTATAAATTCATTTATTATTAAATACTTATGAATAACAATTTTTTAATGAAATATGATTTAACGCACATATATTTAGTATTACTGAAAATAAATATCGTGTTCGTAATTTGTTGCCAGTGAAAGAACGGCCATTTTGTTTTTTTTTTATTTTATTTTATCACTTAGATGTAGGGGCCATTTTCAATTTTGTATTTCCATACTAAATGTTTACTTATATATGGAGATCGTATGTGAAATGTGTATGTTAATATTAATATTTTTCTTCCAGTCTATAATACAGTATATAGATGAGCAATTCGAGAGATTCCTGCGAGACGAGAGCGGTCTAAATCGTCGTAATATCGTCGACAACCGCATACATTGCTGCTTTTATTTCATATCGCCGTTTGGACATGGGTTATTATAATATGACATTTTTTTTAAATAAAATTTAATAATTTAACATACCCTATGGTGAATATAAAAAAAAATTAATTTTGATAAATGTATATATACATTTTACTTAGTTTAAAAAAACACATTAATTTTTATTAAAAGTGTATATTGGCATGAGCGAGGCACTTAAACATATGCTAAATATGTCTTGGAAATATAAATAATCTTATACTTCTGGAGCAGTATTAAGCGCATGAAATAAAGCCGCATCGAAATCGGACGATCCCTTTGATAGCCATAATGTCACAGACATATATATATAAACAAATTTAAACACCCCTCTTTTTCAATATAGGTTAAAAAATGTGATCAAGTGGTTGCGTTTGTTTCTTCTTCGTTTCCGTTACTTCGCGTTTCATAACAGTATAAGAAAATAAAGTTGATCATACGACTCTAAGTTTGTACTTCAATAAGTGATACATAAATTCACATACACTTCAATTTAGCTGCTCGATATAGTATTGAATAAATCTTCCCTTAATTTAAAATGTCCTATAAAACTATTATAAGCTCATAAATAAAAGGAAGGAAAATTAAAAATTTGCGTAAGCACGATATGTTTTGTAAGGAAAATTTTAAAATATTAACCATATTTTATAGTCATTAAATAAAATTTGGCTTTGATTGTAATCTTTTCGTTTGTTATTAAATTGTCCGTGTATTATCGGCTGTGATGATTTTATTATATCAAATTTAATTAAAGCCATTTTATTTCTTTTTGTAAAACAATAAATTTGTGAAAAATTAAACGGTATTAATAATTTAAAAGTTCGTACGACAAAATATAAATAATTAAAAAAACCGGGAACGCGATAGTAATGCGACGCTGTAGTAATATAGATTCCTTGGTACAGGGTTAAGGCTAACTGTGATAACTAGGTTAAGGATAGTTGCTGTATTATTATTGATATCCCAATTTTATTATAAAACGACTCTTATACAATTTTGTTTTCTATTTTGTTATCAATGACGTCATAATATTCTATTACCAATAATACAATGAAGTAAATTGTAGTGTTATTTAGAAATAATTTTTCGACGTTATCTTTTTTTACTAGACTTAAACCCCTGGACATCGAATTCATGAAACAGCTCCACAACAAGGTTAACATAGTACCGGTCATCGCTAAAGCCGATTGTTTGACCAAGAAGGAAGTTCAGCGTCTGAAGTCAAGAGTTAGTACAACATTATTCCTCTAATAATGTTTAGTATTATTATAATTCAAAATTATAATTTGTTTCAGGTTATGGAGGAAATTGAGAGAGAGGGAATCAAGATCTATCCTTTACCAGATTGTGACAGCGATGAGGATGAAGATTATAAAGAACAGGTAATAATTTATGTATATAATGTAGTAGTATGTCTGCAGTCTTAAAATATTTGAGCAAAATCCGATAGAAATAAGAAGATTGCATGCCATTGTTCTCCAAGCTGATCTTTTGTCTTTGAACAAAAATCTTTAAGAAGTCTTACATTGAACGTTGGAGGAGCGCCAATCTTTCCAAATCAAACATCTTAGATGCCTTTGTTCAAACCATCTTCAGTTATTTGTAAAATAATTAAAACTATCTTAACCAGAAACGTGCTTATCCAAATAATTATATAATTTTTTTGCTCAAATTTATTATGAAAAAACTAAAGTTTTAACATTTTACTTAATGTTATACTACTCCCAGGCTAATAAATTAATCTTAATTAATGCTTTAACGCGGAGACACTATAATTAAAAGGTACTTAGGTAAATGTAGGAGGACAAGGACGTTGCTTGACCTTGACCTAATTAAAAGGATATTTTTCTTACGTTCATAAATAGATGAAATTATAAAATTGTTGAAGTGTAAAATAATAAAAATCTGGAATCTTCTATGATTCGGAAACAATAGAAACAAACAGCTGATTTTGTTAATGTTGCTCAAAATTACTGCAGAAGAAGAAATTATGTTCTTTCATGTATTTGGCCGATACGATCACAATAACTCAACTGACGTGTGCTTAGTTTTTGCAGCTCACGGAGCGTTTTTTAATTATATATTAATTTTGTTAAATAATTCAAAAAACAAACAAATTATATCCAAAAATCAATAGTAAACGGGATAAGCGTCATTATTTTTTGTATGGAACTGCGTATTAGAGAACCTAATTCATAATAAAACTAATCATTAAAATACAAACTGTTCAACACATAAACAGTCAATTCTAATGACACCTATAAATGGGAATATAAGTAAATATGTAACTTTGGCTGCTGTATCAATAATACTTCACTTAATCCCCACTTCTCAGCTGTAATGCGACATGTGATAGGTGAACTGAAAAAATTAAGTTGAAGAAAAAGTTTCAGTTGAATATGTATATATTGTATAGTAATACTTTTGTTTTGTTTGAATGTATCAGGTTCGTCAATTGAAAGAAGCGGTTCCATTCGCTGTGTGTGGCGCCGGTCAGCAGTTGGAGGTGCGCGGACGTCGCGTGCGTGGAAGACTGTATCCTTGGGGAGTGGTCGAGGTTGAGAACCCGGATCACTGTGACTTCATCAAGCTGAGGACCATGCTTATGTAAACAATAATTTACATATTTATAAAATTTATCTTGTCTCGTTAACTCAGCTCTAGATGCATTAAGTATTATTCTTAACCTATGGTTTCTTCTTGAAAATCTACATTAAGAATTATTCTAGCTCGATGGCTTCTTGAAATTCGAGGGCCATTGATCATAGGAATATTTTAAACTTTTTATATAGTTATAGTTTAAGTAACATGTTTGTTTAATATACAAATGTTTTAAGTACATAATATAACATAATAATTGTTTTTTTTCTATAATTTTAGATGGTTTATAAACCAATTATAAATATTATTATATTTTTTTGCAGCACTCACATGCAAGATCTGCAGGAAGTTACTCAAGAGGTGCACTATGAGAACTATCGTTCTGAAAGACTCGCTCGCAACGGACAAATACCTAAGAGGCATACGTAAGACTTAATTGAATAAACTATATACAATATTATTCATGTTATTCTAGTAATAAATATAACTTGGATAATAAAATAATAAAAAATGTTATATACTATAATAAAATAATATTTCCAAGTTCCTTTCTCTACAATTTATATCTATTTATATATAAGATTTTTTTTACAGTTCCACCGAAAGCGGTCTCAGTGAAGCCGACTCCGGTTTGACGAACGGATCCAACGAGGATGCTTCGGAACGCGAGCGTGCATTGCGCGAAAAGGTACAATAATACCACAATACGAATACATAGAATTGTATTGCTATTAAATACTAAACAAACAGTACTTCTATAATACATTTTAATTAATACTCCTTTCTCATAAAACTAATAATATACCTATATAAAAGGAAATGTGATTTAGTGTAGTTTTAATATATTTAAAAAAAATGCATGGAATAGTGAAACTTAATGAAAATAGGAAAGGGTAGAAATTGATTTTTAGTGAACGCATATCGTTTCTTTAAGAAAAACTTTACAAACATTGCATATAATTCACTCAACAGTTTACTCTAGTTCTGTCTCTTTCTTTTCCCCTTCCCCAGGCGTTTCCATTCAAAACATCTTTTAACATTCTTTTATCTAATCAATCTGTATTTTGTAATGGTTAATAAATTTTATCCTCTACGTTTTATTGTGTGATACTAATAAGTATTCCTTAATGTTCAGGAGGCCGAGCTCCGTCGGATGCAGGAGATGCTGGAACAGATGCAGCGCCAGATGCAGCTTCAAGCTGCTGCCAACACCTCCGCATAGTGTATGACTGCCGCACAGGTATATTAGCTATACAGACTATTCACAATTTCTTTATATAAATATTGACTTATTTCTCGGAGTTAGAGTAATATTATGGCAGATATAGAGGTCTACAACTGCCTTTCTATCTTTGTATGGACTGTATACTCATGTGTATATATATATATATATATATATATATATATATATATATATATATATATATATATACAGGGTGACTGGTGAATTACTATCAATATTTAAGGAGCATACTCGGTACATGATTCTCATTCGAATTATGTAAAAAAAATAGGTACTTAATTTTTGACCAAATTTCCGTATAAATAAATAAAGTGTGTACACGTTCCAAGTGTTCCAAGTGTGGACGCGTGCGGCGGCGTGCTGATACAACACTACGCCGCCGCCGCGTCTGTGTGAGTGTGTGTGTATACCTAATCTGTAGGGTGTTCATACGATGCGTAATTAATTACATAACTTTTGGTTAACTTTACTTACAAGTTTATTAATATTTATGTTATATTAATTTTTATTTTGTCATATATGATCGTCAAATATCACGTCCTCAAATATCGATAGTAATTCACCAGTCACCCTGTAATGTTTAAAGATCAACACGTTCCAATATAAACATATAGGAAGTTAAGTGAGATATTCGCCAAAACAGCTCCGGGGTAACCTTCGATAGCCTTGTAGCCTGACGACAGTCGAAAAGAAAGACATATGTGATTTCAGTTTTGATGACGTCATTCTTTAAAAACTACGCTTTGCTCCTACATACATATATAATGTTAAATTTTATATTTTTTTCTCTTACAGCTGAATGCGAATACGGCTGTTCAGCTGGCGGGGGCGTGTGACGTAGTCAACACCATATTACGCGCCATACCATACTGCGTTACTTATTAGTAACATGACAAACGTATAATCAACGACACAAGTGTTCTAACGATTTAAATTTTAATATACCTTAAAACATATATATAACAATGTAATCGAATATAAAGACAATTATTAATCATACATTAAATATTAATCTATGTAGAATAATTATTTCAAACATATTATAGTTCTGTCGTTGACTGTACTTTCCACGCACTATTTTTTTTTTACTCGATTTACAGCACAATGTAGGTGCGAGAAGTGTCTTGTAGTGTTTAAGTTATACGATTTGTGTCAATGTTTTTATCTAGCTTTACATTCGGCTAACAGCTCAACTCAATCAAATATGACGAAATAGCTTACAAACATTCAGCTCATCCACTTGACCGAATTCCATATATCATTAATAGTTTAATTAAATAAAAATAATTATTCGAGTTGAGCTTAGCTTAGTAACGAACGCATTTAAAAATATTCCCGCTATAATTATAAATTTTTTGATAATAGATTATAAACGTTCCTTCCATTTACATGAGTAATAGAATCTATACAATATCTGTCTGTAGTGTTAGCTTTAAAAAGAATATATCTTCATCGAAATACTATTGATGTTGTCTAGATGTAGTTAGACTGTTACTTGCAATAATTTAGCGGTAATAATTATAAACTATTATTCATTCGAATATTTACTCGATTTTATATTTCGAATTAATTTTTAGTTATTCATAGATAATAACTTTTTTTATAATGATTATGATATTATTCAAGTATTCTAATTTTCAAGTCTGTAGCGCAAATATTTTGATTCATTAATTTTAAATTTGATTCCTCACCGATTTATATGTGTGTAGTATTATTATTTTTTATTTTGATCTGATTTCTGTGCCATCGCCTTTTACTTTGTATTAGATATTTCACATTCTTTTATGATAAAGGAAATTTGTATTCTCAATTATAAAGTATTATTTTATTTTAAAATTTTTAGTTTTTTTTTGTATTGTGTGTATTAATATTTAGTTTAAAAATTGTAACCATAGTGTAAGATTTATATTATTAGCATATATTTTAATGATGATTATAAAAGAAGATGATAACATTCTATACATATTGAAATTCTACACAACGTCTGTTCTTATAGATTTATAAAAATCATAATTATATAGTACTTAAAGACATGAAAATAAGACATTCAAATATTATTGCATGTATTTCAGTAGTTTGATGTTGAAATTGTCTATATAACAAAATTTTAAGGATTTCAATGAATATTGTCACGTTTAATTCTCAATTCAACATTGGTGCATGTATTGATTAGAATAAAAGAAAGAATAAATTGTAGTTTCCAATTAATTATCATGATATCTAGATGTGTTAGAGGATCGGCTATAGTAATGTTATTAAATAATCGGTGCCAAAGTTATGATGAGAGCATTGGTTCACATTTTGGAGCTAACATTATCAAATTTATTAGTCTGTGGTAGTGAAACCAATTTGTGAAATTCACATTCTATGTAATCATATTTTTATAATAAATAAATGAAAAAATTATATTTGTTGTTTTATTATTTTGTTTTCCCTAATACATCCAAAGAGCATTAAATTTTTTAGTGTTTTGTGTATTTTTATATTTTATAGGTGATCTTATATTTTATTGAAACTATAAAATGCATGCATCAGTATAAAAACTATCTCCAAGAAGTTTTAAAATACTAAATAATGATTTGAGTTGAGAAATATTCATAACATAATAATGATTAACGACCGTAGCGAACAAAATAAAAGGATTTTATTTTTGCAGTACACTGATATATTACATATGTATTTGTTTTGTAAATTGAATATTAAAATTAAATACGTCCTACACATGTGACCGTTAATAAAATTGACATTTAGGTATTTTTTATATTTCCCAATTATTAAACAATGCTCATTATATGTATTTTATTTGTTATTGAAGATTTAAAGCCATGAATTTTAGTGATACATTGTCAATCTATGGACCCGGATGGTTTCTGTGACTGACCCAATGAAAAACTAGTAGTTTTATGTGTTTGTAACTTATATTTTTTTTAATGTATTGATTTACTCGTGTCGAGCTAACGTGTTCATTCAAAAGTACGTGGAGGGGGTAAAGGTAATTCTTTTCTATGTATTTTTTTGCGTGTTATAATTTTGATATTTTATCTTAGTGTCATTGAAGATTTGTACTTTCAACCTTGAACTGCTACGATTGGAGCACTCTTTTAGAAAGGAGGCGTGGCGTACATGTATCCATTTTTAGCCATCAATTTTAACTTTTTCTTTTTTTTCAAACCACAGGTTCCTGTCTCATTTAGTTTGTGAAAGCTAAATGTATATTATGTAGAAGAAAATAACTTCATTTCTTGTAGTCCCAGTATATTTATTTAAATAAAAGAAAATATCAAAAAAGTTATTGGCCCTAATTAGAAAAAATATAGTCTAGATTTTTTAATCATTCGTATTAAGTACTTCAGCCTTAAGAAGAAATCAAAAGTCTATAACTGTCGAAGTATAAACTTTATTCACTTTTTTTGATGAAATTTCCCGATAAAGAGGTTTTTCAAAGAGTTGAGTGTGGATCTTGTCGTTAAAGTTATTTATTAATAAAGATATGAATTGATTTTTTGATTTCAATCTGGCAAGTTTACTGAAACGTCAATAGATTTTGGCAAGTTGGGACCGCCATACCAATTCCTATTGTATGTTATCAAACATCATATATTTCTTATTTGTAGCTATTAGATTCTCCTAGATAAGCAAACAATATGGCCATAGTAGAGGATGAAGTAAGAAATGGTTCTGAAGAAGAGAATGAAATCGAGGTCGTTGTAGAGGAAGACGATTTGGACCAGGATTCCGAGGACTCGGACGTAAGCATTGCTTTGATTATTATTTATGAACCATATTTTATTAATCACTTTTACTTTTTAACAATATATTCCCTATTATATTCCTTTAACAAACGTTTAGGTAGATTTATATAAATGTTCAGATGGGGCACTGTCAGCTATGTTTCGTTTTGCCACTTGATTCATTCCGTAATAAGTGCGTTACGCTTGTTTTAATCTTATGCAAGTTAATAAGTGGATATTGGATATTGTATATATTTTGACTAGCTCCTTGTAATCCAAGGGATTTAGATGTTGGAAAACCTTTAGTGAGCAATTCCTTGACCAGAATATTTATTGGCTTGTGGATGAATGGGTGATATCTTTAAAATATGTTTCACAAACATTGTTTATATTATTAAAACCAGGGAGTTGGCTTTCTTTATAATATTTCAATTTTCTAATTTGTATAATTCCTCAGAAATTGTAGTTGACACTTAGTTTTCAGTCCCAACATTTCTTTATTACGTTTTTATATTTAAATTAATTTTGATTTAACCTTTAACCATAAACAAAACTTTTGTATACAATAAAGGTTATCAACTAAGCATGAATTTATGTGAAACAAAAAATTTGTTGAGTATATAAACAGTGAGATATGATCTGAATATAAAGAAACTTTTTATCATTTCTAAATTTAATGAAATAGCATATTTGATTAACATTTTGTCTAAAGGATAGACAATTAACTTAATTAAAATTCTTAAAGACTTAAATAAATTACATAGAAAAAATTGTAATTAAAAAAGTAATAATAATGTTTTTTCATCTATAGTTTCAGGTTTATTATTATTATTAAAACTGTGAATTTATACTGTCATGAGCAACATAAAGTCCATGCTACTAAGTTTCCACATTATTGTTGATGTATTGTTTAAATATTATTATGCTAATTATATTAAGCATATTTTTTACCAATTAATAGGATGATGATGATGATGAGGCAGTGGAGAAAAAAGTTGCAGATTTAGAACAAAAAATTGCAGAAGATCCCTATAACTATAATGATCATATTGACTTGATTCGAGCTCTTTGGTAAGTTTTTGTATACTTTTACATTATGTACAGATTGGTCACACCTTAAATATGAAATGTGGCATTCCAAAAGCAATGGTTTAACATTACTTCTTTTTGGTCTGATTGGCACATACATAGTAATATGGTATACTGTATACATTAGTATACTTATATAAGTATATATTTATACTTACCTATTCTTATACAATAGTGAGATAACCAGGAGTATTTTCAATATCATCTAAAACTTTAGTAGGTATCTGCTTAAATTTTTTTTTATTAAATTTCAGGTCATTATCAGAATTAGACCGTTGGAGAGCAGCTTATGATCGTCTTCAGAAGCTGTCATTGTTACGTGCTGAGCACTGGCTTTTAAGGATTCAGATTGAGGAAACATTGGCACATACACCACAATCCAGAGAACACATTGCCAAGTTGTTTCAACAAGCTACACTTGATTGCTATTGTAAGTCTTATTATATTTATAGAGATTTTATTGGTCATAAAATTTAGTATTTTTCCATTATTATCATATTAGTCTGTGACCAATAATCACTTGAGACTTAAAATGTATGTCCAAACACAAATTTACAGTTATGTCATAGACATACTATGTTTATTGTTCAAATCTATTGTTTTAGCTGTCATCACAAAACAAGGTTTCATTTCTTACTCAGTAATATTTTTTCCATCCCTAAAAACTTTATCATAACTTATATTATTAGCTGATTTGTTGGAAATCATCTTTTGTTCTTTATAGTTGCTTGTTTTTGGCTTCGAGGGTCAGGTTTCGTGAATACTAGCTGAAACACTCATTGCAAACTTTTTACATTACTTATTTATTCTCATGATAGTCACCAGTTAGACTTCTGTGAAAGTGTTGAAGATGATATTGTTTTCATCTGGCTCATTCTCTGTTTCTCAAGAAAAACCCAAAAGATTTTGTTTGGTTTTGGAATATTGTATATAAAGTTAAATAGTTGAACTCTTCATGAGCATATACAGTTACTGAAATCTTTGTTTGACCCACTGATATCAATATATCATTTACATAATATGTAATGTTAGCATTTAGTAAAGATCACACAGATTTTTTGTTTATAATATCAAATATACTCTTTTGTAAGACACCAATGTTCTTCATTATTCATAAAAGTAAAACTTGCTTTATTTTCATTTACATTGAGGTGTTAATGTTTCCTCATATAAACTGGGATAGTAACTATGTCATTCCTCATCATTCCTTTTCATTAATGTGATCTGAGATTTTCGCAAATCCCATGTTTTTTTCCAGATTTGAGACCCAAAAAAATATTCTTCCACTACATCTAATGTAGATTGCTGATATTTTATTGTCATATTGAATATTAATAATTGTCTTCCTAACTCTAAAAATGTTGCTCAATTTAGTTTCAATGTTACTTAACCTATATTTTACTGATAAAGTTTTATCCACCATTCTTATTAACATTGTTTTTTTTTGCTTTATTGTGTCCTCTTTATTACTAGGATTCTTCCAGTTTGCATAGAAAGTTTAGCTACTCAGAAACATTTCTTTTCTGGGGTTGCAAAACAGCTTATCTTAATATTAGTTATAATAGTGTTGATTTCGAATTTGTGAGTTGCATGCATAAAGAAAAAAAATGAGTTTATTTTACTTAGTTATTAGTTCTTTTAATTTTCCTTCTAAATAGAAATGGAAGTGTAATTCTTTATTATTATTATCAGCGTCAAATTGAGCAAATTTTTTATTTGTGAAAAATCAAGAACTTACATATAGCAATTAGTAATAAACAAGACTTTCGATGCATTTTTGTTGTTAATACCTAAATTTTTTATCAGAAAAGATCTGCTCTAAGAAAACTTCAGTTTCAATAACAGTCATTACATTACTCAAAATTAGGATTTCAGTGACTTGATAGTAGTCAGATGTTTTGTTGAAATAGTTTAATTAATTTGTTTGTTGCTGACAGAAATTATTCTCTTTATCAATCTAATTTCTGTTTTCTGCTAGACCAAACACATCAATGTGATTTTTTATGTATCCCTTGTGTCTTATACAGGTGCATTGCTTTAGATATATATCAGTTATATTTTTTTTGTTCTTTAAAGATGAGGAAGTTTTTCTTCGAATTCCTAACATTGTCTTAGGATTGGTTGGTTCCTTTACTACATGGGTAGTCTGAGAAATGACACTGATTGTGTGATACAATTACAATTGGTAGTATAAGAAAATGTGGGTTAAGAAGTTATGAAATATTTTTAAGTTATTTTTGTCATTTCATGCAATATTATCTAGGATAAACTAAACTCTAATAATTCTCAGATTAGATATTTGATCTTCAATTTTTTTGGACACATTAATTATCAATGAATCAAGAAACACTTAAATTACTTAAACTATAAATATTAAAAGTGTAGGAGTAATAGTTCTTTGGATACTAAAAATGAAACATAATTTTCCATTTACTTAATGATTCAGTGTGACTACATCTACAAGTGTTGATGTTATTCTAATTTATTGTGTTAGGTTATCTATATTTTAACTGCTTAACATTTACTTTCATGTTTTTGTCTCAGTTTTTTTATTTATCATATTTTATGCCAAACATTTTTTTTTTACATAGAATATTATTTTATTTTAAAGACAATAATAGTATAGATTTTTTTGCAGCGATTTGTTTCGAATTTATTCATAACAAATAAACATAAATCACTCAATCGAGTAACGCAATATGTTTTCTAATTGATTTTTGATTCTTTTATTACTGTTGCTTAGATTTACTTCATTCAATCATCAAGAGACCGTTCGCATCTTCACTGTGTCTAAAATTATGTGTCCTATTTATTTTGAATAACAAAGATTTAAATCCAAACGCGAGGGAACTCTTTGTATTTTCTGTTGCCATATTCGTTTGGTGTCCATACCAAAGATATTGAGAAAACTAAAGAGATCGAAACTATTAGTGGCAACACTGAATGTCGTTTAATAACAGAATAAATATAATAAAAAAACATGACTGTTGACAGATGACAGTTGGCGTGCTTCAGGTGACTATAATGTTAGGAGACTGATGACAAGTACATTTTATTCCGTGACATTTGACAGATGTCAGATATATATCAACTTCTAATAGATGATATTATATGACAAAGAATTCAAATGACAATCCTTTATAGATTTTCACTATGCATTATAATATGATTGCTTTCCCCTGGACTATACATTATACATAGCAGTGTTGCTGTGGATGGTTTTTCATATTATAAGCTGTATAATGTATGACTTAAATAATGTTTCATTATATTTGATCCATCATGTTGATGTGATGAAACATATAAAGTACATTTTAATTAATTTAATCTGATTAGAACTCTTTTAGGTTTTATTCAAACACTTGCTAACATAAAACATTCTTCTATGCTAATTCTTATTAATAAGATACGATAATTAAATTTTCACTGGAGGAGACCACTGATTTTAAAGCATTTCTATGTAAATATTTATCCTTTTATATTTCTAAAGATTCTGACTATTGTTGATAATACTATAAAATATATAATGGTTTGCGATTTTTTTATAGTAATATTTCTATAATAATAATTGACGAATATCCTCTCTATTCTCGACAGCCATTCCATTATTGAGCGAGTGGTGTTCATGGTCTTTGAGTGCGGGTGAAGCTGTCTCAGCTCGTGATCAATTGGAAGAGGTGCTTCGTAGGGCTGGGGCTGATCCACTGTCTGGGAAGATCTTCTGGGACGCCAAGCATGAGCTGGAAAAAGCCAAACTGGAAACCATGAAGTATGTTATAAATAGTTTGTACATGTGTTTTCTTTTTTTTTTATATATTTTATGCCAAACTTCGTCATAAAGATTACATGTAATAATAACGAAATGTTATTATCTATTTATTTATTACACTTATGTTGGTATTTTTTACATATATGTCTAAGTTTTCACAGTGTCTCATAAACCAATATTGGTTTTTCCGTACACTTGAGATTACATTTAAGTAACGAAACAAAAAGCAAATTAATCCACTTGCTGCCACTAAGTTTTGCGAATGATTTATATAGTTTTTATTTTTTTTAATTATATGATTTATAAGCATCGCATAAAAGACTCGTCTCTTATACTACTACTGAAACATTACAACACGAAATCCAGTAAGGCTTTGATGAAAATTATTATAAATTGAGATTCACAAATCTCTATTAAATACCATAGGTTTTGTGTTAAAAAAAAAAAGATTAATGCAGGCGATAGACAATGGCGTTTATTTAGGATACGAAAAAATAGAGTTAGGCTGTATGTATTTCTGACTCTCAATAGATTCATGCCTCAATTTAATATTCATAAGTAAATGAATATATTGAAACAATAAAAATAAAATTTATTTAATATTGAGCTCCTTTAACACACAATTTCATCAAAATTGGATATCAAATTTATTATATTACAGATATTATTCTTTCAATGCTCATAATTGTACTCGAATAATACATTGTTTTAAATTGCTTAGCCGCAGCGACAGTTGGTTAAGTTTGATGTTATGTGGTTTGTTGTTTGAATAATAACCTTATGTCTGTAAAAATAAAGCGCTTATTTCTCTTTAAAAATATAAGTAAATGCGCATCGATAAATCTGGCTGAGTTTCTATGCGAATGTTTACATTTTTATTTAAAAATGCTATCCAGCACAGCGATTACATTATAAGTGAATTATCGAATAGTAATTTATTTTACATATAACACTTATAAAGTCAATTCTATTATGGGTCTATTACTTGTTAAAGGAATCACAACGCAATCTTATATCCAAATCTATTGAAAAAGCTTTTAAATTATTTTTTCTGTTCAAACCACTTGTAAGAACTTTATACTACTCTTCATTTAATATATGCTTAGCTTTATAAAATATTAAATCTTTGTTTCATCAAAATTGGTTACAAGGAAATAAAATGTTAGTTCAACGACCATATTCATTACTCTTTCCATACATTTATATATAAATTTTTAAATGTAAACGAAGTCGACGGCAACATCTAGTATAATTATTAAAGTCAATTTGAAACTCGTATAATATTTTTATAAAGTTCTTAAAGTATTTTAAATATGAATCATACAATTCTAATTCCACACAAAAATCTATATTTTAGTTATAAGTGCAATAGCTGCTTAATGATTTCCAAATGCGAATTAAAATGTCATATCACAGAACTCGGCGAGTAAGATAAAAAGTAAAACCTCTTAACATGTAGTATTGCAACTGACATAAATATATTTTGAAATGCTAATTAAAAAAAGAACAAGGAATAAAAATAGTATGCTTAATACTTTATGTCTATTTGTCCAAACCTCCACTAAACTCGAAAACTGCTAAACAGATTATATCTAATATATAAAATTCTCGTGTCACAGTTTTCGTGCCCATACTCCTCCGAAACAACCTGACCGATTTTGATGAAATTTTTTGTGCTTATTCGGTAGCTATGAGAATCGGCCAACATCTATTTTTCATCCCCCTAAATGTTAGGGGTAGTCCACCCCTAAATCTTTTTTTTTTATTTTTTAGACAAAATTTTTAATTACTATTTTTTTATGATACAACGTACAAAAATACATACAATCCTAAATTTTCACCCTTCTACGATCAACCCTTATTTTTTAATAGCTATTTTAGTAATTTAATCATTTTTCATCTCCGGTCGATAACTGATCAATCGTCATTTAATAAGTTATCCCCGCCAGATATCTACAGGTGTCACTTCTGACCCAGTAAACAGCACGGAGTAGGGATGAGAACGAAGCCGGTCTTCTGTTTCTCTCACACAATTAGACTTCTCTCACTCCCTACACAGTTGTCGGCCATCGTTATTGTTTGTGTATCAAGTGTAGTAGTAACGTTGACAATTATTATTTTGCTAGCTCAGTGTAACTCTCATATTAACTATTAATCATTCCTAATCACTTCAAAACACGGAGATTTAACGCTTTAATAGGTAAACTCCAAAAATATAAATAAAAAAACGTAACAGATATTTCTTGATTATAGGGCGAAACGAAGTTCGCCGGGTCTTCTAGTTGTTTCTAAAATTTGAATTGCTAAGCGTAGTTTTTAACATTGGTGTTTGTTTCATCAAAATTGGTTGCTGGGATGAAAATTATGCTCATTAACGAATTATTACCCATCATCGTATATACGCGGATGGAAAATTAAATAAATAAATGAAAGAAAAAATACTATAATGAAATTATAATCAGTATTCAGTCATTGTTTCATCAAAATTGCCTGTCAAAATAATGAGCTACGATAATTTACCAACGATGTCAATTAATTAAGAATTTAATTGTACCGATAAAAAGTCTGTATTCTAATAAAATTGTATATATGAAAAATAAAACTTAATTATATTTATCAAAATAGATATATAAACATGCTTCTTATAGACATACAGATACATATGCATTGACATATGTTTCTTTGTTGATACATAGATGTAAGTGGAAATGCCAATAATAACATACCTGCCTCCGATAAAATCTGCGATTGTATAAATTAAGACAAATTTATTGAATTAATGTCATTTTTTATATATTTTTTTAAATATGAAGTGTATTAGAATAGGTACTGAATGAATATTTCTTATATACTCGAAAACAATTATAAAATGATAATTTAAAGATGAGAACCATGACAATTTGTATAAATATGTACATATATGGATATATATATGCGGAACAAGTTGCGAGCAAGAAATAGTATAAGAAAAATTACGATAATATATTTCACATAATTCTTATTTCTTATCGAGTTAATTAAATTGAAACTATACTCAATATACAATAAGTTATTTCTTCCTTTATTCGTTGAAATATAGAAGAGTATTTGGGCGAATTTATGAAAACTATACATATGTATATGATTAATGATTGTGCGGTGCGAATTTGTTTAACTATATATATATATATATATATATATATATATAATAAATTAATAGTGTTGCATCAATAGACATTAATTAAATAAGCAATAGAATCAAAATATATTTCATACTATAAAAAAATTACATTTAAAAGTGACAATTTCACAATAAAAACTAACACATTTTATATACATATATGTGCATAGTTGGTCGTATTATACGCGGACGTAGAAGAGGGCAAAATATGGTATTAAAAAAAAAACAAAAAAAAAATTACCTTATTTATTATGAATTTAAATATTTTTAAATTATAAAAAAGCGACTTCTGTTGTTTGAATACGTTTACCAAAAATTTATGCTAGCGGTAGAGAGGCAACTTTGACATGAGTAAAATAATTTGTAATTTTCTGTCTTTTTGTCACTTGTTTCATTCATGCTCAGCGACGTAATTTAAAAGTAGTTACTTTAGTTTAACGATTGAACGAAATACTTTATTCAAGACCTATTGCGTTTCATAAAAATTTAATACCAATAGAGATTTTTGTGTATATAAATAGATTAAATAAAAAAAATGAATAGATAGAAGTCTATATTATTCTTGAATTTAACTCGCGTTTTTTTTTATTTTACAATACGTATTGAGTATATCAGTAAAATAGTGAAAACGCTGAGTTAAATGCCAAGTATTTTAGATATCATTAACAATAAAATGACTGGAAACAATAAAGAGGTGGTAAATAATATATATAATTAACACGTCCAATTATAAATATGTTTCTGTCTACACGTGTCTCTGTTTCGAATTATCTAGGAAATTATTCGCATGTTTTAACATTATTCAAAAGGCATCAATGAATATAAATGATGGCAGTTAGATAATAAAATAAATTTTGTTCTACGTAAGCAAAGTCGAGGGCTTGTTATAGATATTTTTATTTATTATTGTAACAGATTTTTGCAAATTATTTATTATTCGAGTAAGTATAAATAGACTAATTATACCCGATTTTAACTATTATTCAGTTTAAAAGAGCTTCATGCCTTGAACTATGGCCCATCCATCTTCTATAATTTTCTCCTCTTTCTATATATGCATATATTTTATGTTATCTTCTTTTGTGCTCTGCGAATTCTCTGAGATTATAAATGAAATTAAGTGTGATGCAATGCAACATAATTATAAATTAAGCCCTGCGAATTTGGCAATTTTCTATATATTAGGTGCTATACATTAAATTCAATGTGCAATGATAAGAAATATAAAACAAAACACGAAGCCAGCGTTAAAAAACTATTCAGGTGTCAATAACCTTCAAAATTACTGAACTGATTTGATTTCACTTGCCTAAGTTAGGATATGTTTGGTTTTTAAAAATAATTCACCTTTGGTTTAATAAAATTGTATGTCAATAAAAATACTTGGTCTTTGTTTCATCGAAATCGAATGTTGATAAAATGTTTGGTTTTTATTTCGTCAACGTTGGATATGGATAAAAATATTTAGATTCTCCTCGTTAAAAAAAAAATGGATAAAAATATTTGGCCTTTATTTCATCAAAATCGGATGGTGGTTAAGTATTTGGCCTTTGTTTCATCAAAATCGGATGGTGGTAATTATTTTTGATCTTTATTACATGGAATTCGGAGGTTGGTAAATATATTTTTCATTATTTCACCGAAATCGTATGTATGTAAAAATATTTTGTCTTGATATCATCAAAATCGGACTGGGTTAAGTATTTGGTCTTTGTTTCACCAAAGTTAGATTTTGGTAAAAATTTTTGGTCATTATTTCATTGAAATCGGATGTTGATAAAAATATTGTCATTATTTCATCAAAATCGGATGTTGGTAAAAATATTTGTTCTTGATTTCAACAAAATCGGATAGTGGTTAAGTATTTGGTCTTTGTTTCATCAAACTCGGGTGTTGGTAAAAATATTTGATCATTATTTTATCGAAATCGGATGTTTGTAAAATATTTAATTTTTGTTTCATCAAAATCGTACGTGGGTAAAATATTTGGTCATTATTTCGTCTAAATCGGATGTTGCTATAAATATTTGGTCATTATTTCATCGAAATCGAATGTTGGTAAAATATTTAGTTTTTTTTTTTCATCAAAATCATATGTGGGTAAAATATTTGGTAATTATTTCATCGAAATAGGATGTTGGTAATACATATATTTAGTTTTTGTTTCATCAAAATCGTATGTGGGTAAAAATATTTGGTCATTATTTCGTCTAAATCGGATGTTGGTATAAATATTTGGTCATTATTTCATCGAAATTGGATGTTGGTAAAATATTTAATTTTTGTTTCATCAAAATCGTACATGGGTAAAATATTTGGTCATTATTTCTTCTAAATCGGGTGTTGGTAAAATATTTCATCATTATTTCGATGAAGTCAGATGTGGGTAAAATATTTTCCCTTTTTCATCAAAGTCGGATATTGTTAAAAATATACCCGTTTTCGATCGTAACTTGTTATATACCTCTGTGCATTAACCATATTATACATCTAATTTGACGTGGACAAAGTTGTGGGCAGTATCTAGTCTAGTATCTATCTATATCATATCAATTCCTACAATATTATTTGATTTAATAATATAAATTAGCATTATTATTTGTTTATGCACAATCATATGAATCTGAATTGCAATTACGATCTGTAATAACGTTTTTCTACTAAAGACTGCAAGAAAATCTTTTCCCATATTACTTAACACTATATTCTTCATTCAATGCAACTAAGACATATCTTTATATATCAAAAAAGTTGAGTAAATTATACTATTTATAACTCAAGAACGGTTGTACGGGTTTGGCTGTAAATTGGTTGAGAGGTAGCTTAGAACAAGGGAAACGACAAAAATATAAGTTGATCAAATCCAAAAACTTTTTATCCACTGCCTTAAAAGAGGAATAGAGTTCGCCCAGTCAGTTATACATTTCTAATAACGAAATTAACGCTAACGAAGTCGCGGGCAAAAACTAGTAATTAATAAATGAGAACACATACAAATTAGTAATGTAATAAAATAGAAGAATTTTTGCAAAAAAGTTTAGAATAAAACCGAACAGACTCATGAGATTGACATTCAATATTAATAAATATGTACATATTTTATATTGTAATCAACAGACTAAAAAATTGAACAGATTTTTTTATAAATATTACATTGTACAGAAATCACCTTACATTGTAAAATTTACGCAATTGGTTTTTTACTTAAAAATATAGTTTCATAATTTCAAAATTAAGTAGTAACTCAAAATTTTAATTCATATACCAGGTTTATAAGCTATGTATAATTTCTAAAAATATTGAGAAACAACAACCAAATATTTTTTATGTGACAATTAGGAACATATATATAATGCTTTATTTCGTTGCTTTTGGTTAATGTTTCGCTTGCGTTTTTATATTGTACTAGCTGACCCGGCAAACCCTGTTTTGCCATACAAAAAATTTTGGGTTGTACGTATTCTTAATGCTACATTATAAAAAAATAAAAACAAAATTTCGTCCGAAAAAGAAATTAAGGGTGAACAACTGTTATGACTTAGGGTTATGAAAAATAGTTGTTAATTGATTGTCAGACCTACTCAATATGCTCACAAAATTCCATCAAAATCGGTCCAGCCGTTTAAGCGGAGTAGTCTGTCTAACACCACGACACGAGAATTTTATATATATTATTATTATTATATATAGAATTTATTTAAAATTAAAATTTGAGATTCGAAATGTTAAAATATTTAATATCATTACCAGGCGCAGAATAAGATGCTATCGAACTATTATTGATTTAATTTTTTTTTAATTTCACCCTAAATATTTGTAACTAGTTATCAGCTATGCGTTTATCTTCCTGAATTTTGTATTAAAAATCACTCTAAATTGTTTTTCTGTTTGAATCGTCGAAAGCAAATGAAAAAGAAAGGCAGATAAATAGAAATGAAATTATGTATAAAACGTTGTTATTCAGTAGATGATAATGTTTAGACAGAGACGCATTTAATAAATATCTAAATTTAATTTTATTAACCACCATTGTTTCCAGTCAAACGAAATTTAAACTTATTCTCCGTAACTGAAGTTAAGATCACTAACTCCTCTTATAACTGGTATATATTGCTATGTTATAGTCATTCACAAAAAGAAATTAGTAAATCTATATTATAGTTATCAAATTCTCGTTAACAAAGTTAACATAGATTGACACACCATAACATGTCCATGGTATGTAAAATCCTCAGCGAAGACGATCCGGAGTACAAGGAGCAGCAACAGCGTATTCTATGGTGTTTGGAAGAAGCTGTATCACGACCTCTACTGAGGGGTGAAGAGGCCTGGCCGTTGTTGCAAGAATATGTGCTGCAAGTCCACGATCAGGAATACTTGGATCAGGTAAGAGGTCTACGTAGATTACTTGATAAACCAATAAAGCCAATATGAAAATGTAACCCATACTATAACATGTTGTCATAAAATAAGCATCAATTCTGAGATATGGTTAAGGTAAGCGTTAATTTTGTTTAATTAGAAGGAAGGTTTTTATTCCTGTTTGGATATAGATACTGTTAGCCTTAATGTTAAGAACTAGTATTTTTGAATATTTTAATTATTGTTATGTTAAATGTGAAAAAATAAAAGTGTTGAAACTACCCAAAAATGACTGGATTAATAAAACAATAATAGATAAAATAAATGAAATAAACTTAATGATTAATGTGGTATAAGAGCAAAGAAAGTCCAAATGATGACTCAATTAAATCAAAATTTATTAAGAAAAGAAATGAAGTTGCACAGGTTATACAAGACAGTAAAAGTAACTACTATATTAATAAATTGAACAATTACAAAATTAAACCTATAAAAATGTGGAATCTCATTTATGCTCTATCAAATAATAAAGAAAAGGAGCAACAATTTCCAACTGAACTCTTATTAGAAGACAAATGCATAACAAATAAGAAGGAAATTTGTGGATATAGAACTCATATTTTTCGAGTGTTGGTTCTAAATTAGCTGCAAATATACCCAAAAAATGTTTTGACATATCATGCAATGAAGTAAGCGTATCTGGAAATTAAAAATTTTCTCTTGCTGAATTTAGACCGGTAACGGTTGAGGATGTTGGTCAAATAATAATAATAATCAGTAACTTAAAAAATAATTGTAGCTCAAGTCTAGATACGATAACCACTAAAGCCATCAAATGTGTAAAAACCTTGATACTTAAAGAACTTAGTGCTTGTATAAATAATTGTAAAAAAAAGTAACGTTTCCAGATAGCCTTAAAAACGCAAAAGTTTCTCCAATTTATAAATCCGGTAAAAAATGTGATCCCGGAAATTATCGTCCAATTTCAATAATTCCAGTATTATCTAAAATATTTGGAGACTCCAACTTTGGAGATTCTACCAGTGTTTTGAGGTATATTCGATTGGTACGAAAGTGGACATCCTAGGACAGCCTAAACAAGAACCTAAGTTTTTAATAAGGAAAATTAAACCAATAAATGGATGACATTTCTGTATGGTAAATATAAAGTGACTATTTATATAATTTCAGGTTAAAAAGCAACATGAAGCGGCCATTGAATATTTACAGAAAATAACACCGTATGAAGATAAGCTACTGACAATTGAGTAAGTTATAATGAAATAAGATGACTTAATTGGTTACTAATTATTTTAATGAATTTTCATCATTTTGTTTGAGTCAAATTTATTTAATAAAATTTAACCTCCGTCCAACAAGATCTATTAATTTTTGGTTCAAGTTGACAGCGTAACCTGAACAACTTATAAAAATATTCATTTTGTATAGAAATGTCATTATTAATAACTCCTACTCCTAGTGTTTCTATAAAGTTATATCTCCAAGTCAATAAAATAATTTTTCTCGTTATATTTATGCATATTTTCTATGAAAACGTTTAAGTAATTTTTTTTATACCATGTAATATTAATGTTAAATCTCCTCTATTCCAGGGATGTTGATGAAAAATGCAAAATTTATCAAGATTACATTGAGACAGTCATAAATTTGTCAAAAGAGAAGAAATATGTCGATTGCGACAGCAATGGAATACTGAAGGTATTGTATATAAAGATTGATGAAAACTAAACTATATCTTTGTGAATAAATAAAGTAATTGTATGAAAAATTGCCTTAGTATAATAATAGTACAATTCAAATTAAGAAGAAACTTATTATATAGGTAATAAGTTTGGTTTCAATTAAATATATATGTAATTTTGTTTTTTACCCAGGTTCTGTATGACCGGGCGACAACCGAATGCATCTCCTGCGAAGCCTCTCACGATCTTCTGTTGGCTTTGGCCAAACACGTTCAGGCGATTTCATCTCGAGCCACCATACATCGTATACATGAGCTGTGTACTAGACGCTGTCCTAGGAAGCATACCTTCTGGGTGCTGAAGATGCAGCAGGCTGAACACGAGGAGAAGAGCTTTGAGGAGGTATTGTTAAGACTTTACATAAGAAACTAGAAGAACCGGCGAACTTCGTATCGCCCTATAATCAAGAAATATCTGTTACGTTGTTTTATTTATATTTTTGGAGTTTACCATTTTAAAGTCATAAATCTCTAGTGTTTTGAAGTGCGACAGAATGATTGACATATTAGTTAGTTGTCAAATCTAATGTCAAAAAAAAAACGTTTGTATCAACAACTACTAATAAATTAAAAATTAAAAAAACATTGTCCAGCGGACAAAATAGAGAATCTAAACCATTTCCAGATCCCCTTGAACACACACAAAAAATTTCATCAAAATCGGCTCAGTCTTTTGAAAGAAGTTTAGTGACACACACTCACAGAAGAATTATATACACCTAAGTCTGTTTTTACACGGTCTTTTTGTACACGGTTTTGATATAACACGGTTTGAAAATTGAATATTTTTAATTTTTTTATTCCATTTAGCACGATTTGAAATTTTATGTACTTAAATTAAAATACAAATTCTACATTTTTCAAAATGTAGATGCCGAACGAGCAAGAGAAAGTCCAGTTCAAAATTATTCCAGCGATGATAGTGAATGTATACGCGTTCGAAGCAAGCGAATGCGAATAACTGATGACGACAGCAATTAAATTTATGTTGTTGTATTTATGATTATCACTTATTCTATTTTATTTTTTACCTTAAACATTGAATAACCTATTCTTTTCGTTCACAACAGTTTTTTAGTTCCTGAACTTGCCATACATTTAATTTATATTACTTTTAAGATTAGAGTGGATATCTTTTTTATCATTAATTACTATGCTTGTGTAAATAAGCATTATATATTTCATTTAATAAAATAAACATGAATTCTTGTTCTTAAAAATTCTTGTTTTTCACTAATTTTAATAGGTTTTAGAGATTAGGAACAAATCACCCATTTTTGTATAAGATCAATGTCTTTTTTTACACGGCTTCTTCTGGAACCAATCTACCGTGTAAAAACAGACTTAGGTGTATATAAAGATTAACTTTCTATAGACATCCATTAATGATGTGTACAAAATATGGGACCAGTCAAGTGAAATGTCACGTACCATTCTTTCTTTCAAAGCATGTTACGATGAGAGAAAAGATTTTCTTCAACGGGATTCACCCTTTTATTGAATTTATTACGACAAACCGGTTTTTTGTAAAGTAACCTGATTACAAATGATATATTATACCGTTGGAGTAATAACTAAAGAAGTTTTTACGCCATTTTTAAAGCATACATCGTAATTTTTTTTACCACGTAAAGTATATGACATTTTTTCGGTGTATAAATGCTTGATACTTCACAGTTATTTCATTTTAAATTATTTGTATAACATTAAAATGAAATGCGAATTACGAAATACTACATTAACGAATGTAACATTTGTTTTACTTTTTGGTGGTTAATAAAAAAAAAAACAATTTGGGTTTATACAGGGTGACTGGTGAATTACTATCAATATTTAAGGAGAATACTCGGTACATGATTCTCATTCGAATTATGTAAAAAAAAAGGCACTTAATTTTTGACAAAATTTCCGTATAAATAAATTAAGTGTTGACACGTTCCAAGTGTTCCAAAGTGTGGACACGTGCTGATACAACACCACGACGCCGCACGCGTATGTGTGAGTGTGTGTGTATACCTAATCTGTAGGGTGTTCACACGATGCGTAATTAATTACATAACTTTTGGTTAACTTTACTTAGAAGTTTATTAATATTTATGTTATATTAATTTTTATTTTGTCATATATGATCGTCAAATAGCACGTCCTCAAGTATCGATAGTAATTCACCAGTCACCCTGTATAACAAAATGGGGATTTTGTAGAAAAATAGTATAATAAGGATAAATCATTAAACTTAAGGCAAAATGTTATTTAACACCATTACCTTATCACCCGTTTCTTATGGCTGCTCGGTTTTATCCAATATTTGCGGACTATGTTCAATGTGCGTTGTTATCATGTGTTGTAAATGTTCATAGAGCTTCCTTAGTATTTTAGTTCCTTATTGGAACAAACTCTTCAGTTTTAATATTCATATATTTAATTATCAAATCTCAATAAGGCCATTTTCGTATCGGCGTTTTAAATCATTAATTTACGTCGATATCTTAGTGTAATTGATCTATGTTTATTCTACGGCTAGCAATACTTACGGATAACATATTTTTCTTTCGTAAATCTTTGCACATTATATTATTAAGCTCCTTTTTAAATAAATTGTCTGAGTATATTTTACTATAAGTATTTAGTGCTTACTGCTTAGTATTCATTTCAATTTTAGACAAAAGTACAGAATTATTATTAAACAAAAATTTCATATATATCTAGTAAAATGTAGTAGAATATAATTGTGAAAGTTTTGTGAAAATGTTCTTTTACGCAAAAACTTCTTAACTTAACTTATTTCTCTCTAACCCCAATGTCAAATTCTCGCGAGCTAAGTAGCGATCAAAAGTAGTATGTATATATTTTAAAACACCATAAATGTATAATTTCAGGTGAAGTCAATATTCGAGACGGCGCTGTCTAAAGGCATGGAAACTTATAAGGAAGCTGAAAAACTGTGGATGAGCTATCTAGAGTACATCCGTCGAGCTACGACCTTCGATAACAAGGAGCACTTGGATAGACTGCGGCGAACATTCAGACTGGCCTGGGACTCACTCGCTGAGGTAGTCACATATATACATATATTTTTCATTTTTCTTTTTCTTCCTAGCAATTTCCCAACTCTAGCCAGGGTCCGCCTTACATGTTGTGAACAGTTTTGGCTTATTGTTTTTACTGCCTTCCGACATCAACCCTCTTTGGGAACCAACATTAATCAGTGATGTCTAAAGTACTTAGAAAGTACATATGACTCGGAAAAATCACATTGCTACTTGCCAGGATCGAACCCGCGCCTTCATGCATAAGAGCAGGCCTTTTAACCACTAGGCCACCACTGACTTCTTATTACGTCTCATATACTTTTCATTATATATCGATATTTATTTCTTCGATACTTTGATTTCTTTTCAACTTCACGTCGGTAATATCTGTTCCATTCTGATATCTTTTTTTCTGCATAAAAATATTAATAAAAAAAAACAACCTTCACATCAAACTCACAATTTTTATTATTAATCATAATTTGTATGTCTATTAATAGGTTAATTAAAATTTAAAAGCTTCTACAATTACGTATTTTTATGTTTCATATACATATATAACTACCTCATTCGTATTTTCTATAGTACGTGATATTTTCAGAATATTTAATAATTATGTGATTTAATTAATTTTTGTCTCTATATTATCGTGGTTATTATGTTATAGGGAGGTATTGTGTATTTAGAGTATTTAAATATACTCTGCTAGTAATTTGTACAATTATTACTAAAGGTTCGTTGCTTTTAAGTTTTTTTATTATATTATTCACGCTTGAAAATAAAAAAGTAATTAAAATCACCTATACACATCGTGGAATGCAGAATTGTATTTGTGGAAGTGTATTTAATAATAATATACAGAATTCTTTGTCTTACTCGATAAACCTATCTCGATTTATGTCCAAGACAAGTGAAATTTTTGTTTTAAAAGCAATAAAGTGATTTTACGGAATATGATCAATGAAATTCGCCCTCACAAGTTAACATTATAAAAAATTTATTATGTAATTGTATAGTAACTTGTTCTACATATTTATGAAAAACCAATGAATTAAACATATGTATCAAGTAATTTTTAGTTAGTTTATTTCTGACTCGCTTTCCGCCCGCAGCTTCGCCCGCGTAGAGTTCGGTTACATCGCGTTTCCAAGAGAACCTTTCAAAAGTCTGGGATAAAAACTATCCTGTTCTTTCTCAAGGTCAACTCTATGTCTGTACCAAATATCATTAAAATCAGTTCAGTGGTTTAGGCGTGAAAGCGTAACAGACAGACAGACAGAGTTACTTTCGCATTTTTAATATTAGTAGGCGTTTAGTTTTTATAATAATTTAATTACAGGAGTTTGATTAAATCATTCTTAAGAAGCGAAGGTTTAACATAAACGATAAATTAATAGTTTTAAAAGCTAATTATGTGAACTCATCATAGTAATAATAGTATGATTATGTGGTATGTAACTATGTACCTAGAATAAACGCAAGGTTTAATGAAATGGTAAGACCGTTATCTGTACCGAAAATGTGTTAAAACTTTCACTGCATGAATTACTTAATTTAAAATTTATAATATTCTGGCTAACAAATAATTCAACGCTAAAAATCTTTTAACATTATTTACATTAAAATATTTTTCTGTCATAGTTTCGTCTACTGAAAACATATTTTGTTATTAATAAAGATATAAAAAAATATGTTTTAATCGACTACATTAGTTTGAAATTTTTTTAATTATTCCTCAACGACGAAAGGACGAAATGTATAGAGATCAAATGTTGTAATAATTATTACTCTGAATGTACTGCCAAAGAACAGACCGTTTACTGAATTTCAATTCATATTTATTCTATAAGCAAGGACCGCCCATACCTTGAATGAATTGGGTCCAATACTGGTAATAAAATTTGTTTAAGTTCCAGTAACATTATATATATATATATATATATATATATATATATCTACCCAGCCGTATTCGGCTATGGTGACTTAGCTTTGTTTTATAGATTACATAGGTAATATTTAAGAGCTGCGATGCGACCTCACATGGCTAAAGTAACCAATCTTAGCACTAAACGTGCGACCACAAGTGTCACACGTCAGTGTACCATTTACATAATTGTATGTTATATTAGCAGGTGGACGTGCTTTTATTCGGTCGCGTTTGAGATCCAGTTCTAGTTTTCTGTTATCTTCAAATGCATGTACTTTTTCATGTACATGCCGTCTCCATCCAGATCTGTTTTCAGCGAGAGATTCCCAGCGAGACGGTTCAATGCCGCAGCTCTTCATGTGTCTTTTCTGAACATCTTTAAAGCGCAAGTATTGGCCCCCGCGTTTCCGCTTACCAAACTCTAGTTCAGAAAAGAAGATGCGCTTCGCTTTTCGCTCGTCTGACATTCTCGCAAGGTGTCCGCACCAACGCAACTGACGCTGCATCAAGTATGCCTCAATTCCATAGACATTAGCTCGTCGAAGAACATCGGTATTGCGAATCCGATCCGACCATTTAATGTTTATAATTTCGCGGAGGCATTTTAGATGGAATCTGTCAAGCGTGCGTATTTGTCTGCGATGTAGGCACCACGTCTCAGATGAGTACAAGATGATGGGCAGTACGGTCGCCATGTATACCTGTATTTTTGTACTTAATTTGATGTTATGGGATCTGAATACTCGGACTCGGAGACTACCAAAAGCAGCCATGGCAGAGCCAAGTCTACTATTGATCTCCAAATCAAGGTCGCCTTTGGCTGTTATGCTGCTACCAAGGTAACGAAATTTGTCTACGTGTTTTAATTTATTTCCGCTAATGTGTAGATTGAATGGACCCTGATTTTCGGCACCCATAGCCATCACCTCGGTTTTTGCGATGCTAATTTTTAAACCAAATCTAACACATGCGCTATTAAGTCTCGAGATAAGGTCTTGTAATCCTTCAGAAGTATCCGCTACAAAGCACAAATCGTCGGCATACATGAGTTCAGTAATAAGATCATGTGATACTTTTGTGTGGGATTTAAGCCTAGCAAGGTTAAATATGCCGCCATCCGTACGATACCGTATTCGAATTCCTTCCGTATTATTTTGTAGACTTTCCTTCACAACTACCGAAAAATACAGGGCAAAAAGTGTTGGCGCCAATACGCAGCCCTGCTTTACACCACAGGTGACGGGAAACTGCTCTGACTGCTCACCATCAACAACCACTCTACATGTCATATTCTCATGAAGAAGTTTTATCAGACGTATAAATTTGTCAGGACATCCTAATTTCGACAGAACAATCCATAACGCCTCACGAGGCACGCTGTCAAAAGCCTTCTCCAGATCTATGAAACAAAGGAACAGAGGTTGGTACTGCTCTCTGCTTTTCTCCTGCAATTGTCTTAACGAGAAAATAGCTTCGCAGGTGCCTCTGTTTGGTATGAAGCCAAATTGTGTTTCAGGCAATATCCTTTCTGATAGATCCATTAGGCGGTTTAGGAGAACCCTAGCAAACGCTTTTCCAGCGGTGGAGAGCAATGAGATACCTCTGTATGAGTTACAGTCCGAGCGATTGCCTTTGTTTTTATAAAGGGGACAAATTAGCGAGACACCAAAATCAAAGGGCACTTTTTCCTCCTCCCATATCTTTTGAAAGAACAACCAGATCTTATGGTGTAGCGTATCTCCTCCATACTTCAGTAATTCTCCAGGAATATTGTCTACACCGAAAGCCTTTTTATTCTTTTGAGCCTTGATGGCTTCAATAACTTCCTGGAATGAAGGAGGTTGAACTAGATCTTCAGCTCTTGTTAATTCAGGGAGTAATCTCAGATATTCAAGATCAGCCAGCCGATCAACATTAAGTAAGTTATTAAAGTGCTCCGCCCAACGATTTAGAACATCTTCCTTAGCGACCAGAAGATTGCCATTCGTGGATTTAATGGGCACACCTATTCTATGTGAGTTTCCGACGAGTTTCCTAATCTCCCCAAAGAATTCGCCTAATTGATTGGTGTCTGCAAGCCATTGGATGTGTTCGATTTTGTTCTGCCACCATTCATCCTTAGCTGTACGAGTGAGTTTCCTGAGTTTTAATGTACTCTGTCTTATTCTGTCAGAAACATTCATCTGACCTTCCCCACGAAGAAGTTGGCGATGTTTCGCCAAAGCATCTGATAACAACTTTTCATTATCATCAAACCAGTCTGCACTTGAGCGAGGTTTGATGCCAAGAACTTCTTTGGCAGTTCTAAGGATGTTAGTAGATAGGAAATTCCAAGTTTCAGTCGTGTTGTCAGCAGCAGGGTCAATAGTTGTTAGATTGTAGATAGCTTCCCTGTACTTATCTACAGTTTCGGTTGACTCCAGTTTTTTTAGGTCAAGGCTAAACTGCCTGATTTTACAGGGTCTTCGGCGAGGCCATAGACGCAAACGCATTTTGGTTATCACGAGTCGGTGATCTGACCAACAATTTGCGCCACGCATAACCCGTGTAATAGTGATCTCAGAGATGTCCTGCTGTCTAACGATGGCGTAATCAATAAGGTGCCAGTGCTTAGACCTTTGATGCATCCAGGTGGTTTTGTATTTTGCAGGCAGTCTAAACATGGTGTTGGTAATAGCCAAACGAAATTGTGAACAAAGGCTTAAAAGTAACTGGCCATTGTCATTCATATTTCCAACACCATGATGCCCCAATACACCAGGCCAAGCTTCGTAGTCACGTTCAACACGAGCATTGAAGTCGCCGAGTAACAAGATTTTCTCACAGCTACGAATTTTGGACAACGTTTGTGAATGTTCTTCATAAAATTGGTCTTTCACGTCGTCACTTTTATCAATCGTAGGTGAGTATACACTAATAATATTTAAACGCTTGTCGTTTTCAAGATGAAGACGCAAGGACATTATACGATCTGAAATACCAACAGGATATTCTACCAATTTAGAGGCTAGTGTGGTTTTAACTGCAAACCCTACTCCTGATCGTCTAGGCTCAGAAGCTGGTGTACCTTTCCAAAAGAACGTGTAACCCCCGCCGCGTTCGATAATTTCTCCCTCATCAGCCAGGTGAGTTTCGCTGAGAGCAGCTATATCGACATTATACCGTCCAAGCTCTCGCGCTACGATGGCGGTTTTCCGTTCGGGGCAAAGGTTGTTGGTTCGATCTATAAGAGTGCGGACGTTCCAAGCGCCAAAAGTCATAGTCCGTTGGATTGTTTTAGTTTTCAGTTTCTTTGTGGTGCGACCACGCATAAATGGGATGTCCAGGTAGCCGTGGTTACTACCTCCCATAAAGTTGGGATGAGCATTTGTTTGGGGCACCTTTTCTAGCCCCCTCCTCGGCTATGCGAGGAAAGCAGTGCCTCTCTAAATAGAGCTGCTTTGTCGCAGAGGGTGCTGCCGAAACCGCACTGTCATCCCGTCGCAGTGCAGGAGCGACCACTCTCCCTAAGCCGCCTATGTGCAGGTATCAGACAAAGAACGGTATACATCAAAACCGAACTTTTCTACCTCTACCTATCGCCACAGGGCTTCTAGTTCCAATATTCCGATAAAAACAAAGCCAAAGTCAAGTACGCAGGATATATTTATTTGCATAAGTGGACGCGCAATACACAGATGCACCCTCTCGTCTACCTCCCCTTAATCCAATGGAACGGATACCCGCTACGATCGGAGGAGAGGGAGATGCAGTCTCTGGCAACGATACATCACTCCTATCGCCACCTTCAGGCCTTCAACGTTGCCTGGTTGTCTCGCCATTGAGAGTGGACTGCATATGTGCCAAGACAAACAGCACATGCACGGGGAGTTGCCGTGTTAGGCTCGAACACTGACATAAGCCGTCGCAAAGACGGAATATGACAGTACTCGGGCCCCCCTCAACCAGGTTTAGCCCGCGAGTCGACGCGGTTCCCAGGGTGTGGCCGCTGTGTGCTAACAGCTGCTAGGAGCCACTGGTGAGAGGACTTTTTAGACCATCAACGATTTTATCAAAGCAGAAAACTGTACCTTAAAGGTCGACTAACAGTAACTGACGCTGACAATCTAATACACCCCACCCAGTAACATTATCAAAATATACTAATATAATCTAATACTAAATCTAATACTAAAATATAATCTAATACACCCCATCCAGTAACATTATCAAAATATTAAATAATGTATGGGTATTAAATAATATTGACACGTCATAATTGTATTACTTAATTATGACGTTGGTTATTCAACTGCTAAAAACACCAACACACGTGTTAAATTTGTATATTTTTTAAGATTCCAGTTTTAATACAAACCTACCATACTTCAATTCTTAATACATATGTGATTATTCAAGAAAATCCTTTATAAACTATTCAAATGAAAAATATTCTTGGCTTAGCAATATACAGTGTAAACTCTTTATAACGACACTCGATTTAAGACAAACTCTCTAAAGCGTCGAAATCATTTGACTTTGGTTGGTTTAGCTGGTCTATCATACAATCATACACTCTACATAGCAACACATCCACTCTCAATAACGACAACAATTAAGTAATAAAAAGTACCTTTTAAGTTGTTAAAATTAGTAAAAACTGTGCAGCTGTGTACGTTCCTTTGTCACTTTGTTATCCTAGCCCGCAATATACTCGACTGTCACTATCTACCGAACTTTCTAAGAAATTCGTTCTTTTGTTTACAATTACAAATTGCTTACACGTGTCGACGGTTTTGGAAACCTACATGGAAATAGATGACTGCCTCCTTACAACGGCTTCACTCACAGACAAAGAAATTTTAGATTCAGTGAGAAAAACTGAGGATCAACAGCAAGGAAATGAAGAAGATGAGACAGATGGGCCTGAGCCTCCGCCGAGCATTAAAGAAGCTTTGGAAGCAGCTAAACTACTGGAAAATTATTTCTTTTATCACCAAGATGCCTCAATATCGCAAGATATGAATAAAATAACTAAAAAAATACAACAACAGTACTGGTGCAGCAAAAGACGTCAAACAAAAATAACTAACTATACGCAATAGCGTTCGAATAACATTCTTTTTTATGTACTTAAGTACTAACACTAGTCTGAAATAAACTTTGTCTTTTTCTAATTCTGATTTTTGTTCATTCTATTTAACGGCAACTCTCTATAACGCACTAAAATGCACGGTCCCTTCAGTGTCGTTATATAGAGTTTACACTGTATATTGTTATTTACAATAAAAAATATAACAATACAATACAATAATTTTGACTGTTGTTACAGGCGTGGGGTGATGAAGCCAATGACTGTGAAGTACCTTTATTTTGGGCTCGACTTGAATATAAACAAATTAAGGATCCCGTGCAAGGCAAGGAGATATTCGAAGAGATATTCAGTAAGTAAACATTCATAATGTCTTCGAATAAAATTATAATTAACTAGCTGCGCCCCGCGGTGTTCCCCGCGAATTTCCGGGATGTAAAGTAGCCTATGTGTTATTCCTGGACGTCAGCTTCCTGTATACAAAATTTTATAAAAATCGGTTCAGCCGTTTGAGCGTGAAAAAGTAACAAATGTAAACACACACTCACAAACTTTCGCAATTATAATATTAGTAGGATATTACAATTAACCAAATTTATGTTCAAATTTTCAGAATACGGGGAAAATAAGACCCTATCGAAGTATTGGGAGGCCCTGATCCATTTGGAGGTGAACCGTGACCCGCCGGTCAACAAACGACTGAGGGATCTTCATCGTAGGGCGCTCCGTAGTGTTAGTGACTACCCGCCAGCTGTGGCGCGGCTTTGGAGCGACTACGAGAGGGACTGTGGTGGACTCAGCACACTCGTGGAGTGCCAGGAGATGTGTGAGGTACAGACTTCTACATACTATATTGACATTAAGGATATGTATGACTCACACTCACAGAAAAGTGAAGTAGTCTTTAATGGTTGCGTTTCGTCCGTTGAGTGAGAGAGCCGGTTGTCCTTTCCCTATCATGTAGGCCGTCTGCTCGGTTGACCCCTTTTCCAATAAAAAAATGTAAATGTAATACTAAAAGACATTGGTTCACGGCATCATTTAGTATATACTAGGTATGGGTAGGTAAAAAATATAATATAACCTATGTTGCGTATTATGCCTTGAGTACTTCATTTTTGAGTTAAATGAATACTAACAAAAATTTCGTAATTTTTCTTCGTTAAACATAAAATAAGTTTTAACTTAGAAAAACGGCATATTTTTATGTTAATAATAGTTTTTTAATACAATAAAATTACAAAAGTACGTCAGAATTAAATAATTTCAAAAGTCATTTAAGGATACTGATTTAGACTTGAACAAGAAGTAATTTATTTTGATAAGACAATACTATAATCATGAAAACAGCTTTCTTATAAACACTTCATGAACTTTTAAAATTAGTAAATGGATTTAGTGTGTTATCCTTAAGAGATAGACTGATCACATCATTGATTAATGCATTCCCAAAGAGGGTTGATGTCAGGCAGGTGGCCGGTCGTAAAAACAATTAGCCAAAATTATGAAAAAATTGTAAGGCAGACTGGCTAAAGCTGGGAAATTGCCAGGTAGAAGAAGAATTGGTGCAGTAGTTTTTCTGTTTATTCCGAATAGACAGACGCGGTGGGGGACTTTGTTTTATAATATGTATTGATGATTATTTGATGTTCGTGAGCCAGCTTGTGACTTATGTTGACTAAAACGTCAAAAAAGTAAAAGGAACATGGTCGTTTTAATTCCCGTGCTGTAATACTATAAAGGGGCTTTTGTAAAGACCACTATGGCAGAGTGGACCCTTCATAAACATATGTATATATATACTACAGTGACTTATGTCTGATACCTTCAAAACTATCAAAATTAAAAAAAAGTTCAGTTTTTTATCTACATAATTGCCTCATGCAATGATTTGTACTTTTTAAATTATTACAATATTTCACTATAACGTGCAATTAGACTTTTATATCTAAGTACATAGCTGGTAATGATAAAATATATAAGAACAAAACTGATTGTGGTACTCAATTTTATATTCATAATAAGTTAATATTTAATGTTCATAATAAATTGATATCAGTGATCTAGGAATATTAGATTGAAAACTAAAATATAATTAAAGATTTCAAAGTTATCGTAAATTACCATTGCAATAAATGTAGATTAACTTTCTCATATATAAGCTTAGACTTATATACTGTTAGCAGTTATACTAGAAAAGGAATTTAAAAAAAATATCAATTTAATACATGTGGATAATTTTAATGTGAATAAATTTCTTTTACAGCGAAAGTTGAAAGAATGGCGCGATAATTACCAGGCCATGAAGGAAAAAATGCTAGGATATAAGCAAAAAGGGAAACAGCAGGCGAAAAAGAAAACAAAAGTTGACAAAGTTAACAAGGTCGAGCAGAAAGCTAATAAAGGAAAGAGAAAGTCTGATAACACGTCAGATGAAGTCAAGGTGAAGAGGAAGAAGGACGACAATATGGAAGTTGATGAGTCAGAAAAGGACGGAGATAGTGGTGTGAAGAGATCGCATGATGATCATGATCATGGTAAGTAATTTACAAATGTATAGTAATTTCTACGAATTAAGCTGCAAATTGTTTAGAACTACATGTGTTTTATTTAAAAATATTAATTCATATTATATTAAGCGGATACAACCATATTATATTAAGCGGATACAATAAGGACATAAATAATACATTTTACACCACTAGTTGAAGCCAGACTTACGATTTGTTTTAAGTACTACATATATAATGTTAAAATTTTAGTTATAGAGACAAAAAGACCGCGCAAAGAGAGCTCGTCAGAAGAAGCGGTGGGAAGGGAGGCTTGCACGTTATTTGTAAGCAATTTGGACTTTAAGTGAGTGTTTTTTATTAACTGTGCTTTATATTATAAATATAATTGTATATAAATAATATTTATTATTTCAGAGTCGACGAAAATAATTTGAGGAACAAACTATCTGAATTCGGCGATATCGTATCGATGAGAGTGAAGGCTGGCGTCAAAGCCTTCGGTGGATCTATCTGTTACTGTCAATATAAAACCCCTGTGAGCACATTTATATGTATTTATTCTATTTATTAAAAAAAGCCTTTATAAAAAAAAATATACTTATGAATTTTATGTATGAGTTAATAATATAATATTAGTAATTTGCTGAATACTTGGAGCAGATTAAATTAATGTGTAACATCATTATGTCTAATACAATGTTTTCCTTATTTAACATAATTAATATTGCCCTTCACATATGAATTTTTGAATTCACCGACTGTATCGACACGATAGTTCAGTTAGCAAAGTGACAATATAACATTTGTGAAGTCCCCGGTTCGAATCATTACTAATAATACTTATTTCACGCAGGAGTCAGTTGATGAAGCTCTGAAACACGACAGAACAGCTCTCGATGGCAGACCGATGTTCTTATCACGATATTCATCCAAAAAGACCAAGCCGACATTTAAATACGCTATGACAACAGAGAAAAATAAACTGTTCGTGAGGAATCTACCTTTCTCACACTGCACCAAAGAGGCCCTGACTGAAATATTCGATAAATACGGCAAACTGAATGACATCAGGATTGTTACTTTCAAGTAGGTGTTATAATTAATAATAACTCATATGATTAATACATAGTGTCAATATTACTCGGAGTCTATATGTACTTTCTAAGAATAATTAAACAAACTGACAGACAATAAAGGAAAACTCAGGAAATGATTTCATTTCAAATTATAAGTTTGAAAATGCCAATCCGTTTTGAACAAGCATGGTGATTAATGTTCTAACCTTCTCCATGTAAGAAGAGGCCTTTACTCAGCAGTGGGCACCGATAGGCTGATGATGATGATATTAAATGCTTTTTAAAATATTATTTAATATAATGCATGTTTATTTTATTTACAATATTATATTTAATGTATAGAATAACCTATTGTATATTATATTACAGAATTTTAAATTCTCAAAAATATAATTGCAATAGTTTATTTCTTAACATAAATTAAATGTGTATAAAAATTTATTGAAATATACAATGCTAATACTAAATCAATTTATATATGAAACATTCCTTTGAAGTTATGTTTTGTATGACATCAATTTTCTTTAGTTATAGACTGTATATACATATTATGTTAGTTGTTTTGGAGTTCAGTAAATTTAACTGAATGGTTCACTTCAAGATTCTTTAAATTATGAATTCTGTTTGTATTCATTATGAAATTGACGATATTAAGATTATCACTTAAAAATATATTACTAATATTAATAATTTCATGCCTTAATTATTTGTCAATAAAATATATTTGATGCAAGCTAACATATCTAAATTATAATTTATTCTGTCAACAGAGATGGTAAGCCAAAAGGTCTAGCTTATATAGACTATGAAGACGAGCAGTCAGCTTCAGAGGCCCTGTCAAAGACCAACGGGCTTCTTGTTAAAGACAGGAATATAGAAGTGGCTATAAGTGCCCCTCCAGCAAAAGGAGAAACCACCAATGTACTTGGAGCTGTTAAACGTGATGTTGGGGGAGGAATGTAAGTTATATTATATATATATGTATATACATACTAGCTAGCTAGCTAGCTAGACCCGCGTGGAGTTCGGTTATATCGCGTTACTAAGAGAACCTTTCAAAAGTCTGGGATAAAACCTATCTTATGTTCTTTCTCAAGGTCAACTCTATCTCTGTACCAAATTTCATTAAAATCAGTTCAGTGGTTTAGGTGTGAAAGCGTAACAGACAGACAGAGTTACTTTTGCATTTATAATATTAGTAGGGAATTATTTGATCAATAGTTGCCAGCATTATACAATAATGTCAATTGAAATTACACTGAAAAATTTAATACAATATTATGAATAAAATTTTAATGTATATGTATAATATTTTCAAGAGAAGAAAAAAATATAGGTAGGAAGCGAATTATGAAATGATTGTTTAATTTAAGATTACATATACAGAACACCTGTAACAGCGAAAATACATAAATATTCGTTGAAGGTTGAAGAATTGCTTACTATAATGAGGTCTAAGACTTTCGCGAGTTTTATTCATTTAAATGAAGCTAATATTTTTCGATAATACGAAAGAAATATTTTTTTACATAATATGAATACAATAATTACGACTAGATAAATAAATATATTTAAAAAAATCTAATAATATTATATATACATAATTTTGTGCCGATAAATGTACATATATTTGAAAGAAAAAACAACTGAATGGTTTTTTGACGAAACGAAACTTACACACACTTAGCTATAGCCTGTAAGTGGTAATTGAAATAGAAATTGAAATCTCGGGTCGCAGATCTCACTGCCTTTGTTGTACTTTGCAAACATTATTCATTTATTCACAAGTCATATTGAACCTCATGATTTGTGATTAAACAGAGAAATAAAATGTATATCGCTAGTTTATAAATAGGTAGTGTAGAAATCTATTGGAACCTGTTTTATTTTTAGAGTTGCTTTCCAGATCTTGATGAGTCATTGACTGAATATAGATAATTGAAGTACACTTGACTATACAGTAACCTTAGTCCATTTTTTCTTATTTTTCATTCTTACAAGTTTTCTTTAAAATCTTAAATTAAATTGAATAACCATTTTTGAAACTACAATGTGTCAATGTTTATGAATAAAAACTGTTTACGCTCCGTATGTAGGGTGGCGATGTTAACTTGGACTAATTATACTGAAAAGGTATCAGATCAAGAACAAATGTTATTTAAAATAATCATCAACTAAAGCCTAAGTTTATTAAGTTACAGTTTCGAATCAAAATTTTTTTTTGTGATATCATTATCTAGGAACGGAATCATTAAGTGGAGGGGGAAGGAGTTAAAATTCGTATTTCGATGCTCAATAGCGTGTGATATATTTGTTTATACATACTTATAACGGGAATATCACTTAAGTACCTATTTATTGTCTTTATTTTAGGGAGGCGGGAAGGAGGGGGGAGGTATTCTAACGTACATTTAACACTTAATTTCGTTTCAGGCGCCGCACTCAATTGAGTAGCTTCATCCCACGGGTGTTGCAGACTCCTTCCACCAGCAAATCCAGTAATGCCAACCCCAGCAACGGGGATTCCAAGAAACCCCTCAGCAACAGCGACTTTAGATCACTGTTGCTCAACAAATAGAAACCTTATTACACTTAGATAATAACCAATTTAGTCCGATAAACTGTTTCTCTGTTTATTTTAATATTATGTATTCATTCTGATAAAATAGCATGTTATTTGTGCTTATTCGTGAAGTGATTTTCGATGATGACCTTATTTGTGACGCGTTAAGGTATATTTTAGTGTTATTACGTGAACTATTATGTGTTCTAGATTAAAAGTTATCTGTTATACGTGAATTAGTTATGAGTTTATAAGAACTCGTGTGTCTAATGATTGTAATGGACTTTATTCAATGTACTCTTAAGCATGCTTATTAGGTGACTATAGTGTCATTATTGAATACCGCAATAGATATTTGCTCCCTGAAAATTGGGAGTTTCTTTTACATTGATAGACGTATTTAAATCATGCTTACACAGCACTATAGTTGTTCACACTAGTGTTGCCATTAATATTAATATATTTGGATAATTGATCAGACTTTTAAGATTGTATTTCAGACTGCTTCGTATCGATATATGCAAAACTTTTTTAGCCATTTAGAGTTTATTTTGTGTAGGCTTAGGCTTTGAAATGAATTAATAAATATATAAACTTATTCAGATTTGTTACGGAGTTATTTGAGTAATATATCAGATCCAAAACTATTGATATTTTATTCTGGTTTTTTTTTGTAGGTTGTGTGTAGTACATAATATGAATATTGTATATAGACATTTACCTCTTTCATTGATAACAGAACGTGTATTTTGTTTCCATCCAAATTTTCGATCTTGACATATAATAATACCTATGTTTAAGTAAACTGTTACTTATGTTTGATTGTTTTATTTTATATTATACTCAAAAGCATGAAAAAAAATGTTTGTAAAAAGTTACTTTATTGAGTAAATAAACGACTTTTAATTTCAACTGTAAATATATTTATTCATAAAAATATAATTAACACTTCACAATAAAATGACGAGTAGATGTTAATTTATAAATTACAAGTTATGCGAAATGTTATTAAAACGTATATAAGCATTTGTAAATTAATATCTAAAACTAAAAAAACACCCAAAACTATTTTTTTTCCGTTTGTACTTTTATATTGGAAATGAGACGAGTGTTTAACTTTTGAAGTCAGCCGAACAATAATATTGTGCTTACAATAAATGTTATGGCATTGGACTAGATGACAAACTAACTAAAATTTTAACTCACTATAAACTAAACTATAATCCATCAAATTTAGAAACAATTAGTGCTGTGACAACAATATACATGGAATATAAATAATTTCATTGCACCGGTTAAATTTTACTTATAGGGACACAGCACCACGTAAAAAGGCTATTTTCTCTGAAAACAGTAAAAATACTTAGAAATAACAACGCCTCCTGTAAAATAAGTGACGCCGACAATTGCACATAATATTAAAAATTACAGCCCCCATAAATACATAAATTTACTCAGCCAAAATGTTCCTAGGATATGATTCTTCTATGACGTCCATTGGTAACGTCAATCGACGTGTTTCCCGTCTCGCCACCTCAGTTTAGACCTCTCGAAGGCCTCTTTGATACAGGACCTGGGGGTTTAAAGCTCTATTGAATGTTTCTACCAGCATATATAACAAAATAAATGTATATAACAATTAAATACTAAGTCTTCCCTACATACAACCCGTGACCTCCGTAGAGGAATTTCCTAGAATTATTTTCTCATAAGCCTTTCAGCCTCTAGGAATGTATGGAATGTTATTTTTATTATTAGATTACTGGCCGCGATCCAATCAACAAGAATGTTGTTTTTGTTTTCGATGGGTGTGAGTGTGTGTAAGTTTGCTTGTGTGTATGCACTTGATTAAGTATGTGTCTGTGTTTATGGATGTGTGTGTGTGTGTGTGTGTGTGTGTGTGTGCGTGTGTGTGTGTGTGTATGTGCGCGTGTGTTCGTCTATGCATGTATACCTGAAGAGCGATTGGTGCAGAATGTAGGCGGACACGTGTCCGGCGTCAACGTAGCGCACCTCAGCTCCGGGCCAGATCTCTTCTAAAGTACCGACGTCCTCTCGCGGTACATAGGCGTCGTGTTTCGCGCATACCGCTGTAATTAAACATTTGTAGAATAGTTTTCCGAAGATATGGTAAATTAATGCATTATTATTAAGCATTACAAACAAAATTACTTGGGTTTCTATGTAATGGCGCTCGAAAAGTCCTCTTCGAATAGAAAATAAGGACAGATTAAGGACAAATACAAAAACTCACCTATAATAAGAGAAGTATCGAATGGCACAGAAAAGTTGCTTAAATGTGTGCACTCGTCCATAATTCCACGCATAAACTGGAGTGCCTCTCTGTCCCTCCAATGTATTTTACCTATGTCTATCTTTTTTCCAGATTTCATAAATGGCAGGTTCACCCACAAGTCCGTTGTGAGATCTGACACGTTCCAGGACTTGCGTTCTTTTTTAATTAATGATGTGGAAATCTTCTCATCAGAATTTGCCAAAGCTTTGTTCTCATTCGAAGATTCTTTGTTCGGATTTACTGAATCAGAGTTTTCTATCGCCGGAGTTATTTTAACGGTTTCGTTATTGTTGCCATCCAATGATAATTTTTCGTTCGACATATCGTCTGGAATTGTAGACGTTTTTGGTATATCTAGCAAATATATAACATTAATGACAGAAAAATATTTATGGAAAATTATCTGTTTGGACGTTTATAAAACTTACCACTTTGATATTTAAGTAGGAACACTTTAAGTTTTCCATCGTCCAGTTTGTTTATAAACTCAATGTCTTGGGGCTCCAATTCGAAATGTTTATTGGATGTTAATTTGTTATATAATATTTGACTTATTTTATTATCACATAGAAGTTTTTTCAATTCTTCCTTTATTAAGTCATCGTCGACGTTTACGACACTCTTAACACTATCTGGTAAATCGATTTTATTATCTAAAGTCTGTTTATTGTCCATAACTTGAGCATTTGTTTTGGCGTTCTCCTTATAAGTAATGTCCATCTTCTTAGCTCCGACGTTAAATTTCAATGAATCTATAATATCATCTGTATTTGTCCGCGGTTTCATAGCGGCGGTGTTTTCCATGGTTTGTGTGTAAGTACGAGCAAATTTTTTGCCGGCAAGAAATGCTTCGTCTACTATTGTAACCATTTTCGATAATTTCTCTCTGTATACGCCATCAGACAGATACTGGTCTTCTAACAGGTCCCAGTTAATGGAATGGGACATTACGCCCTAAAATCAAGTTCAGAAAACTAAGTTAAGGCGAATTTAACACCTAGAACTTTTTGTAATACTGATTATGAATTTATAACCTGCAAGAAGACGGCAGAAGCTGTTGACCACGACAGACATGGGACTAGAACGAGTGGTTTAGGCCAATTAGTTGCTGCTAAGGAAGCCATCTGTTGAAGAATACGTTACTATTTTTAATTGTTTAGTTTTGATGGTACCAAAAACATTGATTCCTTTTCTAGATTACTAGTATAAATAATCACTACAACTCAGAAGAGTAATCATTACAAAAATTTAATAAAATACATAAGTTAACTCAAACTGGTTCATGAAGGCTCAAAATTTAATTTTTACTAAAGTCCTAGTGATGTTAGTAAAGTTTAAAAATTTTAAATATAAATTCTAAGTATTTAAATATATTACAACTGACATGGCCACCCATCGACAATCCTGTGACACCAAGAGGTCCGAGGCCATTTCGCTCGCACCAATGAAATAAAACCAGTGATTCCAAGATAAGACAGCCGCCCATCACGAAGATGTCCGACACATTGTGAAGAGAGGATCGTCTATCGAAATTATAGTATTAATTTAACAACAACAAAAAATAACGCTACAGTTTTTAGAATTAGAATTAATCAAGAACTAGAATTTTTAATCTGAGCACTAAGATTATAGTTAGATAGCAAACTACCCACCTTTGCTTGGCTTTAATCTTTTCCATACAATATTCATATTAAAAAAAATATTTCTTCGAAATTTATTATTCCATACTCACACTTGATCAGTAGGTTTTCTGAGTCCATAAAAAGGATTTTCAAGTATAATACCTCCAACACCGGCCTCTTTTAGTAAAGGTTTTACCATAAGATTTCTCCGTCGCCAAAAAAACTGATAAAATATTTTGTATAATATAGTCGATATTGAAAAATACCTGTTTATTTCACTGATGGAATTATTGGCAATGCATCACAATAAAATTAGATCCGTTAATATTTATAACTTGATTCATTACAGACGAATGTCATGAGTTGTTTGTAAACACATAGTACCAACATCACCAGCCAAAATTATGTTCATACAAAATGTGTATATGTTGTAGTATATGCATGATATGTGTAGACTTGTTAAATATAAGAATTTTAATGGACAATATATGCTTTTTAATTCACTTCTTATATTTAACTTAAACTTTAACCACTTTTAAATTTAACAATTGATCTATTTGCATATTGAAGCTTGACTATTAGGCCACACATTACTGCCTGAAGTGACCTTTTTCAAATATATGCATTTTTTCGTTTTTTGTTAATTGGTATCATGAAGTAATTATTTAATCTACTTTTGAAATTCAAATGTTTAAGAAATTTATTTATATCTTGTTTGTTTATGTTAAAAAGAAAACTTTGTTAAGTTTTTAAATCCGTTCACTAGTATTAATTTTACACATAATCCTATCAGACATAAATAGTTATTTAAATTAAATTAAGACTTGCCAAGTGGTCTAGTCAAGAGTGAAAGTATTTTTACTTGTTTTCAAACTCTATAATAATGCGACATATATAATTTATGATGTAATATTTATCACTTTCAACACACTGATAAGGTTATCTTTAGTGTTTTTAAGCAGACATTTTGTTTAAGGGAATATTCCTTGTGTCAGTTGAAAAACAAGCTGAGATTTATTAGAAAAATCTCTCTTTGTTTGTTAGTCTTCAGAAATTGAAATAAATATTTTTAATTCCTATAAATTGCATACAGCAAACTAATTAATATATTGTAATTTTCATATGAATTGTATATTACATTTCTTGTCCATAAAAAGTGTTCATAGGTGGAATTTATTCTTACATGATCACCTGTTCCAGCGAGATGTAAACAAACAGGTTTGCATTGTGGGTCGGGCCAATGAACTGGTAGTAATATTTGAAAGTGAGCTTTCTGAGCAATTTCAGGAACAATGCCGGGTAGATACCTTTCCAATGGTGTTACAAAATATCCTTCTAGTAGCCGACAGTCAGTCAGATTTTGTTCCTATTGAATAAATCAGTGGAATTACTAATTGTGCAATTTTTTTAATAAAAACTCAAGACAAGCAACTAGCAAGGTTAAATATTAAAGATTTATTGATTTTAGATTTAGTTTGACTGGTTTTATGAACTTACATAATTAATGATATATAACACTTACTTTCGTTATTGTTACAGGATAATCTCTTTCAACTAATTTAAAGCATTCATCTCGATTTGACACAACTTTTCTGAATTCGAATAACCTAAAAAGTTTGAAAAAATAAAATTATTGCAAAACAATTTTGTACACTCTTACGTAAGTTATGGGTCACATGAAAAATAACATGATATTACGTATAATAGTTTTAGGAATAGCTTTACCTTCGCAAATTCTCTGGTTTACCCCATCCTTTAGTAAAAAATTTTGTCAAAAGTATACTCCGGTACACAGCATCTAATTTGCTAGCGGACATTTTCGGTAAATGGGCGGTTGTTAAAAGGTTTGTTTAATTTAGAACATTAATATTTTTACGGTGTTCATTATCCGTCAGTACATGTATTTTGGTGCAAATCATATGTTTGTCATGTAAATGTCACGATCACGCAATTCTCATGTTGTGACATAATTACTTGTCACTGTCAATTTTCATCTGTTGAGCTGTTTCGCCTTTGCAATAATAATTATTAAATTATATTGACATTGTAAAAATTAAATAATACAATGGGGATGACATTATAACAGAGAAAATAAATTTAGAGAATAGTAACCATGATAATTTAAGAATTTTATGTACATATATATATCTACGCTTATCGCTTAAGCAACAAAATTCAATCTAAAAGAAAGCAGACATACTAATGTTACAATAATAAAATTAATATTTATTTAAGTCTCTCAGAAGTTTACATAAAAAAATATTAACGATATTTAGGAAATAAAAAAGCTTATACCTGAGTTGCAGTTTGGCTGGGTATAAATAATTTATTAGGTACAAAACATATACTGCACACAAATTACTGATTTTTTTTCTTAATTCTTTGGAATATGAAAATTAAAAAAAACATGTGTGATAATCTAGGACCTTATAAATCAAATGAGCAGTTCACTTTATATTTTACAAAAAAATGATTTTTGTACTTATCTCCGAAAAGTATTTAAGGACAAAAATAATTTGGTAGTAGGTGTCAATTGCCTTTTTAAAATTTTCAGCTTTTTGAGAAGCTGTAAAATAGAAAATTTTGTTTACTTATGCTAGAACATCTTTATTTTTAACAATTAATGTACTTTCCGATTGTAAAATGGTTTTATGAAATAAAACTCGACTGACTTGGTTTTGCACTGAATATACCTCAGGCCAGCACAATTTATAGTTTTTATTCAATAAAGTGTTGATTTTTAGTTTTAGTATTCTCTAATACTCAAGAAGCCAAAAAATTCATGAACATTAAAATATGTTTATAAAGTATAGTAACTATACTCCGAATTTTTATTAAAAAAGAGTATTTCCAATTGGAATCAACTCCTATTTGGAGTAGAGTTCTTTCTTAATTTCTTTTAAATCTTTTTTCCAATTTAGGCGCTTGTTAACGCAGTACGAATATTACTCCATTACAGTCTTGCAAATACAAAAGTTAATATTAATATGTATTGTGTAGGATTTTTAATTTTTCGCCACTGTCCAACAAGAACTTTTTAATTTCTAGAGGTTTCTCTAGGTAAAATCATAAACTTCTAGACCTATGTAATACTCGTGGTGTTGAAAGTTTTTGTGATTTGAGTTTTTTATATCCCAAAATATTATTGTGAATTGATTTTAGAATTATGTCAATTCTTTCGCATACTATTCTTATTCTGTCTTCTATGCTTTAATTTTAGAGATAAAGTTAAAGGAGTTTTATCTCACTTCTATTTTTTTTTGAATCGTAAGGCGCCACGAAGTTTTCAAAACTTTAAATAAAACACATGTTTAAACATGAGTATAATGTTTGTTAAAATTATACCTTTAAAAACTGTCTTTTGTTATTTCTTGACGATAGGTAATTTATACATTTCCTATTTATCTAATTTAAATCGTTTTTTTAAGTTACCTCACGATTACTCCTGCGTAAACGTTACATCGAAGTTGGGTGTAAATTTTAATGATATTGATTCGTCTCTTATACTACTTATTTCACCGACTCCCATTATGTCTTCATCATCATAATTATTACTACGAATAATTTTGTCAGACAGACTTAAGATTTTCAGATTTGCTCTATATCATTATAGGTAACATTGACATCTTAAACTTATATTTTTTTTCCATAGTTAGCATTCGTATAGTTTGATTATTATGTAAATACACTTAAAAAATACGTAAAATTAGGTTTTCTACATCGAGAATGCAATACACAAACATATAATTCATATTAACGGTAACATGTAATATCTATTAAGTTAAGGCAATGATGCCATTTCAATATTTTTAATGTCCATGAATCTTATAATCTGTAAGTAAATGAAAAAAAAACAAATATTTTTGTTATTGTCCCTCAGATATAGATCACAAAGAGAAATTACGTAATCATCGTGGGATGAACGAGTTCGTTTCTTGCCAGGCAACATATCCTCAGTGACCATCTCTATAAACTTATGATAATATTGATATTTACGACTGTTAATAGGCTTCATTTGGTTTAAATGTTCTTCGATTGTTATCGTTCAAATGTAAATTTGATTTTTTTCAATAATCATCTTTAAACGATCTCTGAACTAGCTCTGCACTGCGGCTATGTTCTTTTTTATTAACATGTACACCTAAGGCACTAAAATATAGATTTTTTATTCATTTCTTATTCTCGTTTTCTTAAATATAAAATGTCATCGTGCACAGACTTCTTCCTCTTTTGATATATTAAGAAACTATGTAATCTTAGGTACAGTTATCTTTCTTCATATTCAAAATTTTCCCAATTCAGATATCATAATCACAGTTTTTAATTTTTCTTCGTAGGTTTCCAGAATAAAAATAAATATAACATATGAATTATTCATAACGTATGATATAATGATATGGGTTTTTCTAAAAAATACAGGTGCCTTAATAAAATATTTGATTTATGATAATTTTTTAGAGAAAATTATAAATGTTTTACGAATTAAAATTGTATTTATTGGTTTGTTCAAAAAGTTTGTAAGTTCAAAAAGTAGAGTTTGTTAAAAAAGTTTGTATGTTCCTCTAATTATTTTTATTTTATTAAATATGTATGTATAAAGTAGATTGGTTTTCCAATATAAATATGAAACATAATGTTATAATCTAACTAATAGCTAAGCTTAAATGACAATGAATTTATCCTTACTCTGGAGTCCTTCTAGCTTCCTTTCTTTTGTTCTAATTATGAAACCAATTGACAACTAGGTATGCAAATATATCTGTGTGAATCCAAGGCTATTAATTTTTTTTTATGATATAGAAGACAAAGGTTCAAACAACATACGATGGTATTATTCAATAGTATAAGGAAACAAAAAGCCATATCCAGAAATATTTATGTATTTTAATAAAATTTTATTTAAAATTAAAATTATTATCTCATGCTTTAATTTAATTACAAAAATTAGATCATCAATTTCGATCGGTACAATAATATAAGGAAATGTGATTAATTATTTACGGATATGAAATATTTTGATATGTATATTCGGCTAGGTTTTTGCGATGAGTGGGCGAAGGTTGTAGCTATAAGGACGGTGTTGATGTGTCGAAGTCATGTTTCCCTCTCGGCCACACGGTCGGACGGACACCTATTCTGTGAAAATTATATTTTTTAAACACTTATTCCTGTTACAGTTTGTGAATCGTTATAAATCCGGACAAGTGACGTGAGTTCTAGATTTAAATTTTATTTTAATATATTTTTCGTGTAGTATTAAATTTATTATCTGCGAATTATTAGTTCCATTGTTATGATATTTTTTTACATTAGTACTCTTTTTTCTTCTTCTAGATGGAGGGAAAAATAACTTTCGTAGCGTCACTGACGCTGTTAGTTCTAGTTTTTGGTGTTGACGGTAAGTAAAATAAAAAATATTTTCATATAACTATGCAGTTGCCTCAAACCATAGAATACCAAAATTTAAAATAGATTTATTAATATCATATTCAAATGTTAAAATTTTACGGTTGATATTATAAGTGCTTATTCTATGCTGTTACTTTAAAAGTAAAAACTCTTTTTATGCATGATAAAAACAATTGTCTTTCTGTCAAAAAAAAAAAAATTAATGCGCGAATTTAACTTTGTAATAAGTTTTATTACTGTTCAATATGTAGTCGATAATGTTTTTGTTTATATTATGACGAATTGAAAAAAGGTATTTGCTTTAATGACGGCATGTTATTATAAAAGCCACGCGGAACTGAACTCCATAAATTATTAATTACAACTAGACGAAGAAAAATAAGATCAAACTATTGAGTTGGATGATGAAAATCTTTGAATTGTCTTTACATTTATAGCAATAATTTAATTTAAAATATATAAAAGTCAACGCTACGTTACTCTTACATAAAAGTTTTTTGTTGTTATGCGAAATTCACTTTTGTTTTAGTTAAGTGATGTTTAATGTCCGAACTTGAGAATGTTTTTAAATCTTTAACAACTGACTGAAGTCTAAAAACTTCTTTCCTTAAAACGTTAGGTAATTTTAATCTATATAAAACCTTCATTGTTAAATTAACATAAAAGGAGTTTAAATCGATTCCTCCGCCTACGTTATCATTAAAAAAATAATGATTATAGCGTTCTCGTAGCTGTCTCATTAACCATCCAACATATGTTAAATTAAGCTTCCGAGGTCCGTATCACCAAGGACTTAAGGTCTCGTGTGGGCGATCTCGTTTGCACCCTTATAAGGTTATTCGCAAGGTTGCATAACAACTCACAATACAATAACATTATTATTATGCAAGAATATATTAAATGAGAACAAAATTAGGTGTCAACAATTAAACATACTTGACCTTTGGGGATGTTTGTTTTAGATTTATGACCAGTGAATTACACATTTCGCAATTTGATGAGATATTACTGTAAAGCTCGTCGCATACTTGACGGTTTATTAAATGCTGGTTAATATAAAATGAGATTTTGTCAAATAGATAACCGTAATAATATAACTAGTACTAACTGATATACTAATGATTTTGATCGCGGTACGGCCGAAGCTATGAAAATTTCGTAAAAATCAGTGTTACAGTATTTTTCTTGTTGAAAAGTGGCAAAATCTTTTCATACAGTCCATCAATCGGTTCTAGTGATCGATTTTGTCATCTCTGATATCTCCCAAAAGGAAATAATAGCGGCATTAATACATTTTCTCATTCTGAATATGATTTGAAGTAACTCTCTAATACTCAATATCATGATTAGCCCAACGCTACTACAACTACCACCCTCGGAGCTACTTCCGTGGTAATCTATACGAAAACGGGCGGTCCATCTCCGATGATCTTGTGACTTGTGGCCCAAATACCTGCGGGGTGGGAGCCCACTGCACCCACGGCAGCGTCAGACCTGTCTGCGCCTGCCTCCCAGGATACTCCGGAGACCCACTGTCACAATGTATCAAGATCGAATGTGTTGGTGAGTTTCCTATTTTAACCTTCTATTCCATAAGGTTTTATATACTGAGGTACTGTTCTAACTAACTTTTGTTTTGCGTCTAACATCATCATCAGTACTGTTTTAACCTTCTATTCCATCAGGTTTTTTATACTGAGGTACTGTTCTAACTAACTAACTTGTCTTGCGTCTACCATCATCAGCCTATCAGAGCCCACTGTTGATTAATCACCAATGCTCAATGAGGGTTGTTTTGCATCTATGAAATCTCTATAAAAATTCTATTTGTTTTCAGACAACAGTGAATGTCGCGGACATCAGTCCTGTGTGAATCAGCATTGCATTAACCCTTGTGAAGGTGCTTGCGGAATAAACGCTAATTGTGATGTAAGATCATATATTTACGAAAAACTTTTTATAAAGTTTTCAATTATATGTAAAAACTAAGCTGGAAATGGTTACCAAAGTTCATTTGACAAGTGATTGACAGTCCACGAAGAGGTGCTAAGACCTGCCTAAAATAAATGTCTTTGCCGTACTTTGCAAATAACTCAATTAAAGTGCTGTTTTGATGATAAAATTATTTCTAGATCCATTGTTGTCATAACACAAAGATAAATAGAATATTTTTTCATAATCTACGTTAATATTTTATTCTAGGTCCGCCAGCACGTTCCCGTGTGTACTTGCCCCCCAGGTTACACCGGCAACCCATTCTCTTCATGCAGAATTGCTGATCCAGGTATATTATATTACTATCCAAATGAAACTAATAATTGCATCTTTCGATTAACACGATATCACTTTCAGAGGAGGCCTGCCACCCATCACCATGCGGCGCTAACACCAAGTGTCACGTCGCGAATAATCAAGCCATTTGTTCTTGCCTTCCCGGTTACAGGGTAAAGTTTTAACAGAAAAATCTATCTTAACGGTTTATTTTAATAATTGCATATGGTTTATAATTTAACTTATACTTTTCAGGGTAGTCCATTGACAGGCTGCCGACACGAGTGCGAATCAGACAGCGACTGCGGCACGCAGCAGTCGTGTCGCGACTTCAAGTGTACGAGCCCTTGTAGCGATTGTGGCGTCAACGCGGACTGTGAGACGGTCGCCGCGCACCGCGCCGTCTGCAAGTGCCCTAGGGTAAATACCTTATGATATTTGTATAGATGAAGTCATCACTATGACATTGACAAAGTTCTACTTAGTTTAATAATTATTTACCGCTAATTAATGTAATCCTCGTACATTGTAGGGCTACCACGGTGATCCGTACAGGATTTGTTCAGCTGAATGCACATCCGACAGCGAGTGCCCTAGCTACAAACCGGCCTGTGTGTACAACGCCTGCGTAAACCCTTGCACGAACGCTTGCGGTGTGAACGCGGACTGCAACCTACGCGGTCTGACGCCAGTCTGTTCCTGCCCTAAGACCATGACCGGCGATCCATTCACCTTCTGCAGGCCTTTCGAAGCGCGTGAGTAATGAAGTATTACTCATGTATTCATTGATTCTATAAATGGCTCGGATCGAATTACGGAAGTCAATCGTGTACATTGTTACATGACAATATTCTAAAATAGGATAATAAATTATTGATTCATTGTCTCTATGTATTAAAAAAGCTTTCTACTTCCTACATATCTCATAGGTGATCTATGCGAGCCTAATCCTTGTGGTGCCAACGCTAAGTGTACCCCCGGCCACGACCGTACCGGAGCCGAACGCCCAGTGTGCACCTGCCCTACTGGATACCGCGGCAACGCTCTAGTGTCTTGCGAAAAGGTTTGATATGAATTGAACAATATTCAGATGAGCCATTTAAAAAAATACAATCTACTAAGAGTCTATGTCTTTAAGACTATGAATTCTAAAGTAATACATATTCAGGGCGAGTGTGAGCTTGACTCTCAATGTCCGGATCACTTGGCCTGCGTCGGATACCAATGTGTGGACCCTTGCCTTGGTAACACTCAATGCGGATCTGGAGCCGTCTGTATGGCGCGAAGACACATCGCTGTATGCACCTGTCCAGGAGGTGAGTAGAGACTATAAAACACCCTGAATCTTATATAATCTAAATACGAATATACATCAGTTCAGTATATGTTAGAGTTAATACTATAATGCAAAAAAATATTAATGAAAAACGGACTCGGACTAAGGATACAGACTATTTCATTCACTTCAGAGTCTTCCTATAATATTATATTGAACGAAAATACTACATTTTTCTTTAATTTTGGCTCTAAAATTTCAGATCACCACGGAGACGCGTTGGTTAGCTGTTACCAATCTCACTCCGAAGCGGTAGCCACTCGTTACTATAGATACAAACGTAACGGCAACTTCACTGAGCCATTAAAAGAAGACGCCGCTTCAGAAGCTCCCGAAGTCGTCGAACTGGCTGAAGCTGTGACGACCGATGACAAGAAAGAATAAATTTGAATTTAATGTGATTCCATTTTCGAAATTGATCCCTTGTTCTAGAACCAACGGATTTCTCTTTAACACCGGATCGATAAACTGATTTTATTGAATGAATTTAATTAAAAAATAACATTATATGTGTCTGTTTTATTTATTCTTCTTTTATGTTATGTCAAACACGGATTATTTATACATACATGATCGGCGTCAATATATTATTTATAAATTTTCATTTACGCAGTGAATAAAATGTGAATAATGAATAATGAACAAATAATTATGGACAAATAATATACAAAAGAGTTAGAGACTCTTTATATTTTTGTACTAGCAGACCTAATACTATATAAAGATAAAAATTAAATTTTATTTATTTTATATGCAAGCCCTTATCTAAAGAAATATTATCGTTATCAAACTGATATGTTTTAGTGTTCTTTTTAGAATATATGAAAACTATGCTTAAATGTACAACAATCAAAACAAACAAAATGTCCAGTGTCAGCTATTACAGTGTAATAATTAATGATTTTTCTATTACCTTTTTGTTAATGACACAGACATTATTAATGTTATATAAAGAAAGTTGATATTGATATATGTATATTAGTTTTGCAGTAAAGATATCAAGGGAGAAAGTAGGTAGCCGGTAGGTATATTCGAACGATAGCTTCCGGATTTTCTTTCTATTGCTTGTATACATTTATTATTACATTATTTACATTATAATGTTGAACTGTTGTGAGACGGGGGAAGAAAACAAACAATAATACAACAATACTAAGGAATATGGAACTTTAAAGTATTAAGTTTACCTTCAACAATTAAATTAATAGGATCACATAGTCTTAAAAATATGTGTATTAATCATTAATTATTTTATATATTAATACTACTGTGTTATAAATAATCCAATTTTTATTGACCCGTTTACTTTTGGACGAAAATTATTTTTGAAGGGCAACACTGGTTTAAAGCTTTGCATTTAGTGGCCTAACGAGTTTGCAGAACATTAATAAATTAAAAATGGATATTAAATAATTTATTAAATATTAGTCTAGTCATTTATAATAAACAAAAATGAAATTTCGAATAACGAGTAAATAAAGGGCAAGTTTAATAAAGATATTACTATTCTTTATCAAATATTATTATAAGTTACATTTATAAAAGTAATACGAATTTATGAAAATTCTTCTAAGGTCTTGTAATAACTTGAGCAATTTATAGGTAGCATAATTCCGAAATAAAAACTTTTATAAAATTTAGTATTATACAATTTTAATATTAAAAAGTACTTCAACGTATGTTTAATTAATTGTGGAGATTCATTAAAATTAACTATGATGGATAAACATAATTTCTTTTATCTGTTATCTAAATTTTGTATACTATCCAAGTAACAATTATTTAATTAATTACAGAATACTATTTTTACTAAAAGATTCAATGTAATTACTAAACGCTACATCAACTTTGACGTTTTGTGGGTTGATTAATACGTCCGTCGTCCTGTCGTTCGATTATCGAATGATGTGAGAAACAGTATATTTTTATTATAAGATTATCAAGATATTTGTAAATATATATGCGAAATCATGTCAGATATCAATATGGAGAAGTTTGCCGTACCAGAATTTGTGCCAGAAAGATATGTAAAAGAGTTAACGAAGTCGTGTGTCGGAGGGGAGGAGCTGGCCCAGCAAAAGGAGAAAATTAAGAACTTAGCCGAAGAAACCGCAAATGCCCTAAAGAAAAATGTTTACGAAAACTATATGCAGTTTATTGAAACAGCCACCGAAATATCTCACTTAGAAACTGAAATGTACAAGCTCTCGCATTTGTTAAGTGATCAACGAATTGTTCTTACGACTTTATCTCAGGCTTCAATTCTAGGAAATGAGAATACTCTATCTCGAGAATCACTCGACAATCATGACCTCGAAGGTGAAAGAGCGGAAGAGGAACGTAAGAATAAACTTACTTCAATCTCAGAAAAGGTAGAGAGTTGCATGAACCTCCTAGATTTCCCTGACAGACATCTATTACATGAAGGTGATTTACTAGAGATAGACGCTGAGGAGAATACTGCCTTGCAAAGAATGCATGTCTATTTGTTTAATGACTGTTTAATGCTCACTTCTTGGATTTCAAATCGTCGTGGACCCATGAGATACAAGTTTCAGACTAGTTACCCCATCAGCACTCTAGCTGTAGTGAATGTACGTGATTTAGGTACAGTAAAACAAGCATTTAAAGTTTTAGCCTTTCCTGACACAAGAGTTTTTCAATGTAATAGTATAGCAATTAAAAAAGACTGGCTTGATAAGTTTGATCTAGCAAAAAAGATGCACATCGAAAAAGAAAACCTAAAACAGAAGAAAAAAGATTCTATGGATAAACCTAAGCATGAATCTTTAGAGTCACCAAGTCTTTCTGTGGAAGAGATACCTTCACCACAAATGACTCCACTCCCAGACTGGGTTGTTGATGTTACAGAAGAGCTTGATGTATTAATTGTGGAAAGACATTTTCAAAAAACTTATGAACTAATGATGGCTGCCCAGAAGACTTTGAATGAGGAGGAATACAAGAACCATCCACAGAAATGTGAAATATTAAAGAAGATTGAGCAGAAGCAGAAAGTATTGACTGAAATACTACTTAAGGAACTCGATGTCAATCATAACTGGAGTCCAAGAGGAGGACTGAGGTCATCTCGGCCTCCTGTTATTATACTTAATAAGTTCAATTTGACTAGTCAAGCCTGTGAACTTTTCCTCGATATATGTAGTCATACAGTTAAAGCACATGTTAAAGGAGTCCAGCTAGAAGGTTCCATATACAGTTACGTTAAACAAGTGGGTGAAGTCTTTTTCTGCTCTTTGAGCGATGCCTTAACAGAATTTATTGTACTATTTCCTAAAAATAAGTTAAGTGCTTTTATAGTTTGGGCTAGCATGCAACTTAGAATACTAATGAGTCAAATTATAAAACAAGTATTTACACCGCAGTGTGCATTAGATTCAGTCTTAGAATGTGTACAAAGTTTGAGGGAGCAATGCACTTTATTCTGTGAGTTTGGCTTAGATTTAAGATTTCAAATGAATAGTTGTTTACGGACACCAATTATAAGGGCACTGAAAGAGTATAAGGAAAAAATTATAGATTCCATGAAGACTAAAATAACCGATGATAAGTGGACACCAGTAAACATGCATACAAAGGCTGGTATGAATAAATTTTTAACGCAAATGGAAAATTTGGGCCTTATCTTAGTTAGGTACGTCATAAACGAAACGTGGGTGGATTTATCGAGTAGCACTATATGGTTCGTGCAGTCCATCATAACAGTGCAGAATGTCGGATTAAAAATTGTTACTAAAGATATGATGGACGTTGTTGACGAATGTATATATTCAATATTTAGCTCTAGACTCATGTACTCTTCAGTGAACGACGTCAGTTACGCTCAGAAAAATTACAAATTCATATTGGATACGGTTATGCCGCTCATCTTGAAAAATTACAAGCAGGAAGTCGGTTACGAAAACGAGAAATTATTAGAACTAGCAAAGAAATACGGTGTAAACATCGCGCCGCCAAAGAAATCCAACATCACAAAATACACTAGCAATGAGTATTTATGAGAAAAGCTAAGTCAAAAACTACATCATATGGTGTATGAAAGTTATTTTATTACGCTGAAGCTTTAATATTGTAATAAATAGACAGTAAGCATGCAAGATTTTTGTAAGTTTATTTAAACTGATCAAATTAAAATTGATATTATATGCAAGTTAAATAATATAAAATTTTAATAAACCTAAACTCATGGTTTATGTTGTTTTAATTATACATATAATATAAGTATGTTTAATAATATTTCCCTGTGTTTTTCAATTCTGATTCCAAAATTCTTTCAAAACCTCATCTCAAAACGAATAGTCAGACAAGCCTTCAAATACTTTCACGATTATTTTTAAATTTTTTACACTAAAAAAAAGAATGTAAGTACCTTAAAGGTAGTTGAAAATCGTATTTTAATATAATTAGTATTCTAATAAGAAATAAAAACCAAATCCATATTTAATAATATATTTCATAACATATTGAATATATATAGGAATGCATTCCAATAGATTACATAAAAAATAAACACAAAAGCAGATTAATAATCTTCCATCAGGGACTCCATAAAAGTGTTGCCATTAATCAATTTGGTAGTAAGTATTACAAATTCCACATTAGATTCTTCTTGCTGGCTGATACTTCTTAAAGCTGATATCTCGTGGTAGGTGCAACCACCGATAAAGAAAACCAAAACAACCCTAGCGTTTTCCATTGACGAAGAATTCTCGCTAGAAATTGAGTTCCGACGAGTCATACGCGGCTGTAGACTTTGCAGCTCCTCTAACAGAGGTCCAGGGAGCGAACCCAGAACATCAGCGATAGCTGGAACAATAAAATAATTCACCAAAATAATTGATTGATACTATTAAAAAAACAAAGCAACTGTTCTAATAATACGTAATTTCGTTATATTAACAGCATTCTTTCTTCCAAGGACACAAAATATTCTAATGAATAGCACGAACAAAATTTCTAAGATCTATCAAAACTTCAATTCTGATACTAGTTGTGGCGTGTCTAGAATAAATCAGTTCCAAGGTCAACTGAGTTCAATGTTAAACCAATTATTGAGAACCTTCGGCCCTGAGGATGAGGCAACTGTCGACATCATTTTCTTCGCTACACAAACATAAAAATTCAAGTCTAACATATAACACCTATGAGGATGCTTAAAAATAAACAAAATCTTCTAAATTACTTTAAAATTTTCAGCTGATATTAAAGGATCAAAAGTCGACACTTATATTTATAAATAAATTTTTAAAATAAAAATAAATATTAATATATTTGTATGAAACTTAATCGTATTAATTTATTAGTAAATAATATACGTGAAACAGTTTGGAACAAGGTTTAAAAGGCATTTGTATGATTCGATAATAGTAGGCGTAGAATCTCTCAAGGCTTAGTTTTATACGAATCCCCTATATATTTACATGAGGAAAATAAATTTACCTGACCATCCTTTATTTTTGGATATATGTTCACTGAGTCTGACAGTCAATGGTATGTATTTACTGGAAAGATAACTCTTCTCTTTCGCTTCAATCTCAAATTCCTCCATAGTAAGATGTAAAGTCTGAAATTATTATAAAAACATATTAAGAATAAACTATATGTGTAAATTCTATGACTATCAAAAAATATTCACATACCTTTCTTAGAACAGTGTAATGTCGTGGTCCTGTCTGCGCCTTTAAAAGCCCACATTTTTCAAGGTTACATAACGTCAGCCAGGTACTGAGTCCGTATACTTGGACCAATTCACGTTTATAGTACTCTAATACTTTCGGTTTCAAACCAGAACCGGTGACACATTGGAGGCAGATCAGACGAAGTACCTGCAAGCATAGATATCACATATAACCTCCTCGGTTGTGAAGACATATTCTGATAAAAAATGTATCCTACTTTAGTCAAAGGCGCCTTCTGTGCTATGAGGTCTTCTATGAATGGGCACACTTTGTCATTGTCGATGCCATTTATAAAGTCTTCTTCGCACTGGATGGTGTCATGGAATTCAAAGGAATCTGTGGTCTGAAGTATTATCAAGTTAATATAAAATTTAATTAAATATAAAAATATTTATACTATTTTCTTTATCAAAATCTAATTCTCACTTCTTTAATGTATTCAGCTATAGCTGTATGTGTCGCCAATGACTGTTTGTTTGCTAACATCTGTGGCAGACGGGAAACAAACTGTTTTATCTCCTGAACTGATTTGTCATTGTGTCTTTCATCCAATTGGGTCTTGATAATTCTTGCTTTCTTTGACAATTGCGCTCCTACCTGTGTATATAATAAAGTTAATATGAAAACAAGTTTTCCGATTGTCTAATATTATTTAGTAGTAATGGGTTTTTAGGGACATTTATGGAAAAATCTCTAAGATATTTAATATATTGGATGCTTAAATTAGATCAAGTATGTACCGCAGTGAAGTTACAATCTCTCAGCTCAGCGAATAGTTCTTCACTTGAGTTGAGTATGATTCTCTTTTTTTCTCTGGCTGTTACTTCTGGTCTAGCATCATCCGGGCTAACAAACTTGTGACCAGGAAAAGTGACAGTAGAACTCCTTATTCCATACAACTCATCTGGAAATATACTTAGTTTTAACAATTAAATAAAATATATTCAAGAACAAGTAAATTATGGATACCTTTATAACAAATAACTGGAATAAAAATGATGTGTAATAACTAAGATTCCACTTTTTTACCTCTTTCCTAACATGAAATATATTTATAGTTATTTTTTTTAACAAGTATAAAAGGGTATCCTAGTCTTAGAGTCTTAATAAACTTTTTTATACACATTATAAACAACATCTCTGATACATTACTTCAGAAGTATTTTTGGACCAAAATAAATAAATTAATTTAAGTAAGTACTACATTCTAAACTAATAAGGGAGACAGTCAAATAAAAAAATGAATAAAATGTAAACATTAATAATTTACTAACAGATTCTACTGAGATCATGCTAGTTATATTTCGGATAATACAACTGAATTCAATTAACTATTATATACAATTATATACACAGTTCATACCAATAAGTCCTTCGTATGTGAGTTGAGTGGCCATCACACTAGTGAAGTCTATGGCTCTATCGAGCAACAATAGCTGATCAATACAAGAAGTTGAAGCTCCTCTTGGACTACCCTGCTCTTCCTTATTCAATCTACAGAGAAGATCCCATACCTGCAATTATTAACATTATTATAAAAATAACTGAGACTATTCATCAATTGAAAATTGTTTGAAATAAGCTGTTTGTTTTACAGATAGTTAAGAAATGTTTATAAAAATTAAAGTCATAATAGTGCATAACCCTCTCTAATGAAAAATTAGACTCTGTTACAGAAATTTATCCATAAGATAATTACAAAACCTCTGTTTATATACAACAGGATAAAAAATGCATAGAAAGGAATTTTCTATTTAATAAGGATAGGCCAATAATAATGGATATAAGAAAATTATCCATTAATTAAGATTTTAGGGTTCCTAGTTGAAGGAATTATTACTGTTAAGATTTTAACCATATAAAAAAAATACATACTTGTTTAGCAGCTTCTCCTTTTCCATAAACTCTTGGTATTATTCCATATAGTTGTTGGATGGTGCGTATAGCTTGAGCTGCGTTATACAGACAAGTCGGATCACCTTCCAAGTAATTTTCTCTGAACAAGTAAATTAAGAACATTTATAGACAGTTTATTTGTATAAAACTTATAGAATATTAAAGCTCATTGTTAAATAAAAATGTAGTAAAAATTTTTATTCTTTTCCAGATCTCAATGGACTATCTGACTGAGTTATTGATAATCAAAAGTTTATAAAGATCTCAGTTATATTTCTTTGATATTTAACACTAATAATGTGTATGACAGTTGAAAATAAATATAGTAAGTTCAATATTTGTTACCTGAAATCATTCTGTAGTTCCAGTGACATTACATCACTGTCAAAGGGAAATATATCACATCTAAACTCTTCAATGGAAAGTGTTCCCAGAACACCTCGATTTTTGAGATGTTTTTCACACAACTCGCTTCTCCTTGGTACAAAGAATAGGTGGAACTCTACTGAAGTACTTTGTTTGTTTCTGAATAAATAAAAAAACAGGGTTAATGATATTTATTATAACAAAAATGTTTATTGCAGTAAGGATTGTTTTGATTTAGGTAATTCTATGGTGAGTATTGCTAAATGAATAACAGATCATTGAAACATGACAGTGGGTTAGCTGTTTTGTAATATTTAATATAAAAACTCAAACCTGAGGGAAAGTATATAATCAGTGACTAAATCCATTAATACCAGCTTAGGCCGAGCTATAAATATAATGTGCTTCACAGAAATTGTAGGTAAAGTTCCAGGTTTTAGTGGAAATATATCAGCCACTTCGTGTTCCATTAACAAAGAGTACTGGGCCACAAGACCTACAGGGTTAGCGAGCCATTCATCCCATATTATCAACTGCAATAATACTATTTCGTTTACAAATGCATGACAAATAAAATTACAATGAATTGGTACATATAATATTACTGTTTTGTGCTCATCGTCTTATCACTCACTTACTTTAGATCCTTCGCAAATATGCAAAAGATTTAATAGTTCCTTTCTCATAGTTTCTTGCAATATTGAAACGTTAAGTCGTCCACCCGATAGGTGGTTGCTCATTTTTGTTTCTTTCATGCTGGAGACTTAAAAATAGTTTTTACAGGATTATAACTTATATTATTCAATGATAAATAATACCTACTAAAACTTGTAACAGCAAAATAATGATTATCGATAACTGTCACATTTGACATCTGTCTGATGTCACAATTTGTCAGATTGTAAATTAATAGTTTGACATTGGCAAACCATTCCACAAACCAATGTAATTGAAGTAAAGCCATAACAGCATAAAATAAAAATATTCAAATTTTACAAAAACAAACGGAAATAATTTAAGATAACGCTTTATGAATTATATTTTGCACTCTTATTACTTTTAGATAAAAGAGAAAAAACATAAACCGGAAATAGGTGGCAAAGTTATATTCAATAAAAATGTCTATCATAACTCTAGAACTGTCTTCTTCTACCTGGCAATTTCCCAGCTTTAGCCAGGGTCTGCCTTACATGTTGTGAATAGTTTTGGCCAATTTTTTTACGACCGGCCGCCTGCCTGACATCAACTCTTTTTTGGGAATCATAACTCTAGAACTGTATTCCGTTTTATCTCTGTGTTTTTTATTTATTTTTTGTATTTATCAAAAATAACTATATCACGCTAATCATGATTAGAACCGATTAATCTTTGCATCCTAAACCAATGTTACGCAAAAATAGTTCCGAATGAAAGAAATAATTATAAAGCAATAAATATTTTTAATTTAACAATACTGGGAATTCTTATTAAATATAAAAGATCTAAAATAATATATGAAATGTCATATAAAGTGAATTCTTCCCCATTGAACCAATTTCCAACATTCTTTTTTAAAGTTTTTTATTCCCTACAACCTAATTATTGCCGAAAAAAGTGTTTACACTTGAAAACAATTTAGGTCACAACTCGTATTTTGTACCCAGACTTGTAATTCCTGTAAGTACATGTAATAAGAATTAAACTTCTTAAACTTTATCTTTGAATACTTTTTAAAATGCAAATTTTAAAAGGCAGCAGACAAATTATTCAGTTAGTGAATATTTTATTACTTAAACGTTGCCGCTGCAAAATTACTTGCTTAATGACTTGAGTGACGCTAGGGTTCATGAATTCATAGTTATCTAATGGCTTTATATAGTTAAGTAGGGCTTTGAGTTTAAAAATTACGTTTTACATACTGCTCTTATGCATCTACATATACGAGAATAAATGTAACATATAAAATAATGTCAGAATTGCATCTAAAATTTTCACTCTGCCATTGATAAGCCTGAAATAAAACTATTTTTTTTTAATTGAAGTATGTTCAGATCTGTAATTTTCTTATACATGCTATTATTACGGTTAATAATAAAATCACTACGTCATAATCGAGTGCCATCCCTGCGGTAGACAGGCTGGTAGACGGATTATTAAATGCTACTATGAAGTATGAGGTTTTATAATTTATAAATTGCCCATGATTGACGTTTATTTAATACCTGAATCAAAACATTTATTAACATTAATAAATAGAGTCGTGTTGAGATTACATAATATTCGAAGAAAATATAAGTAGTTATATTTAAAAATTGGTTTTTCATAAATAGCATTTAAAGATTTTTTCTTAAATTACTGTTATTTTTTTTTAAATAAATTTTGTCAAGTTTGGCAGACATTAAATGTTGTCAGAAAAATATTCATTAAATACTGTTCGTGGTTGTTATTAAAAGAGTTCAGACTATGTATTTTAAATGATTCGATATTAAAATGCAGTGATGGTGATATAAATTCATTTAAAAACTAATTGTAGTGATTGTGTTTCCTGTATCTGAACACGCGGTTCTAAAACAATGTAGAAGTAACAAATAATTACAGTGAGTGCAATTTGTCAATTTTACTTATATTTAATAATATATTATCCTTCTAGTAACCATATATTTTAAAGAATTTTATATAAATTTAATTATTATACAAAAAAGCATTTTTACGAAGCTAAAAGGAGGGCAGAAAAACTTCTGTTTTTGTTTTAAAGATCAAAACTACTTTACTGTATATTCCAACCATTAGCCGTGTCAGAGTCAGATTTTTCAAAAGGAAGGAAAGAAATATTAAAGTTGTTTTTAATAAGGAAGGAATGCGAATATAATAAAAAAGTAATGAAATGTTTATGAATGATTGCAAAATGAGAAAAGAAACAACACATGGTCAATTAAAATTCTCATACACTTGATAAGTTCTAGTCACCATTCTACTTAAAAAAGTTTTTAAGTATCTTTTCTAAGACAAATTCTATGAGACAGCATGAATAAAAAGCATCAATAACTTTATTGACATAGTAATGTAGTAAGTGTTTGGAAAATATCGATTTTCATCGAAAAATCCTGGGCTCATAATAGTCTTCGATAAGGAGTGAGATGAAGGAAACACCTCCCTAATTTATATGTTGACTGTACTGAAAGATACAATACCGGAAATTACGTAACTTAATTAATATACAGTTAACACAGTTGTTATGAATAACAAAAAAATCTAAGTTATTTCTAAAGCTTCTTTCCCGCGATCCCAGTTACGATTACAAAAACATTTCTGTTTATTTCTATTTATTCAGAAATTTTCTATAAAGTATTTTTATTAAAAACAACAATTTTTATAACACACTTCACCTACAAGTAGAGTTTGATGAGTTTGTGCGTGAAAACTTTCATTTGATAAGTTCTTGTAAACAAAACTTTAGACGGATATGCGGAACAGTTTACGCTCAATTGAAAGTATATTTTACCACCCCTTTCTGGGTACAATGAGCTTTGTATTTGAAATAACATTCCACACAATCTAGCCAATCAGCCATTTTTTCCAGCAGGCGGTACGTGCCCAAATTTCAGAGTAGGCACCCATATACATTAGATAGTTATAGATGGGAAACCTTATCACTCTCGTACCGCTAGTAGCGAACTGCGCGCGGCGCGCCATCGATTTTTGCGCCGTACAAACCATTTTCAACCATCAGTGATATTGTAAACACGTTTTCACGGGAACGCTGCGTTATCGTATTTAGAAGAAAGTGAAGTATGTAATTTGTTTTTAAAAAAATTATGCGCCTGACTTTGCCGGCTCAAAACTACAATGGCAGCGCAAAATAAAGGTAGGAAACTTTTTTATTTCAGAAAAAAAAATTCGAACATTCTTTCGCCGAAGTCATGCTCGTACTTTATGTAAATATATTGATAGTAAAGTCCGTATTATATAGGGCACTCTAATTGCTAATGTAGCTACGTTTTGACAGCCAGATAACATCAAATCGAGCGTGGGCGAGGTGATGTTTAGTAATGTTTTTTTACTGCATTACAATAACATCATTATTTTTTTAATATACGATTTAATATATAAAAAAAAATTGTTAAAGTTAAATAAAAAAAAATCCAAGAGAACAACTAATGTCTTTAGTTTTACTTTAGAAGTAAAGGAAAACTTCAAATTTCTCACCAACAAGTTTAACAAACTTTAATTAAACAGAGTAAGATGACGTGAGCTACACATGATTAATATAAATTAATGTGATATGTTCTCGTGTTATCACATTATGTCTCATATTAAGGATAATGATCTTTTCAAAGGGTATGATTAATGTCGTCAATGATGTTGGGTTTCTCAGCGAAATATAAGAAGAGCCGGCAGCGAGCAATTCATCTTGGTTTTCGGTTCGGGGTGGATTTAAGATAAACGTGAGCTTAGCGAAAATAAATTACAAGCCTCGGTTTGTTGATTAGATCCCATCTCCGAAGATATTTTTAAGATGCTAAAAAATACTAGCGTTTTATTGTAGTTCCACCCCCGAAAACTCTAAAGCTAAATTTAAGAATGTCTATTTTTTATATGGGTATGTAGGTGACATTGCTGTAATTTTTTATATAAATTATTTAAACTATTAGGTAAGTATATAAAGATACAGAAGATCATTGACTGAATAATTGTATTTATCGATAGATTTGTATAAAACCATCTTATTATTAATTTTTCATTACAAAAATCGTCTTTCGGATTTATTAACTACTTGTAGGATTTCTTGAGTTAAACCCAAAATGGCCGTTAATGGAAAACTTTTGTATTTTGATCGAATATAACAGTTATTTTGTATAATAATAACATAAAGTTAATATATGAAATATTGATTAATGTAATATTTGTCACAGTAAATTTATCGAGTACACAAAGTTGCGAGATTTAATTCATTTGGTAAAATTAATCTTTGAAGGAAACTAAAAGAAATATACATTTAGGTATATAAATAAAGTTTTTCTTTTATAATACTTTCCACTTACGCACTTAATTATAAATCCGACTTGTCTCGCTGTTAAGGGTTACACCCAGCGGGAATATGTTTCCATAATTATATATACTTACTTTTTATGTAGAAATAAATGAAATCCCAGTAAATGAAATCTGAAGTTATTTCATTGTGTTTTTAATAAGAGCAACATTACTTATCCATAATATCCGTTTTCAATAGATAACGGACATTTGAAGTTCATTATGAATATAATGTAGATTTTATTGTATTCACAACTAATAAATAAGCCTTGTTTTTTATATAAGAAATTGGTTAGTGGATATTCGAGAGGACTGTTCCCTAGGACCACATCTTAAAAGAAAGTATATATAAATAATTACATAACTCTCAACATAACATTATATTAATCCCACATAAAACTTAACAATTTTGATTTGTTACGTAAACGCTGTATGTTGATTCCCTTCATCCATGAATTTCCGGCAACGGGAAAGGGAAATTTAGTAATTTCTCACAAAGCCACAGCGACGTCATATGTATATGTCCTATTTTACTTGTTAATACTCCGTAGGTTATTAAATGTTCAGTTATATAAAGGCGTACGTTTGGACGCACGTTGCTTGTGCAATCACCGAATCTCCGGTGAATATATTTCGATATAAATTTTCGTAAAGACATTTTGAGTATAGATTAAAGATAGATTAGATTCCGTTCTATGATAATAGTATAGAGAATATAGTCTGTAATGATACAAAGGCTTGTGAAAGTATAGCAAAAGCTCAGGTTTCTGTAAGACGTATGTATCTGTAGATAGGTAGACGCATATTATAAAGAACTCTAAGCCTTAAGATAAAATCTGAGAAAACATGTTCTTTGTGAATACAATGTTTCCTTTACATGCATAGTTATTATATAAATACAAGATATTAAGTATTCATAAGTTTTGTATGTAATTTTCTTTAAAGAGTTTTTGTTTTCAGTTGAAAGTGCTTCAGAAGACATGCCGGCTAGCGATCCCAGCACGGACCAGAAGGAGCGTCTCATAGCGGCGGTTAAGAAAGAAGTGAAGCAGTTGATGGAAGAGGTAATTAGATATTTTAATTATATAGAATTAATTGAATTCAATATATAAAACCTTAATTCTTTCTAAATGTACTCCGTACTTTCCATAAAACTCACTTATAATCTCTGAGATAATGCTGGTTTTATCTTTTTTTTTAATTTATCAAAAACATCATTACGGTTAGGATTCTGAATCACAAAAGTTCTATCAACTCCTTTAAGACCCTTTTCTAGAAGTCTTTATATTTACAAAGACTTTATATTTATAAAGTATGTAGTATGTTAACGTAATGTAAATGACAACCTAAACTCGTACATGTCCTATTTTTTTATATATTATAAAACTATCAAGTAGTCCGGAATACTAGAACTTATAATATAAAACTTACCTTTTTTTTAAAGTTACATAACATTATTCTATATCATTTCAAAATGTGAATTAAAAAGATGCATCACTGTAATCCGTAGTTCGTGACTTGTTGAATAAAAAAAAGTCGAAGAATTTCATTTGAATGTACTTATTAAGATATACACTCTTTTAGACTTTTTCTTCCTTCAAGGATCAAAATGTTAGTTACCAAATAACTATTACACGGAAAAACGGTTTTAAAATGAATTTTAATATTGTATACATAATTTACATATTATTTTAAAATTGAATACATTTTGAAACATCATTTAAATATTAAAATTAACTGCTTTGACAAATGACTGCGTAATGAAATTATTATTTGTAATTTACAATTTAGCATATTCATGCCAATGTTAAATATTAATTATTCACTTAATATTTAATATTGGTTTTGATTTTATTGATTGATGTATTCAATAAATTAGGGTTTATTAGGCTGAGTTGAATAGCATTTTAGTTTTTTGGTTTGTCTTGATTTTGTATAACTTGTATCGGTCTCTTGTTAATTACTATTCCTTTGTTATTTACGCAGAAATATTTCTTCATCTTTATAGGCAAGTGAGTTTTGATGATTGTATTGTAATCGATAAATCATACGACCATACAACCTTTGAAAAATTTGATTAGAAAAGACGAATATTTTGTTTTTATTTCATTCCGATCACCGATAGTGTTTGTTTAATAAACATTGAGCCTGAGTTTGAAATAAGAGTTTATTTATTTGCGTTAATTTATTTATATTTAGAATTCAATTTCAAACTATTATTGCATCGTCTTAGATCATAATTGTTTCCCTCAGGCTGTGACCCGTAAGTTCGTTCACGAAGAAAGTGGTGGGGTGACTGCACTATGCGGCGCGGTGGAAGCCTGTCTCGGTCAAGGGCTTCGTCGACGGGCTCTTGGTCTCTTTAAGACGAGCTCCACAACCGCCCTGTTACATAAGATCGCTAAGGTACGTACATTGCTTTATATGTATTGTCGTGTTTATACTTATGTAATATGCAACCCGAATTCTCACAGGAATGCAGTACTTAATTTAAATATAGAACACACAAACCTGTGTGGTTTCTTTGACGTTAGAACAGCAACTTTTTGGCTATTTTACAAATATTGTCTTGAATTTACTTTCATGTTTAGAGCGAGGCGAATTTTATATGATACTTGGTATGATATTTTTAGTTACAACGGCATTGTCAAAGCGATATTATTATTATTTTTTAATCAATAATCGTGCTTATGTAACAAAATTAAATTGTATAAAAGAGGAATTACTGAAAGAATTTTTCTCCAAGTCTTTCAGAGTATTGATTACAAAAAGGTGTTTGAAGTCTCTCGAGATTTAATAGTGTAGCGAAGAAAGTTTGTACAGTGGCAAAGACGGCTAGCTTTAAATATATTTTTCTATAAAAATGAAGTGGATTTTATCTTCATTCTTTATAAGAATTAATTGAAGATAAATTTTTTATAACTTAAACCTCTAAGAGGTTGAAGCAACGTCCGGAAGTAATTTGTTTCTGAGCTAATTTCATTTCAGCGTTGTCTTATTTTAAACTTGTTCAGATGCTAACGAGGTTTGTTAGCTTGAAAGGTTTTCAGTCTCGGGGATAGTTTTATAAAAAGGTGTCTAGGATCTGGATTGACTAAACGAGCTTTAAGTCTGTGTTTTAAAAGGGTTTAAAAACTTTGAAATACAGACCTGTATCGACATGCTAATGTTGAGATAATAGTTTATTGTATCGGTATGTTTTTTCCTGAAAATGATAACGAGTGACTTAAATTGTTGTCTTTTAACATACATCCAAAATTTACATTTTCGTTTTTACACACATACCTTCATATAATCCCATCCTTATTATCTTCAGAGTTTATTCAGCTCTGAAGACATCATTAGTAAACCCCATTTTTCTTATACCTTTAATTATAACGAAACTGGAACCTATACTTTAAAGTTTTAATATTAAAGTTGTATTCTACAATGGTTTCTTATTTCTAGTAACTAGCGCTACTGTACTTGTATATAATTCCTTTGTGATATATGAACATGTGTCTCGCTTTGTGAATCATTCCTTTGTCATCTTACTGCCAGGGCGGCAACAAATGATTCCAACTCGTCTCTGAATCAAGCCATTGTGGATATCTTAATGGAAAACTTTCTTATTATCTAATCGATTCTCGTTACGATTTTGATTAAAATTATACAAGTAAATGGTTGGATACATTTCGACATCATAAATTTTTGTATATTTCACGTTCACGCTTCGTCAACTGATGCTATCAATCATATTTTTGAGACGAGATGAAAAATTCGTATTCCTTTAGAGGGGTTCCAATATACGGATGAAATTCTTATTTTGCCATTAAAGGAAAAACTATTTGAAAAGCAATAAAATCATCGTCATTGTCATCGGCCTGTCAGAGCCCACTGCTGAGCAAAGACCTCTTCTCACATGGTAGTGGAAAATCATATCCAAGCTATATTTTAAAATCATAATAGAAATTCTATTCCACTAGCAAAAGATGTAATGTTTTTTATTATAAAAGTTTTTTAATGTACTTAAAGCACTTTCACTTAACTTGCAAACTGTACTAATTTTCCCATCAATGTAATAGATACTTCGCTAGAGTTTTTCTAAAGTAAAACAAGTAACATTTTTAATATTGCATTCTTGGGAAGTAAAAAGACAAAGTTCAGAAGTAGTCCTCTTAGAAGTTATTGACAGAATCTTGCAATTGAAAAAGTACGAGAACATTTATTGCCTCCGCGTTGTGAAACGACCATTTCAAATAGCTTTTGCAAGACAGTTTTTAATATAGGATTTTAAAGTTTATTATTCATTTTGTAAAGATGTTAAAACTTATTATTCAGTAAAAGTTTTATATCAAGGTGCAGTGGTAATTTGAATTCGAATAAAGATTTGTATCTAATATAATGTGATTGGAAATATATCTAAAATTAGGGCAGATATTCTATCGTTGCTAATACTCTTGTTAGAGATACAGTTGATTTGAAAAAAAAAATCTCATAATATGACTTTTGCGCTATACAGCGATCGATACCTTATAATATATTAAAGAATACGTACCAATGTTATTGTATTGGTATACATATATTTCTGAACTCGATAAAATGTATCAAAGATATTATATTATACAATTCAATACGAAACGTCCTTCAGTTATTCTATAACGTATGTTTTGATTCCGTTTAAAAATATATACATTTGCTTTTATGCGATGTGATATTATTTGATATAATAATAACATAATTTATAATTAAAAGTAATTTCATATAAAGAAATTACCTTTAATATTTTGAATGATGGAATAAATTTTTTGCTGATGCGAATCCTTTCGGTTTTGTTTTTTAATATTACTTATAAGAAACTGATGTTTGGATTTATAATATATTTGTAAACATACACAGTAAACGAAGGCTCAATCTCAAGTAGATAAGAAAATTTTCAACTTTATAAATATTATGAAATAAAAATATACACTCATAAATGTTCTGTATCTGTGTAACTTATAAAAAAACCGTTTTCTGTACCTATTGCTTATTATCTTGCTAAATAACAACCTAGCGCCATTACGTAAACATTAAATTATTCATTAATGTTTTTTTTGGAGTAAAATGATGTTGTGTAAGCCGAATTTTTCTACGTATATTTATTAAATAGAAAAAAAAATTGCTTCCGAAGTATTTTTTAATTTTCCGAGCCAACTCGCTTACAAGTCATTAAAACTAAATTAAAAATAAATTAAACCATGCATACATTTATTCTCATTTGACATTTATTACTACTGCAACTCATTGCGTCTAATACTTATTTGTTAGTAGTTAGAACTACAGTTTTACCTAAAGGACTAGTTATAGGGATTTCCATATGCATATGTAACTATATCCATGCATATTTAACAAAGCAATTAGTTATCGACAGCTTAGAACAGTAGCAATTATATATACATAGGTACATATAATATGTATGTATTATATAAATTTATAATAAAGTGAAGAAAACAATAAAGTGTTTTTAGGTTTTCTCATTATTTCCATGTAAATGAATAGAATTGTTAATGGATATTAAATAATGCCTGTCATATTGACGTAGCAAATTTACATCCAATAAGTAAAACTGTCTTAAGAATTTAAGATGCGTCTCTCTATATAAATTATTTATATTACATTTTCGTTCCTTCATAGTTCAAAACACCTTTTCTTTTATTAAATCACCCTTTTTTCATCTATCTATTGCATGTCGCATTACAGCCGGCCGCGAAGAAGGAGACAAGTAGGAGGCACTCGCCCGAGTAGTCAAAGTTAATGTAGTTGTACAAATAGTTCTCATCTAATGACTGAGTAATATTTTATTTATTGTATATAAACGGAGATTGTAATTTAAAATTTTAATTGAATGTCCCGTTTAATATTGATTTTACATTATAACTTCCACTTTCTAGCTATAACATTGAAATTGCCATTAAAAATAAAACTATTCCTGAGAAATAGAAAAAATAATAGATACATGTACGTTATACGTATCTATTCTTAAAATTTACACTTGAATTGAAATTAAGCGAGACCGAATATATATTTGAGTTTATTTGACCTTTAAGAGTTAATGACATATAATGTATGAAAAACTAAGTAAATAATATATATATTTTTGGTTGTAGATGAGTAATACTTGATGAACCGCAAATATAATTTATGATATTTTTTGGGGTTATGGGTAAGCAGACTATTGGAAAATTCGTAGATGTTAGGCATTAAGTAATCCGCTCCGGGTGTTTAAAATATATGACTTCCTTTTTATTTCTTTTGTAAAAGACTTCTAGGCTCTGAATAAAATAACGGCCTGCTTAATGCGGTGTTAATAATATAAAAAATATTTTATTAATGATTATAAAAGAAGCTATGAAGAGTTAATTTTCAGTCAATATTATATTTAGTTATCGTAAAACAACAGATTTAATGAAAGAGTGTGGTGGAATTGTTTTGAAGTTGAGTGTTGCGAATTTCACAAGTGCTGTAGTATGAGGGCGTCAATGTTTCATTTAGTATGTAAATACTTGAAATTGCTTGCAGCGTTTGCTCGTCGAATAAGCCATTCGTAGTAACCAATTGTTCGTCCTCTAATTGAAAATAAACATTTTTTACGTTCCGCCTCTGAAATAAAATATGGGTAGTTTTATTTTACGTGGATATTTTGGTTCATTTGATTTAAGCGTATTTTTGTATAAAAGATTTATAGATGACCTTTAAGCAAGTTCCTATATAATAGAGTATATGCTATATATGCTTTTAATATTTACTGCTAAGTGCAATATCGAGTTGTTGGAAACGATTCAATAAGCTCCCACGAACGGAACTTGGCTCATATCATAAAAAGTTTCTTGCCAGATACAAACGATAGTATATTAAATATATATAAAAAACTCCTATTACTTATAGGATTTAAATAACGAGGCAAATCCCTATTTGTTTATATTTCTTTTTTTATTTTCATCTGTTGATTCTGTTATCGAGAGTAAATTGGCTTAAGCCTTAAGCTGCTTGTTTACTCTTTTATATTAATATTGAAAATAACATCAGTTTATTAAAATTTAATTATTTCTTACATAGAAGATAGACTTTTGTTAGTTATGTTTTACCGCCTGAGTTAAACAGAAGGAAATAACCTTACAATAATTATGAACGTAAGTTAATATATGTATGTGTGTTTCTAGAACATCGAGTGTCAGACCTTGGAGTTATTTTTTTCTCCTTTCTTCCTTCACCCAAACACCCCTTCCCATCCTCGTTTTCAATCCCCCTTCCAAAGTCGGCAACGCGTCTCGCGTTTTAATCTATAAATATCATATTATATAAATTTTCATGGACGAAAGTTATGCAATTTTAATGAAAATTGTTTTAAAGCTGTTATGATAGCTTTAAAATTGTGTTGCACATATTCCTGATACAATATGGGTGTCGGTGTTGAAAATGTGAGGAGCAATTTCCGTTTTAATATCAGATGACATTTAAATGGCATTCTCGTGAACTCGCGAGTAACGTGTTTATCAACAGCTATATACACATGGTACACGGAGTGAGGCTTTGATGTTGCAAACATGTTAACCGGCCGTACTCGAGTTCCGGCCAAACTAATTTGTCCAAGCTAATTCAGTTTGCTTTATTTGTGTTACGCGGTAATAGCATCACCAATGACAAACCGTTGAGGTTTAAATACTTTACGCCTAACCAGATTGGCTTCGACTAACCCTATAAATAAAATATTGGCTTCTGTTTTGTTTGTTATTGTGGTCATTTTTGATGCTGTGAAAGTTACTATATGAAAGAAACGCATATGTAATTCTTTATATCATAAACTTGATGTCTTCAAACGTATTTTGATATGTTCAAAGATTCTTCCCATTTACAACGTCGACCTAAATAATAAACGTTACTTTGTAATGTGGCTTCATTATATTAGGCTTAATGTAACGGATACATTCTCTTAATGTATAGATCTGTTAGGTGTTTGATCATATATATAAATCATTTGTGACAATTTTTTCAGCATATACATACAAAGTTAAAACTCGTTAAGGTGAAAGTAAATATTAAGTATAAGATAGTAGGTTAAAAAATTACATTATCGTCGATTAAACAATATAAAAGAGTGACAAGCACTTTTTGTATACAAAATATCCGCATCTTCAGTGTCAGTGAAATTTGACCAATATTCCATAATTGCAGGTTTTCGACAAGTTTTACACGGTCTCAGTGCATAAAAACTCGAAACGTTCCGTATGAGGTGAAACCATACACACTCGTGGTAAGGGTATACGTAACCTTCAAATGATAGGTATTTTAAACGATGCAAATCCGTATTGAGGGTACCCACTGTACAAGACGTACGTCATACGCATGCCGGTTAAATACAATCAATATAAATCTATACGTATGACATGTTTATTTGAAACTCAAATTGGTTTAGATGTTTTGAAGCCTTTAAACAAATGTTATTCCATTGGATTCGGCAAAACAAAAAAAATCAAGGACAACAAAAGGTTTTATTTCAATGTTTGTTTTTTATAAAGTTATTTGTTCGTGTATATTTACTGTATGGAAGAAAATATGATGATTTTTGGAAAAAAGATTACGTTATTTTATATTTTTAAGTAGGCATTTCTAAATATAATAAAAAAAATATTAGAAATGTTTAAAGAAAAATATGAATAAAATGATGAAGCTTAGCTTTTCTAATGCGTATTATTTAACAAATATTTCATACATTTCAAATATCAGAAATGATTGATTAACTCGACATTTTTCATGTGTATCCCAAATACATTATGTATGCGCGAGTGCCTGTTAAGAATATATAATAGGTAATACATATTTCAGATCAAGTAAAGCTTGAACAGTCTGATTTAGTTTGTAAAAGCTGGACAGCTTTGTCTGTCATTTACAAATTTAACGAATATACATATAATACAGTAACATTAATATTGTTCAGAAGTGAGAAATAATTTGTATTCGTGTAACGAAATTTTGACGGGATTTATAAATTTCAAATTTGAGAGAACTCTGGGTTTATAATGTTATTTAATTTCTTTTTAATTAATCAAAAAAGATTGTAATATAAAATTAGTTCTAGTTAATTATACTTAGTTAGAAAAAAGAAATCTAAAAATTTATATCGTTTTATTTGTAGTTTAAAATTAGACTATTCTTTGCTTACTTTATATTCTGTACAAGAGGGTGGTTAAATTATTTAAATAATTTTCTAATGATAACTGGTCATTTAACAATTAAACCGGCACGAGTGACTATTTGATCGAGTGATCATAAGTTAAAATATGTTGCATAATCATGTATTACACTGATGGAACAATATTGATAAAACGTAGCTAAGAGTCATCGCAAGGATTTTCAAAATAAAAAGTCGCACCAAAATTGGTTGAGCCGTTAGAGACCTGTGATTACTGAAAAATATACACACGAACACATAATGCATCGTAGTCAATTTTATAACGGCCCTCGTTTCGCGGCGGGGATTAAAAAGTTAAATTAATTTGGTGTCACCGACGAAACGTGGGCGGTTACCGCTAATTAGTAGCCGTAATTGTTTACAATATATAAATAAAATTAAAAATGTTATCGATACAATAAATTACTTTGAGGTTGACGATTAAAATTCAGATTAAGCAATATTACATCTTAGAATTCAAATACTTTTTATCTCTAGTCACGAATAGAGCTAGATTTGGCTAAATAAAACTAAGAAGAATCTGAAGAAGACAATTTCCTATTGTTTTTTCTAAAACATCACTTGATTAAACAGTTTTCAAAAAGAAAAGCTTTGAGATGTAGTACAGATGGACAGTATTTAATTTGCATCTTATAAGTATGTTTAAATAGGTACTTTAGGAGGTTTAAATTAATTCAATATTAACATGTTGTAATTAAAGGTTGCATTGTTTAAGAAAAAAGAAATAGATGTTATAAGTAATTTTTAAACCTTAATACGGAAAATTCGATTATTTTTATAATAAACCGATAGGCGATGTTCCAAATCTCATGTATTAAAGTGTTATATTTAATAGTTTAGCGATGTCGAAAAGACCGTTAAAGTTAAAAAAAAATCGAGAATATATCAGATTTTTTCTTACTTCATTATTTGGAGGCTTTATTTGGAGGAAACAATTTCCGTAGATTGAACTCCCAAAGGACTACAGGTTACTGTAATTATTGTTTGCTAAATAATAATTGAAACGGAAGGTTAAGAAAATATTGTTACACTATTTATAAGAAGATTGATTCTCTTCGCCGTTCTTAAGATTCTTGAAATTTTATTGTGAGTTTTATGTAAAATTGAATATCAAACTTGAAGATTTATATAACAATCTTGCTCTTGAACTTTGTTAAGTCTCGACATGATCCCTTAATGCTTCTATATTGAATTTATTCTCCCAAATATATTTGACCTTGAACTGTTATCTGAGCTATTGATCGGGCGGACACTGGGAAAACTTCCAAGACAATCTGGATTTTATCGGAAGGGTACGCCAGATCACTTGAAAACTTTTGAAACAAATTTTATTATATCCAAAATCAACATTACGTAACAGTGAAGCAGTATTTATTTTAGATGGAATTAGAAAGGAATTAAATATTGCTTCTTACTAACAATGAAATGAAAACTTAAGTGCTGGTTAATTGATTAAGGGACACACGAGGGATGTTCGTGTTTTCTCTTCATCCCATGGTATGTTCAGATAAAAATAGATTTAAATTCAAAGTAAAGTTAGCACTAAAATTATCACAAAGGGAAGGATGGTAGATATTAGAAAATAAATAGTAAATTAATCCAAGTATTATAAAATAAAATAAGACAAATACATGTAAGGTTGATAAATGTTGCAAAATATAATTTTAAATGCAAACTCGTTCAAGTTTTTTAGGGGTTTTAACATTAGTAATTGAAAACCCATTTTATGGAAATTTGGTGCCGATAGAGATCGAATCTCTCGGAAAGACTTAAATGCCTTCCTAGAATGATATAATTGATAACCGCCTCGACGCTCCACAAAAAAAACTGTTTTCAACCAATTTATATTTAAACATCGCCTACTACATTTTTATATACATATATATTTAAACAAAATTTTTGCTACACTTTATAATTAGTTTAATATGTATATCGAAAAATATATTGCCAAGTCCTTGATTAAATATGCAGTAACTGCATATAAGAGTCGGGTTTAATACTCAATTTTATATGCTAATATGCAAATGCATATAATCCACCCCCATCTTGTCACTCACCGATAATAAAGTTAGTGTTCTGATGACCAATTATGTAAAACTTGGTGGCAGGAAAAGATTTTATAAATGTCACAATTGAAAATGAATAATCCATTTTAAAATTGAGTTACCACGGAAGCTTTAATCTAGTTTTTAAATCTATTCATTACGGTTGAATCCACGTTTCAAAAGACCTCAACATAAAAGTTTTAAAGCCTTTTATAGTAAGCTATTTGTTAATCGGCTTTACCACTTTGCTTGATTGCGAACTTATTGCAATTTCATGTCGTTATAATTCTCATTAGAATTGATTGAGCCTCTTAACTCAAAACAGTGTCACATATAAATTCCAAATGAAAGATTAACCTTTTATATTTAACGATATTTCCTTATTTTCTTGTGTTTTCACTTTGGCCTTTGTTATTTATTAAGGCGTAAAATCTTCAGATTTATCGCCACAAAATGTTTATGAGAATTCAGTCATAATATTGCATTACTTTTGTAATCATATTTTTTTATTACATAATTATGTTGTGTTATACGTCCTATATAAATTCCTAATTACTTTTTGTTGTTAATACAGTCTTTTCTGTTATATTACCTACATTTAATGTATGCGTGAACTATCTAAATCTTCGGGTGTATTTCTCGATAAAAACGCTCGCAAATATGTTTGATTGAGACCGTTTTTCGAGTTGAGAGTAAATAGAATAAATTGCTGATTTGAAAACTTTACCGCAAATTCTTTTTTGTATTCCTACTTTCGAACTTATCCGTCAGTAATTTGATTTGACAAGGTCGTATTCTGATTGAATATTAACAAGAATAAATCTATTTTTACCAACACATACGAAGATCAGCTAATCTGTCCCGTCTATCTCTTTAGCTCTTTATATATACCTGTTGCTTTCTTTGGTTTCGGTCTATAACAGATGTTTTTGTTCTAGAATTGCCCAGAAGCGGCTTTAGTATCAGCTCGTGTGCTAGCAGCAGAAGGTGCCCCTGCAACTAGATCAGCTTCAGGCGTCGAGAGAAGACCTTCAGCTCCTCGACCACCTCTTAATAAGAGAGGCTCTGGGTCACTACTGTCACAATCACCACCGCAGTCCAAGTTAGTATACATTTATTTTTTATTCTTATTTTCACATTGTTATTGCTTATATCAGGTGTAATGGGGAGGAAGAAATTAATCATGAAGAAAAATTGCTTAAATATTAATAAATATTATATGTTATTTGATTTGGTACAATTGTTATGTCAAATATAAACGTTCACTGTTTTTATTAAAATGACGGGTAATAAAATAGAATTGAAGGAAAAAGAAATAAGCTTACTATAAAATAATATATTTTAAATTTTTTAACATCATTACTATTTAGGTTTAGAAGACGATGTACATAATAGTTTTAATACTTTTTAACCAATCTTAAAATAAAAATATATAATTAAATATACTCTTCATGTTTCAAAAAACCGATATTTTTTATTTCTAAATATAATATTAATATATGTAGAAAAAAACATGTTATAGCTAATTACTTAATCCAGGCTATAATGGAACAGACGATAACTAATTCACAAACTTGGATTTCGTAATATTAGTGTGATAATTTCCATTATTGAATATTAAATAGTATCTGAAATCGATACGTGTAATGAATTCACTAAGAATTAATTGTAGGGATTTCATTTTGCTTGTCTATTGTCATTGTAATTAATTTTGTGGTCGTTTCGCAAATTTAATGTGCGGTGAACAAATGACTTTGAATCATTTGTTTGTATCCGATAAACAACGGTATTGAATAGTCTCTTAATTTTAAATGAGTTAATTTTAAAATGAATTACATTCTATGAAACATGGATTTCTTGAAATACGAGTGCATTATATGCTATAAGTGGATAAGGCAGTCATTTTCTTTATAGGAAAGCTTAATTTACTCAGTTCTTTGTAAAGTTTATTCCTTTAAGAGGTTGAATAACAAAGGTTTTAATATTGTTTTTGCTTCATTAAATCATGTTTTATATTTGCTATGAAGAAAATAATGTTTGTTTCTATTAAAGTATAAAATGTAATATCTCTTCTACTAATATTACGTCGTAATATTTTTCTATGGAAAGGTAAAACCTCTCCAAGTATTTAACATATATACAGGTGAATTGTATAAATGTTCTCTCACGGCACGTGTAGGACAAGGCCGGTAGAGTTATATGGATCTATTTTATAGTCGCTTTACTCAGCAGTGAAATGAATTTCTTTATATGAGTGGATTTGTTTTACGATTAAAATTTTAATTACTGACCAGCTCCTCATATAATTCTTCCCACGCTGAGTTCCTAGAGAGAGCTATTAATATAAAGTCATTAGAAAATGTCAAAAGGGTAAAACTTTAGAATATTTATTAATTAAAATGCTTATAACACTGCGTTTAATACGGACTAAAACCACATGACCGCTGAATCATTATGTGCCGATAAATAACACAGGAATGTAAACCAGATGAGATTAAAAATATTTAAACAATAGAAGTCAGTATTTTGATAAATTATATTTCGTTTCTCTGGCTTGACTTCAGACAATAATTTTAATTAATACCTCAATGGAAGTGTAAATGAAATTAATTTCTGTTAAACAAACATCGAAGTGGCAAAACAAAGTTGTTACTTGTTTTATAACATGGAAGTAACATTCCAACTAGATGTACATTGAGTTTAGCCAATTATAAATGTTCGTTAGCAGTTGGTCGCGACGCTGGAACGTTTTAATTAATTTTTTTCTCACTCTCGCAGGTTACCGCAAAATTTTAATTTTGCCTTAATTGAATTTGAAATCATTAGACTCTTGAAATGTAATATCTTTGTCTTATTAGTTCAGCTGAAAACTTTAAAGCCAGTATTAAATATTATTGCGTTCTTAGTAATGGTATTGCGTTTTTAGTAATATAGTAAATTCTCATTTTGTTTTGTCTTCATACTTTATTACATTTCATTTTAAAGGTTTATCATTGTCGCAACTGGGATTTGACATAAATATTCGGCATTCAAATCTGTCCCCTATTTTATGTTTAATTCTAGGTATACTATACTAGAAGTGTAAGATCTATACAAATGAAGATGATAAAGAAATTTATTAGTTTCTTGATAAAACGTTTTAGGTAAATTTGGGAGCAAGAGGATATATTGAAGACTAACATGTAGATAGCTTAATGAAAAATCACGGCTTTAATTTTCAGTGAACTTATTTTCTCTTTTTTTGTATATTGATTACAATTTAGAATAGATTTGAGAAATGATACTCGAGAATTTCTACGTAATAGAGCTTACTGATTTACTTTTTATTCATATATTTTTTTTTTGTAATTCTGATCTACTTGAAGATTTCTGTCTTAGTTTATGTTGATTGATGTAAATTATAAAATTTTACGTGTCTTATAAAACCTTAATAATATTTTAGGGTTGTATGTCATTACAACATTATTCGTCTTTGTGATTTTTCTTCATTACATATTTATGTTATTCGTAGTATATTATTCGTTACCGTAAAATGGTGGATGGCGCTGCCAGCCCTTTCAAATTTATTACCAGTTTATGACAGATAGTAAATAAAGTCAGCAATACGGATAAAATTTCACTGTTTTTTGAAACATTTAATAACCTTGTATTGAATTCTAAATGTCATTCGGTTAAGATATTATATAATGCCAATTATATAACTATGATTGTTGAATACGTAGTAGTTTGGTGAAATTTATACCTACAGTGAATATTACGCTTCGCAATATTCTGAATTCCTTTATGGTTAAGCTTTGAATGTCGAGTTTCAATTTACTGGAAGTTTCTATTTGATATGTTCTTGCGCTTTGTAGGTATAATGTCAAGATTCTGTTCTACGTATATATGCTATTAATAGAACTTAATTTACTTGTAGCAGTATTCACCTCCACAGGTATCTTTGGATACGGATAGCTCTCTTTGAACGTCAATTGTCGAAGATAATTGAGCATCTGGTGAACAATGCAAGCAGATATTATGAAAGGGATGCATTGGTAGCGGATCCCGATTACGGCAGTATCTTGAGTTCTTTGTTGGTTGGACCCTGTGCTCTCGAATATTCCAAGGCCAAAGCACCGGCATGTTTTTGGACAGATCCACCAGCCGATGAACTCGTTAGTATCGACTTTTTCAATAAACATACGCTTTTATGAATTATAGGTTTTTGATCTTATTATCTGTTTCATACGAAAAAATATGTATGAAATATTTAATACCAAATAAATTTTAATTACGTCAGATTTCGTAGCGATTCGCTGCTTCTTTTAATTAATTTCAGTTTTGAAATACAAAATTTACAATTTCAACTGGATTCAAAGTATTATATCAATTTCATTTATTACTTTTATTTTCTTTTTGAATGTTCTACGTGATTTTAAATGTTGATCCTTATTTTGCTGTGGATCATATTTATCAAAGTAGAATTTACGTAATAGTTAACGAAGTAAGTTATAACTAAAGTTCGATTTCGTTTAGGTTCAGAGGCATAGAATGTCAGCAGGAACAACAACTCCACCATCAGTTCGAAGACCCATACTAAATTTCAGGAGAAGTCTGAACGCATCTTCGGAAGACAGTGGAGCTGTTAGCTCAGGTATTTTAAAACGCAAAATATAAAGTATAAATAATTGCATTTTAATAGGCTGGTTCAAAAGAAAAATTCTTTAGGATTCTATGAACAGAGTTATCTGATTTCACAAAGGAACAGTTCAGTTTTGTTTTTAGTTTGATACAAACTTTCTAAAAGGAAAAGTCTGTTATGCTTTTATAGATACTTCATAACAAAGACCTCATTGTTTCCAAGCGATAAGCGAGTTTTTACCGTGTTCAGAAGTTTATTCGAGTCTTATGTTTTTAATCTTCTTATTTATAAATTAGTCTGGCATTATTAATGGGACGAACTTTTAATTAAGTGAAAGTTAAATGAAGCGAGTTTAAGATTACTTTATGCGTATATTACTTTACTAAACACATTTGCTGGGAAAGCAAATAGAGACCACTGTTTAGTGACCTAACTACGACCTTAAATGTAAACATATTTAATATATTAACCAAAACTTTGTTAATCTAGCCTCTGGCAATACTTCAAGTTCTACAGCCAAAGATTACGTGGAAAGTTTACATCAGAATTCGAGAGCTACGCTGTTATATGGAAAAAATAATGTACGGGTTCAACCGGTAAGTTGCGGATTTTCATATAATAATAATAAATATGAAAGGATTGCTTACATTTAAAACAAACTAAGTATTTTGCTAATTTACATTGATGTTTCAAAGTTATGTATGTATTAGTTTCATATGTTATTTTAATATAACAGAAAGATGTAGAAGAACCCATGCCGGGTTATTTGAGCCTGCATCAGACAGCAGCTGGTCTAGTCATCAAATGGACTCCTAATCAGTTAATGAATGGTTACGCCGAGAGCGAAGGTGTCGATAAAAGGTATGACTTACATAACGTGAACTTCATTTCCTTTAATTTCTTATTATGTGCAAGTTCTTTATAGCTTTTTTTAATTTGAAAGAAGATTTTCTTTATGCTTTATGTATTGAAATGTTTGTGAGTTTATATGTTCATTTATTTTAAGTTTTTATAGTAGTTGTTTGACGAATTAGTCTATAAATATTGAATGTGTAGTCGCTGGCACCTAGTACATACAACGGCTTGTCCCCATACTGTTCTGTCTAGTAAGGCGCCATGCACTGTATATAGGCGACGATGTTCCGGACCCCTTTGTATCGATTGGTATGTACACTGTTTGCTTTGCTTGGCATGACTGTTTGCTTTTTTAATTTGGTTGAACATAATAAAATTACCTTGACTGGCTTGTAGATTTTACGCAGCAAATGAAATGAGTTGTTAAGGATTGACTATAAAGAATCAAATAAATCTATCTAATAAGTATATTTGTTAAAGTCCCATGTCGGTTTTTTAATACAGTCAAATCACGAGTACGCTACGTAAAAATAATTAATTAATGAATTTAATCCGGTTTCATTGAATACATAATTAAATCTGTTGATTTATTTATTGTTATTTTTGCCAGTGTATACTGGGCGATGTCCCTCCAAGTTTGTGTGTGGGAGGTCGTGTACGTTCATGTACATCGGTCACAGGCGAGTGATGCCCTCATACTTGTAGGACAAGACGGCGTCCAACGTCCACCGATACAGTTCCCAAAAGGTGAAATATTAAAACCCATACTATTAAAATACTTTAAAAGTCGTTGTAACCAATTATTATTATGCCTCGATTTAAATATACATACATTTTGGTTATTAATTTATACTAGATAAGAAATTGTTTTCATATAAATGTAGATCAGAATATATAAAATATAAAAAGTATTTCTTCTTAGTAAATACTTCTTTCAGGTTTTATATATTAAAAGAAAACATTGTATTTAATTAAAATTACATATATTTATGATTGTTAGTATAATATAAAAATGTTTCAGTTCAGTATATGGCAGTTATTTATTTATATTAAGACGTATTTGTTACAGGAGGACATCTTCTATCATTTCTAAGCAATTTAGAAACTGGCCTTCTACCACACGGACAATTGGATCCGCCGCTGTGGTCACAAAGGGGAAGCGGAAAAGTAAATTCAATTTACTCTCGAGATACATTGAGAATTGTTATTGTTGGGAAGGATATATAAAATCTAATTATGTCTTTAATGTATAAGGGATTTCTTATAATACATATATTTTATTCCTCCCAATTCTAATGTCGCAAATTATTTACATAAACATATGTGTAGATAATATTTTTTTTGGTAATTGATTGTGTAAATATAGGTGTTCGGACGTGGTAAGATCCGTAGACGACCGATGCCAAGTCTCTGTGAATCCGGTGAATCTGAAGAACCGGATTGGGACGAAGCCGCGGGAGATTACGTGTTTCGTATCGTTAATAATGCGCTCACTGACAGAGAAGGTATAATTTCGTTACTCGTGATTCGTATAGCCAGTTCCTTCAAGGTTTTATTGTCACCGTAATGAAATTTCAGCTATACGTCATTCTTTATTGGAGCGCGTGATACAATCTCCGCCACGAACGCCTCGTAGACCTTTGGCCTCTACTTCAACGACTTCTTCAGATTCATCCACCATGTCCGTGGATTGCCCTCCGCCTCCTCTTAATGGGGTTGTAGCTACACCAGCTAATAGTTTCGTGGAACAGGTGACTTGGGCTTTGTTGTTCATTAAAATAATATATGTATATGATGATTACACTTAACAGTCTTTAACGCAATTACGTGTCCAGGCCGCATCTATAGAACTCGTCTGCAGTACTATGCGTCGTCAAATCATATCCAGGGCGTTTTACGGATGGCTAGCTTACTGTCGCCATTTATCAACAGTACGGACACATCTGAGCGGTCTTGTTCATCCGAATATCATTAGCAGAGGTAGGATATAACATAAAAATAGTTTATTCCTTCAATCAATCTCTTAATATTATGAAAGAAATGAATGAGGTATATAAAAATTAAATTGTATTAAACGATGGAGTGAGAATTAAATTTTGTGGTCTCAAATTATTTTGCTTAGTGGGATATAATAGTTTTATACGTTTATATGTAATAATTTATATATTTAAGAAGCACTATCTATAATTCAGAATACTCGGTTATGTCCGTGAGAAAGTTAGCACCATGGTTTGGTACCCTCCTAATTAAATAGGTTTTTTTTAAAGTTCTAGATGTTTAAAATAATACCAGCATCATAGTATGTTCCACAAACAAAGCCAAAAATAAGATTTAATTATGTATTCTTTTTCTTCGTTTAACATTAAAATGTGGGAGATGCGGTACAGATTTTTTTTCCCTTTGTATTGACAAAGATACTTTCAAGTGGCTTAAGAGTGTATGTGCTTAACAATATTACGATAGGTAACAGGAATATATACGTTTTATTTTCTGTAGAAGGCACAGAAAACGGTCTTACTGCGGAACTTTGGAAGTCCATGATGGATAATAAAGGTGCCGTGACTGATAAAGACGAAGTGTACCGTGTAGTATACTATGGAGGAGTACAACACGACATACGACGAGAGGTTTGGCCGTATCTACTTGGTTACTATGAGTAAGTTCACTCTCTTATAAGTATAATCTTATATATAGTTAATCCTTTTTTCTTATTTTGCCTTAAGATCATCGCATAATATCAAGCAGCTTTTATGTCGAGCTACGGAATCGTTTCTTATTTTATGATATTAGAACAGATCTAGTTATTCCAAGAAAAAGATACTTGAATAAAGGAAAAGATCCCACTCCCCATTCCCAACCAAACAATATGACGGCAGACAGGCAGACAAATTTATCGCTATATTTAAAATATGAACAAACTTTTCTTTTTAAATTACAATACCAGTTTGGTACTAAACCTAATTAATAATACCCCTTAGGTTTGGTTCAACAGCGGAAGAGCGAACCGAACAAGACGCAGCTTACCGTCGTCAATATGAAACAACAATGTCAGAGTGGTTGTGTGTTGAGGCGATTGTTAGACAGCGTGACAGGGAAGCCACAGCCGCGTCCATAGCGCGACTTAGTGAAGCCTCTGGAAAACCACGACCTGAAGTTATTGAGACTAATGAGGTCAGCCAAATAATTTCTAAAAAAAGTCTATCAAAGTATGTGTATTGTATTTAAATAATACATCAATTATTTGTTCTTTATTCATAGGTATTTGAAGATGATTGCAGTGTGATTTCTGATAATCCTCCAATAGTTTCCCCTGACCCAAGCGAAAACGAACAAAAGAAACCTGAATCGAAACCAGTGCTGTCAAGAGCGCCTAGTATAGACGAAGTTGATAACATAGAAATGGATTCAGAGGAGAAAGGGAAAGATGATGTAACTTTAAACGGAGAGACTGAGACAAGTGATAGAGATATTGCTGATGATAGTATCACCGAATTAGAAGAAGATGAAGAAGATATTTACGTTAAAAGTGTTATCGAAAATCCAGATATGAGGAGGGAGAGCATAGCGGAAATCAAGAGATTAGCAGAAGGTATCGTACAAAAGGGAGAAGGGAGAGGTCTGCTTTGCAGCGTTGATAGTGCCAATATAACTGTAAATGGTAATGATAAAGTGGATGAAAACCAAACAACAAGACAGGAACAACAACATACGAGTGTGATTATAACAAATCCTTCCGTCGACCTGGCGCCATCTGGTTCACCTGTATCTGGTGGGACTACAGGTAAATATTATTTCTATAGCGATAATTAACAACATAAATTAACTAAAATATGAAAATGTATAAACATTGTCCATGACAAAAAATAAACCGATTCAATATTTTGCTTTTAATCATAATAAATATAGATGATTTAGATGATCGAAAAGAAGTAAAGGAATCTTTATGATAAATGTTTTTTTGTCCTGGTAAGTAGAAAGTACCAAAAGTTTTTATGTATTAATTACACAACAGTGAACGTAAGTCCAGCTCGTAGTCCATTGGGTGTTGTTCGTGAGGAGTCTCAGTCCGCGGGAGCATCCTTCGACACTCTGGAGCCGAGTGACGCTCGTCCTGACAACAGATCCGACTGTGTGTCACCAGCTAGCTCTAATGGAGGGGTCTATTCGGTAACTATTACAATATATTGCATGAACCTTGTTTATCGGGTAAAAGATTCAGCAACATTTGATGAGGCATTTTTTTAAATTATATCAACCAATAATCATGCATTGATTTTAATTTTTATAATATAAGTTACAGTTGAGAATTAGGTATTCGTATTTGTTCCAACAATAGGACTTTTTATTCAAATATTTTACTTTTATTTCTCTAGCGCTTGTTAGAAAATTACTATTTGACTGCCTTCCACAGAATGAATTGGTTGAGAGTTTCGCGTTAAATCTTCACCGCATCGAAAAGGATGTTCAGAGGTGTGACAGAAATTATCCTTTCTTTACCGATGAAAATTTGGATAAACTAAGGAATATAATGTGCACGTAAGTTATGTTTAAGTATTATTATTGCGGTTTATAAAATGTAACATAATTAATTTAAGGAGGTCAAAATTACAAACGATAATTAATAATAAACGAATTCGTTTACTTACTATTACTAGCTTTTATATGAGAAAATTTTCCTGTAAACTAGTTTTCAAACAAAAAAACCTTGCAACATAACATTTATTCAATATTTAAAAGTCACAAGCCAACATCAGCTCCGTAAAGAAAAAATCTAGAAAAATGTTATTGAAAAATTAAACTAATATTTTCAAATTATTCGCATATTTTATTATTTTTAAAAACTCCCATAGTTTTACATACAACCGACGTTTCGGTTACTTTTCAGCAGTCGTGATCAAGGTCAGATTAGATCTCGAAGAATAATAAAATGCGTGAAGTAACCCGAAAATATTAGTTTCATTATAATGAATACTCGCGAAAGTGTTAGATCTCATATCGTGTTAATAATTTATAGGATAGTTTGTAATTGTTTAAACACTTATTGGACAAGCTCGTGAACTAATAATCAAGTATTCGTAACTGTAATATCAATTTTTTAAAGAGTTTACATATTGTTGGGACATTAGGTTTTCATTAAATCCAATATATCTAAGGTATGTGTGGGAGCATCTGGAGACAGGTTACATGCAAGGAATGTGTGACCTGGCAGCTCCTCTGCTAGTCGTAGTCCGTGAGGAGGCGGCTGCTCACGCTCTCTTCACACAGCTCATGACTCGCGCTAGAGATAACTTCCCATCGGGACAGGCCATGGATGCACATTTTGCAGATATGAGGTCATATATCCTGGATTATTCCCGAACCGATTTTCGTTTATAAAGTACTTATCATTTTGTTTCTAACTAAAGACATGGAGTAATATTGCAAAAATATATGGACTGGTTTGAATTAAATAACCTTTATATTACGGTATTTGATGTAATATTTGAATTGAGATACATGTCTAAATTAGTCTATTAGTGCGTAATCTTGTGTGGCATTCAAATTCCATATTCAATCTCAGTACCGAAGTTTTTATTCAGTTTGGTAATCAACAATTGTAATCCAGGTCTTTGATACAAATTCTGGACTGTGAGCTGTACGAGTTAATGCACGCCCACGGCGATTACACTCACTTCTACTTCTGCTACCGCTGGTTCCTGCTGGACTTTAAGAGGGAACTTCTGTATCAGGATGTAAGTGATAGAGGCTTAGTTTAAAACTGCGGTTATTTTGAAAGGACAGATATGTTTTTGGTGAAGCAACTACAAATCTTATATATATATGTGCAATAGTCGAATGAATATTGGGAAAGTGTAAACCTTTGTACATATATGATTCTATATCATCATTGTATTTAAATTTAAGAAAAAATCTGTTACACTTTATGGTTGGTGTAATAAATTTTTGTGATTATCGAAACATTTTTTAAGGTCTGATATTACTATTTAGGTCTTACATATACATTGCGTTAATTTAACTGCTCTAATCGTTATTTCCTTTCGCCTATATATTCTATGATCCAATGATGTTTAATTAAATCAATTTATTAATATACAAGGTGTTTTCCGCGTGGGAGTTGATCTGGTCAGCTCGTTACGTGTCCTCTGAGCACATGGTGCTGTTCTTAGCCCTGGCATTGTTGGAGACCTATCGTGACGTCATCCTCGCTAATGCCATGGACTTTACGGACATCATCAAGTTTTTCAACGGTAGGACTTCGTTAGTTTTAAGTTTAACGATTATTGATATTTGTTTTTTTTTTAGTAGTATACATAATATATAATTTAATTGGTTTTGAATAGATCGCAAAGACGACAATTAGTTTTATCCTTTCATACAATTTCCTATAAATTCATTTCTTCAACTATTCCCAGTTAGCAGAAATGATCTAAAAATTAACCTTAGTTAACAAGATTGTGTTACATTTAATTAAAGAAAATTTTTGTTCACAGAAATGGCCGAGCGTCACGACGCTACCGCTGTTCTATCACTAGCAAGGGATCTCGTCCTTCAAGTTCAAACTCTAATAGAGAACAAATGAAGATTAAATTTATACAAAACATATATTTATAGGCGATAGAAATAAATTATAAATTATATTAGACGTTTCATAAATAACATATTGAATTTTATCTTTTTAGTGTCTGAACTATCGGAGTATAAGGCATAGCGCACATTGTTATATCTTGAAATAACAAGTACACATCGCTTCCACATAATATAATACGGGATATCTAAATACACAAGTATGTACATGTCCTAAAATTATATATTAACTGTAAAACAGTTTTAAAATCTTGTATACTTTTATATGTTTGTATAATATTGTCGTAAGTAATATTTCGAAAATTTAACACCGTTTTTAATATTAAAATATTCATACAAAATTTTTATAAATGTCCACAATGTGCACTGAGCCTGGCTTTAAGGACGCAATAAAATATAACCAAAAATTAAAAAAAAGTATAAATACATATATATTTTGATACTCTATCACGTAAAATTTTTCCAATCATTTATCACTGATGTAAGAAAATATATGGATATCAATTCTAGGGTTAGTAAAGATGTCTTATTTAATGTTATATGTAATAAATATATATGTATCTCTTTAAATATATATGAAAGACGATGTACCTGTGTATGTGTGAGATCTAATCTTTGTTTTAACTAAACGTTAATTAATAACAAACGGCCCGTTACAGTGAACCATATCTGATTTCAGTTCTACCCTCCTCCTGTGCCTTGACCTTCAGAAAACCCTTTAAATTGTTCTTTACATGAAAATATTACAACATAAGTATATTAAAAATTCTATAAAGATTAGTTAGCAAAATAATAAATTAAAAATAATACACCTATATGAGTAATATATACCTGTTTCCTACAAACACAAGTTTTATACATATTCAAAATTATATCTTCGTATATTTTTCTATATAATTCGATGTTGGTACCTTTCTACATAAAATAAAGATTAGTTTGATATTTCATTGTTATTGTGTAATTAATTATCTTATATTATATATAATTATTTACATGTACGCGCTTCCAGGAATTGTTGTCATTGATAATTTAATTATTGTGTTTAAATCTTTTATGAACGTCTCACATTTGTATGAGGTATTCATAAAGCTAGATGCATTTTATTTATAAACAGCTATTATCTTATACTATTTATAGATTTATAATAATTAAGATTTAATTGATGTGCTTTAATGTTTTATTAAATATTTGTGATCGCATTACGCTTAATTTTCCTGATAAAATGGCCTACGTCCGCAGCGAAGCTTTACCGCGCCGTGTCCAACACGTAATGGTGTCAAATTGCAATTTTATATTATAATTATATATGTGTATGGACGGATCACTCTTACATGTATAAATTTATCTTAATTGTGCTATAACTGTCCCACTCACTCATATCTAATAAGAGTGGGACGTATGTCGTAATTTGCACATATCTATGCATTTCAACATGTAAGAATGACGAGCTCTCCTTTTTAGCGACAATATGGATATATTCAATGTTTTTTCAATAATATTCATCATCTAGAAATTGTTAATTAAGATGTATTTAACAAAGTTTATTGTACAGTAGCATGTTTAGATAGTCTTGGTAGATTCGATTATTTGAAAATGGCGTTACTGATTCCTAGAATAGTTTGAATGATTGACGAGTTTCCGAACATTTGATACCCTCTGGCCATGATTGCAAGAAATACTTTCTTTAATCTATGATATTGTTTTTTTTTGTTAATAAATTATATTGAATGAAAGCATAAGTTGTTATTCAGTGCTTATCAGTTCTTAATTCACTCAACAAATTCCCCTGAATCAATTTAATTTCCAAAAATTGTTGAATTGTTAAGTTTATCAAACGGGAACGTTTTTATTATTTCATTTATAAATACAATTAAAGTCAAAGTTCATACCTTTGTGTATATTTTTAAGTAGCCTTGCATGTAACATATTCTTTATACATGTTTTCCTATGTTTACGGAAAACCTTTTATCCTGTTTCCGTAATTCTAGTTGCCAAACAATTACCTACCGCAGATAAAATAATAAAATATAATGTTTGTTTATTATCTGTCATTGTTTGGTTTTAATACTGGCAATCTGTCATTTTTTTTGCCGTAATCTTAAGCATCTACTTCCAGTTAGATCTATCAAATATTAGTAATACTGTAGCTGTAGAGTTTTCAACAAACAACTATTTTTGTGAAATCATCTTGTCATTAAAATGTTTCTAATTAAATCACTTTTTATTTCAAATCCTTTGTAATTATACCTATTTTCTGCCAAAAAACTGGTATCACATTATATATTACAGATTCATTTTTTTTCTAGTTTTGAATTCTTGTTATATGGCAGTATATTTATTTGATAAGTTCATAGTTTTATTTAGAGGTGGTACTATTTTGTACTACGACATTTTCAACTTTACTGCCGTGATAGTACATAAAAAAGCAACATTTATAAGATATATGTTCAATTGTTTTTGTGTTTTTTTTTTATAAATAGTAATATTAATCATGGTTCTACACCGTTACCGTGAACGTGTAAGCAATTAGCGAACCTTGACGTCTCTTTGCTGACCCACGTTGTGACGTATGGATCACGTGCGGTGTATAATATAAAATGTGTAAGTATAGTGATTATAATACAAATTATACAACGTATATTATATATTACGGTCGTAATACTGATGAGTCAGTGTAATGATTTATGAGTTCGAGCGAAAAATGGTTTTGACTTTTATTTACGCTACAGGTGAAGCTTTAGAGATATAGTTCTCATTTTATAATTTTGGTTTAAAAGAACAATTGGTTATAGCCAGACAGTTAAAAAATATGTAAGCTACTTGAATTCGAGGACCTACAGCTTCTAAATCATGTTTTGATTACCTTGGGATTTGTTGCGAGAAATTAAAACCTTAATACTTTTACGGGAACTTGCGATATGATAAAAGACATACATAGATTTATTTTTCCCCTATTTCATTCAAAATTTGAATCAAACTGATTGGATGACTCATAATACTATTAAAACGGGGTCGATGACATTATTCCAATGGCACACTCATTTCCCACTTAAGGTTACATCACGGATTTGTAAGAAAAATATGAAGAAACTTGTTTGTGTAGCCGTCTAGGGGACTCCCTTAGATAAAACGGTAATCATGAATATAAAAACATTTAGAATGGACATTAAAATTAACTTATTATTGTCGTTTGATAGCAGATCTTTGTTCATTCAGAGATGTTGAAATATGATTAATTGTCTAAGCCAGAGAATCTGACATAAGTGTGAAAATCGTAATGACCTGATAAAATTGTGATTTTTTTCAAAGATTTTAAGACCATGCCTGAGTAAATACAAATGAACATTGAACCAAAGAATCCGCTTAAATTAGATGTTGTGGATTTTTTGTATTACCGTTAATGTGATGTGATTTGGTCAACAAGTCAGTTTTATTAAGATATTAACTATATAAAATTAAGTATACTCTTATTATAAAATTTGTTTCAATAAATTTGGGTATAAATAAATATTATATATCCGTAAGAAGACTCAAGTAAATTGCGTTAAATAAATAATTTTAGACTTTGGAATTTTGAATACGCAGACAAAAAATTATATTTATTACTAGAAGACCTGGCGAACTTCGTATCGCCCTATAATCAAAAAATATCTATACCGTGTTTTGAAGTGCGACAGAATGATTGACAAATTAGTTAGTTGTCAAATCTAATGTCAAAAAAACGTTTGTATGGGAAATAGAAAAGGGCTGTTTTTATGGTTTTCCCAGTAATGAATCAATTTTTTTCAGCTTTTATACCTTCCCTGAACCTCCACGAACATTTCAAGACTAAGATAAGATAAATCCGTTCAGCTGTTCTCGAGTTTTAGCGAGACTAAGGAACAGCAATCCATTTTTATATATATAGAAGATAGAAGATTATTATTCTTGCTCATAGAATGCTTCTTTCTAAACAAAATACTTCTGCTTTTTATACTAATTGTATTAAGCCAATATATGTACATATATAAACAAATATGTTTCGTAGCAAAACCGTGATACAAAATCACCAAATCATAATCTATCTTGTTGCCCTGACATTTTTGTCGATTGCAGCAATTATTCTAAGAATACTGTCTAGTTGAGAATATGACGATTAAGCAAAAATATCAGTAAAAAGTCAACAGAATGTATACATTTTTCTCTTACAATCACTATTCCTAGGGTTCATTTTTACTGAAATGAAATAACAATAGGAGATGTTCATTGAATTGCAATAAAAAGCTCATTTAATAAATAATTTAACTTTTATTCTGAGATCCAGTTAAATCAATTTTATCTAAATCCTTATAAGAAGCGGGGAAGGACGACCAATGGTCCCAAGTTTGTATCTCGTTGAACAGAGCGTCGCCAGGGCATTCTGTCTCTCGAACTTGTCTATGACCGATAAGCTTATAGTCACTTTTGATGAATCCCAATTCTACTCCGACATTTATTAGAGCTTTGGCTGACTTCAGTTGATTGGAAGGCGGCACTAAATCTGTTAAATACAACAATGTATTACATTTCTACTATAGAGCAGATTAGAACCAATTTTTGATAGTCATATGGTTTTTATAAAGCGTTATATTTCCAGAACGGTAGCTAACATAAAAATAACTAATTCCATAGGGAAAACATTCCTATTAGGCCTCGGTCTCAGTTGTCAACTATTACAAAAGCCTAGCTATCACCTGAGTCAGTGTATACATACATAAAAGGTTGTAATATATATGTTTTTACACTAGAAAACTATATAATATTAGTGACATATATTTGTAGATCATAAACATCATTTTAAATTAAAAGTTATAAGCAATTAGGGCAATCGAGCCTCACGTATCCATATGCCGATTAAGTAAGAGAGATTTTAGGCCCAGTAATTTTTCTTCTGAAACCCAGCTATCAATCAAGTATAAGAAGCCGTCCTTTGGAAGCCGTTCTCTACCAGATTATAATAATATGTTATAAGTGTTTTCCTGGTTTGCTCGTTATATAAGTCATACTCACAACTCCAGTCCCCAATCAGACATATTCCAATGCTGACGTTATTAAAGTGGAGAGCGTGAGCTCCTAGTACTGTCCACCCTCTGCCTTCGTACGCTGCACCATCACTGCCAACGGCGAAGCTAAGCAATTATCTAAATTAGTTTGTTTTATAACAACATTTACTTTCTGATACGAGTAACTTTAGTATCCCAAAAGATGGATTTTACATCCTTACAGATGTTATTTTTCAATTTTTTAGTTTTATGACTATCCAATTTAATTTTGAAATATATTTTGTCTTGACTTAATTATGCTTAGGGTCTCATATATTGTTCATGTCATTGTTGGATTAAGAAAAAGAAATGGGTACATTAATTACTCACTTGTAACCTATGTCCCACCAGCCTCTAGAATCCATGTGGAAGTTCTGCATGGACCTCATAGCTTGACGACATGTTACAGCATCATAGCAAGCCGGTGGTGAATAGGAGTGATGTATGACTACATATGGAACTGGTGTTTGCAAGGGGTTCTTCTCTTTTGGAGGTCTAGCATGCCACATGGAACGGGTCACGAAGGGAAAATCGTAACTTGACACCTCGTTGTCATCATCAGCTGAAAAGATTACCATGATTATAAACTGTCCTGTACCTATAATAATGCTTACAAATCAGTTTTGTTAATTTTGCTTCTTTCTGAATCTATTTTCGGTATTTTGCATACTCTATCTAAATGAATCACTCTATTTTACAGACCAATCGACTTGATTCAAGTAAAAAATATGTCAAAAACATATTTATATATGTTGTAATGATTTTCAATTTACGTGTACATCTATGTGTAATAGTTTAAACCTTATCATTTCCCAATAAAAACATTTTCACAACTCGTTATCTTTAAAACAAAAAGTAAGGTTTGATCGATATAAATATACTATTTATACCGTTTACCGGTTAAAAAAGTTGAATGTTTAAATGTTAGATTACTTTATTATAAAATCTAGTATTGCTATTATTAATATATTATAAAAGGCACTTACCATCTTGCGCGCGGAATATGGTGCCGCTACTTGCTATATCCACTATGTACGCAAAAACTAGGAGTTCAATATAAATCGCCATTATTCTAAAACAATCATTAAAATATTGTGATATAGTTGTGATTTTAATAACAAACAATTTTATCGCAAAATATTGTATCGAGTACTTTTGTCTTATCAGTTCCATGACGTACCTTTAATATTTTAGGTATTGTTATACGATCAACACAATTTATGTTATCTATGAATAGTCAATAAAATTAGAATTCTATTGATTTTAAAATATGGTATAGTTTTCCTAATGATTCCATTATCTATTATTTATATTTCATATCATATTATTATATAGAATAAACAAAAAATATTAGTCGTGAATGAATCTCAGTTTATTGTTGTATCTTAATTGATGAAAGCATTAATTTGCGTTATTCTCGAGTTAGGAGGTAGTTTACGAATGATCACAAAATAATAAGTTTCCATACAAAAGCTTGGAAATTCAAATGAATATTTAAACTGAAAATTAATTGATTGCCTTAACGAATTTCTCCTGAGTATTATTTAGCATACGACGTTTTGTTTATTGTCTTTAGAGATTCTCATTACTCGTCTTTCATTTATCACAGTTGATGGAAAGCAATCATAATGATGGGAAAATGTAATATAATAAAATATAAAAGATTAATCTAAGAAACATAGATTTAAATTATAATTTAAAATACCATTGAAGTTATGATGTAATTCATATAACTATTAGTTAGATTACAAGCTGTCTATTTTCAGTAAAATGTACTCCTAGAAATACATATTTTATTTTAATCTTTTACAAAATAATATTACTGTATGTAAGGATGTTATTTGTGAAATTAAAACCAATTTTAAATATACGGAAATCAAAATAATTAAACATTTTTTGTTTTATCATTAGTTTTAGTTTTTTCGATCTTAAATAAAAATAATTTTCTGTCTAAAATGAAATATACCTGTAAATTGTGAGGAATAATTTTACAGCTTTATTTTCCTTTAAATTTCCTTCATATTTAAGATAAAATTAGTGGCTATGAGTTGATTAAATAGTATTTCCCAAAGGTACATATTGTCATTGTCGTAGCGAGGCCATTAAAATAAATATCCCAAAGAATTTTTCAATAATTATGGTAACTTATTTTATTTCATATAGAATGGAAATTCTATGGATAAATAATGAATTTTTTCATTAATTATCCATTTCAGTGAATACTTAATTCTATATTCTATTAATATAAGTTGATTAGAACGCTTAAACTTTAAATATTTTCGGAACGCTTAAGTTACTAAATACATATAAAAAATGTTAAAACTAAATACATTTTTACTTCATTTAATTCTCACATAATAAAATAAATAATAAAAAAATATGTATCAGTAATAAATATCGTGAAATAATACAAAAATTGTAGTCAAATATAAAATTATAAATCACGTTCAGTTCCTAACAAATGGATTTAATTCAAGAAATAAAAATTATAGAAATGAAAATTCATTACAGTAATTATATCTAAGGGTATAAATATAATAAATCTTACCGTGGAAAGCACCTTCACATGCGGATGAATGGAATGTATTGAAGTTTTTGATTGTTACAATAAATATGGCGTATCGTTTTGGTAGCTGTGATCGTATAACAGAATTCTCCACAGTCTAAGTACGTTTATAGTCATCTGACACTGAGGTGAATCCCCGCAGTTTCACGAATGCAGCGACCCAAACCGCTATTCACAAATACGTGAGTTTCTATTACGAAATTTTTGATAATTATTGACATAAAAAAAAACTATGTAGACTGTCACTTAATGTACCTTATTTAAAAATATATTACTGCCTTATACATTCAGGTTTTGTTTTTGTTAGTCTTATAGTTTTAAAACCAGTCCTTTTAAATTTTAATCCAATTCAAATAAGTCGATGCTCTTGTTTTATACAAAAAGTGGATTTCGTACAAAATATATGATTTCTTATGTCCATTTGATATTATACTCCCGATTAAATATATAAATATTAATTAAGGAATCCTTTTATATTGAGTCATTTTTAATTTTCTGAAATATGAGTATGCTTGTTCCGCTAATGTATGAATAGATCACGTCAAAAATCGTTCGTACCTATTACTCAATGGGGCTTTGTTACAGAATATAATTGAGATGGTTACAAAAAAACTAAATTACTTGTTAAACATCTGTATGTCAAGGATTCTAAAGTATCTAATTTAAAACCTTTTTGTTGATTGATGAATGTGGCATGATAATTCCGATGATGACGAGCTTATTGTTTAACTGAAAAAAAGCAAATGCGTATTTATCACTTTAAAATAAATCAGTAGTGATGAATCGTCTTACACAACGCGATGACTTTAGTACTAGTTTTACTAGTTTTATAATTTTAAGGTAGTTTTTAATGAATAAAAAAAACACTTCTTTTCAATCGTTTTTAACCTAATGAAACTTTTTTCGTGTTACAAAATTCAATTCTCTTTTTAAAATTACGATCAAATTTAGAGTTTTTCATTTGAGACCAAATAACTATAAGACATATTCAGGACATATATTTTTTTACAAAAATTTAACCAATCAGGAGCATCCATTACCTTTTTTTTTTGATGACGCAGGGAAACTCTTTTTACGAGCCGTCCAACTGGCCTTGGTGGGACCGGAAGTGATGTGTGAGGCTCGGCCTGGGCAGGCCCCTACTCACTAAAACCACTGTGAAAGCCAGCGGCCGCTATGTCGGTGTACCCTGGATCTGTCAGCAACAGGGCACACCAGCGACTGGCCAGTCCTGGCAAAGACCGAACTTATTCCCTCGGAGAATGGGGGAGATCCTGGCAATTAGGACCACCCCGACGACGCCAGGCTTTCATTAGAGCCGGGTTACCACGCCGACCCCAGCCACGAATACAGAGGTGCTATTGGAGGCGTTAGGAGCATCCAATACCTTAACTCCCTTGCCATAAGTACGAGAGTAGTGATTAAAATATTAGTCTAATATTCTATAACATATTTGTACCAACCGCATAATAAATTAAAAATAAAGTTCCAACAGGAGCAGATAAATAGTAATATCTCAATCAAATAACATAGAATTCAGTCCCAGCAATAGAATAAAATTTCTCGGTTTTGATTTTATGTTAAAAAGAAGTATCTATGTGATGTCACGATTTTACCTTCTCGCGTTTGTTCGTTGATCATTAATAAAATTATTATAGAATCGTAAATGATTTAATTCAAGACACCCTTGTATATTAGAACACAATGATATCAGATAACATGCGTTGTAGATAACTAGTGACACAATATTACTAAAAGGTGCTTTGATTTTTTAAACTTATCTGTGTAGAAAGTTGATAAAGCCCATTACGTCATAACCCATTAATATTAATTTTGTCAGCGACTCCAAAATGGCGGATACTATTGCAATGCAAAATTTTTTTTTTTTTACATAAAGTAAATTGATTTGCAGTGAATGAACATCTTTAATGAAATAAAATTAACAATTGACGGTCACAACGCTGAACATGTTTTGTTTCATAAGCTTTTCAGTTAGTATTAGGAATTTTGTACTATCCTTGTCATTCACTTAGAGGAATGTATTTTAGCACTCAGCCATAAATTGCCCAAGATGGTTCGGTAAGGAATTATACACTAATTTATCTTTTGTTATCTTTACTTTACAATATATATTAAAATAAAAAAAATCTATTTTTAATAATCAACTTTTTTATTGTCGTATTCTTGGTCCATTAAAATTATATTTCGATTTAAATAAATCCATCATTGAAGTAACAAACTATATATAATTATATATTGTATTAAATAACTTTGTCATTAAAAAGGTATAGTTCATTTTATTATAATGCTACCTATTTCTTATTTAATGTCTTTGATGATTCAAATACCCGACATGTATTTCTTTTGCGGAAGTTTTTTAAACAGGTAAATCTTTTGCTTATATGTTCTTCTACTTCTTAAAGAAATAAATAAAATGAATATAAATGTTATAGTATTTTAAATATAATATTACATAAGGTTGTATAACTTGTATATCTATTCCAAGATATAAAGGTATAATAATTTAATCGTCGTCGTCATTGTCATCAGCCTATCAGAGCCCACTGCTGAGCAAAGGCCTCTTCTCGCATGGAGAAGGTTTGAGCATTAATCACCACGCCTGCTCAAGACGGGTTGGTGATTTAAAACTTATAATTGTGAAATTATAAGTCAAGGTTTCCTCACGATGTTTTCCTTCACCTGTCTGTCAGTGGTGTCTAAATAGTTTTAGACAATACATATGTATGACTTGGAAAAATCACATAGATACTTGCCAGAATAAATTAATGTACACATTATATTAAAATATATGTACACATATATGTAATGAATTATATAAAATACTTGTATCTTACTCTGTAGGCATCAAATGAGTGTTATTCAAAACGGATTTTTTATACTGAAAGCTAACTTACTTGATTTTTTCGAATGTGAAATTTTAGGAACGTGAGCGATATACCGATGAACTTACATTATTATTATTAATTAAATTTATTACTAGTTCTAATGTTTATTTTAATTAATGTTTGTCATTTATATCTACAACTAAATAAAATTTAGTGGGCTATTTCTATTATGAAAAAAAGAAATATTTTTATCTCAAGCACCTGTAGTTGTCTCTTTGTCTGACTTTCGGGCTATAGATTAGTCTTTTATCTGCGAAAACATATAGCATAGCTTATTTTAAAGGGTTACTATCATTCACCCAAAGAAAATTGAAAACATATTATGGTCACGATTTTTTTTGTCTTAATTATTTTAATTGCTGCTCGATTTTACAATATCCCGTAAATAAAACAAAAGTAGTTGATATTTAATTAATTCTTTATTCTCGTAAATTTATTAGAAAAATGAGGCCACTCTGATATAATATTAAACAACGCGTTCCCGGGACACTCCGTTGCCATGACTTGTTTATGACCCACCAGCTTGTACGTGGAGCTGACTTTTCCATTTAATACACCAGTTTCGATTAGAGCTTTAGTACTCTCTAACATAGCTTCTGGTGGCTCTTCAACTGAAAGGTAAAATAAATTATACATGACCATAAAGGATTATTGTTTATTATTCATATAGAAGTATTATATCGACGTGTTTTTATTTACCCCTCCAATCTCCAATAAGACAAATCCCAATACTATAATTATTAGCAGGACCCGCATGTATTCCGATGTTATCCCAACCTCGGCCTTCGTAAACGCCGCCGTCGCTGCCAATGCAGAAACTGAAAGGTAACACATTACTGTACTATTAAAAATCGATTTACATAAATACTGTTTTAGATAGATAGATAAGAAGAACATCATGATTATTATTGTAAATATTACAAATCAGTCAGCTATAGATTTTTATTCTTAAATTCAATGTAGACGTAATAAATATGAGGCTGAATATGAATTCTTAATGAAAAATTTCTGTTTTTGTAACATTTCAAAGAAGACCTTGAAGATTTCTTTTGATAATTATTTCGTGGCTAATAACGGCTTTAAGTTTTACGTCTTTATTCACAATTATTTTTGTCTGAGGAGATCCTCACTAAGATTAGTGAGATGTTAAATAACTTAAAAACGTCTTTATTATCTATTGAGAGCCTAATTAAAATACGTTTAGTCATTCTGAATATTAACGATGATAAATAGAAAGACAGATATTAAAGAAATATTGTTAATACTACATAAATGTTCCTAACTATGCATGTATGAAAAAAAAGCTCACACCTTCGCATCATAAAGAATGAGACTTTGAATTAGCATTAATATGTAGTTAAATCAGAAACATTCGCGTAAATATAAAATATTAATATCCTAATATGAGCAAAAAGTAGTACCTTAAGTATTTTTATGTAAAACGATCAGTAAATTTAATTAATGTCTTACTTACTTGTATCCAATATCTCCCCATCCCATACTGATGTGATAGTTCTGCATTGATCTCATATCTGCTTTACATTCTACAGGGGTGCTGCAGGCACCCGGTATATAAGTGTGATGAATCACCACGTACGGTACCGGGGTCTTCAAAGGCCGAACGTCGGTCGACTGTACCCCACCCCAGTCACTTTTCGTATAGTACACGTAAGATAGAGGTAAACCTACACCTGTTATGAAGAAAAAAAGAATTCCTTTTATTAAGAAAATATTAATTAGCCGTGTAGTTGATACGATTTTTTGAAATTATGTCTAAATTAAAATGCGATTAGCTGAAGTAATAGCACATTTTAATTATTAACACCACAGCGAAATACATCGAAAAAACAACCGTGTTAAAATTATAATGTGTCGTGTTATATGCGTTTTTAATTAAATTATGTAAATTTTAATTATTATGATGTTTTGGTTGTTTCATAATTAAAAATATTCTATCTATCATAGATAGAATAATACATATAAGTGGATCTCTTATATATGTTACATATATTTAGTCTAAATAAAACTTACTAATGTAAATTTTAAAATGATCAATCGCTTGAAATACGTAACTGTATTTAAATTTTTCATTCAGATATCCATATTCAAATTTTCCATTCATTCATTTTAAATATATACAGTATAAAAAACAAAAAAACGTTTTTAACACACTTGCACTTATCTAAATAAATAAATGTATCTGTGTTATCATAAGTCTTATCATATAGACAGTTTGAACTGTTTATTGTAGAATGAATTTGGTAGTCGTATCTGTATTATTATTTATTATTTTCAAACAACACTCACCATATATATTTGGATTACTATACACTGAACACACGCTAATTATCACTAGCACTAATAACAATTTGATGCCACAAGTCGCCATAATTCTGATCAATATGTCACAGTGTGCTTTACAATATGATTTGAAGTAGAATTCTTCAAATTGCTCCTTATATAATAAAATGTACGTCGCGGTACTTTCCCACGTTGTTGTTGATTAAATTTAAAGGAATCGACAAATGTTTCTGCCCTTTGTATTGTGTAAAAATGTATTGTAACACATTGCTAGGTAATTGTAACTAATACGCCACAATCTATAATAGTAATATAGATTGTCACTATAAGTAGAAATATATTAAATGGCGTTGAATCAATTGATAATAGATGAAAATAAAGCTATTCAATTAACACATTGTATTCTATATCCAGCTTCACCTATGGACCCGGATGTTTTATGAATGAATTAATTGATATAAGTTTCATACAATATGCCAGTTATAGGAGTTACATCAAAATCGATTTAATAACTTTAAAGACTTTCTTTATGCGTTAAGGAATACATGTAATTTTTATTAGTGTTCGTTTTTGACTTTATTTTATGTAGTATCTAATTAAAGTTTTAGAACATAAAAATTATGATATTGTTAAATTGGTTGAGCCAGAAGTATTTTTTTCACTTTCCTTACAAAAAGTAGAGATAAATACAATATTATAATTTATCATACATGATTATAAAACAAGTATCTATAATTTTGAAGAGCAAAGTCATGTGTAAAGGATAGCAACTGATAAATAAGGTCGTGACATCTCGTGTGACTGTTTACACATAATATATTAGGGATTATCGTATTCGTATTGTTGATTGATGGATTTTTATTTCAAAAACAATACATACTTTTTCCATATATTTTCAGGTAATTTATCTTATATTTCACAATACTTATCACTTGTACATTTTTTTATTTTAGTCTTTTTAAGGTTTCAGCGATAGATACAATGATATTTGAAACTAGATTGCATAAGAGTTCATAATTTAATAATAAAATATTCTATATGTTGATCGAAATATTTTTCTTTATTTTAATAATAATGTTACTTAAAGTGACGTAATATAATTGGAAATAGAAAATTGATAAATATTTGCAATTTTCGATAGCCTTTTCGTCTTTTTACAATGAGCATTAAAGCTTGAGTTAAATCTTTGGTCAGTTTTTTGTTAATACTACTGGTTTTTCCAAACAGTTTTTATAGTTTGGCAAATATTTATCAAGAAATTTGTATTTATATAGGATGAAACTGTATTTTTTTAAAGCAAATGACATTGATGTAAAGTTTTTAATAGGTACTTTTTGAGGTCTAGTATGAGGATTTTGTTGTTATGATGCTTTTTACACTTTTGGCAAACAAATTTTTTGACTATACTTTTACTTGTAAAGATAATCATAAGACAGTTTTACTTTACAAAAAGGAAATTTCTTAAAAGGCACCCGGAACCTCCCAATGTTTTTTTATTAATTCATTTATTAATAAGATCATGTTAATGTATTTTTAAATGTTTATCAGTACAAACATATAAAAAAATATTGCAATTTCATATTTTTTGTTATTTGCTATCTTCAAACCCTTCTAAAATCATTTACAGCAAATTTTCGGACCTGAAATTGCTATCAAAAAAATAGTAGAAAATAAGAATGTTATTGAGCTCTCTTCCTAATTGCACGATATTTTTAACTCTTCTACATCACTTGCATAGTTAAACATAGATGAATTTTAAATCAGAATGTTAAACTTCATCATGTTTGTCGCAGGATTCAACCTACTCTTTCTTTCCTCACCAGTTTTATAAATGACTAGTTATAGAAATTGAGAGGTAGGGAAAGTCTGGCTTTTCGATTGTGTGTAGCAAAAGCCTACGACTAGATTGGCTACAATGCGTGTAAAAACTTTCTAATTTTCTTCTTTTCAAAATGTTATACAACGAAGTAACTCGTTCCCTCAAACACATTATCAATAGCTTCAAGGTCGTTGTAGGTCTGAAGTTGTTGGTGAATGGTGACTTTATAGAAACTATTCTATTTGAATTCAAAGAAATCAATTAATCTTACAAATTTCAAGTTTTCACTAAAATGGCTAGAAAGATGCTGTATGGCGTGTTTTAATTTGATTTTTCTCTCAATTCAGATGCAGAGTTATAGAAATTGATTTACGGGTAATTTATCGAGTTAGAAAAAAATTATGCCTTGGCGTTGTGAATAGTCAAAATAGTTTCGGCAAATGCTTATGCAAGTTTACTCTAGCTTCACCTTCATCTTCCAAACTACGGTAGCAATTAACGAATCGATTTTTCTTTTGCTAAAGGATCACTTCAATACTTTGGCATTGAGTATAGATGAGAATTCCCTACATACACTATGTCGTAGGTATTGTTATAAGTGTCTAGAGAAATTCTTCACTTTTTTCCCGACAGACATCCAAGCTTCTCATATAGCATATTAAGAAGTGAAATGATTTTATCTTTAACCAGCTGTTTTTCAGGTCCGACGTTACTAAGCAATTTTCATGAAAAGAGTATTTACTCCAGAAAGTCCCATAATGTGAGAGCAACTCTTCCAAATTTTCAATTTTAAGAGCAGTTTTTATTACTTTCAGCTAGGTCTGCTTGTTGACCGTTTAATAAAGATTCGAAAAACAGTTCAATTTTTCTAATGTTTCCTGCAAAACAAAGAATATGATAATTATTGCCAAGACTTTTACATTACAGACGAGATGTGAATGTCTGTCTGTCAGTCTGCCCGTGATCACGGTTGCTGTAAAGTAGCCGAAACGTGGGGAGTAAGTAGTTTTTTACAAAAATAAATTCCTATAGTATAATCCGAAAATATTGTATTCATAACACTCGCGAAAATCTCATTATGAATGTTCACTATTTCCAAATTATTACCAACGGAAATTAATTATTGTAAAAGTTACTTTCTTATAAAGGATTACTTTTGTATTCGCTTGTACTCGCTTAATTTTTATGTGAACATAAACATTGTTTTCTACATTAAAAACTCATGAATTAAATATTATTTTATAATTTAGAATAGAAAAGATACAGAGAGAAATAAATAATACTTCTTAAACACGTATCTTTTACGTATTATAAATTAACTAATAATTAATTCAAAATTAAACTATTTCTCTAGAAATTTAAAAAATTCTCACTATGATAGTTATGTTGAACGTACTATTTCTTTCCGTAACCGTCTTCAAAGTTAATAAACAAGTGAATTTGAAGGGTCGGTAATTGCAGCCAAGAGGCAAATCTTAAATCCATTACGGCTTTAATTTAATTTTAACTCACATAAATATAGTTGAAATGTCTATTTATGAGGTTAAATATCATTTGTTTGATTTTTGTTTGGCATATGATTGTGATATATTTTAATATATTATAAGTACATAACACATTTTAAATATAGTCGTCAAATTGTTTGTGTTTTCACATGAGGTACAACTTCGAGTTTTAAGAAAAGTGTCAATTGACGATTGTGGAATTTATATATATTATTTGTTTATGTAGATATTAATATAAACATGAAATTATATAAATACTTTAGCTATGTATTTCAATAGATATACGTGATGCATATTTCATTATATTTAAATGAACCACAGCACGAGATTTTTCATATATTTTTTTATATTTCATATAAATCAAATAAAACTACAACACAGTACAAGATGAGTATCGAATACTGACGCTAAAGTAAAGCTGCTGTGTTATGGCGCATGGCGAAATTATCGAATAGATTAATTAATACAAAACAATACATCGTCATAGTGAATATCATGTGATAACAACTTCAACTTGCTATTGATAATTTCGGGAAAAAACCTTCGTTTCGAACTACATAGTTACAATAAGAAGAAAAACTCATGAACTTGGTTAGAGACGTCGTATATGATTTGAATTCCCCAAATTAAATTGTAAATTGTGTATTACGTAAGCAATTCTTTACGACGGAACGGAAACGATGTCGCGTTTAATGTCAAAGGTTATTTGGTTTTATTATTAGGAGATAGTTTAGTTTTGGTGAATGGCTTGCAGCTTGTGTTTGAGCTAGTTTAATAGTAATATGAGGTTCAATGAACTTTGGTTTACAGATGAGGAATCAGCGTAAAATATTAAAAAACAACGATTACATTTTATATTAAATAAAATAGACATATTAAGAGGTAAGAGTATTTTAAAATATTCTATTTCTGTGGCAAATTTTTCCATCGTCAAAATAATATAATATATGGTGGAATTGCATAAAATCAATTAAAATATTCGTTTGAAAAAAAAATGAATTCTAACCTTAACCTTAAGTGTGCGATGTTTTTATAATAATCGATTTCACGGACTGTGAATGGAAAATTTTACTAATTTGTCCGATATGTTTTTTAATTATAAATTAATTTTTTACGAACTTGAGTCTCAATTATCCTCATAATCAGGCAATATATAAGATAAAATCTTCGAATTTGATTATAAATAACAAACGTATGTGATTTTTATAAAGATTATATTTATTATCGTCGCATCGTACTATTGTGTCATCGAAAAAATTATTGATAAGTTTTAAAAATACCGAATTTTTGATAATAATCTTTAAAAGAGTCAATGAATCATTGATTATAATCTTTAAAATTTGTAAATATTTTTCGTTTATCTTCTTCAGACAACGAGATGCAGTAGCTTAAATTAATCAGAGTTAAAAAATCGAAGAGTTGTAGATCTCCTCCGTTATTAAAGAGTATTAAAAAATTGTCACTGAGTAATAAACATTAAATCTATCGAGATGTAGCACTACATAACTCTGTTTATTTAATTATATTCAAAATATATTTCACTATATTAAAATATACAACCCTACATGTCTTTTATAAGAGCAATATACATATGTATATACATTATGCAATCATATAAGTTTATTACGCCAAAAATTTATGCATATATATTTGTTACTTCAATATAAAAATAAAACGATTATTTAAATAAATAATTAAACCAGTTTATTGCTCATCGTAATCGTTAGTATCATATCATGTCAGGTGGAATTCCAAATTCGGTTGAAACCTGGGCCAATTGGATATTTCCCTTTGGAGTGCGCCCCCGGGACATTCAGTTGATCCGACCTGCCTGTGACCCATCAGGCTGTAATCGGGACTTATGTAGCCAAGGTCTACGCCATGTTTGATCAAAGCCTGAGCAGCTTCCAGTTGCTTTCTTGGAGGAACTTCAGCTACAAAGAAGATCTTGATTTAATAAACGACAATAGTATATTCCAGTTCAAAACGATACAGAAAATAAAAATAACGAAGTAGTGCCTATAGTTCGTTTTATTTCTATGAATCTATATGTTTGCAGCTTTCCGCTATAGCTTTTTATTACAGAATTCATTGACAAATTTTTGTTTAACCAATTGTTTCTAGTTCAGTACGGTTTTGAATAATCGTGAGTTCAAATTTATTATTATTCTAAATCAAAACTTAGGCAAGAAAAATTTTACCAAAGATTCTATTTAAAAGGGTATTTTTTAAGTGTTCAACAGTATCTTACAAATATTTTGTTCAATCTTACGTATGTTACTTGAACATTCTGTTCTCATTTCAAACGTCACAACGAGATCACGTTTTGTTTGTATAATATGAACCATACGACATTAAGGGAATTCCCTTATAAAAAAGGTAGGTTTGTCAGAAATTTTTATAGGTCGTATATCACTGATGATAGAATTCCTCTTAATTTCATGGGTAAATAATATTCGTGATTGGTCCCTTGTTAAAAAGTTTGTTAGATAAATAATACAGTGATTTTAATACTTACAGACCCAATTTCCTATAAGGACAATACCAATGCTTTTTACGTTAACACCAACCGCATGCGCTCCCAAGCGATTAAAACCACGCCCCTCGTATACTCTGCCATCACTACCAACTGCGAAACTATAAAACATTTATTAAAAACTTCTTCATATTGATATCACTGTAAGGGTTTTCTATCATAAGATAGGTACTCACTTATAACCAATATCTGCCCAGCCATTGGTGATTTGGTGTGCGTTTTGCATAGATCGCATTGCTGTTGAACATGCTGCCTTAGTATAACAAGCACCGGGAATGTAACTATGATGTATCACTACCAAAGGGACGGGTGTTTTCAATTTGGTAACCGATGTAGCGACCCTGCCTCCCCAGTCATCTCTCGAGACAAATTCGAATGGTTGTGCTGGAACCACAGAATACTCATTAATATAAATTCCAAATTAAAAGCTGATTCATAAAATTCAAACAAAATGCAATGGTAATAAATTGTGTCGAGCTTTTCTGTACCTATCCTATTTATTATAATAAAATAAATTAATTATATATTTTATTCATACTTACAATAGTGTCTTGAATGTGCACGTGGTAAAGGAGATCCGACTACACCGACGGCCACACAAAAAAGTCCGATAATAATAGGAGTCATTCTTCCTAAACATCAAAACAATAGTTTGTAGAAATTAGTTTAAAATATTTTGCAAAATTTAAATAACATTACTGTATATTCTCTGCATTATACGAAGGATAAAAAGCTATTATTAGAATTTAGAATGCAAGGAAATAACCTTAGAAGCAAAATATAAACCGGTTCGGAAATTGTTTATGGACTTCTACCACGACTTTATACCTTTTTTAACATTAAATTAAATCAAACGAACTACTTAGATGATTACAATGATTGTTAATTGATTATTTACTAAATACATTTATAAATTCTCTTAATAACAGAGACGAAATTCTGTTAATTTGGAACGAAAATTACAAGAAAATTTCAGCCACATTGGAGATTGCTTTAATTAAATATAATAAACGAAACTTACCGAATAATTCCTATGAGATTTCGTTTATAGTAGTGTACAACTTTATTTGTTGTGTCGTTCACAATATCACACACACAATGAGTAGAGCGGAGACCTTTTTATAATGAATGCTAATAGTATGATAAGAAATCGGTACTCCACAAAGATTCGGGAGATATTTCACTAATGTAATCAACATGTTTTGTCTTGTATAAATCGACGGTTTCAGTATCTGCGGGTAATCACTTTTCCCCGATACATTTGACGACATTAAATCTGACTGTTCGCGTTATATAAAATCTGAAGGGCTTTTATAAGTGGAAACGTGTGTATGCGGATATGTAGAACGTAGCGTTTGTCTTATAATTGATTGATTGTTACATTTGAATGATAAACATAACTCTATGATGTTTCCTACTACTGTTTGACGCAGAAAAAAAATATAAAATAATAAAATAGTAATTTAAAATACAAAAAAATATCTAAACTTTTCCCTTGCCTTTGGTAAAAGAAAATTAATAGAAATCAACAAACCGGTAATTCGTGTCTAAAGAAAAGGTCTTGTACTTAATAAAGATATGGAAATTGAATTTGTATTACTTATTCTTTGAAATTAGATTCTTTAGAATTTTTTAATTTCTCTTCCATAGTCTCATTAGAAATATTATCATACAATTTTGTTTTTAATAATTCTTTAATTGAATTCATTATATGGGTAATCGAGAATGCTGTAAACAGGTTAGTTAATTGAATTAGACGCTAGTTAAAAATGATTTTTTTCTATCAAGACTAACTTTTATACTCGACTTTATTCGTCTTTTCATGTATAATAGTTTCCTTTCTTAAAATACACATTTATCTTTTAACATCTGTGTAGAACTATTTCAGTGTTCTTTTAGTATAAATTAATTAATAATAATGTTATTATCGTGTAGGTGATATAATAAAATAACTTGAGTTTTGAAGTAGCCAATATCGATAGTTCCTGTATATCGTTGAAGTAATTGAAATGCGTGTTGATAAATGAATCTAATCGATTTTTGTGATACAGATTATATAAATTATAAATGATGGATTATGATTACAAGATACAGATTAAATGCATTTTTTATTAATCCGTTCAGTTAGTTATGGTTCAGACCATATCGTAGTTAAGTTACTATTTAGACTTATACCTCATCATATTAAATACTCTTTTTAATGCTTTTAATTTTTTGATATACTTAGCATAACAAAAAAATAATATTTCTATATATGAAAAAAAATAATATTTCTATAATTGAAAATATAATATTTCATGAATTGTCAGCTGTTCATCAACCGCCATTTTAGTGTGTACGTAACGTAACTTTTTGTTTGAAATATTTCTTCTAATAAAATGTGAAATTAAATATTTTTTTGTCACAGCGTTGTATGATTACTCACTCAAACTTAATTATTTTGACGTATAAATTTATAAATGTCTCCAGCTAGTTGTAATTATATAATTATTAATTAAATTGTAAGCTCATATTGTTTCAAAACTATATTATATTGTAAGACGCCTACGTACTACATATATGTGCCTACACAATATATTAGTACGTCATAATGTATTAGTTTAAGGAGCATGAAGTAAATGAAAAAAAATATTTTGGAAATATTTTTTTTACTATAATATACGATTTTAATCGAGAGAAAAATAAACACCATTTATTAATAAGATAAAATTTTGAAGTTTATCGGTCTGTCTTTGACAGTAATGCACAATCGCAGTAAATTATCATACAATTAAATAAACGATATCAATCAATATTAATATAACAGATGGATAGATTGCAGAAAGTTTCTAGCAAAGTCAAATATTTTTGTAATTTTTTTTTTTCAAGAATAAATCCTTTTTTGTTAACATTATTTAATTCCAATATAAAAACTTCTTGGAAACAAAAGGCTAAATGGTAGTCCTCTTTGAGTTTGTCACTAATAGAGTAACTTTGTCATAAAACTTTTGTAACTTGCAATAAAATCAATTCTTTTGTAACTTTTTGTTTTTATTAAATGCGTGTGTGAATCGTCGATCGAAGTCTCTTATTGTTTCAAATACTGAGGTGATAGTGATGAAACTTTACAATAACGAAGCTGATACATCAAAACAACATATATTCTTCATCTACTAATTATATTATTTAATTAAAATATGGTTTCAGCTGTGACAGGATGGAACAGTTAGAAAAAATATTACCCTCACACACTCATAATTCGTGTTTCTTAGAATACAATGCAAACAACCACAAAATAAGTCACGAACAAAAGTTGGTAATTAATATTAAATGTGTTTTTATACAGATATAATAACTGATATGACGAATTCAAACACCTTTTTGACACTCTAAGAAGAGGGTCGTGTGATACAGAGATTACTTTTAGATGTAATCTTGACAATCATAGAGCAAAGAAAACCGGGATTTGTTATACAAGATCTATAACTTTTTTTATTAAAGCAACATAAAGTAATCCTATACTTCATCACTTAAAATGAATATTTTCTGATGTTACAAAAGTAAAACGAAGCAACTCCAACTTCCTAATTCAACTATATTTTAACAAATATTCTAATCTAATTTGAATAATTAATCACTAACTCCAGTACTGAGAATGAGTCCGTAAACACCTTTAAGGTCCCAAAAAACCTTTTATTTTACTGCGTATTATATAAATCTTACATTAACAGTAATATAATGAGGATATCATTTGTTTGTCGTTTCGAACTAATGACATATTCTTAGAATAACATGAACACGGGGACATAACCGTCTTTATTTAGGACTTGACCTCAAATAAGTTCAACATGAAGAAAGTAAACAAAACATCAGGATAAAACGAAGAGATGAAACAAACAAAACATGAAGCTGGGAATTACATATTACAGAATTACGTCTGCAATGACTTAAACTTGTCAAGGAGTTTATGTATTTATATAATATGTACATAATTAATAATATAAGCTTTTATTCACATAGTATGTAATTAGTTTTATTATCAAGGTTTCAGACACGTTGAGAATACGTAAAGCAGTCTGATCTAATAAAAAAGTTGAGAGTTAGTGGAATGAAACCGAGTGAAAATTGCCTAACTGACAAATGTTTACAGAGTTACAAACATGTTTTTGCTTTTCTAATGAATTTTTTATTGCATTTAGACAAAGAATTAAAAAGATATAATTCTACCATTTTCGGTTTCATCACACTGGTGTTCACCAATTTTTAAACTATTTTAATATTAATTAATTTTTTAATTTTTTAAATTCCATTAGTTTTTAATGAAACGATGGTAATTATAATAAATTATCTTCATACCTTTTATATTGCAATGAGGCTATGGTTGACAAATACAAATTCACCTTTTTAAAGTTTATTGTTTTTTAAACTGTATCCGTTACTTTCAGTGTAAAATATATATTTTTTGTAGCCATGAGTATTATGTTAAATTCGTTATTAAATATTTAAAAATTGAGTCGATTACTATACATTTATACAATCAATAAATTTTCAGTCAGTAATTAGTTGGAAAAGTGCCTTTTCCATTTAAGAACTAAAAGGAATTAGCTCATTATTATTTTTATATTATTATCACATAACTAAAAAGTGTTTCAAATAAAAGATAGTTTCGTCAACAATGCAACTAAAAATAAAAAGTTTAATGTTAGGTAAAATTTATAAAAAATATAATAAATGGCTTAAAACATTCAATAAACATAATGAAATTAAAATAAGGAGTCACTCAAATTTTAGATATAACTGAACTCGTACCCAATGTTATGGAGAGTTTGTTATAATTATTATTATTTTAGAAATATATAATTACTTTTATTAACAAATAACAAGCAATTAATAATAGAATAACAAGAATTCGTTAGAAATCGAGTGTAGGCTGTGAAAAGGAATAGCTTCCTGGAAATTAATTAATTATCAAAGTGCGCATCAGTAAGATGATATTGTTAAAGCACTATTACACTATTACTATCGTATAATATACGCTGAGATCGAATAATTATATTATATACCTTAGATTACTTTGGTAGGTAAACAAAATTTCAAATCATAAGTGATTAGGTCCAAAATAAACGCCTTTAATCTTATTATTCTGTTAAAAGTCGCTGTAGTTATCATCACAATTAAAAGAGTATCATATTTTTATTACAAAAAAAAGTTTTCACCAAAAAGGTTTTATGACAATTAAACATTCGTTTGTTGCATGAGTATGATAAAGATAATATATTAATTTTCGTTGCTGGTATACAATGTAAGATCTGATAAGCGTGTGACATTGAAAGGGAAAATCCCTTCAAGAACCACCTCAACCACATTATCTCACAGTTACTTCATATCTGCGTAAAATCACCACCGATTGTGATAATGTTTTTTTAATCGATATAACTCTATTGTTTGGAGATTATTAACACATGTTACGTATGATCGAAGTTTGTTTCAACTTTATTTAAATATATACCAATGTCAAATAATATTTAAAAAAAACATTTGTAAACAATGATTACTAAATTAAACCTAGTTTTATGCTGTTATAAAGGTTTATGTCTGTCTCTTAACACTAATATATTGTTCTTATTGTGGACTGACACCTCTTTTGCCTAATAACGGTCATATAAAAGTAGACTTGTATTTAAATGCAACTGAAAAAACTTTTGCATATTTGATTCATAATATTATCGGACCGGTAGAACTTAAAATTTTGCAATAAAAAATAATCTTTTGAAGAATTTACAACCAGATTGCGATTTAAAAGATTTAATTGTTTATTGTACTACATATATACAATAGTTAGTTCTTATGCCTCTCATAACTAATTTAATGTCATTTGTATCTTTTGACTCAGTACTTTATACAAAAAGAATGAAGTTAATATTTTTTTTTATATACTATGCCTTCATTCGCGCCAGTATCGTGGATTTTGACAACGTCAAAACTTAAATAATTTGCTTCCAACTTGACAGCTCTTTAAAAACATTTCCTAAATGTCACTTTTTCTCAAGTTCGCAAACTAATCAAACAAAACAATAATCCCAAACATATATACATGACATTTCTATTATAAAAATATTTTTCTATTTATGTCGTTAATTACTTATTTCCAAGGACCGGTCACACATGAGCTGTTGTTATCTGAAATCATCGAAGCGTAACAAAGGCGCGAACACGGGCTGGGCAGGAAACGTGGCGCCATCTTACAGGAAGCTGGGAGATTAAGACTTGATTTATGGAATAGCTATTTGAGTTATCTCCTAGAATAGCTATTTGTATTATCTATAAACACTATGTTATTTCCCCTTTAAGACGACTGTAATTAATTTAATATTATTTCATAAATAATCCCTAGATGTTTTTTTTTTGTAACATAAAAATAAATACTGCATAATATACAGGTTTTCAGTTTTTCGTTCGGATTAGTTTTTTCTGTGCCTTGATTAAGAAATTTAAATTTTTCTTATAAAATCAAATGTTAGCCAGTAAAATTGCCTGTCATTAAAGAACTCTAAAATGATAAGGAGTCCAGCAGATATTGCCGCCATTTCGTAAATTAAAGCTATTGAAATGTTACAAATGGTCAGGTATTTAATTTCAGTTTACTCCACTGAAATTTTAGTCAATTATTAAAAGTAAGGTTCAGGTTCAGTTCTTTACCCAAAGGTGGAAAATAGAGAATAGATTTTTAGTTTAAATGCTTTTGAGTACTGTTATCTATTACATTATACTGTTGTTACTGAAAATTGTTTGACGAACTATTTCTTATTCATCATTACTAAGTGTATGAAATAGTAAATAAAACCTATCAGTTATTGATAACTCCAAGTCCTAGAAAATTTATAGACAACTCTAGATTTAATGACTTTTATTTCTCTACAAATGAAATGAAACCGAAAACTATTCACAATTGTTTATAAATAAGTTTTCTGAAATATCTTTATTTAAGGTACACTAACAACTAGCCAAACTTCAAACTTTCTTAAAGTAATTACTTATCAAATTTACATCTAATAATAGTCGTATTTAATTTTATTTCACTTGTTATTAAGAAAGATAAAATAACATTGTGAATTCAGGCTGACAGATTGTAACTTATTTTTAATAAGCTTAGTTTATTAGGCACAGATTTGGGTTTGAATGAGCCCTAGTGTGACAAATTTTCTTTTGGGAAAATACTTACGAAATCAAATAAGATTATCAAATTATTGTCAACTAGTAAACCTGGCGAACTCCGTTTCGCCTCCAGAAGGTTTTGTTTTATGTAACATTTCGTTTGGTGATTAAAAGATGAAGATTTTTTTGTTTTATATTTAAAAAGGAAAATTTTTTCTTTCATTTCACAACAGTAATGAATTCATTTCGACTACAAAAATAAAGTGTTATTTAATTGAACTTCTGTAAGTAAATGAAAGTGAATCCAAAGTAGATACCGAATCGAAGCGTTAAACGTGTCCGCAAATTATCTGTTTCATTGAAGTGCTCCTTTGTAAACCACATTTTTTTGTTTTTTGTTCTAACGTTAACACAAATAAAGCGGATGGTTTCCCAACTCGTGAACACACAAACTATTACTGCCCATGTGAAAAACAATGATTTTCTAAATTTATCCCGCAAATACTAAATTACATATCTGTCATTATAAGTCAATTGCATAGCTGTCAATTGTGTTTCGTTATTCCACGTTTTATAGTGACTGACGTTTCATGTCAAGTCCCACGGGAATGCTGTTGAACGGGATAAAAAGTATCCTATTGCGATTTCCTGGTTCTAAAATACCTCCCTACCAATTTTCAGCTAAATCGGTTCAGCCGTTCTTGAGTTATAAGTGAAGTCACTAACACGACTTTCTTTTATATATACAGGGTGACTGGTGAATTACTATCAATATTTAAGGAGAATACACGGTACATGATTCTCATTCGAATTATGTAAAAAAAATAGGTACTTTATTTTTGACCAAATTTCCGTATAAATAAATAAAGTGTTGACACGTTCCAAGTGTTCCAAGCGTGGACGCGTGCGGCGGCGTAGTGTTGTATCAGCACGCGTGTGTGTGCGTGTGTGTATACCTAATCTGTAGGGTGTTCATACGATGCGTAATTAATTACATTACTTTTGGTTAACTTTACTTAGAAGTTTATTAATATTTATGTTATATTAATTTTTATTTTGTCATATATGATCGTCAAATATCACGTCCTCAAATATCGATAGTAATTCACCAGTCACCCTGTATAGATTTATCTAAAGATTTTCGCACATAATAAAACCATCACTATTATTTGCGATTATTTTATTATTAAATAAAGAAATTATTTCAAAAACATTATTCTTATTTATTCATTACCCATCCCTAATTGTTAAAAAGAATTTAACTTTCCGTGATTAATAACGCTTATTATAAATGACGAAATTTAAAACTTGCCGCAAACATCTTCTAGCTAATAATTACACGACAGAATTAATTTGCTATCAGTACATAATGTATACATACATTTCCTAATTCCTAAGAGCAGATGACGTATGTAATCACATCTTCATCATCACGTCTTAGGTCGTTTTATATTTAAATCAAACTACTTAGATTTTCCGGGATAATTAATGCTGTATTAAAAATATACTTTGAAAAATGGTTATTTAAACAGCTAATTTGAAGTCTCAATACTATGTATTACGATATGAGTAAGCTTAAACTAGCAATATTCAATAATTATTTTTTTAAACCTAAAAGTGTAACAATTTTACCGTAATAATGGTATATTATGAATATTAAAAAAGCTTTTTCGTATCATTAAATTGACGTTTCATTGGTTATGTAAACCGAATTGAGAGCGTTAAAAATAGCCATCGTGCTGTTGTATATTTTAATTTAAAACGCCCAGCCATCTTGATCAAATTTATAAGAACATAAGCGTATCTGTCTAATACACAATATAATATGTATACCAGGAAACCATAAGAAATGTGTCGAACATTTTTTTCAGTGGCATTCCCCTCACACTAAATTTTTCAAATTATATTTCTAAGATATTAATTGTATAAAAATCTGTCGCAAATAAAAGAATAAAAGTTAAATATATCAATGAGATTTTAAACAGATACGATATGTTTAAAAATATGTGAACACTAAATCTTCAAACTAGATTGTGTCAAATCGATGCCTAATAACTGTTTATTTAAAGTAAAGCATACTAAGATATTTAAATATTACAATTGTCAAAAAAACAAAACACGAAGAACATTTTTATATTAATATAAGAAATCATATTTAAATTAAAAAAAAACTACCCACATAAACGATAGCCAATTTAATAATATATAAAGAAGAACAAATTCTGTAAAAAAAAAAAACAATCCTTGCAAAGATCAGCTAAACAAGACACAGACAATACAAGATATAGCTTATTGTGCTAAACTCCCGAATTATACGTTCTACTTGCCATCATGACGAGACTATTTATAAGTTCCAGTATACCAAGCTTAAATTCCGCAGCTAGTCGGCAACCAAGCGCGCCACACGTTGGTTCCTGAACTATTATTATATGAAAATTTATAACAAATGAAGTTTGTGTCGTGAAAAGTGAAATAAGTGCGTACATTTGTGTTTACACTTCACAAAACACACCACAGTAAGACAGATATACAAACGTATAATACATCGTTATTTTTTTATTAGTCCCTTAATAGTTATTACGATTTTATTGATTTAAACTCATTAGGCTTTAGGTTTATGTTACTATATTTAAATATATTAAAGGTGTGGAAATAATCGAGTAAATTTTTGAGCTTTCATGAAATAAATAATCCATCCACTTAATTAGATAGATGATTTAGTAATTTTTTTAGAGACGAAATATTTTTTTAATATTTTATACGTCATCACTGACATTAAAATGGCGACCTTTGATAATGGCGAACAATTTTTAAATCTGAACACAACTTTCTTGTGTCGATGACGTACTTTGCAACGATGAATGAGGTTGCGTGACTGGAACTAAAACATAAACTGAGTTATTTATGGAAAAATTAATGCTAGATAAATTCAATATTAATCTACACAAACATTTTACAACAATAATTATATCAAATGCCGTCAAACCAAACACACATTTCTCCACAGAACATGCCAATCGGTAACGTCAGCCGGGACTCGGCTCCAAAGCGTGAAACTTTCCGGCCACCATGGGTTAAGGATAAAGATACCGAAGCTCTGCCTTCGTGGACTCAGAAAAAACTGAAACCAGTTGAAAGTACTACGAAGGCCGTAGCTGAGAATGATGCTGCACCAGCCGCAGTTGCAACCCCTAAGCCTTTAAAACGTAAGTCAAAATAAAAACTAAACCGTCACTATTCAGTACAAATATGTTTGATTTACATTAATAAGACTTTATATTTATCTTTTCTGTAAAGTATCTACGTTTGATGTCATTTGTCTGTATTTCCCATACAGAATTTATTTACGGTATTACAGAAATAGACTAATGTTTGAATTTAATTCTAATCGAGTTTATACATTATATTCATCTCAATTTTACGTGTAGCACAAGATCTTTTTAACATTCTCTACGTCCATACTCACCTACACTTCCTTTCTAGTCCTCGTATTCCAAGGTATGCGAACTCTATAATAAATGATCCAAGGTTGGGTCACCATATCCTGTTATCAGCTCAAATATACACAATTATTTATCATAACAGCTTTGCTTTTAGAGGTAGTTAAATAATAGTCTGCCCAATTTCAACTGATGAAACATATATTTATGTAAGCTAAAAACTAATGAACCCTTATTTCAGATGTGAGATAAAAGGTTGCAAACTTCCCTTTTAAAATTCTCACTGTTTCAGGATTTTTCTTATTTTCATGCTATATTTTTGATTGCAAGTTTGCTACGATTTTAAGCCCTCATAAATTTTTGTGCCAACTATTGTTCAAATAATAACGCTCTCTTCTTTAATAGTATTTAAAACATGCGACGCTTTGTCTCTGTTACCTACAACCCATATTACTCAACTCTTTCATTGCGAAAATCCTAAGCTTAGAGATATGAAGATAAATTGTTCATTAATGGCTTAATTAAAAATCATACAATACAGTTAAAGAAAAAAATAAGCTTACGGACTAGGGTTAGGCACATACCACAAGCTACGCTCGAAACCTCTACCTGCAACATCAGTAGCCTACATAAATTTAACAAAATTCTTGAGTAAAAGGGCACAAAAGTTGTCAATGAGCTCTGCTTTTGTGTAAGAGCTCATTTTGCAATTTACGGCACTTTATTAATAAACTTGAAAAGACCTGTAAAATGAAAAACTGTCGTGCCAAGTTTTTGTTTATAATATAATAGATGATAAGGGCGCATAGAGGGAGCAAACGAGACAGCGTTTCTGATTGCTAAACACATTACTCATTGCTATTTATATCCAATCGAAATAAGACATGCATAATCGTGTGACAACATTTTTAGAAACACTAGAAACCTTTATTGACTTTGTTTCTAAACATACACATTAGTTTAAAATACGTAACAATTTCTTCAATCTCCCTTAGATTGCAAAATTTTCTTGAAACCTCTCATATCCATACTAAAATTTATAATGTCTATCAACTAAACATAATATGGAATTAATACATCTCACACGCCTACAGTCTGGCTCGTGCAGCATTTTACTATTATCTATATATCGCTTTTAAAATACTTAGTTTGATTATAGTATTGGATCTTTATTCTTATTCAGTTATACTAACACGTACTTCACATAACAAACAACTTTGCGTACACCTTATAAAGTATAATTTGACAAACCTATTATGCAATTAGTGCGAAACGTCACCCGCTTACTAATTATGATCAGCTGCTTTGACAGACTTTGCGATTATAAATAAATGCGAAAAAATATAGCAAATATTGTTTAAATTTTATTTATATATTGTGCCAAATTAAGAGAAACACCGCTATCGTATTTTTAAATTACAGTTGTGCGTAAGGGCAATATTTCAATGTGCATGATATACTTATGTATATATGTATGGCCAATGACGTAAACACCTTCCCGAAACTTTGGCAGGGACTCAGGATCTCATATCTGAGTCTCCACACAAGTTTGTTAGTCCGAAGTGGTTGACGTGAAGTGTTCAGTTTTGGTGGAAACCGAAATATTGGTCGGTTAAAGTGATATTGTGGTACAATATTTAAATTTAATTTAGAAGATGTTTACTTACTTACGATATAATCCTTTGTTTAAGGTAACAAAAATAATAATGTATACGATCATTTGCTAGCCTCAGCTTTACTCATTACTGAAATTACGACGACACATAGAATAATGCCAAATTGTTAATTTAATGAGCTGACAGTTTTGATGTAATGTATAATGTAAAATAATATAATGAAGGTAGAAGGGTATACAAACGTATTATTTAAGCTTTGCGACAAATAAGCATACGATTTAGGTGCTCAAGCGAAAGATTTAATTTCTTTTTAGTGTAATATAACTTTGGTACCAATAATAAAATCACCAAAATAATTCTTATGTAAAACTAATGTGTTTAATTCATTATAGATAACCTAAGCGTCTTTATTATAATTGTCAAAGAGTATTTAGGTATATAATTATGTTATACAGTGTAGCAAAATTTTTAAACTCCAAAATGTCTCTTAATATGCTGCCATGACTCTACAGAATACGAGATATTCCGAGTCCAACGCCAACGAATCGCGATATTTTTAGAGAGGACAGACATTTTACAAAATAAACGAAGATGTTACGTTTACGGCGTATGATTTATAAGAACTGTTCCGTGGGCCGTTCGACTTGTATATCCGTTTGAAAATTTATTTGATGTTGAGAATACTAAGTTTTATTATATAAATATCGTTATACAAGTAATTAATGCATTTTTTAATGTTTAATTTATAATAATTCAGGAACATTATCTTTCGATTGCAACACTGTTAACACTTTAGCTAGTAAGGTTTTAACATGTAATCAGGCTAAAATAGCGAAGGTCAGCTTTCGGCCATCTTGGCAGCGGCCATGTTTATTTACGTACGCGAATGCCATCAAATGCAATGAATCGGGGACAAAACACGTGTTTTCGTCTATTATATTTTTCTTTTACTTTCCGCTGTTCATATTCCTATTTTTCCATACATAAGTATTTTATTACTAGTGACATATATAAATAATAGGTAAAAAAAAGACACGACATAAAATTGAGATAATTTTGCATAAACGTGTTATATAATAATAAATAAGTTGTTGTTTGTTATAGACTAATCATGTTATAGACTGTTACAGTTCTTAGTTTGTTTTTTATGTACATATGTATAAAAGTCATAGCCTCCGTGGGTAATAACTTAGAGTTTCTACCCTCGCTAGAACACATAACTATTGCCTTTTATAAATAAAAACATAATGAAATTATCAGTAATTATGTTAAATATTCACGTGTAAAATGAACAACATAAACATTCAGGAAATAAACCAACAACACTGTGAATATCGCAATGCACGACACAATATTATTCTTTTCATTTATTCAAATAGTAACATAGCTGCATAATTTTACAAATTTCAGCCTATTCTTATGTTAACGGCAAATGTATTGTAAATATACAGGATTTATATTAAACTGTATTTATTCTAATAGGTCATAATCTCTTAAGTCTGGTATTAGTACAGTATTTGATTATTTTTCAGCTGTTTTAAAGAAACAAGCTACAGTGAAAGAAAAAGCTGAAAACGGTGTATCAGAGGCAATAGAGGAGAAGCTAGTGAAACCTTCAGTCGCTAAACAAGTGGATAAAACATCAAAACCGGCTGAAGATAAACCGAAACTTCTTAAAACAGCATTAAAACCTTCAGATAGAACAAAATCAGAAGCAACAAACAACACCGAGAAGCTTCCAGAAAAACCGATTCTTAAAAGCGTCAGAACCATAGATGACAAAGCCAAAGAAAAATCAGTCAGTATTGTAGATAAGAAAACAGTTTTAAATAAGAATGATGCTCCAAAAACAAATCAAATAAACGATAAGAGTCTTAACAACAAATCAGAAAACGTAAATAAAGACACGAAAAAGGTAGAAAAAATAAACGAGCAACCAAAAGTATCAGAAAAGGTTGAAGAAAAACAAAAAATGGCTACTAAACCACCACTTGAGAAAACTCCCTCCAAGGTATTATCTTTTTTTTAATAACAAATTAGTTTGTTGATCTTTAATTAAAAAGTAAATCCTTCAACATTTATAGAACTTGTAAGACATTGTAGAAGACTCGTCACAGTAATGTAACATTCATTTATTTATCTATAATACTTTTAAAGGGTATTTTCATTTATTTATGTTTTTACATTGTAACTTAAATAAAGAGGGAAAAATGTCACACCAATAACTTTTATCTGGGAAGTTTAAGAATATTATATTTTTAGTTGCCTCCACGTAAGCCCTCATTACAAAAAGCTCCATCCAAAGATGACGTGATGCTGAAGAAATGGAGAGATCCATTACACGAACGGGTCAAAGAAAACATCGACAAGACCTTGGCTAACGAAATTCCGAAAGGACACACCTTGACGAAGAATGAAAGCTTAAGAAGTAAGTAACTAAATCAATTACTAGAACCGTTATTACCAGTGTTTAATGATTGGTAAACACAATGGCCATATTAAAATTCTAATTTGGCAATCCGCATTGAATTCCGCGAGCATTCAATTGATTAATCATTATTAATTGCCTTTGAGAGTTAGGGATATATTGTAATGAGATAGATATATTTAGAATATAATATTAACTTGCTAACTTAACAGAAATAATTATATTTTATGAGACACTATTTTGTCCTTACGTCTCTAGGTGCGCCCATTAACATTCTATTTAGTCCGTTCCTTTTGATCTCCTGTAGTCAGTTTGTGGTCTTAAATCAGTTCCGAAATAGTCCAAGATAGTTCCGCATGCGACGCATACGTCTATCAGGTGCAAACGAAAACTGACTGCATTCGCTCGGTACAGTGTCGTTGGAGCTTTAGCTTAGTGTAGTGCAACAAATGTTTAGTATACAGACGCATGTCATTCTTGTACAGTTGATATTCTGAAGTTAAGATCTTTAAAAAAATGTTAGCAATGGAAGATACTAATATATTTAAAGGTAAAAGTGTTTTTTGGCAACTAAATATGGACGCATAAATGATAATATTATTTTTTTACAAAGTGTAGTCTATCTTTTTAATTAATATCTGTAACTGTGTAACTAGTGCCAGCTCTTATTTTATGAGTATAAAACTGTGTTTAGATTTATTGAAACCTACACCACCGCCGATGCCACCTCCGCCGCCCCCGAAACTACCTCCGCCACCCGACTTCAAAAAGGCTCCCGTTGATCCAGCGAAGCTGAAGAAATTAGAAGAACTTCGCAGCAGACCGAGGAGAAGACCAGACTGGAGTGACATGATGAAGGAGGTGGAGCAAGGAAAGAAACTCAAACATGTAGTTTGTAATGACAGGTGATATTTTTATTCTTACCATAATAATTTGTCTAGATAGATAGAAAGAATACGAAATATTTAAATAATCTTCTAATATACATTATATCAAATAAACTACAATTCCGTAGATCCAAGCCCATCATAACAACGTCTGTAGTTGTTAAAAACAAAGACCAATTCATATTTGAGTCCGAGAAACCCAACTCGCACAATGAGTTGCTTAAAGAAATTAACAAAGGAATAAAACTGAAGAAGGTTAAATGTAACGATAGAAGTAAACCTAACTTGGAGGGTTTGCGTAAATTTAGAAGGCAAATGACAATAGAGGAACAATTACAAAAATCCATGTCGCAAGCAAACTTAACTGCATCGCCGTCGGGTGTTTCTGTTGCAGAGGTATTATGTAATATATTTATATCATATATAAATCATCAGAAATAAATTATATATTAGTATATGTATCTTTTATTCCTTTAGGCGCCCGCAGCAGAAGAAAATGATATTGACGAAATGGATGACATTGATAAAGTAAGAGATGACCTTCAATCGACGAAGCAACTTTTAGCCATTGAACTGAGGTAAAATAAAACATTTAAGAAAAATTTACCTAAAGGATATTAATTACTAAGTTAAAATTTTTATTCCTAGAAATAAGGAAGCTCAGGAGAGAGAAAACAAGAGATTACTCACAAGAATTCAAAATCTAGAAGCTGAATTGGCAAGAGAGAGGGCTATTATAAAACAAGAACAGCACAAGACTGTGATATCCGTTACTGACGCTTATGACGAAAGGCTGGTCAATAATCTAAAAATGGAAGTTGAAAAAGCAAAGGAAACCGCTGATAATTTACAGAAGCAATATCTGTTGGCAGCGGAAGAAAGAGATGACGCGCAGTCAGAAGTAGAAGAACTGAAAAGAAAGAATTCAGAATTAGAAAAGAAATTAGAACAGGCTCTATCCGTAAGCTTGTACCTTAAGACCTTTACGTTTACTAAACATCTATGATTATATAAGCTTAAATAATAATAAATTTATCAATTTAAAAACCCTAACTACAGTTACTAAAATTATTTACATCCTTAAACAATTAATTGCTTAAACATTACAGAATAAGATCGACGAACTGTTAAAGTCTGAAGAGCCATTATCTTTCTATCAAAAGACTCAGCTAGATTTCCTGAAGCAGTGTAGGTTACTGAACTTAGACGCTAAAACCGACGAAATAGGAACTGATGCTAACAATAACAATAATAATGCTTATACTAACTTAGAGGGAATTGAGGTAATGTCTACTTACAAATTAATTTTAACCTAAAATGTCTTATAACTTATATTAAATTTAACACATAAGATTATTTTCCTTAACATAATATATTGTGTGCTACGATCGAATGTTGTTATACATGGTGTTGAAAGATATAAATTATTTAGGGCGTGATTCCTTCAAACGTTGGATCAAGACGTTCCAGTCACGCTATCAAACAACTATCGGTCACCAAAGATGACAGCTTTGAAGAGGAAGAAGAATCGGATGCAGAGGAGGTAATTATAGCATTCTTTATAAGATATATGTATCTAATACTTTTGATATATTCATTAATATTAAGTTTGAACAGAAACAGGTTCTAAATTAGAGTTTTTTTTTTAATTTATTTCAATTAGTACATATATTATATATACCTATATATATGTATATATATGACATATGTTACAGTTGTCATAATATAAATTTTATTCTGATTGGTCAACATGGTTATAAGAGAGAAATAGAAATCTCAAGACTACCATAACTCTTTAGAAAAGCAACAATTTTTCTTCTTTGGTATTCAATGATACGGGAAAAGAAAAAGTTTTTTAGTTAAAACTTTCGAACTCGGACTGTGAAATTTAAAAAGTACCTAATTTCTGAACTAGGTTTTTTTGATAATCTTACTTGTTTGAGACTGTCGACATATATATATGTTTATATAATAAATGTATGATATACATCCATTTATGTTTAGATTATAAGAAAATATTGATGAAATTATATAAATTTAAATTTAATTTTAATTATATCTTGTTATTAAACGCTGACTTCGTGAATAATAACTAATAATAAAAAACATCTCTAATATTTAACTTAAAAATCCAAAAACTTAGGAGGAGACGGAAGAGAAAAAACAAAAAAGATTAGAGAAAGAAATTCGCAATATGAGAAACAAAATACGTCATTTGAAAGAAAAACAAGATAATATGAAGAGAGAAAGGATGGGTTACAAAATGGCGCTGAAAAATCAGCAATCCTGCCTTAAGTAAGTTTTAAATGACAGTAAAGTTTTTCTATATCTTCCTCTTCCCAATACAGAACATTTTAAACTCTTTTCCCAAACAAACGTTATGACAACACTGGACTGTTTTATTAAAGGCAAGCAATAAGTAGGTAGTAAATACCTTATAAGTATTTAAATTACCCTTAGCGTTTAAGCTTGTCTTGTCTTTCTGTTGAATCTTAAAGTCGATAAGATACCTTAGAACGAGATTTTGTTTCGTCACTTTGTGAACTCTATATTTGACAAGCATTTATTTTATATAATTCCTTTTAAAAATATGTCCTTATCATATTTTAGGGAAGAAAAACGAAAATTCAAAGAGCTAAAGCGTGAGGTTGACAAAATGGCTGCAATGATGAAGGAAGTCGGCACTGATGAAGAAGATGAGGACGATGAAGAAGAAGAGGAATCCGAAGAAGAAAAGAAGAGTGGGTCAGAAGAAGAAGAAGAAACAGAGACCGAGACAGAACAGGACACAGAGAGTGAAACTGAGAGTGAGAGTGAGCCCGAGGCAAGTAGAAATAGAACACTCTTAAGTGTTTATTAAGTTAATACAAGCTTCTGTTTTCAAATTTACTTGATATATTGTGTAACAAATCCAATTTCCTTGTATAAAGATCGTGAATTCTAAATTCATGTTTTATGAAGGGTCTTAAGAAACTTTTTATTTAAAAAAGTTGTTTATCTGTATACAGGATGCTCCACTGCCCAAAAAGAAAGACAATCTAGCAAAACGTCTGAAGAGGCACGAAACGAGAGTAAACGCTTTAAAAAAAGGCAACACACTACTCATGGCTAACGTGGACCGATTGAAGGATGACGTTCTGAAACAGAGGGAACAATCGTGCACACTCCAGAAGGAATTAGATTCGCTGATCGATGATCTTGAATAATCGTTTGAGCAATTAAGAATTTTCATATAACTACGTTTTGTAATCTTTTAATAACAAACACAATTATACGTATTTAACTTGAATTAATTTTACTTGTACAAGAAAGCGAAGTTTTTAATTTATTGTCTATTACATACTAAGTATTCCTTTTTTTATTAAAGCTTAAAATTATGTTTAATAAATACAAAAAAACTGTATCATAAACTTTACCCAAGGAAAAAACTTAAATCATAAGAATATTTCTGACATTATATATTTTCTTAACATACTTCATACTTATATCTAAAAATACTTTGATATTTGTAATATTTATATAACCTTAAAATTATTTATGTACATACCTACTATTTGAATGACTAGTATGTAGTTATACTATATAATATTCATTATGCTTCTCATAATTCCTATTAAAACTAAACTAAAGCTTTTTTTATAACTCGACACAATAAACAATTACCACAATTGTGTTTATTTATTTTCGTAAAACTGAAAACACCAAAATAAAATATATTAAAACTCAATGTTCTATTTATTTCTAGCAAAAACTTAACGGAGATGTAAACTAGCTTTCAATCATTAATAATTGTTTCATCTTATTGAATAAATTAATACAATAAAAATCTATTATTAATATGTAACTTTTTTTTATTTTGAAAGAACATAAATCAACATTAAGAATTAAGACAAGTAAAAAAGTCATATTCTAGGGGTTTAAAATCTGTATGCTAAGAATTACTACAAAAACCAACTTAATATCCAATATTGTTTAAAACACGAATTTAAATACGCTAATTTTTTAAAGAGGAAACTGAAAGTATTATAAACTAATTTTGCAACATTAATTATGGCAACACAACCACATTCAATATTTTTGAAGTTTGAAAACCTTGACGTTTGACTCTGCAGTCGTTACTCGTTAGGCGTTAGTGGATTTGAATTTTGTTAACCAAAAGAGTAACGTTCTCGGTTGTATTAGCAAACCTTTATGCTAATAATAATGCCTTCGACAATTGTAAAACCAAATCCACGAAATGATAAGACAATGTTTACAATATTTCAAAATGTTCAATATAATATTGTTCATCACAGGAAGTATGTGAAAGAAATGACGAAACTTTATAGAAAGGTAGGTATATCGTCTAATTATTTTAAGTGATTTAATATGATTATGTATAGAGAAAAACTAGGGAAAATAACTTATTTTGTTTTATATATTCACTAATATTGAATTTGATACGTATTACTAATGTTCGTTTGGGACGGATAAAATTTTAGACATCTATATCATGCGAAACATAAGTAACACGGAAGTATAGAAATTTAAAAACTGAAGTGCAGAGTGTATATAAAAATTCATCTTCTTTTCAGACTAAAGCGGATGACTTTAACGAAAGTTTTAAGAATGCATTATTTTACCTCTTTACTTTTGGGGACACAAGTTCAAATGTAGACCGTGTTATTCAGTATGTAGCAACATTCTGTACATCACTTGATGATGAGGAGGAGTTTCTTATGTTTATATTTGATATTATTTTCGAAGTAAGTAAATGTTCTGACTAATCGTATTATACTCAAAGACTGTGACACTGTTTTCCTCTTAAGCATTTTTTTGTGAAACTTTAATTCTATTGATGTATCTTTGTAATGTAATTATTATAGTAAATGCCCATAAAAAATGTAAATTATATTTATATGAATATAATTGTACTATTATTTTGGCGGTAATTCACTAAATATTTTCTCTTGTAGTGTCAGTGTGTATCGAGTCAGTCAGTAAGATACCGAGCAACCCAGTTGCTGGCAGCCGTTCTAGGTGCACTTGGTGAGGATGCATATTTGGATGAAGACCTTTGTGACAAGCTCTTAAACTATCAGGTAATTCATATATGGTATTTACTTAAAGGTAATTTATATATGGTATAATAGTAAAGGAATTTAATTGATATCCACTGTTTTAAAAGAGAGTAGACTAGTGTCATTTTTGTTTTAATAAAATCCATTCTAAATTAATATTATATGTTTTTGGATGTTCAAATAATATCTTATAATGAGCCAAATTTTTCATAAGCCAACTACAAGAGCACTTACATACTGGAAAATTCTAAGAATTTTATAAAATATATATAATATAAGAATCTTATATTAATATGCCATTATTGACAATATGAACTTCAATTCAAACTACAAGATCATGTTGCATTTGACAAATAAAATCATATTATTGTTATGTTATATGAATAAGTATAATAAATATTTTTATTCAAGACCATTTTTACACAAATTTATATCTGAATTTACATGAGAAATTATATTGTTGAATATGTAAAATATAAGCTAAAGATGTGATTGTCTGGCTTAATACCAGTTGCAACGTCTCCAAGATCCTCGTGGTGCTGTCAGATGTAGGGCAGCATTAGCCCTAAGTAGGTTGCAAAACCCAAGTGACCCAGATGATGAAGTAACCAGAGGTTACCGATTCCACATGAGCTGTGATCCTAACTCCTCCGTTAGAAGGTAAGTTTAATATATTTCATACTTACTCCGATATATGTGTACTATATAAAATCTCCCTTTTTAATAACTACTTATAGGGCTGTAGTGATGTCAATAGCAAAATGCACCCGGAATATCCCTTTTTTATTGGAGCGCCTTTGTGATGTTGATGAAGCTGTAAGAAGAGCTGCATTTCTAGTCATAGCGGCTATGAATGTTACACAATTAAGAGTTCGACAGAGAATTCTTACATTGAAGGTAAATTGAACTGTCATCAAATATGGAGAAATAAACTAACTAAAGTATCTTTACATATAGATTACCTTTAACATATCATTTTATTTGCTGTTCTTCCATAAAACTTACCAATATAAATAAAGAAAAATATTAATGAATAAAAGACTTTGTAGTTACATTTTATTATAAGTTTTATATTTAAAGGAATTCACTCCAATATTTCATAGATCTTTATTGCTACTTATCCAAATAATACATAATATTAATATATTTATTCTCAGGTCGTATTGTATTGTATATATTTATATTCTCAGGTTGGTCTCACTGAACGCAGCCCGAGAGTGCGTCGTGTGGTAGAAGAGATATTAATACCCACCTGGTTGAGTTCATTCAAAGGCAACATTATAGACTTTCTAAAAGCATTGCGTCTGGATAATTCAGACGACGAGAAAGATTCGCAATATATTGTAGAGAAGCTCTTGCAGTCACTTTTAAAGTAGGTGTTTTATAATATCCACAGCAATAAGAAGTTTTAATAATTATAAATTAGTTTAAAGATAGATTTTCTCAATTGTACACTCATTCTTTTTCCTTATTATCATACTAAAATTTTTCCATTATATATTTGGCTTAAATTAATCCTATGAGAGAGACATTCAATTTTAAATTTTTTCTATATAAATACACAAGGTCACCTTTTGTGCATAGTCAAAATTATTATATCGAATTTTAACAATCAATAAATATTCGTAGACGTCTACCGAAATCAGAGCTACTAGAATGGCTGCCAATTGACAAGTCACTCCGAGTTATACCGGCTGACAAGTTGAACAAGGAAATAGTCTGGTACTGGCGCCAACTTGCGGAGCATTTCCAGAACATCGATGATGAAGAGTCCCTCGAAACAATTCTGCCTGATCTAGTTGTACTAACTGGATATATTAAAGCGTGAGTTATATAGCTGAAATACTATTTAACACTCATATTTACTTATAAGAAGTCGGATTTGCATTTTTCTCCCTTGACACACCAAAAAAGTTCTTCAATGTACAGTTTAACATACATATATCCAATAATTATTTATTTTAATCACAGCAAAGTTATGTTAAAAGTTCTAAAGCGAATTGTTAATTTTCTCATAAGTTGCTAGTAAAAAATATCCCACTTGAATTCTTACATACTGCAAATGAACATGACTTACATTTACCATTGCTAAGATATTAATTACATTTTCAACATCAAAACTGATACTATACATGTATGACTTACATATATACGAGGGGAGGTCAATAAGTTCGCGGAATGAGCGGGAAGGGGGTTGAAATTTAACACGAAACTATTTTTCCTTTTCAATATAGTCTCCCTTAACCTTAATACATTTTTCGGATCTCACAAATAATTTATTAATACCATCGAAAAAAATTATTTATCTTGGCTATCAAAATAGGCCGAAATTGCGGACTTGACTTCTCAAATTTTTTTCCACGCAGCTTTTTTTTCATTTTTGAAAACAAATAATAGTCGCTGGGGACTAAGTCTAGACTGTAAGGTGGGTGGTGTAATTTTTCGAATCCGCATCGGTGAATGGCAGCCGTCGCAACATGGCACGTGTGGACTGTTGCGTTGTCGTGCAAAAGGTGTGCTCCACACCTTTTGACAGCTTTCCTCTTCTTTTTTCCTTGATAGCTTCTTTCAATCTATCTAATAAAGAAGCGTAGTACTGTCTCGTTATAGTCACACCACGATCTTTATAATTGATCAGCAAAATACCTTCTGTATCCCAAAGGACAGTCGCCCTGATCTTTCCGGACCACTATGAACCTGAATCGAAGCAAGAATCGATACAGTGACATAAAAAAGGCACAGCTCCTCCAAAGAAGTTTAAAGTGTCACAATCAACTCAGGTTTCATCACCAGTAAAAATCCGGTCCATAACTTCGTCCTTATTCTCTGCACAGAGCTTCAAAAACCCCCGAGAACACTCGACACGCTCGCTTTTTGAAGTGGCGTGAGCATTCTTGGAACCCATCTTGTACTGACCTTAATCATCCCAAGATGATGATGTAGGATATTTAAAATGCTTTTTTCGGATACTCTAACCATTGCTCCAAGCCGTTTCTTCTTCAACCGGGCATCTTTCAATATAAGTTTTTCTACTTTTGCAACGTTTTCCGTTGTGGTGGCCTCAATCGGTCGTCCGGAGCGGGGATCATCTTCAATGGACTCTCTTCCTTGTTTAAAAAGTCCATGCTACTTGTAAACTATGGTTTTACCAGGGGCAGAGTCCGCGTAAACTGATAACAGCTCTTCAAAAATCGTCTGAGCGGATTTTCCTTGCTTGGTGAGGAACTTAATAACGGCGCAGTGTTCAATTTTCTCCATACTCACTGACTTCTTCCCAATTCACTTGTTTGCAGGTCAACAACGCAAAAGTTAATGACCCGATTTGGTTCAAACTTGGTATATATACTATTAATGAGGTGTTGAACAAGTTACTACCTGGACGAGTAAATCAACCCCCTCCATCCCCTCCATTCCGCGAACTTATTGACCTCCCCTCGTACCTCAGGTAACATTAGCTGGGATTAGAATTCTCATATGAATTTTCAATAGTGATCTGACCATCTTGTCTACAAGGCAATTTAAAGCTGACTAACAAGTCCACTGACAAAAAACATTAGTGTTAGTAGTATTAGAGTGGTTCTATTAATATTATTTGTATACAGTATAGTGGAGTCTCCTTGTCCCAATAAGAAGGATGACCCGGTGTCGTACAGCACTCGTCAGTTTGTACTATATGAATTGGCGAAAATGCTCCGGACTTACGACACTAGCGACCCTGCTAGCAGAGATGCTCTACAGTCATTGATCACTGATACCCTTACAGGCAATCATTTCATATGTTATACTCCATTTAATGTGTTTGCACGCTGAATAGATATATTAAAGCTTTAAATACTCATTGGAAACGAAATCCTATAATATTACAAGTCTAAATTTGTAATATTCATTGGAAAAGTATTGGTAATATATATTACAACACTGATCTTAATATATATCATTATTTGAAGCTTTGGTTATGTTGATTACTTGTCTATTAACAATCAATATGATATATTATGTTTTTTTTTTTAAATTATAATTACCTTTCCAGGTAACTACGATCCTCTGAGCGAGGACGTGATCCGGGCGTTTGTATCAGCCCTGGAATTGGTGTTGCCAGATGTTACGAGTCGAGTGGAACTTGTACGCAATGTTCTGTCAACACTAAGGGAACCACCGGAAGTGGAGGAGGAAGTACCTCCGCCGACCTTGGACGATATAGAAGCAAAATTACAGGTAGGTATAACATTATAAATAATAATCTTTGCATATGATATATTGGGATTATGCCAAACTAAAATCGTTCCAGAGAGCCAAATTGCGTGTCTCCTTAAATGTGGCAATCGAAGCTCAAGATGAAGCTGTTAGACTTGAAAATTATACTCTTGCTGCTGAATGCAAGGCTAAGGTACTCATTTATTGTTATAAAATTTCAAAATAATTAAAGTAACTTATCAAATTAACTTTTAACTGTTACTAGGTTGCCGACATCCAAAAAAAATTGGAGGAATTAACAGTTCAAACAAAACCAATAGAGCCATTAAATGTGAGTTAATACAAATTTAATATATATCAGTTTGTATGTTCCTTATATTTTGAATGCTGAATGTAATGGAATTATGGTAAGCTGTTCTGGCATCACAGCTGGAATTTCATGGAACAAAAACAGAAAAGATATATATTGCTGTTTCTTACAAACTTTGCTTTTATGAAAATATAAGGCTTTTGGTTCTTTAATATGTGATGCATGATCCTTGCACGTATGTGGTATTGCCACAAAAAAATATTTGCTTATAATTGATTAAAGTATATATATTTACTTCTAAATTTTGTGGTCAATGCTTATGTTGCAGACAATCAAGGAAAAGAAATGTGATGTGACAACATTAAATAAGTGTCTAATTATACTAAATGCATTATTGGACACACCACAACTGAAAAATTTAACACCAATGTTAAAACAAATGTTCAGTGAGCTAGAAGTGAGTTGGGTTATAAAGTAAATGCTTAAAATATTTTCATCTTATTAATAAAATATGATTTGCAGGTTGAAATATTTTCAAAGTACGAGCTATTGACCAACGCTCTTGAAACGGTTGCACTATTCAGCATGTTGGATGAAGAATTTGCAATAAAACATAAATCATTTTTCTTTGCTAATGTGAGATTTTTTTTATTTTTAATCATTGAAAATTAAACTTTTGCTAATGCTAATTATTATACAGAACTTATTTATGTATATAAGTAAATTATTTTGCAGTTAGGTGATTCAGCAAAGGAATCAACAGTGTGTAAAGTGCTTAAGTGTTTATTTGACCTGTTGTGTGTACACGGAGCTTATGTGTTTGGAGATAATACTGAAACCATCGAGACTTCCACCAACAGATCTAATGATTCCATAAATCCTGATGGTAAGTATTGCTAACTCTATGAATGCATTTCTATTATTGCTGAGGAAAGCTTTATCTTGTCAAAAAATATCACTGAGATTTCTTATTTAGACATTTATTATTATTATTATTTTTAATTATCACTATGTTTAAAAAATCAAAGTCTAGCAAAATGGTTCTTACAAATTATATGTTATAATAAGTGTTGAGGAATATTTAAGTTTTGTTTCCCTTTTTATTGATAAATGTATGAAATGTATTAATTCATATTAAATTCGTTTAATATCTATAATAAAATTAATTATTTTTTTAATGGTCACCAGAATCTGCATTGGTATCATCTCAAGCAAACAGCAACATTATTGTTTTACTTACTAAGTTGATAGATAGCGCCGTAAGTATAATATGTACGTTTGTGTTCTTCCACTTATAACATAAACTTAATATGGATTTTTTTTTCAGTACCCATCATATAGACTGATAACAGTAGAGGGTCTATGCCGTCTGATGTATTTAGAATATTTAGACTCTCCTTATGTACTTAGCAAGTTAATATTACTCTGGTTTAATCCAGTTTCAGGTATGATATGTATTCATGCTGGATTTACAAAAAAAATCTTTTCAATTTTATTAATGTTTATATATTGTTGCAGAGGAAGAAGATGTATTACGACAGACTATAGGCATTTTCTTCCAGACGTTTCCTAGTGCTGTCGAAAATGCCCAATACCAAATACAAGTATGAACCAATATTATTATACAGGGTGACTGGTGAATTACTATCAATATTTAAGGAGAATACTCGGTACATGATTCTCATTCGAATTATGTAAAAAAAATAGGCACTTAATTTTTGACAAAATTTCCGTATAAATAAGTAAACTGTTGACACGTTCCAAGTGTTGAAGTGTGGACGCGTGCGGCGGCGTGTTGATACAACACTACGTCACGACACGCGTATGTATGAGTGTCAGTGTATACCTAATCTGTAGGGTGTTCACACGATGCGTAATTAATTACATAACTTTTGGTTAACTTTACTTAGAAGTTTATTAATATTTATGTTATATTAATTTTTATTTTGTCATATATGATCGTCAAATATCACGTCCTCAAATATCGATAGTAATTCACCAGTCACCCTGTATATAAAAATATAATTTTGATAACCATACTGGTTTATATATACTTATAATACGATTACGTTTAACTTATAATACTTACGTTCACTTTTTTGTACCATGATTTAGACCTTTTGTAAAGAATTTTTGAGTTAAGTACTGATTCTCATATATTTAAACGAATGTGATTTCAGAAAGCTATGATACCAACACTACGTGCTCTGTGTCGTGCGCCCGCTAGTTCTCCGATTTCTGAGATCGACCAGGAGGCAGTAGTGAAGTTTTTTGTTTCACTCTCAAAAGTCAGCTCAGAGGTAAAAACTTAATTTATTTATTACCTAAAATGTTTAACAAATATACATCAATTAATATCTATAAAATCAATACGACCTCGCACAAGTCTTAATAATACTCAAGTCACCTAGACAGTAAAAACCTACCTACTATGAGATGAAAGTTTATTCCACTTCTTAATATAATTTTCACAAGAATTGAATATCCTCATTAACATTCCATCTGATGACAAATAGGATAGTATAATAAGATATGTCAGTATAAACCTATCACATTCATTAAAGATCTTCGAATTATATAAGGGATACCAATACGTCTAAAATATGATATTTCTTAAACTATAAAATATATATTCCAGTTGTCAGACAGCCAGGGTGCTATGGCGATGACACTATGCGAGTATCTCGTACGTAAACCGAGGAGTTATGCTTGTAGTCTTATTTGTCGAGCACTATCACTTCTATCGCCGCCCAAAGACGCTCGCGCTGCTGCTGATATGGCCGTTATGATCAAGGATCTCTGTCTGGTGAGTGAAAACATAGTAAATGATAGGTATATAGATCCCACCCACGTAAGTTGTTTTACCTCCAAAAATGTAATTCTACAGTAGAGCGTTTCAAACATTCAAATCGAAACAAAATCTGCATATTTTATTGAGGCATCTTTTTAAAATTTCGTATTTAAATTCAACACAATAGTCTTCTTAACTACGTTAAAAGATATTTTAATTAATATGCCTATTTGCGGAGATATTGTTGTTATATTTTTCATACATTTTACTCTGGAGTAGAAGCTAAAAAAGGCGTTGTATCTGATACTTACAACATTATACCGCGGCGCCCAGATAGCATCACTTGTATATATGATAGTTACAACTGTATACGTTGAAAAACATAAGTCTTACTCTGTTGTATGTAACTCATACGCGGCCCGATGCGTGATTTTACCCACCACGCGCCCCGCGTATACAGTTGCATAGGGCATATACATCAGTTTAATCCGTTCGCGTTGGAAAATTACAACATTATGCGTCTGACAAATCCTTTAAAAATAGTGTTTTTTGAATTTGAATGGATGTAATGATCCATAATAGGATATTTTTTAGAAAAAAAGCAAAATAGTATTTTTATGGCTTACAACTTACGTGGGAGGTGTCGATATGTATGACTTATCTAGTACTAGCTTTCCGCCCGCAGCTTCGCCCGCGTGGAGTTCAGTTATATCGCATTTCCAAAGAACCCTTCAAAAGTCTGGGATTAAAACTATCCTATGTTCTTTCTCAAGGTCAACTCTATATCTGTGCCAAATTTCATTGAAATCAGTTCAGTGGTTTAGGCGTGAAAGCGTAACAGACAGACAGAGTTACTTTCACATTTATAATATTAGTATTTAGTATCTATGACAACTGTATGTAGTACATGCTTATCGAAGTAACACATAATTATATTACAGTCGTATATATAACGTGAGAGAAATCATGAGTACCGTATGTGAAAATCTTTATATAGATATTTATTTTTGTTTTTACAGAAATTACACGATAGGCCATCCTGTAGGAATCTGACGCGTTATCTCGGTGCCCTGGAGGCGTTGGAGAAGAGTCATATCAATAAAATAACGAATATAGGTAAGTCTAATGAAGTTATTCACATACATTTATGCTCATTTAATATATATACTTCATGAACATTAAATATTATTTACAGGAGAAACAACTGACAGTATACAGTGTGAAAATACAATGAATATGATGGGACGATCGACGACTTCATTACGTTAGTATTATCTTATAACTAATTTAAATATTACTTAACATAAACACTATTCCACTAACACTTTAACAGAAGATGATACTTAATTCGTCTAGTATTTATGATTTATCATAGTATTATTGTAACACTTCATAAAGCTTATTATATACTAAACAACAATTTCACCTTCTTAATAGCATCTCTCAATATTACTTCATATTTGGTTTAAATAACAACAGAAATTGAATATTCACTCTAAACTAATATGAATACTTTTTATATGAATACTTTTAAAAATAAAACTTTTGAATACTTTTAAAAATAATACTTTTAATATGAATACTTTTAAAATTAAAACTTTTTTTAATATTAAAGGTTTCTCAGCTAGTTCTCATAGTCGATCCAGTGGTCAATCTATTCATGTGTTCAAAAAACTGTGTCTGTGTATGTGACGAATTTGTTTTGTATTTAGAACTTTATTTTATTTTAGTTTTTTTTTTTTTAATACAGTGTAAACTCCATGTAACGTGACTCGATTTAACGACAAACTCTCTAAAGCGTCGAAATCATTTGACTTTGGTTGGTTTAGACTTTAGCTTGTCTACCATACAATGATACACTCTACATAGCATCACACCCACTCTCAATAACGGCAACAATTAAGTAATAAAAAGTACCTTTTAAGTTGCTAAAATTAGTAAAAACTGCTCAGCTGTGTACGTTCTTTTGTCACTTTGTTTTCCTAGCCCGCAATAAACTCGACTGTCGGAATCATGCATATCGAACTTTCTAAGAAGCCTCAATATCACAAGATATGAATAAAATAAGTAAAAAAATACAACAATATTACTGGTGCAGCAAAAGACGTAACACAAAAATAACAGACATTACGCAATAGCCTTCGAATAACATTTTTTTAATGTAAATAAATACTAACACTAGTCTGAAATAAACTTTGTCTTTTTCTAATTCTTATTTTTCTTCTCTCTGTTTAACGACAAGTCTCTATAACGCCATAAAATGCACAGTCCCTTCAGTGTCGTTATATAGAGTTTACACTGTATTTATAATACATATTTTATTTATAGCCAGTATTCGTTTTGTTTATTTTGGGTAGTATTTAGGAATTAGCAATGTTAGTGTGTAGTTGTAGTTTTTGTATTATTTTATAATAATCGAAATATATGAATTTATTGCAGCTCAACCTTTAGCTCGTAGTACCCACGTGGTTATTAACGAGACTGTTCAAGAAGAACCAGAAATTGAAGAAACCTCTTCTGGTGAAACTACAGCCGACACTATTTCTAGGATAACTGAAGGTAAGTTGCCATGTTGTTAACTTATATAAAGTAAACTAAAAGCAATATGTATAAACAAGTATCCTGATATAATATATCATAATTGTATAATATACAATAAAATGAAATAAAAGTGTTCATATAATCCACATCACTTAATAATTAACAGAAAGCCGATATCAAATGACTTATAATTAATTTGTAGAAAATGAAAATCAAACTGAAGATATGACGGCCGCTAAGCAAACGGAGACAGATGTTCCTGAAAGGGAGGACACTGGATCAGACAGTAGTGCTGCGTCGCCTGTTAAGAAAGCTAAAATTATCAAAGGTATGAGACGAAACTTCTCAGCATTCCATGGATTCACCGTGCGGGTGCCGGGTCCATCGCGTTGCAGGGACAGGAGCTTTAACAGTGCCTGGGACTTACGACCCAGGTGTAGGTTTAAGGGGCCCCTTAACTAAGGCGCGTTATACGCTCACCTCCACTGTCCAAGCTCCTCTCCCTACCTAACCAAATTTGAAAAGAACCTACTTGGGCTGCCTTCATTGAGCATTAAGAATGCATTGATGTGAGTTCTGGACAAGCCCAAGTCTTTTAGTAGGTTGTAGAGAGATTTCGCTGTAATACCTCTCGCTTATAACGTAAAAATAAATGAAATATTACACAAATAAAATATTAATAAACATTGCAGACAAGAAAAAGAACATCCTATCAAAGAAAGATATGGATTCCCGTAAACAAAAGCAACCGAGAAATAAGAATAACGAAGAAGATAAAGAGCCGGGAGTCAAACGTAGTTCACGATCAACTACAGTCGCTCTAAGAGGTGAAATATTATATATATAATTATAAAAGATTTTATTTTAGTACAACCTCTTCACTCTTAACTCTTAAGTAAAACATTAAGTTTTATAACATTTCAAGTTAACTTTATCAGTCGTAACCAACTTTTATATTAGATTTAAACTTAAATTTAAATTAGGCAATACTAAAAAAATATTCTATTATAAAATTTGTGTACATAAGTCAGATTTAACAGTTATTAAATCACGTATCATATGGTTTTTCATAATATCTATATTCGTACATCTCAGCCGCAACTGACAAGAAGTCTCAGTCTATCCACGTGTTCAAGAAACTGTGTCTGTGTATGTGACGTTTTGTTATTTTGTTTTGTATTTAGAACTTTAGTTTATTTTAGTTTTTATATTTATTTATAATACATATTTTATTTATAGCCAGTATTCGTTTTAGTTTCTTTTGGGTAGTGTCTAGGAATTAGCAATGTTAGTGTGTAGTTGAAGTTTTTGTATTATTTTATAGTAATCGAAATATATGAATTTATTGCAGCTCAATCTTTAAATCGCAGTAACCACGTGGTTATTAATGAGACTGTTGAAGAAGAACCAGAAATTGAAGAAACCTCTTCTGGTGAAACCACAGCCGACACTACTTCTAGCATAACTGAAGGTAAGTCGCCATGTTTTTAACTTATATAAAGTAGAATAACTATTTAATTCAAGCATTAAGATATTAACAATAATAATAAAGCGTTATTTATTCCATGCATAATAATAAACTATAATAATTATTATAACATTCGATTGTAATTTAATACCCTAACTAGATTTGTTTACATTATAACATTTTTTTTTAAATAATAATCTGATTTTCATAAATTGATATGATAATTAGTTAATTATTTTATATTTAATAAATAACTTGGCTTGCGCAAATATGACCATGTTTCCAACTTTCGATCTAAACTCAAGTGGTTATCTATTCGTTTTCGCCGGAATCTGCATGTTCTCTCGCTTCTTTATTGCGTCTTGTTTAATGTTAATGCCCCGACTTATTTAAAGGAAAAATTTGAGTTCCTAAGACTATATAATGAAGGGTTGAGGTCGGCTGAAAATCTGACATTGAGGATACCTGTGCATAACACAAAGTTTTTCAAAATGTCTTTTACCGTACAGGCTATCCAACTGTGGAATGCTTTACCCATTAGCATTAAGCAAGCGCAAACTCTATTGTCTTTTAAGAGGTTGGTAAAAGAGCACTATCTGGCTATGGAAACTTAGTCGCTATATTATATTCTTGTATAGCATTTGTATTATTTGTTAATTTTATTTTGTTTTTATTTATTTCTTTTTATTTACTGTGATTTATTCAACTTTTGTGTCTACATTATTTACGTAAATATTTGAGACGACTTATACATATATTATTATATTAATTTATATTTATATGTCTAATTGTTCATTTATTAGTATATATATTTATGTATATATGTATGTATTGTATGTATCTATTTATATATGTGTTAGTGTATATATAAGGATTAGGCACCACCTACCTTTTCGCTGGACAATTTCCCCAAATCGAAGGTTGTCTGGCAGAAATAGCTACATAGCGATAAGACCGCCTTTTTGTACATTTCCATTTATTTTATTATTTTTTTCCGTGTAAAATTTACTGTTTGTGGTGTACAATAAAGTATATTCTATTCTATTCTAATTAATTAATGGATGGACCCCGTTCGGGTAAAAGCCTCCCCCAAGGACTGCCATACTTCTCTGTCGTTAGCTCTTTCAAGCCAGCTTTACCTGCGCACTCTACAAATTCATCTGCCCGTCTGGCCCTTGATCGACCTCTTGATCTGGTGTCTTTTGGCCCAGACCACTTTACTGACCGTAAAGGCTAAGTGACCAGCCCACTTCCATTTAGCCTTCGTTGCGAAAGCTAAGGCATCGCTTACTTTGGTCTTCTTCCTAATGTAAACATTCTTTACCTTATCCTTTAATTTAATACCCAGGCAGCTTCTCTCCATTCTTCTCTGTGTCGTTTGGATTTTGTTCCTAGTTTTGAGGTCAAAGGACCAGGTTTGGCAACCATAGGTGAGGCTGGGTAGCAGTCCTGTATCCATGACTATTTTCTTCGGTAGTGGAAGTTGAGATTTTAATATTTCCTTATGGTGCCAGAACCTGTTCCAGGTAATCGCCACTCTTCGATTTAGTTCTTCGGTATTTCTTTCTTTACTAAAGGAGATTTGCTTTCCTAAGTATGTGTAGCGGTTGACGAACTCGAGAGGAGTGTTATTTATTGAGATGGGCGTTGCACTGCGGTTAGACAATTTTAGTTTTTTCCAGATTCATTTCCAAACCAGTTTTTATACTAGCCTGATTCAATTCGTTTATCATTTTGTTAAGTTGGTGAGGGGATTCCGATAGTAGAATTATGTCGTCGGCAAATCTGAGATGACTTAAGTATTTTCTAATTATTTAATACCTTTATTGCACAATGACAGCTCTCCCATTATGTGTTGCAAGACGGCTATGAATAATTTTGGTGAGATCGGGTCTCCTTGCCGGACGCCTCTTTTTATGTTGATTATTTCGCCCACTCTATCCAGTTTAACTCGACTTGTGCAGTTAGAGTAAATATTTTTGAGGATATTGATGTACTTTTCATTTACATTTAGTGCTTTCAACGACTCCCAGATACTCTCGTGGGAAATTGAATCGAAAGCTTTTTTGTAGTCGATGAAAGCCAAATATAGGGGTTTATTAAACTCTACATATTTTTCTATCACCTGGTCAACCACTTGGATATATCGTGCTGAAGCCGCTTCTGAAACCGGCTTGTTCGATCGGTTGGAAGGCATCGATGGCTGGAGCTATCCTTTCAAGTAGGCATGATTCGAAAAGTTTGTAGAAACAAGATATCAGACTTATAGGGCGATAGTTTCCTATAACAGCTGGGTCGCGTTTTTGTATAGTAATATAATTTCTGATGTCATCCATTCATGTGGCATAACTTCTTCTTCCAGTATTTTATTCCAAAGGATAGTTATTGGTGAGAGTAGAAGGGTCTTCGCAACCTTGATACATTCGTTGGTGAATCCATCTGGTCCTGGGCTTTTGTCTGATTTAAATCTCGTTAATTGTTTCAATATTCCATATTCTGTAAACTGATTTATTGTAGAGGTAACCGTGTGGCTATAAGAAACCATGTTTTGATTTTGTGATTCTGGCTTACTATATAGATCAGCGTAGAAGTCAGTAGCAGCGTTTATGATTTCCATACGAGAGTTGCATTTATTGTTGCCAGACTTGAGGAAAGGGACCCATATTTTAAATTAATTCAAATCTTTGTAAGCTTTTTTGGCAGATCTAGAGTTATTGAGGTGTTTATGTATAGTTGTTGTTCTGTATGTAACGTAGCACCTTTTTATTTCTTTATTCATATTTTTATATAAATTTTTTAGCTTTTCTTTGTCAGTTTTGCTTAACTTGGGCTTATTTTGTAGTTCGCTTATTTCCTTCATGAGTTCTGGCGCTCTCTCTCTCTCTCTGCCGATAGGATTTTGTTCTTGTGTGTTCCTTTAATGTTTTTTAGACTTAGCTTCATGTAGTGCGTGATTTGTTGGTAGAATTCCTCCACGTTATAATTGTGTTGATACTGTATAAGTTGTGGTATAAAGCCATATAGGTTTGTAAGGTATATTTCTTGCTCTGCTGGCGTTTTTAGCTTAGTGGATATAATAGAGAAATTTCGCCTACTTTTCTTTGTTGCATTTAGGTGTACTGTTGCTCTTAGTAGTCTGTGATCCGATCCGAAGGAGAAAGATGGTAGTACTTCATATTTAGAAATCATGCGATGTTTTATGGTCATGATGTAGTCAATTTCATTTTTTGTGTTTTGATCTGGGGAAATCCATGTCCAGCGGTTTTTAGCTTTTTTGTATAAACCAAAAAAACCATTAAGATTAACATCTTAATGGTTTTAATATAAGTAAAATATTTTTATGTCCTAAAAAATTTGGTTTTGTTTAAATCTAAAGGTCAGTTTATATAAAGACCCCATCGTTAGGATTTCGGAGATTGTTCCAGATACTTCTATAAAATACCCTTCGAGGAGTATAGTGCGTTTGATTTAAGCTGAGCTTTGCTTTTGTGTGAGTGTACACGGATAGTGTAGGTGTGAAGTCGAATATTTGAATGAAACGTTCTTTTCTCGATTTGAACCGGTTTTTTCTGCTTACACTCCGCCCCGCACCTTCCTCATTTCACCTTTTCTACTGCTAGCAACGACAAATGTTGAAAACGCAATGTCTAGTGAAGAAAAATTTGTATTGGTTTTTCAAAATGTTTATTACTTAATAATTTTCTTCTCGTAATATTTCCATTTGGCTTTTTACAAGTTTTGGTTATTTTACTTTTAATCTAGAATAGCTCTCGCATTTATATTATGTATCTATTTAAAATATAATAAAATTTAATTCTAAAAGTTTTTTGTCTAACTCTACTTTTACTTTCACTCACACAAATGCAAAGCTCAGCTTAAGTCTAACGGATTATACTTTGAATCGTAGAAAACTGAGAAATTGCTTTCTCAATAACAAAAATATTTTAGAAGATAACATAACTATCCTGCTAAACTAGGCAAATAAGTATCCTGATATAATATATCATAATTGTATAATATACAATAAAATGAAATAAAAGTGTTCATATAATCCACATCACTTAATAATTAACAGAAAGCCGATATCAAATGACTTATAATTAATTTGTAGAAAATGAAAATCAAACTGAAGATATGACGGCCGCTAAGCAAACGGAGACAGAAGTTCCTGAAAGGGAGGACAGTGGATCAGACAGTAGTGCTGCGTCGCCTGTTAAGAAAGCTAAAATTAGCAAAGGTATGATAGATTATAACGTAAAAATAAATGAAATATTACACAAATAAAATATTAATAAACATTGCAGACAAGAAAAAGAACAAAGAAAGATATGGATTCCCGTAAACAAAAGCAACAAACGTTTTCATTCTACCCTCTTATTTTACTTACTAAAATAAATTTCATATATTATTATCGGCTATATTAGTCCTTATTTTGAATAAGAATATGTAATGATAATTCCATAATAATTAGTAAAGCTTGAAATATTATATCAAAGAGTTGTCAATGTTTCCAGAGCGCTCGTCCCGGAGTATTAGCAGCAAAGACAGTTCTATGTTTGATTCTGACACCACAGAATTGCACACCATCATCTACGATGAACCAGTGGTTAGAGACATTTTATATTTTATATTATATATTTAGGAATTTCGTTTGATTTTTGAAAAAGATAATAACCAATGAGATTTTAATTAAAATTAACAAATATATAAAAGGTTAATTAAGGAACGAAATAATTAATTTCATACGTCACTATAACAAAATAAACTCTTTCCGAATGATACCCTTTTAATAGACCTAAAACTAATTGCTAACACTATATTAACACTTAAAATTATTGAGCTGTCACCTCGCTGACTGAAAAATGATTTCACACACTGCTTCTATATTGTTTTTTATTATAAATTTCATTCTCAGTACGACAGTGTATTAATATATATTTTGATGTAATTTTTTTTAGCAACAAGAACTTCTAGATGACTCAACTGAGTTTATGGACAGCAGACTATTGTCCAGAAATAACGTCACTGTTCCTGAAACTCCGGAGGGAAGTGAAGAGTAAGAAAAATTATCTAAATTATATATTGATATTTTAATTATTAATAAGAAATGGTTTTATTGTAGAAAATTTTGATTTTCAGGTCCGACTCTGATATCGAAGTTGACGTACATAAAAGAAAAAGGGAGGCGTAAGGGAAAAAAGAACTTATAATTTTTCTTAATAATATTTTTATTTTGGCATTAAAATACCAAATAGTTTTTCATTTACCAAGGTATTAGTACCTTAGTAATTACTCACAAAATTAATTTTGTGACCCAAAAAAAAATATCAAGAAGTTTTAACAGTAATTTCATAAATTCCAAATCAACAAAAATTACTATATTTTTTAAGAATTTAATGTGATATGTATATAAATAACTTATAACCTAATTAATTAACTAAAGTATTAACGGTGATGGACGTTATTCTTCATGTGCCAGTCTTCATGTGGGTAGTAGCCGTGATTTTGCCACTGTTTCCATCCTTTCCATCGACCATCTTGTTTTTTGTCTTCGTTGACGCCACCTGAATGGCTAAAAACAATATTGAACTAGTCAAACAAGTGATTTTGATATTTATTAACATGTAAAAACGATGATCTTTCAAGAATTTCCAAGTCGTAACAATTTCATAAAATCTAAATTTAGGCCTACAAATTAAATGTATTAAAGAAAGTTATGTTAGTTACACTATTTATAACTCAAGAACGGCTGTTGGGATATGGATGAAAATAAGTTGAGAATTAGCTTAGAAAGATGAGACGGACATAGTATATTTAAGTTCGATCGATAAAGAAGAAAAGTATTTAATGAACTCCAATATCTGGATATTTATGGCCTCTAGGGCGAAAAAGATTTACCGAAATTCCGAAATTAACGCGGATGAAGTCACGTGTCAACAGTAGTTCTTTATTAATACAACTTACTGGTTCTGAGCATCGTCATATGTTGAACCGAATCTGCTTTTGAGTTGGTGTCGTGTAATGATGAACTGGGCTCCTCTCTCACCAATCATCACCGCTGGTGCTGCTGTGTTCCCAGATGGCACTTGAGGCATTATAGATGAATCCACTACTCTAAGACCTAGAATATTCGTTCCATGTTTAATCTCTAATTAGCCTTATCGCTCGTAACCTACATTATATATTTATTTGCTTGGTGAGAATTTTTTTCTTGAATTATTTTATCCATCTATGTATTACATGTCGCGTAATAAGCGATCTGCAATATATATATATATATATGTATATATTTGGTTGGGTCTTGTTTGTTTGTTAGCAGCATTTAACATACTTTTGTTACCTAAAATCTAAATGATTGCATTAGTTTGTATGTTGTATGAAATAACATTTTTATAGTTTTATATCTCAACTCGACAACGACGGAGCAGTTTTTATAAGAGTATAAAACAATCTGTATAACTAGGTATTATATATAACATATTCGTACATTAAAACAGTAAATGAGCAGTTGAAAATAATAATAATAATTTCTAAGACCACGCAAAAAATCAAAGAAACAAAGTAAATTATTAGAAAGAATTTTATGTTTTCAAAATCCTACAGTTCAATGTCCGAAATATAATCAATCAATGTTATGGGAACTATGTTTTACTTACCTTCAATCCCAAAAACTCGAAGTTGTGGATCAACAACAGCCATCGGATCTTTATGGGAGCCCATCTTGCAAGTGCCCACTTGATGATTTTCGGGTGCTGTGTGCAACATTGCTAAACATTTGAAGTATTCATCTGTTGGGTTCAACCCGCCTCCGGGACATTCACTGCCATAGCCATTTGTTGGTGTCATACCATATTTTTCACGTAAAATCTAAAAAAAATACATTATTACACAGGCCTTAGTAGGTACTTCAGGTTGTATTAAGTGATTGTCACAGTATAAAAACATTGGAAGGCAGTATGGGGTGCTGTATAACTATAAGAGTGGGGAGAGGTTTAAGCTGTACCTAGTACCTACTATAGTTAACTGATACAAGATGGCAATCTTAAAATAATCATTCATATTTTGATTGCATATCAAATATTATGTTTTTATATTTGTTTTTAATTCAATTGTTTTATTATTTGCCATTGATTATACTTAAATTTCATTTAAGAAGTTAATTATGACAAATCGCCCTCTGTTACGAAATCAATATTTTGACAAAGAGCGAGGTCCAAACATATCTAGTTTATTGTGGAACCTATTCACTTAGCAGAATAGTAAACACAACATAAACCTTCGAAAGGTTGTCCATTAGTCAGGTATGCTCAATTCGTGTATACTACATATTACTTCATTAGAAAATAAATGGAAACAATTACAATATGTTCTAGGTGTCTTATATTTGTTTAGTTTGTAGTAATTTTGTGTATAGTGTGCTCATACCGTGGTGTTAGCAAGCCGATATGCGATTCTCGCACCATCAATCAGTACTTTCAATTCATAATCATCGTAGAAGTAGTTGGGTTCCATAAGTGGCGGTTGTGTGGGGTCCGTAGACTGTAGTGTCAAATAACCTCGACTACGTGGTTGTAACGCCACAACTGATATACTGAAAATATATGTCATTATATATAATGAAATCTCAATGAATATCTCAATAACAAAGTTTGAAAACGGTGAACGAAACTAGTAATAAATCTCGGTATGTCTCGTATATGAGCTATGCTTCAATCTTTAAAAGCAGAAGTTCAAGGTAGCTGTACTGCACGAGGCTGTACATCAATCGTTGCAGACTTTCATTATTATAAAAGAACTTCCTTTATGTATATTATGTATTTCGTTTTAAAACTCAGAAGTTCATAAAAATGTATGTATGCAAAGAAAGAACATTGTCCAAAGTTCGTAATTCTAGAAAGTAAATTTTTAGAAACTGAAGACTGTTGCTGTTAGCTGGTCTGAAGGGCCTTCGCTATTCTTCTATGTAATCATTCCAAATTTAGTAATTACCTCCCAACAACCAAACAACAAATTGAAGACAATAACGACCATTTGAATGTTAAAGGTAATAAAACAGACTAAAATCTTTTCCTGTTATGAGCAGGATCGTGAGAAAAACAGTCACTATTAAAGTACAAACTGTCACAAAAAAATTTCTTGCTATTACGATTATTTTGCTGATTGATCCATCAGTATAATATAAACAGAACGGAAAAGCTATAAATTCCTAAAACTGGTTTAATTCGGCCTCAATATATATTTTTTTGTTTTTCAAAAATTTAAACTTCAAGTCAAGTCATATTACCTAACAGATCTCCTCTTATTACTTTTCAAAGCTTCATCTCCGAGGTTGCCGTCGCCGCAGGCCGCGTAGTAACCAGCGAAGAAGTATTGAACATCGGGATTACGACCTCCAGAAGACGCGTAACGAGAGTTAACTTTGCCAGTCAGCTGAATAGTTAAAACTCAGAATAAATAAAAGTATTTTGAAATATGTACATATAACGGAAAATCGTCACTTTTTTCTATTATCAAGTACATTTCTTTATGTCGCATATTGTTGAAGTTTTAACCAATACTAAACGTCAGTGGTGGCTTAGTGGTTAAAGGGCCCGCCTCTCGTTGCCGAGGGCGGGTTCGATCCTGGCCCGGGCAAGTACCAATGTGATTTTTCCGAGTCATATGTACTTTCTAAGACTATTTAGACATCACTGATTAATGCTGATTCCCAAAAGAGGGTTGATGTCAGGCACGCAGCCGGTCGTAAAAACAAATAGCCAAAACTATTCACAACATGTAAGGCAGAGGCTGGCTAAAGCTGGGAAATTGCCAGGTAGAAGATACAAGAAAAGCATATTTCAAGTACAATATCAATACTTCTATGACGTAGTAAGTTAGTATATTAAGATAGAAATATCAATGTAATAGATTTTTTGTGTATACAATTAATTACCTGCGACATTCCAGTAGCGGACAATGGTCCTTGTCTGTTCAGCAAATATTCTGTAGCACTCGACCAGTTTAACTCTGGTACCTCAGGTTCTTTATTGAGTGTGAACTGGAGGGTCATTCCAACATGGTTATGAAGATTCTGTCCAACTCCCGGAAGATCTTTCATGACTGGGATATTAAACTTCTCTAAAGTCTCCTTAGGGCCTACTCCAGAGAGCATTAGAATCTGCGGAGAGTTCAATGACCCTCCTGATAGGATCGCCTAGAAAATTGAGCCTTAAGTTATTTCTCCAAATAATATAAATAAATACATTCATAAAATATTCTTGATGTAAATTGTATAGAAGGTAGAGGTGGCCTCAAAATTGATATCCCTAATTGTAGTCAATGTCAAAAATATTAGAAGCTACCTATCTGTAGAAAAAAATCATTCCATGTTCCAAATTTACAAAAGTACCTCCTTAAGAACTCCCACGGACTTCGTCTTCCCATTCTTAATATATTCTACTCCAGTGACCCGTTTGGTCGTGGGGTCTATAATGACCCTTGAGACTAGAGCATTAAGAGTGACATGCAGATTTTTGCGTTGAGAAGCTGGACGGAGGAAAGCTCGAGCAGTACTGTACCTTGAACCTTCGCTGAAATAAAATGACTTTATAAATCAATAATATTTAAAATAAGAACGTTTAACGATGCATAATGTTCGAGATTTAAGTTCAATGCATAATATTTTATTTTAATTTCAATATATTTATCCTAGCATATAACAAATTACTTTTCCAACGAAATCTTGTAGATTATAACATTTTAATTAAGTATGTTGTTATTTAAGTTTAACTCAGCATATCATATGTTCAATCAAACATTATATATGGTAAGATGACTAACTCATTCATAGCTTGTGCGATCGTGAATCCAGTGTTGGTGTCTCCATTCAAGTCGCTAGTAGGAGGATAGCCCAGTTCAATACCAGCAGATACTACGTCATGAGCAAACCTCGGCGTGTATCGGAACTGTATACAAAATAAAACTAGTTAAACTAAAGCCTATACTTAATATGAACAATCTTAAAAACTATATTCCTATTACGTAAAACTAGCTGTGATTGTACTATTACTATTAATGATGACGACATACAACCCGGACGCGATAAACGAAAAGATCGTTGATGATCTTATAAATAATGAGTCACGAGAAAATAAATACTAAATACGTACGGATTTTCCTCTGCGTGAGCTTTACTATTTGTTTTATGGTTAATATCAAATAAACTTAAAAAATGTTTGCATAAATCCACACTTCGTAAACAATGTGTTACGAAAATTAAAAAAATATATAAAAACATTATACATACATTAAAACCTTAACGAAATGGCAATAATTATAATGAAGGTAATCGCACAGGTAATCTTTGCTTAACTTACTCTTTGCACAGGTATAGGCCCTCCTACTGTGTGATGTTGACTCGATACTCTAACACCTATCTCCTTGTTGTCTTCGCTTCTCAAGAAGTATGGAAGTACTTCGAACCAAGACCAACCTTCGGCGCCATTGACTGCCCAGCTATCATAGTCCGAGGGATTACCTCTCATGTACATCATGCCGTTGATAACAGAACAGCCACCTTAAATATATTTAAATAAACAAAAGTTTCTTTATTTATACTTGAAGAACAAGCCTATAATATTCATGTTTGAATAAAAATATCAATCAATAATGTTCATTGGAACTGACGATCGTATTCAAAGCTACTTAGGTATTGCATAACTATATACATAATTAGAAACAAATAAAATTATATTGTTTTGAAACTTTTTCAAGACTAAAATATACATGATAATATTTTTAATATGATTCCAATATTCCTACCTAGGATTTTGCCTCTCGGCCAGCTACAAACACCGCCTTTACTAAGACATGCTTTCTTTTGTGGTACTGTGTTGTACAACCAATCTGTGTCTTGTCGACCCCAATAGGCTGTGACGAAGGCTGGAACAGCGGACGGAGTTGGCTCATCACCACCCGCTTCTAGTAGCAAGACCTACGAATGTTGAATAACTTCAAAATCTACGATAAATCATAAATAATACAACTGCTCTTATCTTAAATCAGTTTAACTAAAATAACGAATACAAAAACTAAATCAAGAATGCAAATGTTAAACAAAAAAATATACTTATATGAAGCAACGAAATATTTGTATTGACTTTTTAACGGTTTATTTAAATAATTCTCAGAATGAACCCAAAGCTGAATTTTGTATGTATATAAAGTTTGATAGAAAATATGTTACAATTACATTTAATAGTAAAATATATGCTTACAATGACGGAAATGATATTTAGTATTGAAAATATTAACAGACTAACATAGGATGAGGGGGTGATTGTTAATTACAGTCATTGTATGAGTCTCAGGCGTAACGACGGCTGGAGCCTTCACGGTTGAAAATAAAATGATGTTAACCACGCTGTAACATCAGTATCCTAATAATTTGTCAGGGCCGCTCAGAAATTTTAATCATAATGACCTTTTTTGTATGTACATTTTTTGTAATGATTTAGAAAAACACTGCGTTCGTGTAATTATTTCGATTAATTATTATTTTCAACGTTATTTTTATGAGAAGCATCAAAATAGGAATTGCGACCTCATTGTGAAGCTGAATATTAATTTTAATGATGAATTTCAACTGTGCTACAAAATAAACATTGCTTATACCATCATACCTTCCACTGTGGGTTTTCTGATAGTCTCGCAGCAACCACGGCGCCGGAGGTACCTCCACCGACTACAACGAAGTCGTAGCTATTATCAGGTTCTTGAGTGTCAACCACTCTTTTACACGGGTCAGCGAGGTCGCAGCGGCCATTCAAAAACGATTCCAGGATACTCATGAAGAGTAAGAACTGCCCCGGACAACTCCCAGCCATAGCCGGGCCGATCTCTTGTATAGGACAGGCACATGCCTAGAAATTTTAATTCATTCGTTTACATTATTACTTTTTATCAATCAATATATGTCACTCGATATTTCCTCGAAGCAGAAATACTTTGTCATCAGCCTATCAGAGCCCACTGCTGAGCAAAGGCCTGTTTCTCACATGGAGAAGGTTTGAGCATTAATCACAACGCTTGCTCAAGACGGGTTGGTGAAGCAGAAATACATATAATATGGTATTTATGCAGATGCATACATATCTATGTAAACGATTATATTCCACTTAGCAGATTTCAGACTTATATAGATATACTGTTTACTATAAAATTATGAGTCTAAATTACAAATTTGAATTCGAAATATTGAAGTGAAATATCAAAGAAGAAGTCAGCTTATGTAGGAATGACAATATTAGTTAACGAAAAAATGTTAAAAACAATCTGTGACTGATTTGTAAGTGAAGATTAATTCAATAAATTCATAATTATTAATTACTGATACTAATAATAAGCTAGAAGCAAGATAATCTTGATAACATTATTTGTAATTACAGCTTATGTTTATTAATCAACTACTAGATATTAGTTATTGATAAAAATATTATCCTCAAGTTGTTTTCTGTATGAACTTAAAATTAAATCCTTTAAAATTATTTAACATACAAACAGACAAAAATATTATTCGTAAAGGTTTTCTTTTAGAATACTTTACATCCCTACACCTTAATACAAAAATGTCTAGATTTTTTGAGTACCATAATATAAAAGATGGCAACATTATAACAATTACATATAATATGATATTACTTTGTCATGATATTACAACAGCCTAGAAAATTTTCTGGTTAACAATGAATTGAATTAACGAGCTATGCAAGGACCTACATTAATTGCTGTATTAACACAAGTTAATTGCTGTTTCAATTATTACACCACCGTAAATTCCTGGAAAAAATATCTATCAGCATGGTAACACTAGCTAAACCATTTTTAATTAATCTTAGACCCAAAAGGACTCGCATCCAGAGCCGTAAAAACATTTACAAAAAAAACAAATACATTTTTAAATATAACTTTTCCACTATCTCGTTCTATGAGTTATTAAAAAATATGTACAAGGTATATTTAATGGAAAAAAATTATGTATAGGTTTTGTTTTTTTCTTTATATTTCAAAGGATTAGATAATTACTTAGTAAGTGCTTAAACGGTAACTTATCTGTCATTCAAATTCAAAAGTGATTCAATATTTATTTATTAAAATTCCTTCAATATATTAACATAAATATCAAATTATGATATATTTATATAAATTAATTCCTGGAGGCTTATCATTATTTATAAGCATATTTAAGTTTATGTGTCTACAACTTTATGGTAATTCCAATAAAAAACTTAATGTAAAATTAATCTAAGCTTACGTAACGTAATGATGTTGTGTTAAAAAAAAATATACTCAAGTTACCTACAATTTTGTAAGTAGCATCATATGTATTAATAGCTTTATATAGTTTGTAAATTTTACTTGAAATAAAATCAAGATTATTTTATTGTACCTATAATTCTCATTTGTTATGTACACGTAAACCAAGTTGACATTGTCATTTGTATACACAAGGAGGTATTCTGAATTTTCATTAGGTAATACATTTAGCACTTTATAGTATAAATTAAAATGAATGAGAAACTCTTTGTATTTAGACCGTACAATTTTAAGGAGAGCGTACAAATAATAAAACATGTTTTTTTATAAACACTTAAAAACATTGACACATACGTCCAACCTCACATACTGTCGCATTTATTGTAATACTAGCTTTCCGCCCGCAGCTTCGCCCGCGTGGAGTTCGGTTATATCGCGTTTCCAAGAGTACCTTTCAAAAGTCTGGGATAAAAACTGTCCTATGTTCTTTCTCAAGGTCAACTCCATCTCTGTACCAAATTTCATTAAAATCAGTTCGGTGGTTTAGGCGTGAAAGCGTAACAGACAGACAGAATTACTTTCGCATTTATAATATTTGTAGGGATATGATAGGAATTTATACTGCTATACCTAAACTATAAACATGAAAGATGGTCTAACTAAGATTTTAAGTTTATGACGCTAACTTTTACAAGTACCCATACTTAATATATGTAAGGATGAATTATTGTTGGACATAAAAATACTGTAAGTATTTTAACGAGCACGTCATCAAATATCAGCTTTATTTATTACGAGTTTAATAATGTTCTTATTTATGGATTATCAAAAGACGTTGACTGTAAAAATGTGTCAGGAGAAGAAATTAAAAATCTTTTCTGTTATAGTAAGAGTAGATAAAGATTTAGTTTTATTGCCTATTCCCACTAGAATGCACAGATATTTAAAAAAAAAACTTACACTTATATAAAAAATAAATTATTTCTCACCTCCGCTGCTCTTATCATGATGAAGAATCTTTAGCAGCTGGAATAAAATAAATTATAAAATTATATTAATTTTAAGATAAAAATATATTACATAAAATTACAGAATTGCTATGAAATATTTTTTTTTCGAAAACTATTTTATGATTTTAACTAAATTATTTTACGGTCCCTAAAATCTTGTATTTTCTCATTGAATTATGAAATTACGATGACGAGAAATACTCTTTAATCTATTATATTTTAAGTTGGTACATCTTTCGTAATAACCCTGAGTTGCAGTTGCGAACCGAAAATAGTAGCAAAACTGTAAAACTAAGTACCTACTTAGTAGAAAATAGTAGCATTCTTAAGCTCTATATACATACATACATTTTTTAGTATGACTAGATAATGCTTGACTATAATTCTATCAGTTGATAAATGTAAAGGCGTAAATGTTCAACGCACAATCTCAGTAACAGCCTATTTACTCTAATCTTGAAGACACTCAAATTATCATTGTAAAAAAACACAGATTTAAGCTAACTATTCAAATTGGACAACAATTCTGATGCTGGAAAGGCCTACTACAACGATTAGATCACACAAGGGTCTAGTTTTGCGATTTTAGAAATAGTCAAACATGTTTACACTTCTGTAGATATTATTTTCATTATAATTTCCTTTTTCATGAGATATCATTAATTTTATAAATTACCTCACGTAAATATAAATCCATCTACATTAATAACGAAACAGTATTTTCTAAGAACAAGTTAAAACGGAATTATCATGAAGAAATATATCAGTGTTCAATCAATATAATAACACAAAACGTGACATTGAAATTTGTTTAAAACAAATAAAGGAAGCTGTTTTGTTTGTTATTCAAATAATTGTGTAATATCCTGTTTGAGATGACAATACACATTTAATATTTTGAAAAATTATGTATCATAAACCGTTTGTTTACCAAAAGCTTACACTTTCACACTACGCACGGATCAACTATAGTTTTTTTCTCATTAGTCTTCGCACGCAAATACTATATATATTAACGTAAGATGAATGAGAGTTGAAACCATGAAGACTCAAATTTATACTTAGCGTACTGATAATAATCAAAAATTATTTGAACAGACCTCATTATACAGGGTGACTGGTGAATTACTATCGATATTTGAGGACGTGATATTTGACGATCATATATGACAAAATAAAAATTAATATAACATAAATATTAATAAACTTCTAAGTAAAGTTAACCAAAAGTTATGTAATTAATTACGCATCGTATGAACACCCTACAGATTAGGTATACATACTCACACATACGCGCGCGGCGGCGTGTTGTTGTATCAGCACGCCGCCGCACGCGTCCACACTTGGAACACTTGGAACGTGTACACACTTTATTTATTTATACGGAAATTTGGTCAAAATTTAAGTACCTATTTTTTTTACATAATTCGAATGAGAATCATGTACCGAGTATGCTCCTTAAATATTGATAGTAATTCACCAGTCACCCTGTATATTGTTCATAAGAAAAAAGCAATATTAGTCTTAATCGCAAATAAGTAAATGGTAATAAAGAATTTTTATTTGAAACTGAGCTGCGGGCTACATTGTTAAATAACTGGTTAAGGACATTTCGCATTTGCATTTTTGTGTTCAGAAAACTCAGGGAGCGAACGGTACACTGCGTACATGTATTGTACGCATATAACGGTGTTACTTGACCTCTGTTCGAATTTGGTTCAAATGTAATTCTTTTTATTTTTATAACTTGCAACATCTAATATTGATTCCTAATATACTTGAATTTAAAATAATTTGAGACAAAAAATTTATCTTATAGAAGTAGATAATATAATTGAAATACAATATCCATGATAAAATAAAAACGAAAAACTTAAATAAATCAAAACTTAGAACATCAAAATATTAAATTTTATATTCATTTTATTTAGGGTGAAAAAATACTTTTAATATTATTACTACTTTAATAACATTACAAGATATTTTTTAATATATATTTTTTAAATCATCTAATAATATAAAATAATATTACCTTAGATATAAAAAGTACTCACCTAAATCCTTTATACAAAAAAAAAAACAATAAACTTAATAAAAAAAGTACACACAAATTTAAATTTAAAAAAGGAACAATATAAACGCGCGCAGCGTGTGTGGTGCAGCGCGAATCGTTCTACAACGCGCCACAGAGCATACAGAGAGCTAAAACGCGATTTTTATATATAAAAGCCTTTGAGTACTGGAGTCACCATTTGTGGTAAAACCCAGTTGTGTTATTAATGTTTTCTTCGTGTTTCATATATCAAAAACGCTTAGAAGCATAATGTAAAGTTATTATATAAAACACATCAAAACTATTCAAAGGTACTTTAGAAGACAGTACTTAATGTATTTTATAAAAATAATAGTGTTAAATATTTAATTACAGTGATTTTAATTCTGCAACTCTTTTATTTTCTTTCAACTATACAACAAATAAAAGTACCTAAATAAAATATAAAAAAGACGTTTGAAAATATTTTTTCTTCGACAAAACTTGCTTAAAATATTATTATTCACGCTGACCTTGTTCCATACACTATTTTAAAATTACATTGATTTCAAATATAACTGATTTATAAAATATTGTAAATATTAATAAATAAATAAACTCGAGGAACATTAATTAAAACCGACTAAGATATACTGTACTCTCCTTGTTCTCAAAGAACCGGCATTTGTGCAATTTTTTTTTTTAACTTTTTTTAAAGTCAATCAAATTAAGACAAGGATTTACACACTACAGATCAAATAAGAAATGTTAATTTGCGAATTAAAAAAAAAAACAGTTTCGTAATTCTGATATAAACAATCGTTTCATTTGATTTGTTTTATAATTTTTAGGAGACGACTTTAAAGTTTAAACAGAGGTTATACAATCAATTAACTCTTATATGTTAATTATTCTACGATTATTCATAAACCTAAATCTATAACTTTGTAAAAAGAAAGTCCTGACACCCTTTCTTGCTTCTACAATGTATATCTTAGCTTTCACTTAAAATAAATAAAATATACTCTTCAATAGCATTCTCAATGATATTTTTACACTTGTATTAAAATAAAGGGACGGTAAACATTTATTTATATGTATATAACTTATTTTATTCGTATAGTTTTTGTTTTCATTCACGATTTGACAGGTTTTTTTATTTTTGTTATGTTTTTTTACTTTGGACCACGATGTAAGATGACATAAAGGTGAATCCACGTGTGAATAATCACAAATTAGTTTAATATATTTATAGATATCAATGAATAATATAATTCTAATTGAAATGAAAATACTTTGAAGCTCTAAATAAAAAAGTCAATTAATTGAAGAAGATTGTGCTTAATTTCTAAATAAATTTTATCACTTGTGGATTAAGTCGACAGGGGAAACCACAATAAAAAAAATCGCGCTACTTAGTCTACCTCCAGGTGGTCTGGATTTTAGTTTGTTTTAAAAACGTCTATTGAAATATACTTTTTAAGCAAAAAACTATTAATTTTATGAAAAAAAATATTAAGACATCAATTGTAGAAATTTTATCTGGTTCCATTTTGTATATCAATATTTTTTGCGTAAAATACGTCAGAATTCGGAAAGTAGATATGGCGGCGCGAGCGTCGGGGGTAAAAGCTAACAAAGTTGAAATTCGAAAAGAGCATAGCGAAATTATAAATTTAAAAAAAATCCCAACTCCCGGAAAACTTTCCAGGTAAAACTACCAGATGACTGTACTAGAGCGTCGATATTTTTTTTATTTATAATAATGTTTATTCTTAGTCTGCATTATCATAAAATATAAAACGTGTCTTCCTTTTTTCAGTGTGGTAATACTATACAGCGCGATAATTTGTATCTCAAAAAATATTACCTCTCCTTAGTCCTTATGTGTCGTGAACTACCAACTGGGACGAAGCATACAGTTGACAAAGAGACAAAAGACTCGAAGTCGAGTGAATTATAAATAAAATCGTAAGATTATGGCATAGATAGAGTTAGTTACTAGCCTGGTAGCATTTTTAGGGAACAACTGAACCTAATTTAATCAATAAAAAATTCGCTTATAAGCCATAATTATTCGATATTTTTTATATCGGGTGTATCGAAATTCGTAACAAGTATAAAATGTGTTTATTAAAAATCAAGCAATTAGAAAACTTTGTGAAGCTTTAATATTAAGTTGATATTAAATATTGTACAAAATATATATTAAAAATAATCACATAAAACCAAACGGAAGCGGACTTCTTGTTAAATAAAATACAATTATATCAATAAAGTTATATGTAAAAATGCAATTAGATATATAATAAATGAATTTTTATTGTCATAAATTGAATTATTGTTTTGAGTATCAATTATATTATAAAACTTTACAGCCCCAATACACTGTTAAATTATTAAATTTCAATGAATTTAGTTGAACCTTAACTAAAAATTATTTTATATGCGTTAACCCTAAAAGATTATGTATATAACGAAAAGATATATAACAATTATAATATTCTCAAACTAACTTTATATTATATTAATATATAGTAAAAAAAATAACAATACAATAAAAATGAATGTATAAAGAAATTTTATTATGTTATTTACATTAGGTATTTAAAAAATGTTATGATTTCAATTAAATATTTTTTATAATGGCAACAATATCCTGTTTTGGCATCGAACACTGTCCTAAAGGCTTGACTTCAAAGCAGATATAAATATAAAATTCGACCATCATTCAAAGTCAGCGTCTTATCGGACATTAGCGTTAATGATAACGGTTACTTTAAAAGCATTAATTCGTTAATCCTATTTAATCTTTACCATATTTAGTGTAAAAGGTTTTTTATATTAAATAACTTATGTTTGACATGCTGTGATGTACGACTGCTTACTTTTCAATAATTAACGTGAAAATTTTACACCTGACTATTGTGGTGCTCTCGAAAAGTATTATTGGTCAATTTAGTTA